TCATGGGTCGATGTTTGATCAACGGATGTCCAGAATAACGTTGTCTGCTGAGGACACGATTCAAGGCACCACGTACCACATCTGACGAAGAGCGTCAGCATCCTTGGTCTCAGCGGTTGCTGCTTGACCACCTAAATACTACGCAGCATGTTCCCTACTTGCTCGTGTGTGCAACATGCTATCAGTATCATCCGTTCGTGTGGGTACTTCAACCACTTCATTTCAAGCACATGCGGTCGAATGACGTTTGCACTGTACCAAAGCTGCCCGACTTGAACAGCGGCGATCTCTCGTAGATGTCAGATGTACCTACATTCTCTTCCTAGCAAGAGTAAGATACGATATTGAGGTGACGTTTCATCACCATGTCGCACGATGCGAATATCGAGGAACTTGGCGGTCGGTTGACCAGGCGACAGCGTCTTAACGAATCATATCGCATTACTATTTTGCAAAGTTCTTACTCATCTGAAGTAAGCGATTTGGGATATCTTTGCCATTAAGACGTCAGCGTCTCAACTGATGCCATTTGCAGCTAGCCAAGTTGAACCGCAGGGACCATTTGTAACGCTAACTCCATCGTGCAAACAACGGCATCGGGGGGGACGTCATGCAGATTGCAGGTCAGTTATATTTGTTACTGTATCAGTTTCTTGCGCAGATTTATTGTGGTTTGCGGCTAGCAAACATTCGACATCGTAAGTTGGACCAAGTATGTCATTGATTATTGTATTGTTAGGTTCCATTTCTCTTCACTAGATGGAGCCGAACGTTGCATAGGCTGTCTAATCGGACCCGACCAGTCACCGAGCCGATGAAAGAATAACTATTACGCCATCCATGGTTCATTCCCAGCATGTTTTCAGAACATAAAAAGCCAGCCGTCAGACTGCCGTCTTCCCTACCACGCACTACCTCAGAGTTAATCGAGAACCTGTCTAATAGATCCCACATCTCCTCGTACATCTAATGCGTTTCTCCTTTCTCGCCATCGTGACTGCTTTGACAGCATCTATGTCTGTCAGTGCGACACCAGCTGTTTTCAGCAGGGATTCACAATGCGCCGAGGTTGGCGGCGTTTGCGGCTTCGGTTTGCCAGGCTGCTGCTCTGGATATATGTGTGCCGTGAGTATGAGTAGTTTGCTTTGCATCCCCTTCTGAGCCTTGCGCCTTGTGATAGATTGACAATGATGGCTATACGTCTTGCGTTGCCTCTCCCTTTTCTAATGTAGAAGGACCCTCAAGATAGCAGGGAGCTCGCATGTCACAAGGGTGAGTCGATGTCCTGCCTTCGCATTGGCGGGCATTCATGGAGCAACCTTTACATAGTTGATTGCTGGGTTGTTGCACTTGGTCAAATTTCCCTGCCGCTGGAGTAATGGGGCCCTTGCATCTCGAAGACCTAGATATGATGTTGATTTGAAAATATAACAGTACTGCAGCCCCAGTAGTCCGAGTCGTAAGCTTAAGCCTCGTAAGTTGGATATAATGCCAGTATGTCGGCTGAAAAATCAGTAAGGAGTACCGGTTCACAACACTTGCAATAACATATATGGGTCGCGATTTCCGTCAAGCCCAGCAACATAGACGGAGATGGTATGTCTAATAACCGACAGTGGGACGCCATGTATTATTGGAATGCTAGCAGGAGGGAGACGGAGCGAACTTATCCCGCAAACAGCGCGGATTACAGCGCGTAGCATGCACATTGTCTATCTCAACCTGAATCAACACATTTATCACCAATATTTACCGACTAGGACACTACCTTCTTTAAGCAATGCCCACATATCGATACACGGATAACAAGCACAAATGAAAACTTCGCGAAAAGACGACACTCCACAAAGGAGTTCAGCAAGAAAAAAATTCAAGAGAACCAGTCCGAGAGTAGTCTGAATCGAGTTTCACGATCCACGAAGGATACGCGAGCCACGAAGCGAGCTCAAGGGCAAACCAGTCCCATCGCATAATGATGCAACCAACCGCGCCTCATACGCAGAGGTAGTTAGCCTCTCGCCCCTTACGCAAGGAGGTATTGGCCTCCGAGTCATAGAGGCAGTTCATGATTACTCTGACCGTGGGACAGAATATATGCTCGCCACAGCTCGTCAGTGCCCCGCAACTGAGCCAGACTACCAACAGTGGCAACATAAGCAGCACTCGCCAGATTGTTACCCGCAGTGGCAGGCTATCAATACTGGTAACCACATATTCACGCCATAGTTTTATGGTGGCCTGCACTCAGTCAAGCTACTAACGCAATAGCGAACTTGAATTATTCCTCGTCACGTACTGTGTAATCATCTTAAGCGCCTTCTTCACAGGCGCACGCGCGATAGCGATAACTGGCTGCTAAACAACAGACACAAGTTCGCCCGATCCCCGCGACGTTTTCAAAGCCTTCATTCTCGCCCTCCTCTGCCATAAGCAGAATCTTCGGGATAGGAGAAACGAAGCTGTTTTGCTGGAACGTCGTACAGCTGATTACAGCTGGGCTCTGCTAGAGCCTATCGAGGGGGATTGGAATACTCAGACCTTAACTCGCTCAGAAATTTGGGTGCATGGAGCAACCCTGTGCGTGACGAGCATTCGTGGCTTTCGAGCTGGTTGATGAGAGAAATAGTTTGAAAGTCCGCTTGATGCTTTATTTTATGCTGAAGTAAGCTCCGCGTAGACACAACCATAATAGGACGCTTCACGCCGCCCGAGGGTCGAGGGGCGCATATTGACCGCGTGCTCAACCAATGCAAGAATTCATGGATGTTGTTCGCTCATGGTCAGTCGGTTCTATGTGTACCACTAGGCGTCTTCATCTGATCACCTTCGAAAATTTCCATAAATCATGCAACTCGGAAGGACAACTTCCTTTCCCATGTGAAGTTATAAGGGACATATTATTTATCTGTGGCGTCCTATAATACGCTAACGAGGCTCAATACGTCCGACAAATTTTACCCTCTGGAATCTGGCAGGTTCGTCTCAAAGATCAAGGTGCCTAGCTGCACTATCATGATGGTCACAGTTGTACCTGCAGTTTCATATTCACCTTCAGGTATAGACCTCCCGTGTTCCTCTGTGCTTGCTTCTCGTGCACCCGGGGAGCTTGTTAGCTGGGGAGAACCCACCTTCGATAGATATGTTTATGCAATTGAGGGCGTTTTGGCTGACCTTGTCTGGTGTTTCCTTGGTTGAGATGCGCCGATGCAGAAGGTACAAGGGTATCAAAAATGTCTGGTTAGTTGCATAGCACGCTATGTTTTATTGTGTTTGACCTGTCTTGATGACGTGCGTGTCTACCAGCTCCTCGCCCCCTATTCGAAGAAGTTAGTATGACTTGACCAGGCGGCCCTGTCTGGTCTTCATATTGCATTCCAAGATATCAAATGCAAGAAGTTTCGAGTGTCCAGGTGGTAGAATCAGGGATCGTGGTAGATCGGTTGCTACCATCTGAGTGCTGTCTGTGAAGCAGGAAGTGAACGCAAAGAGAAAGATTTGCTGTTGTAAAGATGAATACCACTGGTGAGTTCTATAACCTCACGATATTACGAGTCTGAGGAAATACTATGTAGCACCTGTAACGGTGACCGGCAGAACAACTGGGTCCGACCTCGGCATGACTAACCATTCCTGGCATAGGTCAGGTAATCTTACAATAGGCATCAAGCTAGCGTGAAATCTTACACCCCTACCAGGAAACGACCATGCGTATCGCATCGTGTCCTAGGTGAGTACCCCATGTACTTCCTGGTTTTATTTTAGTGCCAAGCGCTGCTATAACTTCATTTCTTCGCGTGCTTGGCCTCTGCAAGGGGATAATGGTCTTGCGGCCTTGCCCCACGACTCAAGCTATCCACCTTGACGGCACGATATTGATGCAGCGTTGTCACTTATCAGTTCCTCACCCCGAAGTCTTGGGTTATATATTTTGCTGATCATGTCGTCTCCTTGTGGCACAACGATACATAGAGAGGGAGGGAATACATGATATCAGAATTCTAACGATTCCATATATTCTATCATTCATGGTGGTAATTATTAGGAGGCGCTGGAGCGAGGTCATGAGTGTATGTGAGAGGCAGTAGGAAGGGTTGTGCAGCGAATGTTCGTGGTTAGTTCTTTTGCCGATGAGCGCTGAGATCAAAAATCGGGGTGAGTGACCAGTGTTGTTACTAACCCGGGTCATAACTAAACAGGTTATAACTGGTGAGTCCTGGATTGAATTAACTACGAAATAACTGGGGTTAATGGGGTTAAATAGCAGTTAATTACTTCAAGGTAGCTAGTCGTCGATAACAATTGAAATATTCGAGCTCGACGGACCATTTCCCATGCCTGATGACTCCCCTGCATTCCCGCCACTGTGCGACTCTTCATCCTCAGGCAGGCGTGACATTAGCGCTAATTCCTTCTATTCAAATTGTAGCTCTAGATATCTAATTAATCCACTCTTCTGAGGACTAGCCCCTTCTATGCACGGGAGAAGACTAAAACTATTTTCCATCGAGGATGCGAAGTTCTCCGATAGACTGGGTGACGTAGTCGGGTACTATTGGTGAAGCATGTGGGCCGGTGATATCTTGCTTCGATGTGATGCCTGAGGACACAATGTTCATGCCAAGTATTGATTATTGACTTTGAATACGCACCCGTCAGAACAAGGAGCGTCGCAAGACCTCCAGCTTGTCCGAATAAAATATCAGTGTTCAAGCGATCTCCGACCATTATCGTGCGTTTCGGATCGAATTTCACCCTGTCAAAAAGCGCATTGATGAAAAGCACCACAAGCTAGATGGGGTGACCACTTACTTGGCTTGAATATAATCCAACATCGTCTTTGCGGGTTTTCCGATACTTATCGGATCCTTCTCCAGCTCCAGGCAAGCGATCATCCGCGCTCGGGAATGTGCTGTCTTCATTTGTGACCGAGAATTGGCAGCCGGGGTTTCGTGTGAGGTGTTGGAAAGTTTTTGATAGCTTGGTATACTTTACGCTGAGGTCTGAGCCACAAAGTACGGCTTGAACATCTGGGTCAAGTGTGAAGTTTGATGATGAGAATGGATCGAGGGTGCAGTCTGCTAGGTCCTGGTTGTCTATGGATGGATGAGTGGTGGGCGGGGTGCACGAAGGACTATTTGCATACTGTTCCCCCGATGAAAGAGATACCTTCTTCCTCAATCCCTGCCATCCCGATCACATACACATTCTTCAAGTTTAATGACAGAGGATATGTAAACAGCAGTCGGAGTATTGGTGGGGGAGACAAATACGCGGATAAATAGACTGATTGATTTGTGGAACCGATGTTGTATGTGATTGGTGACATAGCAAAAGACGGCTCGCAATTCCAGTTGTGCAGGATTGGATGTAGTATTTGGTGCGCCGCTGATGGGAAATGGCGGAAGTAGGTGAGGCCGAGGATGCCAAACTGGATGTATCTAGACTTGGCGTAGTAGCGGTTCGCCCGGGTTAATTAATAGGTTGGGTCATGGGATAAGGGGTTGTGGAAGAAGTCAGTGTATTCGGCGCACGTCTAACCAGGCATGCACATTGCACGCTGGCAAACAAAGGCAGGCAATCCGTGGACCTCGCTACCGGGCAGCCTGTGATATGCAGAACACCAGTACTGACCAATCTGTCTTCAATGTTTCAACCATGCCAATCGATGAAGCTTGAAGTTCGGCCCCCAATAATTGCATGATAAGTGATAAGCGCTTCCATCATTACTTATGTAAATATCTTCTGCGGGTGGGCGCTTGTCGACCTTACGTCCCATCCACGTCCTCTTTCACCTAGAAACCTCTTTAGACTCAGTCTCAGTTATGAAGAAACGGCTTTCGCGATTGCTGGGCCCGCGAAGCCACTCAAACCCTCATTTGCCAGCGCAGAGTGGAGACAGCGAATTTGAGGTATTCAATATTGAGCTTACGTCTATTCGTTGTGTTTAATCATGACTTTCTAGGTCTCCTCTCTCCCCCCTTCAGGGGATGAATCTCGCACAAAACCTCCAGGATCGGTACGCAATTTATTGGGCAAGGTGACCAACCGTTCCACTCGAAGCGCTCGACAGTCTCCGATCCCTGAACCCGCGGCTGCAAGTTCCGGGGCACAGGATCCCATAACCACTCAGACAACTCAGGTAGGTGCAATATCGACTCTGGGCATATCCTGTATCCGATCATCATTGCTTACTGCTGGGGCAGGATCATTCAACGCTCACCGTGGCACCCACTCCCGAACAGGCTTCTGATGCCCGCGCTGCGAACGTAAGTTCCACTGTTGTAGATCGGACGCTCTTATCTATCTTTCGATAATGTACTAAGTTCCGTCATCAGGCCGAACAACTTAACCCGAAGTTTGTAGATGAAAAAATCGCTGATGCCTCCAAAAATATGGAAGGCATGAAAAATGTCCCAGGAATGGCCCAAAATATAGCTTCACCATCCGACAACCTACAATCCATCCCAAATACCATTGACACGTTCTCCGTGATTCTTGGACCACTGAAGTTGTTCAACTCCGTCGCTGATGGGACTTGCAGATGTACGAGCGTCTATCTCGATTTTGTAACCGACTGACCTTGTTACTTAGGTCCATCCCTATGCAAAGGTGGCGTTGAGCATATTCACCTTCGCGTCGAAGGTGCTCTTGCTTCCATATTCTCACCTTCGCAGGTTATTGATATCTAGTGACAGATGATCATCGCTCAGGCAGACCGCGATGCTGCTGTGTCTAGTCTGCTCCAGAAGATGTCAGAGATCTATGCTTTCATGACGCAAGATGAAGCATTGGCCAAAATTGAATCGATGGTAGCGATATACGGAAAGATAGCGCGACAGACGCTGGAATGCGCCGATTTCATCACCCATTACTCTGAGACAAAGAGCGCCTGTGAGTCGATCGCACTACTGCATCGCCTGTCACTCAACATTGTCTCTTCGCGCAGGGGTAAGACTTGGCAAAAACATCGTCAGCGAAACAGATGCCAAGATTCAGAGCTTCAGCGAGGCTCTGGATAGTCTCATGCAGCAGTTCAGAGATCAAGCGATTCGTGACGCTGTGACAATCATTCACCGTGCCGGTAAGAGTTGACTCCAATTCACTCTGAATGTTCGCTGACGTTCGACGACGCGTTGCCTAGGGGAGGATCTGGACCTCAGCGGGATGATGTGTGCTGATGGTGCTGGTTTCAATACTTCCAAACGTTGTCTCCCAGGCACTCGGGAGGACATTCTGTCCGAGATCAAGTCCTGGATCTGTAGCACGGAGAAGGACGTGCCGTCCATCTTCTGGTTGTCCGGCACTGCAGGGAAAGGCAAATCAGCTATCGCTCATACAATAGCCAACTGGTCTAGTGAGCAGGGGGGTCTAGGAGCCTTCTTCTGCTTCGATCGCACACGAGGAGCTGACTTTCGCCACGAGAAAATATTCACCACGATCGCTCGCGATTTGGCCAGATGTGATCCTACCGTGCGGCGAACGCTGGCGCGTGCGATTCACGATCGCAACGAACTCAAGGATACCACAGACATCGCAAGGCAATGGCAGGAGCTAGTCATTGGACCAGTCGGGAAGGCCTCCAAAGCCATCACTACTCCCGTGCTGATAGTCATCGAGGCATTGGACGAGAGTGGCAAGAAGGCCTCCCGAGAACAAATTCTTCGTCTGCTCGCTGGCAAACTGAACACCTCTTCCAAACTCCCTGACAACTTCCGTATTCTCGTCACGTCCCGCCCACTGGAAGATATCAATAACGTCCTGCACACCGCATCGCATGTTCGCCATGTCTCCTTGGACGATATCTCGCCCGTGACGACAGAGCAAGATATCCAGTTGTATATCTCAAACAGACTGGAAGATCTGCGTCATATATTTAATGATGCGCACTTCAAGACGCTCGCCGAGAAATCTGATGGCCTGTTCGAATGGGCTCGTCTTGCCTGCGAGTATATAAGTGACACGAACACAGTGGGCCCAGATCTGATGGACCTTTTCGAAGCTGTAATCGGAACTGCATCTGAAAAAGGAACACCTCTGTTGGATGCCATGTATAGACTGATCTTGGCAGACACCATGCCAGAGGGTCAGCGCGAGAAAGCCATCCCCATATTTCGGTCTGTTATGGGGCAAATCCTCGCATCATTGGAACCGCTTCCCGTCGCTGCGTTGAACGCGATTCGTCGGGATTTTCCTGATGGGCGCGGCCGTTACAAATTGGAGCGGGTTATTCGGCCACTGAGCTCGCTTCTCACCGGGACCACAGATTCTCAAACTTCCATACGCCCCCTCCACGCATCTTTCTACGACTTCCTCACAGATGAGTCACGGAGCCACGACTTTCTTCGTCGACATCTCATCGGTACAGAGCGATCTTGCCTTGGCCTCGCTCCGGGTCATGGAGCGCGGGCTTTCGATTCAACATATGCTCCTTGGAAAGTTCTTACCTGGCCAATTCCGCTGTCGCTGACTTGGAGAGACGAGTGAAGGTGTCCATACCGGCCGAGCTATCATACTCGTGTCGATTCTGGGGGACGCATGTGGCAGCCACATCTTTTGAACCATCACTCGCTAAGGAAATCGAAGCTCTCTTCGACGGGAGAGCGGCTCCTTTGGTGGTTGGAAGCACTGTCTCTGATGAAAAGCGTCGGCGGGTCGGTGGTGTGCCTCTTGTCCATCGCAGACTGGTTTGCGGTGCGTAGTTCGAGCTCGTTCTTAGACTCACTAGATTCTAACGAGTAGATTATAGGGCCATACCAAGTATAACCCACACCGGCGATGCTGCCTAGGGACGCCCTTGCGCTTCGTTCGAACATTCGCAGCCACCGATCTTACATAGCACTCCACATTTATATTTGTCCGCTCTGCCATTCGCTCCAACGCAGTCGATGATATTTCGCAAGTTCGCCGCAAAGTTCCCTTGCACGCCCCCGCATTGTTGCTGGCTATGTCGTAAAATGGCCTCAGATGGAAAAGATACTCCATGGGCGTGACGCGGTTTCGTCGATTGCACAGTCGCCAGACGGAAAACGCATTGTCGGTGGTTTATATGACGGAAACGATCCAGGTGTGGGACACGGAGACTGGGGAGGCATTGTGCGCCACTCTCCAAGGCCATACTGAATGTGTTACGTCCGTTGCATTCTCGCCGGATGGAAATCGCATCGTGTCAGGTTCATGTGACATGACAGTCCGAGTGTGGGATGCGGCACTGGCAAGGCATTGAGTGCCCCTCTCCGAGGGACATACTGGTGGGTTTTGTCTGTCGCAGTCTCACGCGATGGAAACACATTGTGTCTGGTTCATATGATGGGACGGTTCGGGGATGCGGAGGGTGGCGAGCCAATGGGTGTACCCCTAGAAGGGCACACTGAGTCTGTTGTGTGTCGCAATATCGCTGGATGGGACGCGCATCGTGTCTGGCTCATCGGACACGACAATCCGGGTGTGGGATATGGGGACTCGCGAAGGCGTTGGGTCCCCCTCTCAAGGCCACACTGAGTCCGTTAGCTCTGTCGCAATCTCGACCTGATGGTACTCGCATTATATCTGGCTCTCGTGATAAGACGATCCAAGTGTGGGATATGGAGACTGGCACGGCACTAGGTCGCCCCTCTCCAAGGCCACACTGGCCTCATTTCATCTAATCGCAATCTCGTCGGATGGCAATCGCATCGTGTCTGGTTCCACATGACCTGACAATTCCGCGTGTGGCATGCGGAGACCGGCGAGGCGTTAGGTGCCCCTCTCCAAGGCCACACTAACTCTGTTGTGTCCGTCGCAAATCTCGCCGGATGGAAATCGCATAGTGTCCGGCTCATACGACAAGACAATTCGGGCTGTGGGATGCGGACACAAGTAATGGTGGGGCATTGGGTGCTACTCTCCGAAGCCACACTGACTCCATCAACTCTGTTGCAATCTCACCGGATGGACATCGAATTGTGTCCGGCTCATCCGACAAGAGTGTCGGGTGTGGGATTTGCAGACTGGCGAATCATTAGGTGCCCCTCTCCAAGGGCACACTGGCTCTGTTCAGTCGGTCGCAATCTCGTCCAATGGACAATCGTGTCATATCTGGTTCATTTGACACGACAATCCGGGTGTGGAATTTAGAAACTGGAGAGGCATCATGTGCACCTCTCCAAGGCCACACTGACTTGGTTCGGTCCGTCGCGATCTCGCGGGATGGGAAACACGTCATATCTGGTTCAGATGACGAGACAATTCGGGTGTGGAATATAGAAACTGGAGAGGCGTCAGGAGCCCCTCTCCGAGGTCACAATGACTATATCATGTCTGTCGCAATCTCACCCAGTGGAAATTGCATTGTGTCTAGTTCATTCGACAAGACAATCCGGGTATGGGACATGGAGACTGGCGAGGCATCCGGTACCCCTCTCCAAGAGGTTGACTGGATTTGGTCTGTTGCAATGTCGCCGGATGGGCAACGCATTGTGTCTGGGTTACATGACATGACCATCCGAGTGTGGAATATCAACACTCGCGAAACATTGGGTGACTCGCTCCGAGGCCACACTGGAGTTATTTCGTCTGTCGCAATCTCGCAGGATGGGAAACACATTGTCTCTGGTTCAGATGACAAGACCATCCGAGTCTGGGATATGGAGACCGGCAAGTCGTTGAGTGCCCCTCTTGGAGGACACACTGGCTCTGTTATGTCTGTTGCGATTTCTTCCGATGGCAACTGCATTGTGTCTGGTTCATATGACCGGACCATTCGGGTGTGGGACCTAGAATTTCTCAACCGGGACCAACCCTTGAAAGTGCCGCCAATTCGTTTTTCATCCAACCCAACACATGCTCTTCATTCCGCCTCATCCTTCCTCCCACATTCCTCCACACCACTAGCAGCCTCTCTTGCTCCAAACGAGGAAGGCTGGGTTGTCGGTCCCGACGGACGGCTTCTCCTCTGGATCCCACTCAACTTTCACCCGGTGATGTATGCCCCAGGCAACACGCTGGTGATACCCAATCACGCCTCGCAGTTCGATCTAAGTAGTCTCGCGCACGGCACGTCATGGCACAAGTGTCGGGAACAGAAGACTGCCCTGTCTTCGTGATTATACAATATCCCTTGGTTCGTGCACAACTACCGGGACTTTACGCATTATATGTTCACTATTTCTCGATCCATGGCCTTCACTTACGCTACTTCCGCTCTGTTCTACTTCAACGAGTGCCCCTTCTCTTACAAAAGGATTTCATTCACGACTCCGCTCTCATGAAACATTGAATATTTGCTACCCGCATTGCCATCGTACAATCTGATCGTTACTAGACTGCCCACCGTGCAAGTTAGAATTCAAACAGGGCTTTGACAATTGACATTTGCAAGGGCGGTCATCCAGCGGTTTGGGAGCACGAGGTCACTACGAGCGTGGATGAGTGTGTGAAGGTTCGTTGACAGTAGTAGTTGTACAGAATGTCAATTGGACTGGACGGCAACACATTGACATGATGTAATCTAGATGGTCTGCACGTGGAATCGTGCTTACATTCAAATACACATGTTTCGGGCTGGCGGTTGACGTTGATCCCTGGAAGTCCGAGATGACGAACATATCGATAGGTAGAAATATATGTTCTTCGCGCATCCGTTCCAAGTGGTTGTTGGTGGCGTGGATAACGGTATGATGGTAGATCAGTTCAGGGATTCAGGAGTAGATGAGCGTTAGGCGTCAGGAACCGCCTACACAAGTAATAGTTCCAGGCGAACCAACTAGAGGGAAGATTGTCGATCTTGTGTCATGACACAAGTGGGGGGGGGCAGACACAGGGGGTCCCGCCGAAGTCGCTGTTGCAAGACACGCGCCCAGATGGTCAAAAAAAAGATGTGCAATTGTGTACATGTGAGTCATACTCGCGCGTGTGAGGACTACCGGAATGTATACAAAGGCCATCCCTAGGCTGTCACTATAGCCACGGTCCAAGAATAATGATAAACTCAGACAATCGGTAACGTCCAAGTGCCCTCGTGATATCTGCTAAACGAATGAAGTATTGGCCAAGATGTTCGAACAACACCACCCACCATGTACAATATCTCTCGCAGTACAAACAAACGTCCATATCTCCAAGCTTCATTTGATTCCTAGCAGGCATATCCGAACCCAGCATCTCCTATGCAACTGTGGGGACGCGTTTGTTGGTACCCGCGACCCACCCGCTCAGCACATCAGTCAGAGACTTTGGGAGCTATACCCAATATCAAGCGGGGTAAGACTCGAGCTCCGGGCGGCGGGAGGGGTCGAAGATCTCCCAGCAGAATATGGACTCGAGCTCCTCCCTGTAACAAGACTCGACATCCGCATGCGCGGTGAGTGAGACGCGCTGCACGCGACCGCGTATCATCCTAGTCTGGGGCTGGAGGAGGTGTGGTAGGGCTGGCATTCGTCCTGCCATGTAGAGTAGACCACCCACATGATTTTGGGCCTGCGCAGTCTAAATTGTGAGCAAGCTTAATGGGTTATATGATTACATACCTTGAGCAGATTCTTTAGGTCGTTTGGGGCAACCACTTGACCGAGTCCCGAGGATTGTGGTCCTGGATATTGAATCATATCGATAAACAGTAATTCGGCAAAATCCGGTGAGTTCAGTTGGGCGGAGTTACATCGCTTTGATCTGATTTTTGTACTGAAGTAAGTAGCCGCTGGTGATATGCATGCACATCGTATGAGCTAACACGTCTACTCATTCAGAAATGCCCGCGAGAAAGCAACTGCCAACAAGACCGTAGTTTCTTTTACAGACGAGCCCCAACACGCATTCTTCCCATATGCCCAATACACTTCTGTCATAGGTGTGCACAGCAGCCTCATAGCGTTTACCGCCCTGTTCCTGTCCCGGACATCTCATTTATTTAATTTAGACAGCTAAATCAACGCTCACAGCCCGATCCAAATCGCAGTTTCTTGACGCGCTCACGGATAGTCCCTGTCCTAACACTCGCTTGGATCGTTGCAGGGCTGGCTGGTTCTTCAAGTATGATGGGCGAGGTGGATCAGGCAGTGGTGTTTTGAGTATACCTCCCGCGGAACTAGTGATGAGATTGAAGTGGATAGATATCGGTTTCGATGGGGTAGATTCACAGTGCGTTTCCTGATCATTCATTACTCCCACTTTAACATTCTTACCTGTCTCTTAGAAATTAGGAAAAGCGGCTATCTTCACTTCATGTGTAGCATTACTGTTGCACGCAATCATAATATTGTTCGGCGCTCCTGCTGCAAGGTGATGAGATTAACGTATCATACGAGAGAGTTGCGCTGAACGCATGTAAAGCCATCTCCCTCATACTTTTTGCTGGCGATCATTCTAGCACTGCTATCCGCATTCGCACCAGCGTATGCTCTGGGTTCCCCCACCTTTTCCTCCGATACTCCGTCCCTAGTCACAAGGCTCACCTGGACCCGTTTATTCGCTGAGCTTTCAAACTGTCTGCCCTTTCACACTTTGCCTGACATTGTGCTAGTCCGCGAAATCCGATAGAGAGAGCCTTGGTTTATCCGGCTGTCGGGACGCTGCTTGGCTGTTGGCTCGGCGCTTTCTTAATTGCACTGCACTGGGATCGACCGTGGCAGGTCAGTTAGATCTATCATCTAACGAGGGACACGCTCATGATACAAGTAGGCCTGGCCGCTAACGCCTCTCTTTGGAGGGATCACTGGCTCTATTGTTGGATCTCTCTTAGCGCTTTTCGTCAGCGCACTTATGTGGCTGGCAGAAGAGAACATCATAATGCGACAATCGGAGAAGCAGAAGGCCACCCGAGGCGCTAATTCCTTCTATTCAAATTGTAGTTTTAGATATCTAATTAATCCACTCTTCTGAGGACCAGCCCCTTCTATGCACGGGAGAAGACTAGAACTATTTTCCATCGAAGACGCGAATCCAATAGACTGGGTGACGTAGTCGAGTACTATTGGTGAAGTATGTGGGCCGGTGATATCTTACTTCGATGTGATGCCTGCGGACACAAATTTCATGACAAGGAGCGATCATCGACTTTAAACACGCACCCGTCAGGACAAGGAGCGTTGCCAGACCCCCGGCTCGTCTGAATCAAATATCAGTATTCAAGCGATCGCCAACCATCATTGTGCGTTTCGGATCAAATTCCACCTTGTCAGAAAGGCAGATTGATGAGAAGCACCAAAAGCTCGGTGGAAACATTCGCTTGGCTTGAATACAATCCAGCGTTGTCTTTGCGGGTTTCCGATACTTATCGGATCCTTCTCCAGCACAAAGCGTAATGGAGCGCTGATGGCTCCAGTTCCAGGCAAGAGACCATCCGCGCTCGGGAATGTGCTGTCTTCATTTGTGACCGAGAATTGGCAGCCGGGGTTTCGTGTGAGGTATTGGAATGCTTGTGATAGCTTGGTATACTTGACGCTGAGGTCTGAGCCACAAAGTACAGCTTGAACATCTAGGTTTCGGAATGGAGAGATACCTTCTTCCTCAATCCCTGCCATCCCGATCACATACATATTCTTCAAGTTTAATGACAGGATATATAAATAACAATTGGTGGGTAGACAAATATGCGGACAAATAGACTGATTGATTTGTGGAACTGATGTTGTATGTAATTAGTGACATGGCAAAAGACGGCTCGCAATTCCAGTTGTAGCAGGATTGGATGTAGTATTAATTGGTGCACTGCTGATGGGAAATGGCGGAAGTAGGTGAGGCTGAGGATGCCGTGCTGAATAATTAGTTATGGAAGAAGTTGGGGGGTGTGGTGTATGACGTCGGACGAAGTGATGAATTAGTTAGCATCTGATCGGATGTTGACTCAAGAGAGTTAGAATAAGGATTGATTGAGCTATCTAGACTTGGCGTAGTACTAGCGGTTTGCCCGGGTTAATTCATAGGTTGGGTTATGGGAACAACGGGTTGTGGAAGAAGTCAGTGTATTCGGCGCACGTCTAACCAGGCATGCACATTGCATGCTGGCAAACCAAGGCGGGCAATCTGTCGACCTCGCTGCCGGGCAGCCTGTGATATCCAGAACACCAGTACTAACCAATCTGTCTTCAATGGTTCAACCATGCCAATCAATCAAGTTCGGCCCCCAATGATTGCATGATAAGTGATAAGCGCTTCCACCATTACTTATGTAAATATCTTCTGCGGGCGGGCGCTTCTCGACCTTGCATCCCATCCACGTCCTCTTTCACCTAGAAACCTCTTTAGACTCAGTCTCAGTTATGAAGAAACGGCTTTCGCGATTACTGGGCCCGCGAAGCCACTCAAACCCTCATATGCCAGCGCAGAGTGGAGACAGCGAATTTGAGGTGTTCAATATTGAGCTTACGTCTATTCGTTGTGTTTAATCATGACTTTCTAGGTCTCCTCTCTCCCCCCTTCAGGGGATGAATCTCGCACAAAACCTCCAGGGCCGGGGCGCAAGTTATTGGGCAAGGTGATCAAACGTTCCACTCGAAGCGCTCAACCCTCTCCGATTCCTGAACAAGCGGCTGCGAGTTCCGGGGCACAGGATCCCATACCCACTCAGACAACTCAGGTAGGTGTAATATCGACTCTGGGCATATCCTGTATCCGATCATCATTGCTTACTGCTGCGGCAGGATCATTCAACGCTCACTATGGCACCCGCTCCCGAACAGGCTTCTGATGCCCGCGCTGCGAACGTAAGTTCCACTGTTGTAGAGCGGAACCCTCTTATCTATGTTTCGATAATGTACTAAGTTCCGTCATCAGGCCGAACAACTTGACCCGAAGTTTCTAAATGAAAAAATCGGTGATGCCTCCAAAAATATGGAAGGCATGAAAAATGTCCCAGGAATGGCCCAAAATACAGCCTCAGCATCCGACAACCTACAATCCATTCCAAATACCATTGACACGTTCTCCACGATTCTTGGACCACTGAAGCTGTTCAACTCCGTCGCTGATGGGCTTGCAGATGTACGAGCGTCTATCTCGATTTTGTAACTGACTGACCTTGTTGCTTAGGTCCATCCCTATGCAAAGGTGGCATTGAGCATATTCACCTTCGCGTCGAAGGTGCTCTTGCTTCCATATTCTCACCTTCGCAGGTTATTGATATCTAGCGACAGATGATCATCGCTCAGGCAGACCGCGATGCTGCTGTGTCTGGTCTGCTCCAGAAGATATCGGAGATCTATGCTTTCATGACGCAAGACGAAGCATTGGCGAAAATTGAATCGATGGTAGCTATATACGGAAAGATAGCGCGACAGACGCTGGAGTGCGCCGATTTCATCACCCACTACTCTGAGACAAAGAGCGCCTGTGAGTCGATTGCACTACTGCATCGCCTGTCACTCAACATTGTCTCTTCATGCAGGGCTAAGACTTGGCAAAAACATCGTCAGCGAAACAGATGCCAAGATTCAGAGCTTCAGCGAGGCTCTCGATAGTCTCATGCAGCAGTTCAGAGATCAAGCGATTCGTGACTGCTGTGATCACCATTCACCGTGCCGGTAAGAGTCGACTTCAATTCACTCTGAATCTTCGCTGACGTTTGGCGACGTGTTGCCTAGGGGAGGATCTGGACCTTAGCGGCATGATGTGTGCTGATGGTGCTGGTTTCAATACTTCCAAGTGTTGTCTTCCAGACACTCGGCAAAAGATATTGTCCGATATCAAGTCCTGGATCTGCAGCACGGAGAAGGACGCGCCGTCCATCTTCTGGTTGTCCGGCACCGCAGGGAAGGGCAAATCAACTATCGCTCATACAATAGCCAACTGGTCTAGTGAGCAGGGGGGTCTGGGAGCCTTCTTCTGCTTCGATCGCACACGAGGAGCAGACTTTCGCCACGAGAAAATATTCACCACGATCGCTCGAGATTTGGCCAGATGTGATCCTACCGTGCGGCGAACGCTGGCGCGTGCGATTCACGATCGCAACGAACTCAAGGATACCACGGACATCGCAAAGCAATGGCAGGAGCTAGTCATTGGACCAGTCGGGAAGGCCTCCAAAGCCATCACTACTCCCGTGCCTGATAGTCATCGAGGCATTGGACGAGAGTGGCCCAAAGGCCTCCCGAGAACAAATCCTTCGTCTGCTCGCTGGCAAACTGAACACATCTTCCAAACTCCCTGAAAACTTCCGTATTCTCGTCACGTCACGCCCTCTCGAAGATATCAATAATGTCCTCCACACCGCATCGCATGTTCGTCATGTCTCCTTGGATGATATCTCTCCCGTGACGACAGAGCAAGACATCCAGTTGTATATCTCAAACAGACTGGAAGATCTGCGTCATATATTCAATGATGCGCATTTCAAGACGCTCGCCGAGAAATCTGATGGCCTGTTCGAATGGGCTCGTCTTGCCTGCGAGTATATCAGTGACACGAACACGGTGGGCCCAGATCTGATGGACCTTTTCGAAGCTGTAATCGGAACTGCATCTGAAAAAGGAACACCTCTGTTGGATGCCATGTATAGACTGATCTTGGCAGACACCATGCCAGAGGGTCAGCGCGAGAGAGCCATCCCCATATTTCGGTCTGTCATGGGGCAAATCCTCGCATCGTCGGAACCGCTTCCCGTCGCTGCGTTGAACGCGATTCGTCGGGATTTTCCTGATGGGCGCGGCCGTTACAAGTTGGAGCGGGTCATTCGGCCGCTGAGCTCGCTTCTCACCGGGACCACAGACTCTCAAACTTCCATACGCCCCCTCCACGCATCTTTCTACGACTTCCTCACAGATGAGTCACGGAGCCACGACTTCTTCGTCGACATCTCATTGGTACAGAGCGATCTTGCCTTGGCCTCGCTCCGGGTCATGGAGCGCGGCCTTCGATTCAACATATGCTCCTTGGAAAGTTCTTACCTGGCCAATTCCGCTGTCGCTGACTTGGAGAGACGAGTGAAGGAGTCCATACCGGCCGAGTTATCATACTCGTGTCGATTCTGGGGGACGCATGTGGCAGCCACATCTTTTGAACCATCATTGGCTAAGGAAATCGAAGCTCTCTTCGACGGAGAGCGGCTCCTTTGGTGGTTGGAAGCACTGTCTCTGATGAAAAGCGTCGGCGGGTCGGTGGTGTGCCTCTTGTCCATCGCAGACTGGTTTGCGGTGCGTAGTTCGAGCTCATTTTTAGACTCACTAGATTCTAACGAGTAATTATAGGGCCATACCAAGTATACCCACACCGGCGATGCTGCTAGGGACGCCTTGCGCTTCGTTCGAACATTCGCCGCCACCATCTTACACAGCACTCCACATTTATATTTGTCCGCTCTGCCATTCGCTCCAACGCAGTCGATGATATTTCGCAAGTTCGCCGCAAAGTTCCCTTGCACGCCCCGCATTGTTGCTGGCCATGTTGTAAAGTGGCCTCAGATGGAAAAGATACTCCATGGGCGTGACGAGGTTTCGTCGGTTGCAATGTCGCCAGATGGAAAACGCATCGTCGGTGGTTTGGAAGATGGAACGATCCAGGTGTGGGACATGGAGACTGGGGAGGCATTGTGCGCCACTCTCCAAGGCCATACTGAATGTGTTACGTCCGTTGCATTCTCGCCGGATGGAAATCACATCGTGTCAGGTTCATGTGACATGACAGTCCGAGTGTGGGATGCGGCGACTGGCAAGGCATTGGGCGCCCCTCTCCGAGGGCATACTAGCTTCGTTTTATCTGTCGCAGTCTCACGTGATGCAAAACACATCGTGTCTGGTTCACAAGATAGGACGGTTCGGGTGTGGGATGCGGAGGCTGGCGAGCCGATGGGTGCACCCCTGGAAGGGCACACTGAGCCTGTTCAGTGTGTCGCAATATCGCTGGATGGGACGCGCATCGTGTCTGGCTCATCGGACACGACAATCCGGGTGTGGGATATGGGGACTCGCGAAGCGTTGGGTCCCCCTCTCCAAGGCCACACTGAGTCCGTTTACTCTGTCGCAATCTCGCCTGATGGTACTCGCATTATATCTGGCTCTCGTGATAAGACCATCCGAGTGTGGGATATGGAGACTGGCACGGCATTAGGTGCCCCTCTCCAAGGCCACACTGACTCCATTTCATCTATTGCAATCTCATCGGATGGCAATCGCATCGTGTCTAGTTCAAATGACCTGACAATCCGCGTGTGGCATGTGGTGACTGGCGAGGCATAGGTGCCCCTCTCCAAGGCCACACTAGCTCTGTTACGTCCGTCGCAATCTCGCCGGATGGAAATCGCATAGTGTCCGGCTCATACGACAAGACAATTCGGGTGTGGGATGCAGACACAAGTACTGGCGGAGCATGGGGTGCTGCTCTCCAAGGCCACACTGACTCCATCAACTCTGTTGCAATCTCGCCGGATGGACATCGAATCGTGTCTGGCTCATCCGACCAGAGCGTCCGGGTGTGGGATTTGCGAACTGGCGAGGCATTGGGTGCTCCTCTCCAAGGGCACACTGACTCTGTTCAGTCGGTCGCAATCTTGCCGGATGGACATCATGTCATATCTGGTTCATCCGACAGCACAATCCGGGTGTGGGATTTAGAAACTGGAGAGGCATCATGTGCCCCTCTCCAAGGCCACACTGGCTGGGCTCGGTCCATTGCGATCTCGCGGGATGGGAAACACATCATATCTGGTTCAAGTGATCAGACAATTCGGGTGTGGAATATAGAAACTGGAGAGGCGTCAGGTGCCCCTCTCCGAGGCCACACTTCCTTTATCATATCTGTTGCAATCTCACCCAGTGGAAATTGCATCGTGTCTAGTTCACTCGACAGCACAATCCGGGTATGGGATATGGAGACTGGCAAGGCATCCGGTGCCCCTCTCCGAGTTGACTTTGTTTCGTTTGTTGCAATCTCGCCGGATGGGCAACGCATGGTGTCTGGGTCAATTGACGAGACCATCCGAGTGTGGGATATCAACACTCGCGAAACATTGGGTGGGTTGCTCCGAGGTCACACTGGAGCTGTCGAGTCTGTCGCAATCTCGCAGGATGGGAAACATATTGTCTCTGGTTCATATGACAAAACCATCCGAGTGTGGGATATGGAGACCGGCAAGTCATTGAGTGCCCCTCTTGGAGGACACACTGGCTCTGTTATGTCTGTTGCAATTTCTCCTGATGGCAACTGCATTGTGTCTGGTTCATATGACCGGACCATTCGGGTGTGGGACCTAGAATTTCTCAACCGGGACCAACCCTTGAACGCGCCGCCAATTCGATTTTCATCCCACCCAACACATATTCTTCATTCCGCCTCATCCTTCCTCCCACATTCCTCCACCCCACTAGCAGCCTCTCTTGCTCCAAATGAGGAGGGATGGGTTGTAGGTCCCGATGGACGGCTTCTCCTCTGGATCCCACTCAACTTTCACCCGGTGATGTATGCCCCAGGCAACACGCTAGTGATACCCAATCACGCCTCGCAGTTCGATCTAAGTAGTCTCGCGCACGGCACATCATGGCACAAGTGCCGGGAACCCCAGGCTGTCCTGTCTTCATGATAATGCTCTCTTAGGGCGCGCCTTGGAAACATCTACGGACATTCTACACAGAATTCATACAATACATGTTCGCTATTTTCACGACCTTCACTTATGCTTCTTCCGCTGTCTTCTACCACAACGAATGCCCTTGGTCTCATTGCCATAGTGCAATCCAATTATTGCTATACTGTCTATAGACTGTCTACAGTGCAAGTTAGAATTCAAACAAGCCTCACGCCATTTTGTGGTTGGGGGCACAAGGTCTCAGTAGGTGTTGAGGAGGGGCATCGGTGAGTACACTGGTAACACCGGAATGTCAACCGAACTTGACGCGGACGGCAACACATTGGTATGATATGGTCAAGATGGTTTGAACGTGAAATCGTAGCTTTCATCCACATCCACATTCTTCTGGCTGGAGTTTGATCGCCGGATATGATGAACACCTTACATGCAGTTGCCAGACACTCATCTAGATGGTTAAAAAATTGTGCGATTGTGTACATATGATACTCGCACGTCGCGCGTATGAGGACTACCAGAATGTATACAAAGGCCGTCCCTACTATAGCCGCGGTCTAAGAGCGATGATACACTCAGAAAATCGGTAACGTTCAAGTGCCTTTATGACATCTGCTAAACCAAAGAAGTATTAGTCAAGGTGTTCAAACGACACCACACACCATGCACGACACTTTTCACCATACAAACGAACGTCCATATCTCCCAAGCTTTGTTCGATTCCTACCGACGTATGAGAACCCAGCATCTCCGAGACTGAGGGGACGCGTTTGTTAGTAGCCCGCGACCCACCCGCTCAGCACATCGGTCGAAGACTTTGGGAGCTATACCCCCTCGTCTTCAAGATGCAAGCTGGGGTAAGACTCGAGCTGCGGGACGGTGGAGGGGTCGAAGATCTCCCAGCAGGAATATGGACTCGAGCTCCTCCCTGTAACAAGACTCGACATCCGCACGCGCGGTGAGTGAGACTGCGCTGCACTGCGACCACGCTATCATCCCTAGTCTGGGGCTGGAGGAGGTGTTGTAGGGCTGGCGTTCGTTCTGCCATGTAGAGTAGACTAGTCACTACTCACATGATTTTGGGCCTGCGCAGTCTAAATTGTGAGCCAGGCTTATAGGGTTATATCATTACATACCTTGAGCAGATTCTTTAGGTCGTTTGGGTTAACCACTTGACCGAGTCCCGAGGATTGTGGTCCTGGATATCGAATCATCGATAAACAGTAATTCGGCAAAATCCGGTGAGTTCAGTTGGGCGGAGTTGCAGCGTTTTCATCCGGTATTACTCTGTACATTGTATGAGTTGACATTCCGCGGCTACTCATTCAAAATGCCTGCCAGAAAAGCAACTGCTAACAAAACTGTAGTTTCTTCGACAGACAAACCCCAACACGCGTTCTTCCCATACGCCCGATACACTTCCGTCGTAGGCGTGCACAGCAGCCTCGTAGCGTTTACCGCCCTGTTCCTACCCCAGACATCTCATTTACTTTGGACAGCTGAATCAACGCTCGCAGATCGACCCCAATCGCAGTTTCTCGACGCGCTGACAGATAGCTCCGTTCTAACACTCGCTTGGATCGTCGCAGGGCTGGTGGTTCTTCAAGTATGGTGGGCGGGGTGGATCAGGCAGTGGTGTTTTGAATATACTTCTCGCGGAACTAGTGATGAGATCAAGGTGGATAGATATCGGTTTCAACGGGGTAGATTCACAGTGCGTCTCCTCGCATGTCTCCCACTTCAAAATCTCACCTGTCCCGTAGAAATTGGGGAGAGCAGCTGTCTTCACTTCATGTGTAGCCTTACTGTTCCACGTAATCATAATATTGTTCGGCGCTCCTTCTGCAAGGTGATAAGATTGATGTATCATACGAGAGACTTGCGCTGAACGTCTGTAAAGTCATCTCCCTCATACCTTCTTGCTGGCGATCGTTCTCGCACTACTATCTGCGTTCGTACCCGCTTATGCTCTGGGTTTCCCCACCTTTTCTTCCGATACTTCGTCCCTAGTCACCAGACTCACCTGGACCCGTTTATTCGCTGAACTTTCGTAGGTTGAATTGTGTACTGTTTCACACTTTACTCTGACATTGTGATAGGCCGCGAAATCCGATAGAAAGAGCTTTGGTTTACCCGGCTGTCGGGACGCTGCTTGGCTCTTGGCTCGGCGCTTTCTCAATTGCACTGGACTGGGATCGACCATGGCAGGTCAGCTTTATCTGTTATCTAATGAGGGATATACTCATAATGCAACTAGGCCTGGCCGCTAACGCCTCTTTTTGGAGGGATCGCTGGCTACATAGTCGGATCTCTCACAGCGCTTTTCGTCAGCGCACTAATGTGGCTGGCAGAAGAAAACGTTAGAATGCGACAATCGGAGAAGCAGAAGACCACCTGAGGTGCTAATTCCTTCTATTCAAATTGTAGTTCTAGATATCTAATTAATCCACTCTTCTGATGACCAGCCCCTTCTATCTTCTATGCACGGGAGAAGACTAGAACTATTTTCCATCGAGGACGCGAAGATCTCCGATAGACTGGGTGACGTAGTCGGGTACTATTGGTGAAGCATTTGGGCCGGTGATATCTTGCTTCGATGTGATGCCTGAGGACACACAATGTTCATGCCAAGTATTGATTATCGACTTTGAATACGCACCCGTCAGGACAAGGAGCGTCGCAAGACCTCCAGCTTGTCCGAATAGAATATCAGTGTTCAAGCGATCCCCGACCATTATTGTGCGTTTCGGATCGAATTTCACCCTGTCAAAAAGCGCATTGATGCAAAGCACCACAAGCTAGATGGGTGGACACTTACTTGGCTTGAATACAATCCAACATCGTCTTTGCGGGTTTTCCGATACTTATCGGATCCTTCTCCAGCGCAAAGCGTAATGGGGCGCTGATGGCTCCAGCTCCAGGCAAGAGACCATCCGCGCTCGGGAATGTGCTGTCTTCATTTGTGACCAGGAATTGGCAGCCGGGGTTTCGTGTGAGGTATTGGAATGCTTTTGATAGTTTGGTATAATTTACGCTAAGGTCCAAACCGCAAAGTACAGCTTGGACGTCTGGGTCGAGTGAGAAGTTTGATAGTGAGAATGGGTCAAGGGTGCAGTCTGCTGGGTTCTGGACGTGCATGAGTACGTTGTGGGTATATGACAGAGTGTTTGCGAACCGTTCCACCGATGAAGGAGACGCCTTCTTCTCGCAGCTCTTCCTCGATCCCTGCCATCCCAATCACATACACCTTCTTATCCTTTGGAAGCTTCATGACGGATGAGATGTAAACAGCAGAAGCATATGCCGATCCATATATCTCTTCCTAGCATCGCACCGTCAGGCAGCTCTCTCAACAAAAACAAAACGAAACACCCACCACACTCGCTTCCACGCCCAACATATCGAACTTGCCCTTATAACTCTTCCTGGACTTGCTAGCATTATTAGTAACAAAAAAAACGCGCTTCCCTTGACAAGTTAAAGATAAGGATAAGTTAAACCAGCACGCGGGCGTAAATGTAAATTGTTATGAAGATCGTCGTTTCAGATTGAAATGCACGACATGCCTCGCTTCCGAAGGATCTCCAGAACTTCTACTGCGCCTTCGATTAATCGATCGCCGTGCCATAATACGCCATCGCAGTCGAACATCCAGGTGTCATAGTCATTGATTAGGGTTTGGTATTCGGATGGGGAGGTGAGGTGGTGGGCCATGATAGGCGCGGGGAGGGATGAGGGATGGGGGATTCGGGCTTCCGTTGGAGTCAGTGGTGACACTGACAGGCTTTGGGTGATGCTAGTGGGAACTTTTCAGTATGAAAAACTGTCAGTGTCAATACCAAGTCAATACTGTGGTTGCCTTTTGCGGACGAACCAGTCCTCGTCATGGTTTTGTCAATACCATATCACTTACAGGCGCTCGCTGCTTGCAAGTCCAGTCGATGCTGCGGGACACGATGACCGACCTTCTCAATTGGCTGGGGGGCTTCTGGAACGAGAGCAGTCATACCGCCTAGTCTCTATTACACCAGCTAAAATCTTACGGTATGTTCAAACTCTGACACTCACAGTACCTTGTCTTTATCTTGATGATGATTCATGCGACGCTTTTTATAGTTCCCCTCTGTGAACACCTTGGCGCACTCAATTGCAAGCGACTCCACGAATAGCGACCACATATTGCTTAAATGTTGAGAAAAGTGCGCGACCTTATCTTCCTTCGAATCCTTCTCCAAGTCTCCCCCTTGTCCGAATCCACACCATGGACGTGCACAGCGATGACACTGAGAAGAAGATCGACAGCTTCGTCGCTAATAAGGATGATGCTTATTTTGACCCGGTTTTAGTGGACCCGACTGAGGAGTTGTCTTTGCATCGTGGTTTGAAAGCGAGACAGATTTCTATGATAACGGTATTGCATGCATTCATAACGCGTCTTCTATCAACAGCTGAAACTTCTTCATTTGTCCTAAACTAGGAGGCTCGCTGGGCACAGGTCTCATAACCGGTTCAGGCACCGCTCTCGTTAGAGGAGGTCCGCTGGGACTCTGGTTCGGATACTCCCTCATGGGCTTGGTCTGTTAAAGTTGGACCTTGCATCAGAACCTGTGCCTGATGATGTATGTCTGGACCATTATGGCTCATTGTCATGTGGGCAGGTCAGATACTTTGGCTGTGCCCAGTGCCTGTCGCGCGTCAAAGAGATGTCAAGGCCAAAATAAAGTTTTTGATGCTCAAATCGAAGTTGTGAATTTTGTCCAATACTTACGGTCGACTCCCCCATACTTAGTGTAAGAGTTTTGGGGAATTCAAGACAGACATTATATTCCATGTCGTGACGCGTCTGGTATGACACCTAAAGGAAAGCCAGGTAAGTATTAGGTCAGATCTGTGGGGCGCTAGTCATATTCTTCATTCTCCTAATGCACACGCATGTTCGTCCGTCTTGGGGCGGCTCCGGGATCTTGTTTTTAAACCGCTTTCGTGACGATGATAACTTGATGTTCCAGATCTGAGTAAAATCAAGATAGCATCCTACAACATCGGAACATGAGGACACTGAGATCAAACTGAGAGACTCTAATTTGCAGTGTTATTACCTCGTGTCGTGGAAGGTGAGAATGATCTTAAGTAGGACTATTTTACATTGTTCATCCTAGTCTTCCTTCGTACCCCTCGTCATCAAATCTTTATCTCTGCCTGCTGGTGAGTTCCCTTTGACTGCAAATGCAAGGCAAGGTTCTGGGACTGAGAACACCATAGGACGAAAAATCAATGCGACTGCTACATACCAAGAGATTCACATTAGAAACACCCGCGAATGTGCCTTATGCCATCTTGTCTCACCGATGGCTTGCAGACAGTGAAGAAGTCTCATTCCAAGACTTGCAGCACATGCCAGTTCCTCCCAGTGGAGGCTCTCATGATCATCACAATCACGCCGTATGTGATCTTGTTCAAGCTTCTGCTAGTATTTACCATCGATTTACTTCAAAAAGCCCACTTTCCCTCCCAACGTCCTCGGCAAAAGCGGCCTCCAGAAACTCCAAGGAGCTTGCAACCAGGCCTCTCGGGCTGGTTATCAGTATATCTGGATTGACACATGTTGTATCGACAAAACCAACAGCACCGAGTTATCAGAGGCGATCAATTCTATGTATGCGTGGTACAGGGACTCCGCTGTGTGCTACGTTTACTTGCACGATGTCGATAAAGAAGCCGTTGCGGCCGACGTCAAAACTGCTCTCGCAAGAGCTGTTTGGTTCGACAGAGGATGGACCTTGCAAGAGCTGATCGCTCCCAAAACTGTCTGTTTTTTTGCCAAGGACTGGTCCAAGATCGGGACCAAGCACGAGTTTGCGTCTATTCTCCATGAAATCACCCATATTCGCCAAGAGGTTCTCTTGGGTCGTCCATGCACACTAAGCATCGCGGAGAGGATGTCATGGGCTGCAGGACGAGTGACGTATAAAAAAGAGGACAGAGCGTATTCACTGATGGGGTTATTTGACATCCACATGCCTATCATTTATGGAGAAGGAGAGAAAGCTTTCAGGCGCTTGCAGCTCGAGATCATGAAATCTTCTGATGATCAAACCATTTTCGCCTGGCACCTCTCGCTGGCTCATCCCAGCAATGTCAGGAATCGCGGATCGTTGGCACCTTCACCAGATGCCTTCTCGTGCGCTTCTCCCCATCCGATCGTCAACATCGATCATTCCCATTTTGTCAAGTGTCTTCTTCTCACTGACCTACGGCGTGGCTATTCCATATCGAACGATGGCCTTCATATTACTCTACCCATGAAGAAGGGAGGAGGAGATGCGTGGCTTGCTGTCCTGAGATGCAAAGGAGAAGATCAGGAGTTTCCCTACGGGATCTACTTAAAACAAATAGCTGGTTCTGATGAATTTCTTCGGACTTCGCCGACAAAGCTTCGAAAACTCGAGTCCGAAGATCTCAAAGGCCTCACCCCGCGTAAAATACGTATCGTTGTCGACTATGATATACCACTGCCCATTCATCGACGACATTCCTTCACTTTTCAGTCTACAGATCTCATTTGGGATCGCTGCGGCTACTATGTATGCTCTGTCCCGGGAGGCAATCATGATGGGGGTCAATGGGGTGGCTACCATGATCTTCATCGCGACACTCGGATCGAGATTTTAAATGACGTGCAGTGTGGCTGCATTTACTGGCAGGTGGATAACGAAGTGATGGTTCTCCTCATTGGGATCGAAAATTGCCGCCCTTGGATACACGTCCTTATGGACACCAATTTACAGCAATATAACGATGCTTCCCTGCCCCGCCGTCAAACCGCCCCTGATCGCCCTCTTTCTATATCTCCCACTACTTCCACCCAATCCAACAACCAAGCCGATCCTATTTCTCCTCTTGTGCTGTCGTCCCCTCGCTCGCTCTCTCCCCTCCCTACTTCCCGCAGAACTTATGACCGCGGACTTCCATTGAGGCAGTCCACCGCCCCGGTTGCGGCGCAGCGGCGCGGGGGTGGCACTGAGTGTCCTGTGTGTTATATTATTCGGAAATACCACATCGACACGAGTACCATCAAGAATAGCACAGATGGTTTGGTGCCCGAGACGGCCCAACACAAGCGGATTGAAGTGGGGATACGAACGGGGCAGGCTCGCGCTGGTGAATTTGTCATAACGGTAGCTGTGTTGTAGTCTGACTCTGCACACATATGTAAATAGTGGTATGTAGTCTATTCCACAGCCAAGTACTTTCATATCGATAGACCAGATTTCATTACCACTTCTATTTACTGTGGAGCTCGACATACTAAAGGGTCTAGCTTGATACAATAACAAATTGGTCCAGTAGAATGGCAAGGGAGTGAGCACCCTTCTGTCAACGTGCTTATTTGACGCCCACTCGAGTAAGTACGCTGATACTATGCCTGGAAACCGCCGTCACATTCCAGCAGCTGTCGAACAGCGATGAGTCGCTCATATGTTTGCCCGTATGTAGTCACTAGCTTGAGCCACCAAACTCATGACACACATACCGCAATATCACCAATCAACGGTCTGATTCAGAGAGCAGCGATGAACGTCAAATGAGTGGAGATAACCGGGCCATATGCCTCAATTTACAGAGGATTCCGTTCGTTTATACAGCAACAATTATTCCTGTAGTGAGAATCTAGCAAGTATCATGGGTCGCATCTAAAATGGATCACACTGACAAGTTCAGGTACCGTGTTATCACTCTCACCTTACTCGGTTTGCAATCCTGTGCAAACAAAGTGTCATTTACACCGAATGGACCCTAGACTGCTTGCGAGACGTTCGGTTCCACGGTATCACTGGGCAGTGTTACTGATAGTATGAACTCTTTTCAAGAACGCATCATTGCAACCGCCTTCGCAAACTTCCGCTAGGGATGGCTTAAAGGCGAGAAGGCTGGCTGGCATTTCCTCTCGTAGGCTATAAGAAGACCATGCCCCTCGAATCGCCTGTGGGTTTTCTCATTAGTGCCATCGCGTCCTCTCCATTATCGTCATTACATTTTGACCTCGGCACCGCATCCGCAATAGCAATTTTTTTCGGAGGACAAGCAGCAGTATCCGCACTTGCATTACGGCCGCTGTCTGGTTGGAAATGGTGGCATGGAACGTACAACGCACCTGGATGCCACGCAATTGTGTGGGTGCTAGTTAGAGCTTGGTTGCGGAGCTCCATCTCGTCGTATTCCGAGACACTCTCGCTATCTCTCGGCCTCGATGGCCAGAAAGGGCCCAAATACATTGCATCGCAGTCGGGAACGATCATGCAACAGACTCGCCATATTGCATACATGCTAGTTAACAGCGGCTGGAGGGGCAAGGAGTATAATCCAACGGTCGTTGGTCAGAGAGTCAGCCCGACGCCGATGCAGTTGTTCATCGTGAACCTCAGGGAGAGTGTTCCAACGGGAAATGATACGCTGCCCCCAAGAAGTTATCGTCACACCTCCTTGTCCATCATCCCTATCGCCACTAGCTTTGCAGCTTGCGCCATTTGCGCCATTGCCGAGGACTGGCTGTCCCTTGCGATGATTTTGCTTGGGATGGTCACATCCGGCATCACTTCTTTCGTCATGAGCACTGGGAAGATCACCCTTGAACGGCTCAGACCAGCAGATGGAGTCCCACCCGGAGATGGCATGCTATTATCAGATACCCGCATCGTCATATTGAGAGGCAACGAGGAGGACGTAAATGCTGTAACCAAGGGAAAACTGAGGTTGAACCTTGGAGGAGGTCGAAAAATCCTCCTTCTCTGCGCATCCATAGCGTTGTTGCAAGTTACCCTACAGCTCGTCCTTATGCCTTTCAGGTCGCCGCAAGGACAACTCGCATTCCTGCTATCATTCCTGATGTCTGGGGCATGCAACCTTTATCTATCAGCAATGGAAGATGACATACAGTCGAGTGCCCTCCTCACCCTACTGAAGACTCCGGAGGTGAAGACTTACCAAGCCAGTTCTAGAGCATGCGCTGCCGTTTTAGCATGCCTAGCGCTCTGTTGGGGGTCTGACACGGAACCCTTGCAAGTCCTCCAGGAGATAGTGCCCACCAACGAGCCAAGAACATGGAAAGTCTGGTCTGAGTTTGTTGTGGAGAGTATTCAGAACAGGAGTACGCAACTTATATATGGGGATGATTTGACGGGCGACATGAACAAACGGGAAAAGGTCCTTTTGACCGAGCTGGTTGATGACGCTCAGGCAGCGTACGATCAGTATATGGAGGACCACAGGGACAATATCTCCTAGCGTGTTTCGCCTCCGGCCCTACTGCTAATCATGTCCGTTCGCGGCCTTTCATTCCCACGCTTTTTACTTATGCGCGCGACTGCACTGTGCTACTTAAGTACTATAATTACTACCACCACTAAGTAGGATTGTTCTTCACTCAGTCATGTCATCTATTGCGAATTATCTTGCTGATATTCCTGTTCTCGTGCGCGTCAATGATTTCTGTCCTGCAAATTGAATCGCTCCTGATCGAGTCAGTTCTTCGGATCATCATATTATCATCATGGTAAAGACGACAAGGGCAGCTCAAAAACAGCTTCATAAACATGTGGGCGTTTTTTAAGATTGAAATGCGCGACCTGCCTCGCTTCCGAAGGGTCTCCACTGTCCAGAACTTCGACTGCGCCTGGATTGCCATGCTACATTGAGCACTCAGCATGCCGTCACGGTCGAAATTCCAGGTGTCGTATTTAAATATTGATCATGCTTTGGTATTCGTTCGGGAGAGGTAGAGGGCCATGATAGGAGCGGCGTTGAAGGATTGGATTGGATTGGGCTTCCGCCGTGGTGATGCTAGTGGGATGTCTCCCGTTTCATATCTTTTGCCTGAAATTTTGCTAGCCCGCGTAATCCGATTGAAAGAGCTTGGCTTACCCGGCTGTCGGGACACTATCTGGCTCTTGGCTGGGTGCTCTTCCAATCGCACTGGACTGGGACCGACCTTGGCAGATCAGGTTATGTTTATCATCCATCTAACGAGGGATGTGCTCATGATGCAAGCAGGCCTGGCCGCTAACGCCTCTCTTTGGAGGGATCACTGGCTATATAGCTGGATCTCTCACAGCGCTTTTCGTCCGCGCACTAATGTGGCTGGCAGAAGAAAACATCAGAATGCGACAATCGGAGAGGCAGAAGACCACCGAGGCGCCAATTCCTGCTATTCAAATTATCGTTCTAGATATATGATTAATCCACCCTTCTATGCATGGGAGAAGACTAAAACTATTTTCCGTTGAGGACGCGAAGATCTCCGATAGACTGGGTGACGTAGTCGGGTACTATTGGTGACGCATCTGGGCCGGTGATATTTTGCTTCGATGTGATGCCTACGGACCACGACATTCATGTCAAGTATTGATTATTGATTTTAAACACACACCCGTCAGGACGAGGAACGTTACCAGGCCCCCAGCTTGCCCGAATAAAATATCAGTGTTCAAGCGATCCCCAACCATTATCGTGCGTTTCGGATCGAAGTTCACCCTGTCAGAAAAGCACCAAAAGCACCAAAAGCTCGGTGGAAACACTCACTTGGCTTGGATACAATCCAACATCGTCTTTGCGGGTTTTCCGATACTTATCGGATCCTTCTCCAGCGCAAAGCGTAATGAAGCGCTGATAGCTCCAGCTCCAGGCAAGAGTCCATCTGTGCTCGGGAATGTACTGTCTTCATTTGTGACTAGGAATCGGCAGCAGGGGTTTCGTGTGAGGTATTGGAATGCTTTTGATAGCTTGGTATAATTTACGCTGAGGTCCAAACCGCAAAGTACAGCTTGAACGTCTGGGTCGAGTGAGAAGTTTGATAGTGAGAATAGGGTCAAGGGTGCAATCTGCTGGATCCTGAACGTGCATGAGTGCATTGTGGGTATGGGACGGAGTGTATGCGCACTGTTCCGCCGATAAACGATACGCCTTCTTCCCGCAGCTCTTCCTCGATCCCTGCCATCCCGATCACATACACCTTCTTAACCTTTCGAAGCTTCGTGACGGATGAGATGTAAACAGCAGAAGCATATGCCGATCCATATATCTCTTCCTAGCATCGCACCGTCAGGCAGCTCTCTCAACAAAAACACGACGAAATACCCACCACACTCGCTTCCATGCCCAACATATCAAACTTGCCCTTATAACTCTTCCTGGACTTGCTAGCATGCATTATTAGTTACAGAAAGAACGCGCTTCCCTTAATGCAGCAGCACGCGGGTGTAAATGTAAATTGTTATGAAGATCGTCGTTAATGCACGACATGCCTCGCTTCCGAAGGATCTCCATCTTCGACTGCGCCTTCGATCAATCGATCGCCGTGTCATAATACGCCATCGCAGTCGAACATCCAGGTGTCATAGTCGTTGATCAGGGTTTGGTATTCGGATGCGCGGGGAGGGGCAGGGGATGGGGGATTCGGGCTTCCGTTGGAGCCTATAGTGACACTGATAGGCTTTGGGTGATGCTAGTGGGAACTTTTCAGTATGAAAAACTGTCAGTGTCAATACCAAGTCAATACTGTGGTTGCCTTTTGCGGACGAACCAGTCCTCGTCATGGTTTTGTCAATACCATATCACTTACAGGCGCTCGCTGCTTGCAAGTCCAGTCGATGCTGCGAGACACGATGGACGACCTCCTCAATTGGCTGGGGGGCTTCTGGAACGAGAGCAGTCATGCCGCCTAGTCTCTATTACACCAGCTAAAATCTTACGGTATGTTCAAACTCTGACACTCACAGTACCTTGTCTTTATCTTGATGATGATTCATGCGACGCTTTTTATAGTTCCCCTCTGTGAACACCTTGGCGCACTCAATTGCAAGCGACTCCACGAATAGCGACCACATATTGCTTAAATGTTGAGAAAAGTGCGCGACCTTATCTTCCTTCGAATCCTTCTCCAAGTCTCCCCCTTGTCCGAATCCGCACCATGGACGTGCACAGCGATGACACTGAGAAGAAGATCGACAGCTTCGTCGCTAATAAGGATGATGCTTATTTTGACCCGGTTTTAGTGGACCCGACTGAGGAGTTGTCTTTGCATCGTGGTTTGAAAGCGAGACAGATTTCTATGATAACGGTATTGCATGCATTCATCGCGCGTCTTCTATCAGCAGCTGAAACTCCTTCGTTTGTCCTAAGCTAGGAGGCTCGCTGGGCACAGGTCTCATAATCGGTTCGGGCACCGCTCTCGTTAGAGGCGGTCCGCTGGGACTCTGGTTCGGATACTCCTTCATGGGCATGGTCTGTTACTTCGTTATGATCTCCCTGGGAGAAATGTGCGCGTATCTACCTCATAAGAAGGGTTTTGCTGGCTATGCAACTCGTTATGTGGATCCTGCTTTCGGGTTCGCTCTTGGATGGAATTATGTATTCAAGTATTTTGTTCAAACTACGAATAACGTGAATGCGGCTGGCGCTGTGGTGCAGTATTGGACCCTGCGCGTGCCTATAGAAGTGTGGATGGGTGCGTGCATCCTATTGCAATTTGCTTAGCTGACACGAGTGTTGTTTCAGTGCTTTACATTGCGTTGAGTGCGATATCTGTCCGACCGGGTTGTACTAGCCCAGCTAACATGCCTTCCAGTCTTTCTCATCAACATGTTAGGCATTCGCGTCTTCGGCGAATTTGAATTCTGGTTCTGTAGCATCAAGGTCGTCTCTCTGGTCGGTCTTATCTTGATGGGACTCATCATCGACCTCGGCGGTAATCCCGAACACGATCGCATCGGGTTCAGATACTGGAAAGCACCCTACGGACCTCTCCGTGATTATCTCCTTGCTGAAGTACACGACTCTCGTGTCGCTCAGTTTCTGGGGTTCTGGAGCAACCTTACCACTGCATTGTTTTCGTACATCGGCACGGAGCTGATCGGCGTGACCGTTGGCGAAACTGAAAATCCGAGAAAGAATGTGCCAAAGGCTATTCGTAGGATGTTCTTCCGTATTTTGGTGTTCTATATTGGTGGTACGTTCGTCATTAGCTTGACGGTCCCGAGCAATAGCAACGTACGTGATACTGTGCGTCAGAATGGAGCCATTCGTGACTTTGCTGTAGGCACTTTTTGTGGCTAGTAAATCTCCAGCCGGTGCTGCTGCGTCGCCATTCGTCGTAGGTATGTAGCTTGTCGCTAGCTATACGACCCTGGAGTCTAACGTCCCCTCGATTAGCGACGACCATTGTTGGCATCAAAGTCCTGAACCACATCATCAACGCCGTGGTGTTAATCTTCGTACTGAGTGCGTCGAACTCAGACCTCTATATCGGCTCCAGGACGCTCTATGGCCTCGCCGTGGAACGCAAGGCACCTCGCATATTCGCCAAGGTCAATCGTGCCGGGGTTCCTTGGCCCTCGCTTATTCTGAACACTCTGGTATGTTTCTTGACATTCCTTAACGCAACCTCTTCGAGTTCTGTTGGTAAATGAACGTCGTTGTTCGGTCGTTTTTGCATGTTGATTTTGTTGTTAATGTAGCGTTCGGCTGGTTCGCGAGCCTTATTGCAAGCTTCGGCGCTATCACATGGATGTGTATATCCTATACGCACATGTATGTTGCTGGTGCTAGGCGGGTTTTTATGTACTGATCAAGTTGATCGCTTTCCAGTGCCTTCATGCGCGCGTTGAAGGCCCAAGGAATAGATCGAGACACTCTCCCTTACAAGGCGCCCTTCCAACCGTACGCGTCGTGGTTTGCCTTGATTTTCACAGGGATTGTGCTCTTTTTCAACGGTAGCACCTCCCTGCACATACCTAGAACTCGGTACTAAAACACTAAACAGGCTTTAGCGCTTTCCTGCCCTGGGTATCGTCATCCTTCATCACGTCAGTGGCTACGTTGACTCATCAATCCTTCGCGAAGTACTAATTACAACACAGATCGTACATTGCTATCCCGATTTTTATTGTGCTATGGGGCGGATACAAAATTTACTACCGCACATCGACGATCCCCGCTGCCGAAGCCGATCTTTTCTCAGGAAAACGTGAAATTGATGAAGAAGAAGAACGATTCTTAGCACGGGAAAAGTTGAAAGGTCCACGTTCGGCATGGCAGCGAATTTGGGACTCCCTATAATCAATCAACCACAGAAAGAGTAAGTCGACCCCAGCTTTCTCGAAACGGCATCCATTTAACAAGGTTTTCGCCTCCTCCAAGTTATTTAGAGAACCCACCAAAGCTCAAATTAATGCACATTTTTGGTTATCCCTAGGGCTCCGCGTATTTGCGCTGGTTTGAATTGCATGCGAGATAAGACATATACACCTACTTGGGAACGTTAAGGTTCGCGCGGCGTTTCATGTCGTTCAGGGACTCTTTATGAGCTCTTTTCAATCTATGTCGCGAAGGGCGGTTCGCGCGCGGGAAAACTCTGGCCCAATCCCGGCCTCTGCAGATTTCCGCCTGAAAGGCGAGCAAGACAGGTAGATAATGAAAATTATGGGCTTCTGTCTTCCAATCATGCGTCGTGAAGGCGCCACATGGCAGAATCCGCATCAATATTTCTACTAACCTAGGTATTTCAGCGCCCAGACGGTGTTTCCTTGGCCTCTCTTGGGATTGGTGGCGTCGGATGCCGCTGCCAATCGATGAGACTTTGTAAGGGATTTATTGTGATTGCCCTTGATATGCCCTCCTAGGGTTTGCATACATGGCATAACATAGGAGCAAAAGAGAGGACACGTTCATTCATGATAAAGTTCCCAGCAAGCGACACGCCTGAATGAGAGCATAAGTAACGCTATTCTCCTTCGGACCTCCTTTTCCGCAGCCTTCGAGGTCAACGGGCGTTTCAGAAATTGGCTTCTTCGAGGACGAGCGGTCGCAGCGCATCTTGTTCGCATCTTCGTCCACAAACAACTCTTTTCTTTTTCGGCGGTATAGGGTAGGGTGCAAATCGAAAGTGTCCAAGCGGAGGCGGTCCCTGACTTCTTTTTTGATCACGTCTTCAATCTGCTCCATGAAAACCTTGTTTTGTCCCAGGCGGATGTAGACCACAGACGACATAAGGCTACGGTCCTCGGCGGACAAAGCCATTGCGATCCCCCTCTCGTGGCTCAAAAAGTGGGACGGATATTTTGCTTCACAAGCGCTTTGGTATGCAGGCGAAAACTCGTGGTCTTCCATGAGATCTGGGAGCCAGGTCGTAAGTGCATGCATGGGAATCTGATCAAGCTGCATCTGATCCAGCGCGGCGGCGTCAACCCCATTCAATTGTTTCAATTCAGACCACTGAAGGAAATCGCCTAGCAAGTCAGCAATATCCGAAAGCGGGAGCGAATTAGGTGTCTAACATTCCGAATGTCAACTGCTAGCAAAGAAGTGTTCAACGAGTGTTGGCGGATGTAATCTATGCATGATTGGATGGTTTTGATGCCAGGGTGGCCGGGGGCAATTGGATGGTCGACTTCGTCTCCATCTTTTTTCTCGAACCATTGCATGATCTGACAGGAGAGATAGATCGGTGAAACTATTATTCGCATGTGATACGCGTTCTACCGAATGACTTACTGGACCGACATTCATACTCAGCATTGATGCCCCTGCTTCAATGCAGGCGCATGCATGCGCGAGAGAGGTTACCATTGAGAGATGTATGCAAATCGAGTATTTGTTCGTGAGTTCGTGCGCGGCACGAATTCCTTCCTCCGTCGCCGGCAGCTAACGCGAAAGACGGTCAAAGGAGGCTGCATACACGACCCAGGGACATTACCGTGATGATAACTCTCCAGCGTCGAACATCAGCTGCGTCAAAAAGGCTCACGAGAGCGCGGGCTTCGTCCACCATGGCAGCCTTGCTCTCATAAAAGCGCGAATCTATGAATGTTACTACGGGGCCAGGGAATGAATCCAACATAGCCAGGCCAAGCCTAAAAAGCTGCAAGACCGTCAGAACGACGCGCACGCCAACAAGATTAACCTACAAAATATCGAAGAGCGTGCTTAACGTAGAACGTTTCTGCGAGGCCTTGTCTGTTCGTGAAATCACTGAGAAATGCGCTGGAGGCGTAGATAACAAAAGACTGACGGGAATTCTTCTAACACTTGCTTAGCAGCGACCCAAGCATGATAACGAATGCCAGTCGTTTCCGCCAGCTCACTGACATTTTCCGGGGTAAGCAAGCATCCCCAAACCCCGTGATAATTCAATGCTAATCACGCCATTAATCAATCACGTCCAGCAACACAGCCAGAGATAGGACATACCTAGAATGTCCGCTGTGTCGCCATAGATCGGAACATCCTTGTAAGGGAACGAGGGGACAACCCCCATTTCCTCTGCCTCGTTGGAAGCGGGTTCAGGGAGTGACTTGAATTGACCGCTCATCCAAAGGTCCAACTTAACCTTGTCCATCTTCGAGATCGGGTAAGTTCCCTTGTAATAGCTCCGCTGGGGTTTTTGCGCGGCGCGTACATATTGATCGGCAGTGGAATTGGTGACGGGCATCCTACGAGACAGTTAACGTTCCTTACATGGCCGGCCAGCTTTTTGAAGTAGCGGAACATCCACAACATTGAGGATGGTCCACTGTGGCTCATTGTCGTGTGGACAGGTGTGGTGCTTTGGCCGTCAAGGGAGATGTGGCCAATGCGCCGTGGTTTTTTCTGAGACGCGTCAAAGGGAGACAGAGAAGCACGTTCTCTTTGGATCATTTTCGAGCTGCGCAGATACATTCTGGCAGATTTGAACCGCCCCGGGGCACGTTAATATGAAATGAGCCAGATATTCTTCGGATCATCATGATCCAATCATTAAGGACAACAATAGCCAAGGCGCAGCACCCAATGTCAAAAAGAGCTTCACCGTGATAAACATGCGGGCGCAGGACTGTTCAGAAATAGGGTGATGTATGCCATGGTCACCGTCGACCCCAGTCGTCAAGTTGACAATCAGCACATGTCATTAGAGCCCTGCGGTGTCTGCCAATCGTTTCATGAATTCAATGCTCCGTTAAAGCTGCAAGTTCTAGGTGATGGCGACGCACGCCCGGCCTAGGAATGTCGCTCTAACCGGAGGAGGGCCTCGAATCGGCGTTAGTACCTTCCAGAACTTCTTCTGTTCATAAATTATCGTTCCACTGGCAGCGAATCCGATGCACGTCCGAAGGAAGCCGGAAGCTTGAGACGAGCTGTTCGCAGTTGTCCAAAGATGAAGAGGGCAGTGATTTTTTGAGGCAAAAAGGGTCTTGCATTATGCCCGAGAGAGTACCGTTTCCATCAGAATGTTCACTGCCTTGATTGTTCTAGTGTGTGCGCTTGGGAAAAAAAAAAGGTTATTTAAAATGCACCGTCGATATCGGCAACGTGCCAGAGAGACATGACATGGTTGTAGACGGTCAAGTCAAAACTTGCAAGGATGAAGTTCGCTGAGCTTTCAAACAGCTGTACGAAAGGATATACGTAACAGTCATCGAAGAATCTGGTAGATCATTTGAAACAGCCGAAGGCCAAATTGACGGCGTTACCCAAACCGCATCAACGTTCGGTTGATCGAAGCCATACAATCTTGATAAAGTTCGCAAGTAATACCCATAACACGCCTACTTACAATATTACAATAACTATCACGTATTATACATTTTTATGCACATATATCCACTAGAATGCGTATAACTTTTTACAGTGGGGAAGCCAAGTATTAGCGGTGAAGTAAACTCTAGGAGAAATAGCGATGCGGCAAAGAGAGCTAGTCGAAATGCAGCGAGACAATGATAGCGATAGAACGGGGGTATCATCTACACCGATCAGTCGGGAATAATATAACAATCCAGGTATTTCGGCTCTACCGATGCACTTGCGCACGTTCAGCCGAGTAGGCATGCCAGTTATCCACTTCAGCTTCTGGTACAGTTTGGGCAAAAGGAGGGAGTGTTGTGTGATAATGGTTGGACGAGCCATTATGATTATGATGGTTTGATGACTGTAAAAATTGGTTAACAGGTGGAGGCGAGATTGATTTCGTACAACTTACGCTGTAATGATCGTCTTCAACCTTGACGGAACCGTAATGATTGGAATGGTGGTAGCTGCTTGGAAGCGGGTGATGTGATAATGAACTGGGACGACTGTTAACCGGGGAATGCGATGAGTGTTGCATTTGGGCAGGCTGCTGGTGGGTGAAACAGAAAACAAATGGTCACTAGGATCCAAAAAGTTCTCGTAGAGTTTCGAGGACATTACGTCACTCGCGCAAGGAAAAAACACTCGCCGAAAATGGAGGACTTGAAGTAGAACTTGATCCGGACGGGGTATGAGGAATGTGATGGAAAGCGGGAGCATGCAAATTAAAGAGAGAAGACGAGTTGCTTGAAACACCGCCATGACCAGACGTCCCGTTGTGGGAGGGTATACTGCCGTACTGGTGATGGGAGAGCGGCTGCGGAATAGTAAGTGGAGGGGGACGATCACCGTGCGGAGCGTCTTGCGGCTAGTTAAGAGACGCTGTCAGACTATATTTGGTGTTAGGTAAGACTTAAACATACCATGTAGAGATCATCCATCTTCCGTTTCTTGAAGTCGCGGTCACAGTTACGTGTGTCGTGGAAGTTGGACAAGGAGTGTCGACGGTAGTCAGAGGACAAATGATTGCCGCGGTGGTCAGATTCCAACAAACGTCTCATTTCTTCATTTTCTTTCTGCAAGCGGGTATTTTCTTGCTCGAGCTCGCGAATTTTGACCAAGGGAGGCGGTAAAGCTGCCACCTGGTCTGGTGTGAAGCCTAAAGCAGTTTGTAGTTTGGTGACTGTCTGCTCGAGCTTTTAAAAAAAGAAGTGTTAAAAAACGCGTTCAAGTCGCGTCGTGTAGCGCGACGATTGAAGGTACCGACCTGCTCGATGTAAGCCTTTCGCTTTGCACGATGGCGAGCTTGAGCTTTAGCATTACGGCTACGCTCTGGACGATCGGGTTGTGACGAGACAGATTCAGCAGCGGAGTGCGCCATCGAGGACATGTAACGTTATAACGTAACTTTGAGAGAGGAAGGATAGTTCGGGGTTGTAAAAAAAAGATGGACGGTTATTATAGTTGGCTTTGGGGACTCCACTTGACGCCCAAGGCCGGTCCAAAAGAATTCAGTGCCTCGGATTCCGAATTATTCGCTTTGAAAGGTCAGCCGACATGTCTTCAAAACGACCCTGGTGGCAAGCTTGATTCCTTGCAATCTCGAATCAAATCTTAACGAACCTTCTCAAAAATGCATACATACACTCCACCCACGGTAATCCTTTTTCTAACTTTTGAATTCACCTTGAATCACCCTCGGCGGCCCCTCATACTATATAGTACTTACTCTCCTCTACATACATTTTTTTTTTCCTTTCACAGAGTTTCCGTCGGCAATTTGCGGAAGTTCCATCAGGCTAATGCCGCCATGTGCCTTAAGGGATGAATTCGTTTGTTGATCCCCGATCAATAAAATATAATAATCTACTTCCGCGTGTTCAAAAAATCCCCTTTGATTGCTTCAATCTACTCAAATTTAAAACTCAGAACTCCGCGATCCTCCGCTAATTCTCCACACCTTTCGTTATTGCGAAGTGTTCGCTGAGATGACTCCCCGAATATATGTATTGGCATCACAGTTTACCGTAAGAACGCTTGCTACTCAATATCAGTATTCACTTCTGTGATTACAAGCTCAATCCTTGTTCACTCTTACCATTCCCTTACTCCTCTACAGCACTGGTGCAACCCTCGGATATCCACGGCCAAGTACAATTCAGGTGCTTCGCACATGTCACCTGAGCCATAAATGCCCGACATTCAGGGACCCCCGTCTTGCTCCGTCTACTATCGTTGTAAAATCGAAGTCCTTTCTTGCTCTTAATCTAACGTCAAAGCTTGTATGTCTCAAGCAATCGTTGTGTAGTTCGCTCAAGTCCAAATGCACTCCGTCGCTGATGACATTTGACGCCATTTTTTAAAATGACAGATGGCACTGCTCCTGAACTTCTTCTCGAGCAACCACTTGGCACAATGCTGCCAAAACAAAGCGGCTATTATCTGTATCCGCTCGTGGGAATCACTACAGCGCGCAGAAATGGTGAGGTGCCAATCACCTGCCGCCTCGGCTATAATATCGGTAGACAATTAATCGGAATTCTTAGCCACATATCTTGGGAACATACTACTACTCAAGAAAATCATTATCGTACCTTTCGGTGAGATCCGGTCCCGACAAGCAAACAAACATGTCCTGCCATTGTCCTAGTCCACTCTTGAGTCCAGATTCAAAGGTAACTAGGCTAGGCTCGTCTGTTCACAAAAGAAACGCGACAGGTATATGGCAAGTAGTTCCGTGATTGGCGGGGCCTATACTCGGTCTCCAGATCGCAATGGTATCTGGTGCTAACCAAGTTGGTCCTATATCCACTTGCAGAAACGCTGAATTGAACCCAACCAATTCAATCGGCAACTCCCGTCCTCCCACGCGAAGGCTGTGCAAGTCTCTTCACGCCAAACTTCTTTCCGATCCAAGCCTCTGGTGATCTTCATTTATTAGCCAAACCTGGGTATGTTTGCCGCATTAATGTCCTACCTTTGTACGTCACGCCACTCCCATTCAACGCCTCACAATCGCGTTCAAGGGTCCCTCTCATTGCCAGCCCAGCGACAGGCATTCAGGTTCGTCCTAATAATAATCGCCGCAGCGAAGCATAAACAATCGTACACACGGACCCATTTTGCGACTGGCACTAAGACAAGACAAGCGCTTTGCACCCCTGCGGTTCGGAACCTCCAATATAGGCATCTAAGAGCCGAAGGGCGAGCAGGTGGCCCATTGACCCCCCAACTATACATAATATCTGATGCGTTCCAATTATGATGGGCGCAAACCGTGGAACCTTCCACCATTGGATATGAGGTCGCGGCTCGGTGTCCACTGACCGACCCATCCTCCTTCCTGATTGGGGCTTCCTCGATTTATTTCTGGTACTAGCCAAAGCTCACGATCATTGATCGAGGCCGCGTATTGTATAGCCTATACACATTGTATGTTGCACTAGCTGAGTGGGTATACTTCCAAGAGCTAATGTCCTTTGGCGCCGGCCACAAGTTTGATTATGGTAGTATTAATCCTCAGCATTCGGAGGTCGCGATCACCGGCAATTAAGCTATCTCTGGCCTCCCCTCCAGCCTCATGGAAAGCTCAAGGCATATCTAAACGAGATAATGGGCTTTACTTCCAAGATTTGCATGGCAATAGGCATCAGGCTGAACTTCTGTAGAGGTGTCACAAAGAAGCTCAATCATCTTGACTTCGGACAAATGTTTTTCCTAAGCTTTCTGGGAGAGAACGCGATACCTCGAATTTCGAAGACGAGTTTCGAAATGGGCTTGAACGGGCATATGCGCCGGTGCCTCGTATGTAAGTATGAGCTCTTCGGGAAGGTAACTTAGGGCTGCCAATTACGATGGCCAATCGGTATAGGTCACTTCTCCTTTTGCAATAGCGCTGTGGAAAGGAGCTTGGCAATAGTCTACCTGCTTATATCATGTACTAGAGAACGTTAGCCGCCGGCCAATACAGCTAGATATCATTTACCAATCAATACGCTGGCTCGCTGTGTTCAAATTATTGGGTTGATTGAGTTCCGGACAGCTGCCAACGGAGCATCACAACCAGCGAGTAGTGGTGCGGTCGACCGGATTTGACGATGGCAAAAACGTTGACACGTTGGCAGCGGTTTGATCGCATTGCACGCCTACTCATTTCGCATTGAGTGCGCAGACAGCCTTTATACAGCAAGGGTGGAAAGTCGGGTCCGATTTTTTAGATATGATTGTGCTTCCGATTTCTTTTTGTCCACGTGCGACGTTGCACGTTTTATTGCTGTCTCATATTGCAACGCTGGCTGATACCAAAGCGGTCGTTCACAGCTGCTGGTATAGTACTGTACCGGTACCCTAGGCAGAAGACTCAGCTGGGGCAACGGCTTGCAATTGCATGCCAGTAACTTTGTAGCCCCTAAATTCGGCTTTACTAGTACTGGCATGTCTAGCGTTGGAAACAAAAAAGAAACATTAGTGAATTAATTGCCGCTTCGCTTGGCGGCAGCTCTCGGTATACGTTAATAGTGTCCGTGCAAAATTCAAAACAGGATGTAAATCAGTACTAGATACAAACGGGATGACGACAGATGCGGTCATGACGGACGGACTGTCATATTTCATCATCTTCGGAAAGGATCAATCTCCCCTTCCCGGTACGTCGAATGGTCACTTCATCTACCCCTACATCATCTTCGTCCAAGGCGCCCACAGAGCTTTCTGGCCTTGTGGAACGCTTTGGGACCGGCCGGGGTCTTGGGCGTGCCCTAGGTGCAGGCTGAGGTTCTGGAGTACTGGGACTTGAGGAAGCGACTTCTCCGCATGGATCCGAGGATATCATCATCACTGTCCGAGATATCCTCATCGGCATTGGCATCCCCTACCGGATGATTCTCGGGGTTCCTGCCCACCCTACCCTTCTTCCTAGCATCAACATCTTTCCCTTTTCTCCGCCGTTTTTTAGTTCCCGTCGCTCGCATGGTGCCGATCTTGCCACTTTGCGCAGCTGCCATGGCAGCTTTATCTCTCAATGCCTTTTCCCTTTCGAGGAAGGCATCCATATCCCCGTATTCAGCATCACTGTCCTCAATGAATTGTGCTGACTTGTATTGCTTATCCTCTTTCTTTTTCTTCTCCCGTCTCTTGCGCTTGGGCTCGTCGTCCTCGAGAAGCTCGACATCAGAGTTAGAGGGTGATCGACGTCTTCGTCGCCGACGGGTTTTCTTGCTCAAGAGCTGTGAAGCTTTCTTGCCGTCAAGGTCGATAGGATGTTGGAGGAATTGATCGACGACGTTGAGGCTGCTCTGAAGGTCGGAAGGAAGAATTACTGCTGGCACGATCCATTGCAATTCATCACCATCTACGAATTGATCAGCGGGTCACTGCTCTAAATTTCGCGAAAGAACGAACCTTCGTCATGAATAGTGAATTTTAACAGGCGAAATATGAGCTTCAATATCGAATTCTTCGTCGCAGCTTCCGCATGTTCATCACTGATGTAGGGTATTACTAGCAAGACGTTAACGCAGTGCATAAATCGTGCAGAATTACTTCACAGTAATCAAGAAATTGGGAGATTGCTTCTGTAGAGGGAGTTAATTTCTTCTGTCCGTCGTCCTCGAGGTCAATTTCCTCGTCTTGCCGTTTTTGATCCGTCTCCTCAACAATCTTATTGCGCTGACGGATGACTAACACCAGGATCTATGGAATTGCGATATTATTAGGGAGTCTTCGCTGAAAATAATTGATATGATTACGAACGTCTTTGACCCATTCTACAAGTTCGGTCTTGCTATCCTCCACTAGCGCCGCTATTGCAATTCCGATTTGCTCGCTCCACGAGTAACCTTTCTTGACTTGCACCTCAGGAGGGAATCTGGTATCTTCTACTGCCTCGCGCTCATGCCGGCCTTTGGTTTCGGGTTCCCAGCTCGAGTACTGTTTCCAGTGTCCGCGGTTCTTTGGGAAGAACGCCTGTTCCCGATTGCGAGGTAGATAAGCGTCAGAATGTAAGATAACAAAAATGAAAACCTCACCTCTACCGCGAGGAATGGCTCTTCTTCCAACGCCTTGAAGAACTTGTGCAAAATGAAATTGACCAATTTTACAAGGTCCTTGGACGAATGATCTTTCGGGAGCGATTTCTGATCATCGAGAATAGTCTTGAAAAGATTAAGTGTCGAAACCTACATGAAAGTAAGACAAAGAGACGAGCAACATATCATTGCACGCGTACGTTGAAATATAGACCTTCGGCCTTAGTTTTGACGACTTGTCGGTGAATCAAGTTCACCGCCCTCTTCATGAACTCAGGCGAATCGAAGTCTCTGTAGCGCGAAAGATATGTCAGTAGTGTCTTAGTTATCTCCGAGTTCGCGAATTTCTGCATAACATTCAACCGTCAAATAATGTTCCGCTTCAGCCATGCGGCGCACCATTTCAAAGGCATCGAAGGTAAACATTGTCTCATGGATGACTTCCTCCTCGCTATCCCCATCTGGCTCGTTCTCGACGTCAGGCACACCATCTTCATCCACTAGTCCCTGACCTGCGATAACTTAAAATGACACTGAAGGTGGAAAATGCATGGCTTACCCGTGGTCTTCTTCCTCTTACCCGGCTTCTTTTTCCTGACGTACACAGCCCCGGTATTCTCCTTCCCCCACCGTTCCAACATCCGCAGCAGGGCGTAAGCGAGGTGCACGCTGGCATTTAAATAGGCTAGTGATTGCGTCCCCTCCTTGTACGATCGCAGGCTCTCGAGTGAGATGTCGAGAACCTCACCATTATAAATCAACTGTTGTTGTAAAACAGCAGCAGCCTCATTGAGGTGAGGGTCGGAGATCACCGACGAAGACATGATGTCGATCAGGAGAAGAAGCTGCGTAAGGCATTCTATTCCCGCTTGCAGTTCGTTCCACATCTTCGGCTGCAAAATATGGCTAATGTGAACCAACGATCTGAGCGGAGGACAGCTTTGACTTTAGCGATACCTTTTCATCCATGGCTTGTCTCATCCGCTTGAGCACCCAAATGATCCACCCGCGGTCGGTAACTTCCGCTACTAGTCCGAGATTCCATTTTCGTGGTCCTTCGATGGCTTTTTCGTTGGAGCGGGATATCAGGAAAAATTCAAGGAACCACTTAGTGATGTAGAGCAGCCGAAGATGATCTTTTTCTTTGATCTTTGGGCGCTCGGACTTGATGTCTTTAAGCAAAGAGCGGAGAAACGCTGTGGAGAGAGTCGTGAGGACAGGGAGCATGAAGAGTGACTATACAGACGATTAAAGGATGAATCCAGAGACTCGCGGGCAAAACCCTGAAGCACTATCTTGGCTTCTACAGATAGATTGTCCTCACGGGCTAATTCGTCAATCTTGTTGCTTTTGCGAGCTTTAGAGCGCTTCGCAAAGTCGAGAATGCTTCCAGACTCCCGTGTGATAGCTGCTTGGCGATGAAGCACGAGCGGCCTGGAATCAGGATTGCTCCCATGCGCCAGATCGTTTGGGCCTTCTGCGTCTGCATCCGGAGATACCGGCTTCTTGCTCGGCTTAAGTTGAACGGCAATAGTTGTTCCAAAGCGGGAGTGGCGGGAAGATGCATTCCGCGCTAAATCTTTCTTTTTCTTGTCCTCCGCAGCAAGCAGGCGATGAAGGTTTTGTGCTGGTTGCTAAAGTGCTGTCAGGACACAAGAAATAAAAATGACATGGACTCTACCTTTGATTGATCTATAGCCAGCAGATGAGGTTTTATGCCGCGAAATAAGAGGTAGAATATTTCGAGTACAAGCGTATTTGATGCATTGAAAAGAGGGTCGTTAGACGTGTTGGCAGCAATTGTCAGGAGCAAATCTAGAGTATGTGTTTCCGAGAGTGCTTTCACAAGTCTAGTCTGCAAGCTCGAATACTCCGCCTGGTCCGCACTAAGGTGCATATTTGCGGGGAGGTCCTTGATAAATATCAAGTTCCGGATGAGATGCAGGATCAGATTTACTATCTGTCCGTCGCGTTCCTTCCTCTCCTTTGCGGATTTTGAAATTGGCGGGAGCAGAACCCCGAAGAGAGCTTGCATGACGCCTGGCGTCAAAAGCGCAGCTTTGTAATTGAGATGGCTGAACATCAGTTGCGTATAGTCTGTCCCTTTGTCAAGTTCCTCATCCAACTCCTGCAGCTCCGCCGCCATATCGATGGGCCAGGTCATGGCTGTCATCAAGTCCGCACATGCGATGGCCCGCTTGTCTTCCACGAGCCCCTTGCCCGCAGTCGCCAGCAAAATCGGTACGAGGTCGTTGGGGAGGACCCGGGTCTCCCAAAATATGCGCGCTACTGTGCGCTCGTCGTCTGTATCGTCCTTCCGCCAGAGCTTCTTCAGATCCCGTAGACAACCGCTGACTTCATCGCCCATGCGGTAGACGCCCCCTTCGTAGCCGCCAAGTGCATCGACGACGCGTTTGACGACGGGCTCGAGGATAGCTCTTCTGTCGAGTTCTTCTGCCCCGGATTCATGGGAGGAGTGGATTGAAATGACGTCGTCATCCATGGGGGAGTGGTCTTCTGAGCAGGATGAGTCACGTACGCGAATTGAACCTGTGATTGATTCAGACTACACGGTTTGTCACACCACGTGATGAAAGTCACAGGTCTCATGCCATTTATCGAGATTAATATCACAAATGTGTACGACGTTCATCTAAGCAGACTCGGGTTACGATACGTACACTACACGACTTGTAGTCGGTGTTGTTCACCTCTCGAATTGACGGGGACCTCATTGCTGGCCATGCCTCACCGTCTGCGTTCACACGAGAATCGAGATAGAGTGAAGCTAATTAGCTTAGCTGCTCATGAGTACAGGGATGCCGCGTTCACCGTATGTAGGCCACAGCACTTGTATCAGCGGCGCGGGTAGAATCATCAGTACCAGAAATACAACAACACCACTCGACATAGAACCTGTTGCAAGACAAGCTTCTCTTTCCCATGTCAGCGGGGTAAGACAACTTCTCCACCGCCAGGCAATCTTGGATAACCCTCTGAATGTGGGGCGACGATAGGGCTGTAAATTAACAGAAAGCAGAAAACATAAGTGGAGAAGGAACGATCGATCAAAATATCATTATGAGTGCTACAAGGTACTTTACCGTCAAGTAATCTCAGCGGGGTAAGATAACTTGTCCACCGTCAGGCAATCTTGGATAACTCTCATAAATCTTGAAGCGCAAAACCCAGCCATTGGTCATGGGCCGGAAGGTGGGGCCGGGACAGGGCTGCAAATTAGCGGAGAAATCGGGAAACACAAGCACGGAGGGGACGGATCAATCAAAAACATCATTATCCGTGTCGGGGACTCAAGGTACTTCTGCAGCGCCTACAAGGTGTCTTGACAGGCGTGGAAGTTGAGTGGACGAAGGCATACTTAAGTAGCCCCGCGGTATTATCGTCGGGCTGTAGATAATTCAGGCACTTCGACATCATCATTGGGCGGGACGAATGAATTCTATCATCTGATGGCACATCATCGAACTGTGCCGAGGTGAAAACATACATAATACCCACACCCCTGTAATTAGTCCTACAAAAATTGTCCTAGATGATGTTCGTCAAGGGGAGCCTATCATTTGGAGCCGACTTACTTACAAAGGTTACACGACACTGGAGAGAAGCAGCACCGAGCCTGCAACGATGATGCTATGATGTGGCGTTTTTCTTCGCCGCCCTTTCCTTCTTCAATCTCTCCTTCTCGGCATCTGCCTTGGCAATCTCGTGTGCTCCGTCATTGAGACCGAGCCGGTTCCGAGCAATCTGTGGGCATACAAGGAAAGTTTTCATTAGCAAAGAAGTTGTTATAGCCATCAGACCATCAGATATCGGGGAAATTCACCTCGATAGCGTAGAACTGTATCCGTGTCACTAGACGTCATCACGTTAGCATCAAAACGAGGGTGAAACATAGATTAGTAGCTAGTACCAAAGATGGTGTTCGTCTCCCCATACTCTTGCGTTGCATCTGTGCGGATGAGAGAACCAAAATTGTAATCTTTCACTTTCTTTTCGTAGCTTAAATTTGTAGAACTGTCAACTAACTCTTAATGCGTAGTAACAGCACTCACACTTGACAAAACTCTCTCCACTTCTTCTTTCCAATCTCGCTCTTGAGCCAGTCCTCATCCAACTTAACTAGCCGTGCGTGATCGTCCTCGTTGAACTCAGGGAAAGTCGACATAGTGTGTTCGTATATCTCGTCATCAAGCCTATCCCACTGAAATGAGCCGCTGCACGGTCTGACGAAAAGAGCGATGTGAAGCCCTACTTTGTCAACTTGAGTACACGAGGAGGAACTTTCTCGAGCAGATTCCAGTATGTCTACAGGTCATGATAACGTCAACCACGGCGAATTCTAAAAAGTTGGAGATCCTTCCCGCACCTGAGCATGTTCAACCGCTTTTACGGCAAATCTGCAGAGATTGATATGTTTGGCATGGATCAACCTGCACTAGACGCCCAATGTCTTTCGGCACTCACTGCTTCTCTATCTACGCTCGCGCAAAGCAAGCAGAATAGATCACGTCCATCAGCACAGGAAAATCAATTGAGGATGATTGGTCTACCTCAACGAGATTTTGAGCGTTGTTGGGATCAAAGCGTTGAGTTGACATTGTGTTTCTGGGACTTGAAAGTTGATTTCTGGGAGCTAATGGATGGTGAGAAAGTCACTGCTCGTGAAACTTGAATATTGATGTGTTCGCAGGCGGTCAACGCGTGATCCGATGAGCTACCTAGTGTCGCCGCTACCACTCCAACGACGCGGAAAATGAATGTAAGGTGGAACATTAGGGTTAGGGTTCGAAGATAGTAGGTAACCAGTAACTTTTAGTGTGTTCGTGTATATCGTCCATAGTCTCCCGCAAGCCTTCCGCAAACAAACCCAATAGAAAGATAGTCGCCTTCTTTATTATGTCTCTCAATGATCTTATAAAAAATTAATTCTCGCGCGCAAGGTGATTAACTCCCAGAGCTTGTTTTTGATTTCTTTTCAACGCCTATACCAAAGCGTTTCAACTTCTCAAAATACTTTTGAACGCGACTCGCAACCTGGCGTGGTGTCCGGCGCCCACCCATGGCTTGCGAGATTTTCGCCCATCTACAACGGTTTGAATATTTTGAACACAGGCAAGAAGGTGAAAACTCACCGATTCCGCTCACCATCTGGAATCTCCTCGAGGAGTCGTTCCAGCAGGTGCTGTTCAGATACTGACCAAGCCTGTTTATAAGTTTCGGGTCTTGGTTTGTCTATGTCTATTTTTGGTTCCGGTGCAGAGGGCGACGGTTCGGCTTTTGGTTTGTGGTTAATATTCTTGACGTCAGGTGAGTCACGGGAGCGTTTTCCGAGAGTGAAGGGAGGAGGGATGGTGATCGTCATGGATTCGACGTTAGCCTCCATGTTGATGTCGAGCGACTGAGGCTGGAGCTTGACAGATGGTTTGCGCGTACGGGAAGACCGAATAAGGCTGTCAGACTGTGTGACAAGGGACTGTCGTCGATTAATAGTCGCAGGGCGTCTCCTGGACCATGATGCTAAAGGCTGGGCAAGCTCTGGTAGAGCCAGTGTAGATGGGGTAGATGGGACGGTCGTATTTGTGGAATCATCCACATCCATGGATGTACTGTCTTTGCCTGATGGCCAAAGGCTGCTTTCGCTGATATCAACCTCTCCACTTTCGTCATCAACATCATTTCTGACAAATACTGCGTCAGAAACCTCTCCACTCTCAGCGATGGCGTGATATGTAATCCTCCTCTCTTTAAGTTTCTGTATTTTCGCGCGTGCACGCTCACGCCTGCGTGCAGCTGCGAAGGATTCTTGAACAGGAGGTGATTTGGATTCTTTCTCTTCCTCCACATCTTCGTCCTCGGATAAAGCAGGCAGATGGAGACTAGTATGAAAGGGAGATGAAGTAAGATTACAATTAGACGTAAGATAGTGTGCGTTATCGGGGTCTAGGCTTCCCAGGACGGGGTCGATGATGATTCGCCGTGCATCTTTGACCAATTGTTGAAGGGCGGAAAGAGGGGAGTGTTGAGTTGTATGCGGCATGCTCCGCTCCGTGTGCGCTAAACGCGTTCGGACCGCGAAAGTTCGTAAAGGCGTGGGGTCTGCGATGAAGACGGGATTTCAGGTTGCAGGAAGGATGATAACAGGACAGAACCCCTACCACCCGAGGAGAAGACCTGCCAATGAAGTTCATTGGGAAGGGGGGATACAGAACACTCATGCTGTTCCGACAACCTTAATCCAGGACTAAGGAACTGCAAAATGACAATGGAGGATGTACAATTAACCACGCGGAGGACTACATACCTTCGAACCGATATTCTCGGTGAAGGCCTTGGGCTGGCTAATAGCATCTGCCCTTAGCTTCCTGAGCCTCTCAATGTCGGCCTCTGCACGACTGAACAGAGATTTCTGAGTCTGTATGTAGGCAGACAGCGCCTCGAGCCTGTCAAAGGAGTAGAAAGTCGGCCATGTGCATCAAACAATGATAAAAATAAAAAAGCGGGCGTACGTCTCGGCGCGTCTCGAGTCCATGTATGCGATGTCGTCCAGTTCATGGAATTAACTCTCAGAGTACGGACGGAGTTGCACCAAACCAAGCCTCGATCTCTAAAACCCCATGATTGCTGTCAAATTTTGATATTGCTGTTGCTGATGTCACCATTATGGTACCCATTTCTCACGCCTGCAGATGTTTAACTGATCACAAAGTTCAACCGTGACCAAAGGACTCTCGTCGTCGTCATAGACGGCGAGCACGTACCTTAGCTCACTACTCACAATGGCGTTTCAGATCGTCTCATCACACTCAATCGCCAACACCGCATCCTCCACGTCTTTATCACCCAGTCTCGCCAATCTCAACGGCCTATCTACCCCGAAGCCTCCCCAGCAGCGGCGCATGACAACTTCAACTCTACCGCCTCCAACGTCCTTGAACCTGGTACCGCTCATTGATTTTCTCTTGCTGTTAAATGGGCACCTGATCGTGTCGTACAGCCCGAACCTGTCTATGGACACCCGGGGCACGCCCCAGGATCACCCCGACGGCCACCATCGCCTCTTCGTAACGAATTTACCCACAGAAGATTGTCAAATGACAGCCACTCTGGAGATGATGACGATGATGGCGAAGAAGAAGAAGATCGCACGTGGCCACGCAGCCGCTCCCCTACTTCTGCTTCAGTCACTCAGTTCGCAGCGAACCTTGCAAACCGCGTCAATTCTTTCATCAGTCCCTCAATAACAAGCAGACCTCTTCCGTCTGATGAAGAATTAGAAGCTGAGGCTCAGAGAGAGCGCGACAGAAGTCGACGAGAAGCCGAACGTATACTCACACGAGAAGCAGAAGAAAGGCGCGCTGTGGAGGAACGAGTTCTCGCTATGATGAATAGTTCTCCACAATCAAATCCACCTTCTCGAAGTAGATCGCAAACATTACCAAATCCACCCTCTCCTGCACATTCTCAGAAGGAGAGTGGCCCTAGTTGGTGGACGGCCGCCAAAGCGCGCTTGACTCCTACAAAAGATAAAGAACCACTCACCCCAGCCCAGCAAGTCATAGAAGAAACTAAGGCTCGCGAAAAGGACACGAAGAATACCAAGGGAAAGGAGAAGGAATGGCCTGCTTCTTCTGCGAGCAAATACACCAGCCCCGCTTACCTCAACTTGAAGATACCCCCAGGTGGCCCTCCCCCTCGCACTTCATCTCCCACCTCCCCGACTCCAGCTCGACCGCCGATTAGTCGAACACCTGTCAACCTCTCCCCTGCGCCTGTCACACAAGCTCCGATTAATCTTTCGCCCGCCTCACTCCAAAGAGGAACTTCTCCAGGTGGCTCCCCTGCACGCGAGCCCCCTCCACTCTATGCTTCATTTACACCCTCGGGTACTCTAGATGTACCGGGTACATTGCTATTAATTGCGAAGCGCTTCGAGAAGCTTGAGAGATGGAGCGTCACCCACGTGCGCGCGCTCGAAGAACGCATGGGTGATGTTGAGCGCTGGCTGGTCGACAAGGAAAATCAACGCAGTAAGGAGAGGGAGCCAAACGACAAACCCTCTCCTGAATCTGAGCTGGCTTCTGTTCGAGGAGACGTTACTGAGCTACAGTCACGCATGACTGAGCTTGGCCGAGAGATGGCACGCCTCGCGACATCACCTGCCGTTCTCTCCTCTAATACTGCCATCCGAGACTCGCCAGTGATGAGCACCGCCCCTCCAACGGAGTCGTCCATCATCAGTCCTCATGAATCTACCTTCTCTAGCGTAGTCGACAGCACAAGCACAACTTCCGAATTCTCATCCTCCAATACCACTTCAGCCCTAGAAAATATTCGCAGTCTCTCCACTCCCCGCCGAGTACCGTCCCTTACAGCTCGCGAATCCACGAGTCCACCCCTCGCTCGGGTCTCAAGCCGTACACCATCGGGGACCAGGACGCGTCTGCCATACCCAACGGGCGACTACGCCAGCCCGGGAGAACTAATATCCCCAACTCACACTCCAGCCAGCTCGCCTCCACAATCGGCACATCTTGCATCTATGGTAATTTCCGGGTTGCCAGTTTTGTCCAGCCCTCTGGAACTCCCCGCCGCAATCTCTTCGCCTGGCCGTGTGGCATCTCCTATCCTGAGTGGCCTGCCAGCTCCGGGCATTCACAGCCCCCACCGAGGCAGCGTGAGTCCAACGCCTATGCAAGCAGGGCGTAAGCGATACACCGTCGCCCTTGGTGGACCTATTGTAGCTCCTGTCGAGTACGACTACGACTGCGAAAGTGAGCGTTCGGGACTCGGCACCACATCTTTCTCTTCCCCCATGGAGAGTGACGACGAAGATGACGAAAACGCTGCGGACGAGACGTTAGGGAAGAAAGCTGCGTTCCGTGCGATTACTGCTGCAAAGCTCGGTAGCGGTGATTTGGCGAGCGCTGCGCCTGCCAATAACAGCCCGGGTAACCGTGCGCGCGCACAGTCCACGTATGGTGGATTCGCGAATGCCCTACAAAACAACCAAGCGGCGTCTGCGCAATCAAAGCACCGTTTCCGATCGCAGTCCATTGACATCCGATCGGATAACACGTTTGGTAGCGACCAAGCCAATAAATTTGTGGATCCGCTTGTTTTGCGAAGGCAAGGGAGGACGGAGAAGGGTAAGGAGAAGAAGCCCCTAGTGGGTCCAGGGAGGAAGGTCCCCGTAGGACAGCTCGTGGCGTTCTTTGATTCGGAGCGGCGCTGAATGTGCACTGTTGTCTCCTTGCGATGACGTTAAATTTTCACGATCTCATATATTACCTTGGAAATCTGAATGCTGACTTGATCTCAGACTTATTTCATTGGCTATATACCACACAGTACTGCATACTTGTTTTCCGTTCTTGTAATTCTGATTGATGCTATCGTTGCTTTTAGGAAGTTCCTGCCATTGCCGAAGGCTGAACATATGTGCTTGCTGCCGTACGCTGCAGTTATCGCCCCTAATTCACTGTTTATCGCCACCAAGTCGCAACTGTAACAAATCGTGGATAGTAGTTCCGTTGGTGAAGAAAGGAATGACCCATCCGATATTCAACATCCAAAACGGCACATGTACAAAGTAGTAGTTCGAGAAAATGTGCTGCGTAAACGACCGCTCCAGCGTCGGCAGTATACTTGGTATGAAAGGAGCTAAACCCGACACCCACGATGACTCAGAAATTCTGCAGTGCTTTTTATGAGAGGGGTGGTAAGCACTGGAGAATTTCTAAGACTCAGAGCAGACTTCGCGGAGACAGCGGGCATGCAATGCAAAGTTGCAAGAAGCGTACCACCGCCCCGACTACTGTTTCGCATAGCAGAAAGGTGCCTCAATCCTAGAAGTATGTATTGGAGGCCTCAGCCAATGCCCAACGTAGTTTGTGTCGGCACCGAGGGTGTCTAGGCTCGAAGAGAGCCGAAGAAAGCGGGCGTAGCAACCTTCCAATGAATAACCAGAAGAGTTGGCATTGGCAAATAGCAATATCCGGTCATCAGCGAACGTCGCAAGAGATAGCCGATATGCAGAATATACAATTTCGCGGCGCCCGAGCGATTTATTCACCTTGGTTAAATCCGCGAGGTTCCATGGGTCCAGCAATATCGCCGTTAGTGACAATATTCATCCGGATCTGAAGGCCATCAGACGAAGCTCGGAGCCCACAACTGATGGGCTGAATCCGGTGTCTTCGCTCACTGTGCGCACGTCAGCCCCAAGAATCTCAACACAGTACATAAAAATGATTCGCAAGAGTTTGGTGGGGACCGGGGTTGCAGGGCAAGATTCAGGACTAAATACGGGAACTTCCAGCGTGATCTGCTCCGGGAAGAATAGTAGAACGACGATTAATAACGGGCGGCAGTTGCATGTCTGTCGGAGTGTGACTGCATGAGTGTCACGAGCCTGTCTTTCCCCATCGAGAAATGTCCTGAAACCTCCGCGCTCCCCCCGTTTAATACACGCACAATCCTGCTGCTCAAGGTACCCGCGCGCTGTTTCTTATGCGAAGGCATAGGTTGCTTCTGGAATGCCAAGAGTCGGAGTCTCCGTGCAATTCGACTTTGGCGTAAAGCTGGTTCATACACGGCAATGGTCGCCTCCCGTGGCATAGAGGAAAAGAACGTCGTGAACGTTCTTCCACATACTTATGCGGTCCTGTGTTGTGGGAAAAAATCGACGTACCAGTTTATCACGAAGGGTGAAAGAAAGATGTTGACCTGGAGCGGAATTGTTGGCAACATACAAAGTTCACGAATAAATTTCGCCTGAATTGTGTGCATGTACTTGGTGGAGTGAGAATTGGAACGCTGGCAGTACTATTCCAACGGTCCGCGTCCCGGCCCAGTCGCATCTAGCCTGCAAGACACGGAGAAATATCCAAATAGCCTAAACTATCGTTTGTCTGTGGGAGGCCAAGCAAAATCGATTAGTGAGTATCCTTCATCCTTACTGCCGCAAAGCGAATAAAGCGAATATAAAGTATGGGGCACATAGCAGCATACAGGCTTCGGATTCGAATCAACACCAGCCTGAGGTCAGTCGTGGTCGCCCCATACAATAATAGTTAGTTCAGCAGATATGCATACCTCGTGTATTTGTCGATCTGCACAGCTACATAGTATGAATCAGCACGAGGTGGCCGATGAGCTCCACATTAATGAGCCTAGTACCCTGGTCCTAGGTTGCCTTGTACAGCGTTGGTGGTGGTGTGAAGGTAACCCATTGGAAATTGCCATTCCTGAATCAGCCGCAGATAGGGGGCACGTGGAGTTGTGACGATGAGGGTTGACAACTACCACTAGTGACGTATAGTAGTAATAGTACTAGTGTGACTTAGCTTCTATTACCCTCTACTGCCGCGTCGTAGAGGATGTTCCAACCCTTGCATCCAGATAATCCTTCAAGCAAATTCACGCCTCGAGAAATGCAAGCCAATTCTCCCGCTCATTTGAACCTATATGATTGTACTAAGACTTTTCCACTCAGGTCTCAAAAGCTTTCCCAGGAGATTGCTTCTCTACCTTGCGACACGCAAAAAGACTTGCTTGCATGCTTGGAACGAGTTAGGGATGTGTTGGAAGATAAATCGGCAGAGGAAGAAATGGTAGACGATCCCGCCGAAGTTGTCGTTGACAGGCTTGCTGTCTCACTTGACTGGACGCTGATCACGGTAAATTCAAGTCATCAAAGACATATGGATGCCGTTGTTGAATTGTCCCGCAAATCCAGGCCGTGGTTTTCGTTATACTTGGCACGTCGTACTTGGGGTCACCAGCTTTCACAACGTTTGGAAATTCAACCACTCATGAACTTCTTCTAAAATTGACTCAAATCACGAACGATACCGCAATGAACGACGCATTCCTCGCGCTGTTGGCACAAACGCCTTCGCATGAATCCCCTCATTACGTGCTCTCCCGGATGATCGTACATACCAGCATCGTATCAAGCTACTTCGTTGCATTCGTCATAGGTGTGGGGAAACTCCGTACAGGCCGCCACGGGCTCCAACTTAACATGCCATCTCATCGCAAGCATCGTAGCCTGCTGGGGTCTAATAAATATTTACCTGGGTCCTCGCAATTCACACCGATGTGGTTCATGGTAGCTCTCACACGATTGCCATATGCCTTCGCATTGGCCCAACTTGTGTTTTGCATGGCAATCATCGTCACGCACTCTCTCGCGTTGTAACCCCCCTCCCTTTTTTCTTTCATCGAAATCATCCGTCCAGATTCTCAAATCGTCCTCAGCTGAACCTACAACCGATCATCTCGGTTTGCAACTCCTCGTTCAAGCATGCCAATGGCAGATATTCCAATATTTTATTTTATTTTCTGCCGTAATGTTACCATTTTGCAACTATTCGTCTCTCATTCACACACGCAAGGAACTGTGGAATCTGCACCATGTACTACCTATCTGCCTCTTCTTTTCTTGATCGTAGCATGAAGTACCTCACAATCGGCAGCCGTACATAATGTCTTATTCTAGTAGAGATATGACAGTTATGAGCAGCACAATGAAACAATAACGAGCAAGTACAGAAAGTCCTAATCATAGATATGTAGTTGGGTAATCGCATGCAATACATAAAATACCATTAAAATACAGCGGTGTAAAAGATGTTCGTGTGGGTGATGCATCAATAACATAAGAGCATGGTATAAAAAATCCCAGCAAAGAACCAAAAGAGATCTAGACGACACTAGTACAACCAGTTTACGACGTGACCCTATGACCGTGACACAGCGGCGTCTTGTTGGAGCTGCTGCTGTTGCACCTGCTGCACCGCTTGTGGGTCCCATGGTGGGGGGTATCGAGCATCCACGAGATTCTGATCGGCAAGCGCATCTCGTAACCGATCTTTGTCGTTCATGCCCATGCGCGCACGACACCGAATGAGACGGAGCTTCGTGCGAGTGATCCCTGACATTTTATCAGTCTGGAGTTGCTACACATCACAAAGAAAGGCCTCACAGGTAGCAATTGTGGCACGGTCCTCTTCCATAAAAGGATTTTCGCTCTGTAGGTCATCTTGGAGTGTGTACAGGCACCAAAGCGATTCTTCGTATAGCTTCTCGCATTCATCTGGGGCTGTTGCTTGATCGAGAAGCTCCTTCCGGGCTGCGGTGCGGCTCTAAACATGTGATATAAACACCGACATTCCAGAACATGAAGGGAAGGTGCGTACGAGAAGCAGGGCACGATCAGTAGACCAGCTGATCGAGGTATATCTTAGGGCCATCATATTGCACTGGAAGCCACGTCTTCACCAGCGCAGCCCGTTCACTACATTTGATAAAGTGTTCCTTGAACCACGATAGAGCTTCATTCATACCATATAAGCACTGGTCTACGTTCCGAATACGGAAATAGAACGTACCATCATCGAACCCTTCGCTCACCTCGAACTCACCATCAGGGTGACGCATTCGTAGGTGTTCTTGGAAGTGCCGCAGCTTGTCGATCCCTTTCTGCGAGAAAGACATGAGGAGCATGTAGACGGCAACGCATGTCACAGCATTGTATTCGGCTTCTTGGTCCGCGTTTCGCCGGCGCTGGGCATGTCTTTCAGGCTCGCCTTCACGTCGTATAAACTTCGCTGGATCAGGTAGTGGCTCTACAAAAGGGTCAGCTTGGCATACATAGGGGTAAGGGGATACATACTTTGAGGTACAGCCTTGACATACTCATACATCTCATCAGCCCAATGCGTGAGGAAATCTGTCTTTTGCGCAAGTTCTTCCAAATCCGCAAGAAGCTCGTCTTCCATAGGGTCCAATTCCTTCTCTCTTTCAGACGGAGTCCGGAGAATGAGTTGTGGACGTCGAGGGGACGAGGAGGTCCGGTAGTAATTGGAGCCGGGAGAAGCAGGTGATTTCGGTGTCGATGTACCAAATAGCTTACGGGAGGCGAGAGAAAGCGCACGACTTAGAGCGTTGGTAGCGACACGCGTGGGAGATGATGACAGTGGAGGGGCGAGGGGGTGGGGAGGTGGTGGAAATGTAGGTATTGGTGCAGATAGCAACGAACCTAACTGAGGTGATGCTGTGTGATCGGGTGGGTTCGCTTCGCCGGCGAGAGGTGACAAGGGAACACGCCGGTCACGCAGTGGTCGCCGTGCACTGTCTAATTCTGAGTGGATAGGTCAGCTTATAAAGCGACGGCAGTGAACATAGCCCACCATCAACTGCGCGAGTGAATTCGACCGCACGCTGGTCGATAAGAACGTACTCCTTGCGGATGAGTCCATCCTCCTCTGACTCTCCTGGAATGATGGAACCTTCAACTGCAAGGAGCTTTGGGCCTGCCTTTTCCTTTTCAGAGACAGGTGGATTAAAACTTGTTCGTATTCGATCGCTGTTCGTAGTCGTCGTCTGTGGTCTCCCAGGTGATGTGCTGATGCTTAATTTTAGACCATCAAGATATCCAGGACGATGTCAAGGACCCGTACCTTGTGGGAGGAGGGCTGGTAGACACATCCTCCGTTGTAGCGTCTCTTCTTCGAAAATGGAACTTACTGGGCGGGATCATGGCCTTTGGATCAAGCACTTCTGGTGGAATTATTCTATGATGTTCAGGAATCTGTCCAGGGGGGATTTCATCGACTTCTTCTTCCTCTACTTGGGCCGCAGTTTGCGACGGCAGTTCGGGTGCAGGACGAGGAAACTTGGACTTTGCGAGTGCTTTGCTCTTGAAGAACTCCTCAAAGCTGGCGCGCTCAGCAGGCTGCCGCCTGAGCAAGATACGGATTAAGTCCTTAATGTCAGCAGCAACGAGCGTAGGCTCTTCTGTCTTTATTGTAGGCGGAATAGAGGGATTAGAAGGAGCACGGGCAGGATTCTCATCTGGGAATTGGACACCTTTGGACTGTTCGATCTTCTTCAAGAGTTCGATGTGGTTTTTGGCCCGGAATGGTGGTTTTCCAACACACATCTCGTACAGCACTGCGCCAACACTCCATAGGTCAGCTTTCGCGTCGTATTTCTCATATCGCAATATCTCGGGAGCCATATAAAGACTGCGTTATAATGTTCAAGTTGAGCACGTCAGAGTGGCAGGAGCACGTACGGAGAACCACACAAAGTCTCTGCCATCGTAGCATTCGGGAGGATGCGTGCGAACCCGAAATCGGCGACCTTGAGTATGGGTACGCCCAAAGGATGACCCTTCGCAAGTTCCTCTGGCGATGCAGGATTCAAGAGCAGATTCTATGCACAAGGAGATATTAGACGCCTCGTATTTCTGTGGACGAACATACCTGGGGCTTGATATCCCTGTGGATAAGGTTTCGTTGTCGAAGGAATTTCAAAGCGCGTGCTGCACAAAAATAAGACCAATGCAAAGTAGGGAAATTACGATCTCTTACCAAGCTGACGCAGGAAACTTCGCACGACGATCTCATCTAGACCGCCCATTCTTGGGTGAGGGTAATATTGGAGAGCAGCACCCGGTGAGGGCGCGTACTCAAGACCCTCGACGCGACCTCGTTTCTTTATGTAATTCGTTCAAGTCACCGCCGGCACAGTACTCCATGATAAGGTATATGTTGCGTTCGGCGCGCTAAAGAAAAGGTGATTAGAGAAACAGGCAAAATAATGTGATAACAAGTGAGCCATTCATAATATGCGCTTGGAGGAAGAGAGATAGACTACGGGAAATGACTACAGGTAGCCCTGCTGCTTCGCAGAACGCAGCATAGAGTATGGCTAGGCTTAGATAGAGAAGGGGCACTCACAACAATGTCAATCAACTTCGTAATATGACGATGAGATAATGACTTCAAGATCTCGATTTCACTTTGCAGGTTATCGAACAACTTTGCAGTAAGTATATCCCGCCGCACAGACTTGATTGCGACCTGGTGGTGAGTTTCCTGCAAGCGCCACGTTGTTACAAAGAGTCAGACGGACAGAGAAATTGGAACACACTTCATGGTATCCTTTGTATACAGTTGCAAAGCTTCCCTGTCCGATATCGCTGACTATGATGTACGGACGTGCTTCATCGTCTTCGACTGTCCTTCTCGGGGTGGATTTATCTGAAGCCATGATAAGAGGTTGGTGGTTTCCACAAGAGAGGTATAGCGGTAGCCCGCAAGAGCAGAGGCGCTGAGCGCCGTCAGTGTATTATGAAAGAACTAGCAATCGAGAAGGAAGGTAAGCTGTAGGGGAGAGCACTTAGGGAGTGCCGGTTGTGCCGCAACCTGCCTGCTTACTTCGCCCAAATTAGGAAAGCTGAGAAGAACCACCATTCTGACTAAGCTCGCGCTGTCCACCTCTTGGCCTGCTAGTTCTGCTGCCGCATGAACCACGTAGTACTACCTATGAGGAGTCTACCTAGCTAGCACTATTAGCAGCATAATCAGGAAATCCGGTCGCCAAAAGCTGTTTCACGCGACTTGCTTTCCTAATTATGCGACTTCGTTTTCGCTATTCGGTGTCGTGTAGTGCCACTGTAGTCGTTTTACTTGGCCGAACTATCGTACATCCAGGGCTTCCAATGGAAGACTGCCCTTCAGAAGCGCTGAATGTATTATAGTGCGGACAGGGCGGTAGCTATCGGGGTACCGATCCCCCGATAGGCTTGGAGTGAAGCTCCAGGCCAGCAAGTTGGTATGTGTTCGTTGCTATCTGTTGACTGCGGTACGCATTTCTGAGAAGCGAATTTTGACCTGGAGCAATCAATGGAAAAGGGACTTAGAGCTACCAGTTCGTCGCATCGTATTTCATTACTCGAAGTTTAGTGTAGAGTCTATGTGGAGAGGTACTTATCTATCTACCTATCAGTAGTAGCCAAGCTTAAGCCAGCATGCAACAAAATTGATATTGTTTATCAAGGTCACCCAGAGGCATAATTGTGGCGGTGCAGACATGATTTTGACAATCGCGAACTTGGTACACAAATGTGATCTTTGCCATGTTCCAGGCCTAGATAGTGCAACATATACGTTCAAGGAGTGAGTTTTCGATTATTTGTTTGTCCTCGCGAACGTGTTACACTGGTGTGTAGAACTTCGTTAGCACCAAAGTCTTCTTTCCCCCTGCATCGGCGCAAGCGGTAATGTGATGGTCACGAACATTCCTATCTCAGGATCTGTGACTCGATTCTAGTCGAACCACCACTGTGAACTGCTTGTGACTTCGAGAGCTCATAGTACTGTTCGAGCAGGAAGGTCGCCGTTCAACGAGTGATTGCAGATTATGTCAACCCATGAGGCTTTTGGTGTTTAAGCTCACAAAAAGACCAATACGTAGTCATTACTTCAGTATTTTCCAAGTCGATATCATATTGAGTATTCCTCTATTCCAAGGTCTCAATTACTCAAGCGTTACCCGGAAGCAAGCACCTTGATCAACTCAGCAACGGACTACTTGATGTATGGTGCATCAACCACACTGCAGCAATTCGAAAGCAGAAACATGTCTCACTTCTGCGACTCGCCACTCACACTTGACTTATCGACATCGACAACCATTTACGAATGGAACCTACCAGGCTGGTGAGTCAAAAATCATGGATTCAATGCAGATTGCTCATACTCACACTTCGGGGGATTCATCTCGACTGCAATGTTTTCTAGACGATTGGCAAGGGTGCAGCACCCCTTGACATGTGCTGCATTTACTGGCATGGATACAGTTAAAGCAGCAACGTCGGCGAGGACGAAGGAGAAACACATTGTGTGAGGCTATTTACATGCCCGGAAAATCTCACTTGTTCCATCACCGATGTATGTATGGAACCACTTTACGAAACGATGATAATTTACCTGCTGCCGCATACAGGGGCTGAACTTTGAAATACCCACATACCGTAGGATGATGCTGAAGGCGATCGTATCTACCTTCAAATCGTCTGACGCTGGCTCGAATGAACGAGTATCTCCCTCGTATCTACGGGAGACTAACCCGCTTAGGGCTCGCAGAAAAACACGAACACCATTCAGTATCTCAAACAACAAGTGCCTCTGGTTTAGGTGAGATCTCTTCTGCTCTCTAGTAGTATCCACGTGGTCGACAATCTCAAAAATGGCACAAGTTGCTGTCCAACACATTTAATTATCCGGCCACACGCTGTTTGCTGTACGAGACGTCGAATTTTGATGCTCTAGAAAATGTTTGTGCGCACGGAATCCCGAGAGGCGACGAAAATGTCGGCAGTAGATCTAACAGTTCATCGCCTGAATTTCCTTCCGTGCAAATCCATTTTGTAAGTGGTTCTCGCAGCCCCATCAAGACCAACCGTGTTGGGTAGTCAGAACTGGTGTGTTTGTTCAATACGTCGACTACTATAGTCTTTCGTCCGTCGAGCTTCTATTATTGTAGGCTTCTCTTGTAGATATCATGTGCGACCTACAAGAACAAAGCTTAAGGGATTCTGCCTGCTCTAGATATTGGAAATTCCGAGTCGTTCAGCGATTACTATTTTATACTAAGACTGGTGAACAAGGTTCCTGCCGGCGGAGCTCAGCCCTTTCTCAAGTATTGTAGTCATAGCGTAATATTGTGTTCAATCACGATGTTAGTAGGCAAATGTTGCAATGTTTATACTGTTGGATTGTCTGTAGTGACAGCAATGAAATTCTTCCCATCCCTGACTTCCATGCGATTCATGGCTTTCTGAGACACAGCAACCAAATTATGGGTGGTGTCCCTCCGTCCTGTCATGTTCTCTAGTGCGATAACTACAGGAGGATGCTAACCTCAACCTGAACCCTCCTCCATAGCAAATCCTCCCATCTATCAACTTGAAGGAGATGGGTAAGACAATTCCGTTCCTTGAGTCGCTTTATCTCCTCTTGCTAGACAGCTTCGCTGTAGCAGATGATGTCATTGATGTGATAACGAGTAACGAGATGGGACGTGATAGGACGGACGGATTACATTAATGAACTGGTGGAAATACCCGTCATCCCTGACGGACTCGGAAGGGAATATTAGCGAATTAGCGATTTGAGCTGTTTGAAATTCGTTCCAGACACTCAAAATTGTCCTCAATCAGTGACGGGATGGGGCGCCCTAGGCTCCACCATGGACTACATTTCTTCCGAGACTGTCAGTTTTCGTGCTCGTGCTGCGCTATTGAGCTCAAAACAACTATCCAGTCATATTTAGGTTACATGAGTTTGGAGTTCTGCCAGGTTCCGCCGCGCCCCCTGTACCTGAGCTCTGCCATATGCATTGCCAGGCACAACCGGTTCTGCCAACAACATCACTTGCCGTAGAATGAGAAGTAAGTTGCTAAGCTGACCTAGAGCGGTGGCAATCCGCCGACATCGCAGATAGAGTCATCTGTTCGAGAAGGAATTTTAGCTGAATAGGTTCTTCCTTAGTCCATCGCTGTCGGAAGAACAATATTCAGCACATAAAAGAAAGGCGTCTTCCTACTGTGCCCTTCAGATTTATTTGATCCCATATCACATCCTCGCGAACAATGCGATTCTCTTTTGTACTCGTCATTGTTGCTGCTTTGACAACATCAATATCTGCCAGCGACACTGACACTGACCACTGTCCTTATGCGTGCAAGCGTACCAGTGACTGCTCAGCCTGCCATAGGCCTGTATGCGTGAGTTATGAGTAGCTTGCGTCTTGGATTTAACCACATGACTCACCGGCGTGGTAGTACATCTTCAAATGTGTTTCTGCCTCCACATCAGTGTAGTATGGTTGATGGGTGACACGACGCGTAAAGCCTGGATTGGTGGATGCTCGACATTGGGGGGTGGGCTTTGGTGGTGGTGGAGGCGAAGTTTTTTTTTTGGGGGGGATCAGGAAGTGGGATGATGTCTACTTTGTTTGGTGAGGAGCCTGGAGGTTGAGAAGTCCTGTGGTGTCAGAGCGAGCTAGCGGATTGTACAGATCCGGTTTTCTATTGGCTTGCTCAGCTAAAAATAATTGAGAAAGGACGGGATGCTCACCATGGATCTGGATGTGCTGTGGACAACTTGGAGTCAAGCTATCGAGCAGCTGTACAATTTCATCAAGTGGTCTCGGTTTGACTTTGAAAGAAAGAGGGGATGTCTTGTTACCTAGTACTTACTTCAAGTTGAAGCACTGGGATGTGACTTCCTGGTACTCGAAGGCAGACCCTGACGATGGGATACACGCCTATCATGATGATCGTATAGTGCTGCCTTCTAAGGGGCACGTTCCTGGTGCTCACCGACCAATCAAGGGAAGACAGATCGTTCATTGTAGAGAGCCTCCTCGCAAATTCTGTTCGCCAAATTAAAAATTAATGATAACAATTATAACATGAACAGCATTTTGAAATACAGGTTAATCGCAACCACCAAGACAAGTCCCGGAACTAAGATAGAAGTTGCAAGGAGCGGTTCCCGCCCAAAGAGCCAACATGTGGATTGAACGGCCTGAGATAGACCAAAGAAAATGAATAACATATCTAACCACGACAAGACGCGGGCCCGTACATGCTGAGGCCAGTTATGCAATCTTCGCCGTCTCACTTGTACATTGTTGCCCTCACCCGTACCTAGAGCCCATTTCCCGAAGATGACGGCAGTGACAATGAAAGGGGGAATGAAGAAACACGCGTCCATCACTCCTTGTAACGCTAAAAACGTGAATGAAGGCGCTGCGAAGACCGAAATGAACGTATCGCGTGTGAACGTGCCATTGCTAATGATAGTGGAAGACGTCATTGAGACCAGCTACAAGGGTTGTGTGTCTGGGGTATAGACGGGAGCCGGCCTGGGTGGTGGCGAACTTGTTTATGAATGTGACAGCAACCGCCTAAGTGACAAATTTTAGTTGCATTGTGGAAGGACAATTCGAGAACTAACGGAGGGTAAGAGCAGGTTCAATGACCTGTCGATAGTTCGCATTCTACGCTCCTCTTGAGCGCAAGATTCCGCCTCTCGTGACCGTTGCGTCTCGGCGGCAACGTCATGCAACTCGAGGACATGATTCTGGGAATGGCCCAACCTAGGAGGCAATTAACTGAGAGCAAGACACGTCGTTGTTCGACCAAGAAACCTACCCGTCCGCCGCTCCAAGCTGACCGTCGAGCTGAGTTGGGTAGGCGGCCATTAGTTCGCTGCCCTACTACTAGTGAGAGGGGTCGAGGTAGAACCTCTTGATGATACCTTATATTTGTCACAGGGCGCTTTCGTGACAGCTGACACGAAGTGTCACGAAAGGTAATTTTGCTTGTTCGAAAAGGCAACTGCACCTCCCCAATTCAAAGTCACAGGACGCGACTTTGCAGCAAAGGCGTACTTATGTTCGTTGTCATCTTGACTAGTCGTCGTGCGTATTTCCGGCTTATTAGAGCAATCGCCGTACGCATTGGATAGACATAGGTAGCCACTGGCTAGTAATATCAAGCAAGCACACCGATTTCAGGGTCTCCAGTTTGACGATTTAGCGTATCTTAGGTTCAGCAGGGCTTGGAAGTTCCTCGAGACGGTTGGTGATAAAACACCCCACAGAACCATCTCAACAGCGGCCAATTTAGCATCCCAAACCCATAAACAAAGTCTTCTCCATTGCATGTGTCACTGCACACACAAGGGAAATATCCTTTAGACGAATTACGGTGGGTCTTCGTGTTGGTCTTGCATTTTGCGTTTCTGGTACTTACGAGCGCGGGTAGCTCATCCTTGAATGGTAAGATTGATGGACGGTCTTGTTTCATAGAGTTCCTCGCAGAAAGAGGAAGCACAGCCTGTTCTAAGTGATATAATTAGTGATAAGTTACCATGCAATAAAAGGTAGAATGTCATGAGTTTCTGCTGTTTGTTATGCATACAACATATAAGGTCCAGCCACCAAGAAAAAAAACCATAACGGCACAAGTTACCACGAGTGGATGCCGTGGCGCGAGCCAACATATGCAGTAGAGGATTTGGGACAGAGCGAGTATAGTATGCAACGCAAATAACCACGACAAGATACGAGCTTGCACATGTTTAGGCCAGCTGCGCAAAGGCCTCACTTGCGCACCGCGGTCCTCGTTCGCACTCATGGCGAAGTGACCTAGAGCCCACTTCCCGAAGATAGCGGCAGCGACAACGAAAGGGGGGACGGAGAGACACGCGTCTATCACGCCTTGTAAAACCAAAAATGGGAATGAAGGCGCTGCGAAGACTGAAAGAAATGTTCCACTCGTGAACGTGCCGTTGCTGATGGTGCGGAAGACGTCGTTGACCCCGGCCACAAGGGTTGTATGGCTGGGGTATAAGCGAAATACGGGCTGCGAGGTAGCGAATTTATTTATGTATGCGGTAGCACCGGCCTTAGTGCCAAGATTCAGGTGCGTTCCGGAAGAAACCCTCAAGAACTCACGCCGAGTAAGACCTGGTTTAATAACTTGTCAAGTGCTTTCATTCTCAACTCCTCTTCAGCATAATTTCTGGCCTCCAATAGTCGTTGTTTCAGCGTTTCGGCAACATCATGCAACTCGGAGACGCATTCCTGAGAATGAGGCCTATGAGGTATTTAACATAGATCAAGACACGCCGTCTTTCGACCAGAAACTTACCCGTCCATCGCCCCAAGCTGACCGTTGAACTCAGTTGGGTAGTCATCCATTATTTCGCGTGCAGATGCTGAGGGTGCTCAAAGTGAAACCTCTGAAGTGAACTGACGTTTGTGAGGATTTCCCCCCGATGACGTAACGTCGGCATCAGTATCCGCGTAGCAACTTCCCCGCAGCCTGCAACTTGAATGATTGCTTGGTGCTGGTGATTGCAGCTGCGATTGCTTTGCCATGGTCAGCCCGGTGAGTTTATTGTTTAGCATCGCTCTCTCGCATGTGGGGGTTGAACATTGAACGTCGACGTTTGGCAGGTGCTCTTTGATCCGTCGAATTCAAGTGATGAAGGCTGTTGTCCTGATGAGTCCCTGTTCGCCATTTACCACTCCACCCAAGCCTCTTCCGCCACGCAAAATTTTATAGGCGCATTGCCCATAGAGCTCTTGCTGGCAATATTTACGCATCTTTATCGGTCGTCTCGTCGTCTCACTCACAGTGGAGAGACGTGGGGATTAGACAATCCTCTTTCCTCGTTGTTCCCCTATGCCCCGGCCGCAGTATGTTCGATGTGGCGTTCGGTATTGTCACTTGTTCCAGAGTTCTGGACTCGTGTGGTCATTAGAGTTGACTCTCAACGTACCCAAAGTCGAGATATTCGACGTTATTTCAAGTGGTCAAGGAATCTTCATCTGGATGTCATCATCACCAGACATCGCGATGAATTCGAAGGAGATGACAAGAAGGAGAAGTCAAATGTCCTCAAGGCAACCCGCGAGCTCGTTAGGCACATTGAGCGATGTAGAAGCATCCGCTTCAACGTGATGTACAGCTCATCATTGCCGTCCATACTCCACCATTTTCATCAGAAAAAGGCTCCCCACCTGCAGACGTTGAAGCTCAAATGTAAAGTGGACGATGGTGGATCCCCGCCTCTGAAGCTTGTGCATTGGAGCTTTGATGCACCCGATCTTCGCCACCTTTATCTAGACGCCCGCAATTTCTTCGATGTCTGTGTAGACCGTAACAACTGGCTCAAACGTCTATCCAACTTACACTCGCTTTCAATTTCCCGCTATCGCCATATATCAAAGCGGGGCATAGATCTGTACAAGCTGTTAAGGGCAATTGGGGAATCCCCTTCCGTCGAATGCTTGGAACTGAAGGACTTGCACTTCTCCAGAGTGCGTCCTTGGACTGCATTGAATGATATTATCTTAGATCTGGTATCTATGAATCTGGAGGACCTATCCGGCGACGTGTTCTCAGAAATCATCGGCTTTGTCGACAGTGGCCCAGTTGCAACTCGCATTTCTCGTTGCGCTATTAACGCTTGCCGTTTCTCCCTAATCTCTTACCGCGTCGCCTTTCACGATCTCTCAGCCGATCAAGACCTGATGGTTCCTCTTACACATTGGCGCGGACGCACACTCTCGCTTGTCAATTGTGCATGTTTCCATGATGATTTCCTGCGAGACATGATGGACGGAGGACTACACGACCAATCCTTCGCGTGCAAGGCGGCGAAAGAGTTATACATTGTCAACTGCATGAACTTTTCTCCAGGACTGCTCAAGACTATGGTGCTAAAGCGAAGAAAGATAGCACGCAGATGCCTTTTCTGGACCCACGATCAAGAAACTCTTAATTGGACATTTCCAATTGTGGCGCCCATTACATTGATATCAGTCGAGGGTGGACCGGTGTTATCCAAGAAGGACAGGAGGTGGTTTGAAGAGAATCTTCAGTCGTTTCACTGGGATGAGGAAGTGTTGGACAGTCAGTTCGAGGGCCCTGGAGATAGTGACACTGACATTTGAAATAGTCGTGGAGTCCACCCGTTCCAGGATGCTGGGGATAGTAGCTTGAATGACCAATTCTCTAAGTATATAACGCTTGAATACGGTTGATATAAATATTCGCTCTCTTTCCATTTGACTGATTTAACAGTCCGCAAAAGGTGAGCGAGAGTACCAAGAATGCTCATGGTGTGCTTCGGTCGCATCCGGAGAACGCACTGGATGTCCTGGGACCTGGAGGCAGTTACAAGTTCGTTGTCCCGCCTAACCTCCACCCACTGGGCGGAATGACGATAATCACACTTACTTATCAACCCACGGTGTACTGTCAGGTACTTTTTAATACATCTCTCGCGGTGAAAGAAGTCATTTAGACAGGTACGATGCTGATTTTTATCTGCGCTGAGTTATAAAGTCTCTTTGCTCCGTCCTTTTCCTCACCAAATATTCTTCGTTAGTTTGGTAACCCGTTTGAAGCGTCACTCGTTCTGTGCCAAAATACATAGATTTAATTTCCATATTACGACCTGAAATTTGCCAATCAGCCATACTGAAGACGAAATGATGATGTATGAGGGCGTAAAACCGTTGGAAAGGGGGAAATGTAAAAGGACTAACATGCATAACGGCAATGTCTGTGTAATGATTTTAGAAGTCAAAACTTTTGTTAAGATCTTCGTGCAGAAGTTCCCGCATCCCGGGGGGTAAAATGGGTTCCTTGCCGTTGACAATATACCCTATTGCAATTCCACGATGGCAGCGGGTTCAAGATGCGGTTAGTCCTGACGTAACGCAATTCAGCGGTCTCACTGACGAAAAGGCATTTCAACGCTTTCTTTAGCATTGAATGTGATAGTTGGAAAGTCCTAAAACAAGATAGGCTATGCTCGTTATGCCCGCGAATTTCGGTGTGACGCACAATGTATGGTATCGCATTCAGCTGCACTATAAACATATCGAGACGGTTCCACTGCGAAAAAAAACTGCGAGAATCACCTTTGTCATCGACAACCCGCTTTGTTACTCCGAGCGCGGTATCTGTTGTCATCTGCGTTGGACCCAGATGACGCGTAGGGAATCCAAGTTGGCGGAGCTCTGATGTTCTGTCCCGAGGGGGATCATCACCTGGTGTGAAATTTCCAGAATAATCTGATAAGCAAGGAGGATGTGCTCACCTAGTATACCCTTACGCCCAGAAGTGAAGCTTATCAGTGAGCCTGAGGTGTCAGTGGATACTGATCTCACCCCAAACAAGAAATAAGTCGAAAATGTTGCCATCTTCTGGGGCGAGCGCTGTTTGGGCTTTTGGGTCAAGAAGACATACCCTTGTAATTGAAATATATTTTTGCTCCAACAACTCCAAGACTGACTTCGTATGGACTTCGTGTGAGGCAGCGGGTTCATTGATGGAGGACAACCGGGCATCGAGCGATAAACCAGAGTTGTGCGATAGATGCGTAAACTCAACTCGACCATTGATGCCAGCCAACATGATCATGTGCTAGAACAACCTTCAGTCCTCGAGAAAATTGCGTTGAGGGTCCACGTGCCGCATATTCCAGCTCAACCCAAGGCGGTAGTGATTTTGGCGTCGTCTCATCCTCCTCCATGTGTTCTGCATAGATAGTACATGAACCTGTTTTTCCTTCACCAGGCTCCAAGGATCATGATTGTGACCCACCGATCACGTATGTGAATGTCATGATTAACGGTGCGATTTCCGATGGCGCCACCTCCCGTCACTTCCGAATCAACTTTTCGGATGAAGATGTCAATCAGATCATGGTGTGAACCAATCTGTATTTACCTTGGAATGTGGTAGAATGCGGTTTGCTGTCACAAGCCCGCAACTTGAACACTGGATTTGGCGTCATCGGTCTCTAATATTGCTTTTCTAAATCAGGACAATTTTCGGTTCATGCTGTGCTTCTTTTCCGTGTGCCTCGCTCTCGCTGCCCAAACTGTAGGTAAGTACAAGTAAATGGGCTTTCGTCATAAATTTCAGACGCCCATTTCTAACATCCTATTCAGTGCAGGGTTGTCACTTTCAGGACAGTTGAGTAACCTTGTGTTACCGTTGAGGTTTCCATGCACGATTTCATCGGCATAATGTGAAGCTTCACACCGATGACACGATTCAATCGGACATACTCAACAGAGTAATCTTCCTTTCCCTGGCACGAGCCCGTTTTCCGTGTTACAATGTGAGTACCAAGCCTACCTAAGCTCCGGATATGTATGTTTCGACTCACCTGAATTTCTTACTCGGAATCAGCCAGCAGGACAACAGCATGATATATAATAAGACATTGGCACCTTGGAGCTAATTCGAAATTGCTACCACAGTTCTCCAGATACAATGTCTACCCCCAAATTCAGGATCGCTATCTGGTGAGCTGTCTTCAGCTTGTTAGTCGTAGTCATGCTCATTATAATACTCCCCTAGCGGAGGGGGGGTTGGCGGTTTGACATTAGCCGTTGCTTTGTCCCGGTACCCGGATATTATCGTCGACGTATATGAAGCCGCTCAGAGCTTTTATGAGATTGGTGCTGGTGTCGGTATCTGGCCCAGGGCGTTCAAGGTACAGATCTCGGAAACTAAAAGATATACTAACCCCAGACAATCATTCAGGTCTTACGAAAATTTGGGCCTGACTTGGAGCAGCAACTGCTTCAGTGCTGCGGTTACGAATGTCGGACAGAAGAATATGGTCAGTGATAATCGTATACGATAGACATTCAAATTCACTGAGAGAATTTTCAGTCTTAGCTGCTAAACACCGTAAAGGCGATCAAGCCGTCGGCACTGAGTTGTTCGACTTGATGACGAAAGGTCAACTTTCCTCTGCATTCCTCTGCATCTCACCCTGACCACGGCTGGTGGAGCAGGCGATCTTATGCGTTTTCATCGAGCCCAATTCCATGGCGTGCTTCTCTCACATGTCTCACCGTCCTGCACAACGCACAACGCCAAGCGACTGAAATCATACACTCAGCCCTTCAAAGGCCGTTCAAGAAATACACCAATTACGCTGACATTTACGGATGGATCCACTGCGACATGCGATGTTTTAATTGGTGCCGACGGCATCAAATCCGCAGTCCGGTCCTGCATGTTGCGTGAATTGTCCAAGGGCATGAATCCCGATGAAAAACAATCTGTGCTCTCTTGCATCAACCCAGTCTGGAGTGGCGTTACTGCATACCGGACACTAATTTCCGCAGAGAAACTGCGCGCGCGTTGTCCTGACCACCGTGGCCTGCGGGAGTTTACTACAGTAAGCGTCATTCCAGTTAAGTACATGTCACACCATTGACACGAACTTGGCGACGCCTTCATTCACAGTACATGGGAAAAGATGCTGTGAGTGAGACTCTTTAATCCATCGTGTACGTTGTGCTGAGGCCGATGCATTATAGTGCCTGGTTGTATACCCAATTTCTCTTGGGCAATACGTCAACTTTGCAGGTTTCACGCTTCAACGCGATCTCGTTGACACGGCCTATGAAATTGATGCGGGAATTCCTCGTCGGTCTTTCGATGGGAAGGCAAACAACGAGTGGGTTGGCGAACTCACTGCTGAACAGTTCGTCAAGCCTTTCAGACACTTCGAAGACGACGCAAAACACCTTCTCGAGGTCTGTCGTTCGTATCAGAGTCACTGCTCCCTACTGAGAATTTCTGCAGTGTGTAGAAAGAGGCACACTTTGGGCCGTGCACACCGTGAAACCATTGCCGTCCACCAATTTCGGGCGGGTCGCGCTCATAGGAGATGCTGCCCATGCAATGATGCCGTTCCAAGGCTCTGGTGCCGGTCAGAGTATCGAGGTCAGTGTTCTCCCAATTTATGCCGTGCTGATTTAATTTGATTTAATAGGATGCTTACTTCCTTGCGACCGTTCTCGGCCATAAATCCACGACTTTAGAAACGGTACCCAGGGCCCTCGCCATCTACGACAAGTTGAGAAGGCCATTCTCAGCGGATGTGGCCGCGCGCTCAAGGCTTTGTGGTCAATTGTATGCGTTTCAAACGGACGTGCCTTTGCACAAGCTCGGCGACACGATCACCAAGAATTGGGAGTGGGCATGGCTGACGGAGCTAGATGATGCTTTGAAAGAAGGTGTCAGGCTTGTAGAGGACAGTTCAATCAACATCAGCTGATATCAAAGGCAACGGATTTAATGTGCATGTGCCACATGTATGCTTCCCGCATTATTTACGCTATCATCTTAATCAATTTGCGCCAGTGTAGTTCTATGTAGCGGTGTCGGATAATAATATGCCTCTGGCAGTGGGTATAGTACGGATCGACTACAAAGAGCAGGCAATAACAGAATAAAATCCATAGATATGGCATACATCCGCGGAGGTCTATTGACCCAGGCTGATCCTATCTCCTCTTGCTCAGAATGCGAGTAATGCTCGCTTTGACGACGCCCGCTGCCTTTTCCACCTCTTTCCTCGTCAGCGCCGCAGTGGCAGCGATGCGTATAGTGGGCCTGGACTCAATCATCTCTTGTCCACGCAAGTGTTTCGCCCGCGTTAGCATCACGCCGTTCGCAACCGCATCGTCAACAATATCCTGCAGGATGCGTTCTTCAGCTTCGTGGTCATAGGTGGGCTGGGTGGCAGAAAGCGACTGTTGTTGAGTTCGCAAGCAGAAGTGTATGATAGGGCTGGCACGATGACCGAGTAACGTAATGCCTTCAGTCTTCTCCAACACGGCGCGGACGGCACGGATGTTATCTTGCAGGTTGAGAAGTACGGCAGGGTTGTTCCGGAGAAAAGTTATTGCCTCAGATCCAGAGGTTGCCAGGAGAGCAGGCATAGAAGCCGAGAATACAAAGGAGGTACCGTTAATCCGCTGCTCGATGCATCAGTACAGGATCATCCGTGTGAGCGATTCATACTTACTTGGTGATCCACTACGATAGCAGAACCAGCGCAGAAGCCACCCGCAGAACAAAGACCGTTAGCAACAGAGCCTACGAGCATATCGATTTGCGACGCCTGAGGATGTTCACGTGAGCTATATCCTCACTGGAAGGAGGAGCGAACCTACCGGAACATTGTACAACTCCGTCAGACCACGACCAGTGCGGCCCATGGTTCCGAAAGAAATGCTTTCATCTAGGATGAGGCGGTACTTGTACTTCAGCTTAAGCTCGACCTGCGAACCAAAATTGAGTGAACATGACACTTTACAGCTTTGAATGTATAAGCAACAAACCAGTTGAGGAAGATCCACCATTTCGCCGTCGCGCTCAAATATACCTTCAGTAATGATGAATCTACGCGTAAGAGGACCTTTGCGTTTCTTCCTCTCCTTCTCCACACTAATAAGGGTGTCCTCGAGACTCTTGAGATCATTGTGATCGAACCAGCGAACAGTTGAACGGGATATGAGAATGCCTTTTTGGATTGCGAAGTTCACGGAACGATCAGCGACGATGATATCCCCGCGTTTGCAAAAGGCGGGAATAACGGACGAAATGGTTGAAAAGCCCTGTGAGTAGAGGATAGAAGCCTCTGTCCCCAGGAACTCGGCGATATCGCGTTCAAGGTCGAGATGGACATCTAATACATATTGCAGGTTAGACTCCAACCGTACGTCGCTACCAGCCACATTCACCAATGGTTCCGTAAAATCCAGGGGGTCCACAGCTTCCGAGGCCATATTTCTGAAGCGTTTCGAGAGCGCGCTCCTTGATCTTCTCATTGCCTGCTAGTCCGGCAAAGTTGAAGCTGGCGAGGTTGGTCACGATTTTACCAGTTGCGAGAAGCTTTGGTTTGGGGCCGTTGGGGCCAGAAATGATGGGCACTGAGCTAAGATCTTTCTGTTCCCACTCGCTGAGAGGTTGTACAAGAGGTTCCGGTGCCCACTCGTCCACTAGTTCGTCAATTTCCTGGAAAGATGTCAGTTAGGGACGAAGAACTGCTAACCAAACAACCTTTTCAGAAAACTTGATGAAATGTTTGCCCGACCTATCAGCGCGTGTCCTAGACTGTAGTAGCGTCCTTATGGCGAAAACGACGAGAATAAGCTCGAGAATTGTTCGTCCAGGATCGTTTTGATGGGAAGACTTGACATATCGTGCAACGACTGCTGAGCCTGGAATTCTATAAAAGCCAGACTCCAGTTTTGACAAAGAGAACGTCAGGAATGAGAGCAGAGGCTCAAGTGCTACGGAGGTCGAACTTTCCATCGTGAAGAAAGTTGATGTTACGGTCCGACGTGTGAGCAAGTGTTGATAGACTTATATAATCACTAGTACTTAGTCACCAGCCAATCATTAGTTGCCAGCAAGCTGCCAGCGGGGAATTATGATGAGTCCTGAACTGTCCTGGAGAGCTTGCAACCAAGGCTGAGCCGCGCTCAATAAGTGAACAGCTTTCCATAAGATAAGACTCTTTTACCATAAAACGTTGATGTAACGCAGTCGATATTCAAAATTACCTTATAAGTAGACTCCTAAGTACCCTTTTTACCTACATCGACATGGACAGCGAAGACAAGGAGGTGATGAAATCAAATGACCAACTTACGAGCTCTTCCGATCTTGCGTTCGACCACTCGTACCACACCCCGACAGCAGCCCGTCATCGTCACCGTGTCGTGACCTGGAGGCGCCCCAAGGTCCAGTAATTTCAATAAGATGCTATCTGCGCCTATTTTGACAACTGTTTTTCAAAAGCTAAGCATACTAGACCGCTTGCTGACACCAGCCATAGTGATATGCATGATTGTCGGGGTATTCATTGGCGAGTTCGTACCTGGCGTACAGCAGGCGTTTGACACCGTCAGGTTCTACAGCGTCTCCGTTCGTAAGCGCAAATATTGCGTGTTGTGCCCAACGAGACTACGGCCCCAAGCGCTTTATCGTACTGGTTTGTCCAGTTCGTTTAAACCTCTCCCTTGACTGTGACCATTGAAGAAGCGCAAAACATTTGATAATCCCACTCACCAGCAGTCGCATTGCTCCGATTACGAAAAAGCTAGAAGGAGACTGAAAGCCTCAGCCTCAAGGTCAAGCCACGAAAATTTACATTAACAAACTACATGTCTTGGGTCCACTGTGACGCTGCATCGGAAGGACTATCTTCCTGCGTCTATATGCCTCATAGGGTTAACGGGACTGGTCACGAGTCTAATCAATAATGGCGGCTGCCAGCTCACGTTCTAGTTGATCAGGCGCTTTGTGGCCAGCACACGACACATCCACTACAAAAGGCGACACACACCTCAGTAAGTCACGTAGAACAATACTGAGGTGTTATGCGGGCGACACGAACTATATACGACAGACCGTGAGATTAGGTAAGGAACCAGGGAAACGATGTGCGGAGAGAGTTCGTGTGGGCAAGAAGCAAGAAGCTGTCAAGACTAAAGCGTTACATGTGGTGTCGATGGTGATAACGTCAAGACAGTAATACGAGATCTAAAAGGTAAAAGTCAAACTGTCAACAATTGTCACTATCCCCTGCGTTTGAATCCTCACTGCCGTCCTGTCTCTCTAGCTTCTGAACAATGGTTTTTCACCGAGGCGCATGTTGTAGAGCCCCGAGCTTGCGCTTCAGTGATTTAACAGCAGCTTGCTACCCTACTGCGGATGCTTTCCATCCCCGAGTCTGGTCACTGGAGCCTATGCTTGAGTCAACTCGGATGATATGGTCTAGAAATACTAACCAACATCTCTAAGAAATACGTAAGTGTGCTCTTACCCAACTCTTGGCAATCGCCACTGATGTGGCCGGCCTACATAAGTAGTGGTAGGCTGATGGAACATGAATTAATTAATACCCTCCCTCCTTCCACCTCTATGTCCGCCACAGCCCAAAATACCCAAACCATGTCATTACGACCATGTTCACCTGTCGATACTAGCCTTCCAACCAGCGAGTGAGTGGCAAGCTAGATTGAGTTAAGTGTAACACTCATGGATCCACAGGGATGAGGTCAAGCCGCATACGGTGATTGAAGAACCTGTCGTAGTCATCGAGGGAGAGCTTGCTAAGAATATGTGAATATCAACCAATCAACATGGATAGTTCATGTCTGACCATATTATGTCGAAGGTCAAGTACCCTGGAACAGATTCTCGATATCCTTCGGGGGTCTACTATTGTGGAAGAGCGTGGCAAAGATGTCGATTCAAAGTTCTGGGCGACGTACAAGAAAGTTGCGAATGAGCACGACGATGATTTCCTCGCCAGGGCGAATGATGATATGGGAATTATATTGACCTTTGTGCGTTCAGTTCTAAACTTGTCAATGTAATTCTAACAGACAAATCAGGCTGGTCTATTCTCAGCCGTCAACTCTGCCTTCATCATCGGAATGCAGCCTAGCCCGGGGGAGACTACAAATACCCTCTTGCTGCATCTGATCCAGATCACTGCTGACCCAAATGCTGCACATGACATCAGTAATCTTTCCTCGTCCACGGGCTATTCCTCTTCGACTCTCTGGATGCAGGCGCTTGGCTATGCTAGCCTCGCAACTAGTGTCATGGCGGCGTTTGGGGCTGTGTTGGGGAAGCAATGGCTCAACTCATACAAGGCAGGTCGGGGACGAGGGTCTCTGGAGGAACGTTGCATACAGCGGCAGATGAAACTGGATGGGCTAGAGCGTTTTCACCTTCCGACGGTCTTGCAGGTGTTCCTTGTGCTCCTCCAGATTTCGCTGCTTCTCTTTGGCTTGTCTCTCAGCGCCAACATGTGGATCCAGCAAACGACGATATCCAGTGTCATTATCTGCACCACAGCTTTCGGCATGCTCTTCTATGCAGTCACTATCTTCGTGTCAGTGTGGCGTGCAGACAGTCCTTTCCAGACACCAGGGTCGGAGATAGTTGGTGCTCTCTGCAAAAGATGCCTTCAAGTCAGATCAACGTTGACTCATAACATATTCAGTAAATCGTCCGCTATACGCTGGATCCTGGAGACATCAACGAACCCGGAAGTCGTCGAGGCTGCGGCTGCGATGATACCTCTCACGCAATGGTCGCGGGAGCTTGATGCTTCTGCGGCATACGCACGATTACGTGATAACTTCTCGGCGTGTCGTGACAGTGAAGAACTGTTTGTGAAGTGTGGCAAGGCCATGGCCCATCTTTGCAGCCAGTCGGTGAAAATCCATCGAGTGCTTCTGTTGAAATCTTTGAACATATGGCATTATTGGGGAGGCAAGAGTCGCTTTCTTCGTGATGCGTTCATGGATAGCCGCCTCGCCTGCCATCAGCTCAATAATACAAAGGAGGAAGATGCTCGACGGAAGCATAAGGCCGATGTACGCACCGCTCTCAGAACAATGGTTGTCCATGGATTATTCGATCGTCTTTCACTTCCGGACAATGAAAAATTGATTTGGCAGGGTGATCTGCGATGGCGTCACAGCAATGGGCTCGTCCCCGGCTGTGAAGAATTTGACTGGCTTATCGATTACCTAGTGGATGAAGCGGACGACGAACCAGACGAAGCAACGCAAGGTGATGCCCTACTCGTGCTAAATGCCATGCGCGGACTAGGAAGCTCTGCCAAGCAACAATCGTACATCAAAGCGCTTACCCTTTGTATGGGCCCCACCAGACCTCCCCGAGTCCGACATGCTGCACTTAAAGCCATTTCTGACGCTCGAGGAGAAATAGTTTCTATCACCGACAGCCATGACAATGCAAAACTCCTGGATGACCTGTCTTGCGCTCTTTTCACTGCCGTATGTCCCAATCACGACCAGACAATCCACGACACCGGACCCGATGCTTTTTTCAACGCAGATCGAGACCATTGCTACTTCCGCCTCGTCTTTGCCCTAGCAAAGCACGACGAATGGCGCCAACGTCTGACCCGCGATGGCCATCTCGAGCGTTGCATTTCTCTGTTTGACGAAGTTTTGGAATGCGAGACATGGACTCTCGCATGCTACCTTATTGGGATCTTCATGCGCATCGATCCCTCAGACAGGGTTCTTCCTTTCAGCCCTACGAAGGAGAAGTGGCGGATGATCGTCAGAAAATCATGGAGGCACACACGCTATCTCATGCTGCGCGACTTTGTCGAGACGCTACCAGCCCTCGTGACAGTGACGAGACAGAATTTTACAGGCTCGAATGATGGCGTTTCCAGCGAGGAGTTAACAGATCTCGCCGAAGATGTGCATCGATATTTGGCCAAATTGCAGGACAGACAAGCAATCCTTGTGAATAGTGAGGCAGATAGTCTATTTGACGTTGCGCTATCCTCTGTACAGGGCTTGTACGACGATCTAAGTCATATGATTGAGACCCAGAAGACTTCGTAAAGAGACGACCTGTCTTTGTGGGCAATATTGCGGAAGAATGTGCGGACACACCAGGATATATATATATACATTATCTTCATCTATATAGTCAATCTAGAACACCTTAGCTACCTCCTGTATACGCTACATAGTTATCACATGCACCACATAATATACCTATTCTACTCTGCTCATTGGCATGCTCGGCACAGTTCGGCATCAGATGTTTTGCACAGCGTCACGTCCATGTCACATCATGTGAGGTTCGACGGTTTTGCATGACGTCTACCTTACAAGTCATCACCTTGCTAAGTTGCTGACTGTTCGCGCGTACGAGGGAACGATTGATTTCCTTCTGTTGGCAATCCATCTGTGACTAGTTTTTGCGACGACTTCGATTTCGCATTTTCTCAGAGCTCCATCCCATCGTCTTAGAGCAATGGCGACCTCACCTTCTCGCAAGGCCATACAAACCCTCTACGCCTCTACTCTGCGGACAGCGGAATCGTTCAGTTCGTACAACTTCCGCCACTATTTTGTTTTGAGAACGAAGGACACATTCAATGGGATGCAAGTGCGTTTTGACCGTGTAATTCGACATGGATAGGATCATGATGTTATTGACTTAGGCGGAACAAGATCCCATTAAGCTTTCACAAGCATATGATAAGGCTGTGAAGGAGCTTGCAGTATTGAGACGCAGCGCAGTTAGTCAATCAGTTGTATGGCGGCTTGCGGCTGGCAGTTGAAGAACAGGGCGACGTGCGTACCCGAGGGGATACGTGAACGAAGATATCAGGCACTGTGGATGATGAAAGCATATTAGATACTAGAGATTTGCCGCCTCAGCCTTAGAATGGCGTTCGCCTGGGTATGGACATGGAGGGTTTGTGTCAATTCACGGTGTATTGTACCATGATCTGCGGAATGCATATAGTATCATGAAGGTTTGTTGTCGCCTCCTGAATTACTTGAGCTTGAAGATCCGTTCCATGGCCACTTAATATACCTCCACCAACCTGAAGCCAGACCGTGACGAAGAACTTTGGGGCATTTGCCCGTCAACCGCTTTGGAGGTCGAAACTTCCCTTGGCAATATTCGTGTTCAAATCCCTCCCTGATACAGCCTCTTGAGTTTCTTTCCACTGCTTTTCCGCATCTTTTAGGCGGTCCTCAAACTCCTTTCGCTCCCTGCCGGCACGAGATTCCCTATGCGCCTGTATCTCGTCGAGTTGTCTCGTCTGTTTCGTTTCATCACCGGCATTCGAGCTCATTACATAGGTTCCTGCACAAACAGCGGCGATAGTTGCACCTTGAGCGATGACGCGAACACGTAGCCAGTTGTTCAAAGATTGGGAGTCACCGCGTCTCATTTTCACCACTGCAATTATCAGTGCACTGCATGTCACAAGAGTACCTGCAGGTACACCGCGGACGGTCAATTTGGAAGTGCACAATCAGAGAGCACGGCTCTGATACGAACCAATAGGGACTAATGGTTGTTCTCTGAATTTTCTCCAAGCCTTCTCCTGGTAGGACTCCCCCGTGTGAAGGCTCGGGGTGGTGGGAACAGCAGCGGGAGAGGTGGACATCCCGAATGGTCCGTCAAGTACCGGGAGACGAACACAAGTCGATGTGATCAGTCCTTCGAGGTATGGTTATGTAAGCGGCTTCTGAGGACATTGCAAAACTCCATGTATGAAATCTACCCTTGGCGTCGAATAAACCGACTTACCACATGGATTCCAGCTCCAGTACTAGTCTCCGAGACCGGTAAATTAGTACTATAGTACCCAGGTCCTCAGATCAGATGTTCAAATTTGTACGTCGTCGTCGGCAGTGCAATCGAATAACCTTTCAGCGAGGAGTGAAAGGCCTCCTCAACAATGAGCTTGGCACTCCCCACAGCTGTGCGGCATCATATTCCTTTTCTATCACATAGGACGTTAGACAGCTGGTGAGGCGTATCATTGTATCATACCACACTCATTTGTTTGTGTAGGAGTCAATTGATGGCGCTGACGATAATTGACATTTACTGACTTGTGGTTGCAGTGTGCGTTGATTATTCTACGCATATGCTTCCACAAGCTCGTCCACCGTTCCACAGATGCGGTGACTTGTGGCATTGTTTGGTCACCGTGATTACTTTGTGGGTGTTTTAAGACAATCACGACATGGCGCGTCCACAACGCGTTGTGGATTTACCAGCTGGCCATTAAATACGTTGGTTAAATTGCTCCTTGACCGAACAAGATATTATTCTCCCCCTTGTCCTCATAGATCATGTTGCCTGGCGGTCGCCTGCGTCTTGGTCCGAACGTAACTCTCAAGTTAATCACTTCGTCATCTCCGTCGAAGGGACAACTATTATATGCTTCAGATGCAACACAAGCGGTTCGAGTACCACGTCCTCAGGATACAGTTCCCACCGAAATTGCTATTCCCCCCTGCGACAGTCAGCAAACCAAGCGTCTACAGCCTTGTGACAACTCCGCCTCAGTACTCCCCTCAGTGGAGGAATTGGCGGGCCCGACAGAAACAGATTTAATGCTCGGGGTCGAATCCGACAAATCTGGTATTGCACCTCTGGAGGATAATGACCTAGCGCATCTCCCCTCAGAAACCCTCAACCTTCAGTACCCGTCTGGCTGGGAGCTTTCCCGCTCTCCTCCCTCTCGTTACATCCGAGGCCCCTTCCGTGTTCTGCGCGTTTTGGCAAAGGGCGCTTTTGCAAGAGCTGTGGGAGCTGAAGACGTGGCATCGCAGCGCGTGCTGTGTCTGAAGGTTTTTGAGCCGGAGACTCTGAAGGATTATCGTACTGTAGATGGCCTTTTGAGGGAGCTGGACGTATACAAGCGCATCGCGACCTCGGAGAGTTGTCTCGGAAGTATCTTCCTTATGAAATTGGAAATGTCTTTTCGAACAGCAGACACCATTTGTTTTGCCATGGTACGTGCTTCTTCCGCCCCAACATTGTCAGTCTTTTGACTCCGTTGCGCATCTGCGCGTTTCTAGGACTTGATGGCGGGCGACCTTTACTTCTATATCGTTAACTATCCTGCATACACTGAGCAGAATGCTCGCAGATGGAGTGCTCAACTAGTAAGTAGTTGCCCTTGCTGGCTATGTATTGGATGTCTCACGCGTCCGATTTTTGAAGGCTCTCGGCATCAACGCTCTTCACAACATGGGCATCCTCCACCGCGACATCAAGGTTGAAAATGTTCTAATCGATACGCGCGAGAACGTCCAAATTGCAGACTTCGGGCTCTCTTATATTCATTGGAAGCCCTTGGATCACGTGGGACGCTATGCCTCGGACGTAAAGGGAACTATCCAGTGCATGGCGCCCGAGATACTGTCGAACGCGAAAAAATCATATCGTACAAAATACGGAATCGCTGTGGACTGGTGGGCGTTCGGGTGTGTCGTTTATGAGCTCTTGTCTCGGGATCATCAGGCATGTTTCGTCGTTGCTTTCTTACAACCTTACTGATATGATCTTCTCAGTCGCTCTTTCCTACGGCAGAGGCCGTAATGGACTACGTTTCTTGGCACTCGAGAAATCATGGAAGAGCCCATTCGTTCCCTGCATTTGGTGCACTTGATCCATCTTTGATTGATTTAGTGGCAGGGGTAAACTTTATCATCGTTCCTTTTTCAACCCGATCGCTTATGTACTATGATAGCTCGTCAGACCTAATGCCATGTTCCGGTATGGATTCCAAAGCGTCAAGAATCACCCATGGTTCGTTAGCGATGGCGTCTCAGAATTTGATGGCGCCTGCTATCATGGTCGGTGCAACCTAATTTCTCTCTGAATATGTTACTAAATGTTTATTGCAGCTGCTCGGCGTAGCAATTGGCCGGAGATGCTACCTGACTTACGGCGTGGAGAGGGTCAACAACCGAGCTACCTGATCCCCATGGATCCTCGACCCACTCACGGCGGTCACTGGTCGATTCAACATTTACATGTAGATTGGAGGAATCCCAGGTCTGGGTTTGTCCATCCTCGATGAGGTCCTTCAGGTTGTAGTTTTTATTGCCGAGCTCTGCGTTCCCAGTTCTCCTTACCACTGCGCCTCCATTCTATCTTGCTACAAATAACACCCATATGCCCATTGATTGTAGACACATTGGCGCACTGTGTTCCCCCCTTTTGTTCTTCACATACATATTTTGATCCACGCCTTACACATGCTGCATCTCAGTATCTTTCCTTATCCCAAGGCGGCAGAATCGGCATGGATACGGAGGTTTTATGCGACCCGGAAGATGGACAAAGCCATGCAAGGAACCTCAAATGATGGACGGGTTTGGCAAGGGCATGGTATTGATACAGCACGATGCTCGATTGCGTCTCTAGAAGGTGTGTATAAACTTGAACGTGGCCAAAGTACTAGTGCGGTTTGCATCTGACTACTAGGTCATTCGACGCGTACACTATCGCACGGGTAATGATCGACTTGTTGAATGCAGCGTCGCTGACAAGTTCCCTCTGTGCAGAGATCCTTGATTACTGGTAACTTACATATGTCCTCCCAGATCTCATACAGCAGCTCCATCGTCTGCAGCGTCTTACATGCCTCGGGAAGTACCACGTCAAAGTCGAACTCCAGCACACCAGCCAATGCGCGAGTCGTGATTGCCTCCGAGAATGTCGCGGGGTGCTCGATGGAGAGAATGATGTGGATTGCGCCAGGTAGGGGACGCCTGACACCTGTAACGTGCAGCCCTACTGAGGTGTCAGGGTTGGCCTTGTGGGATTTGGACGCGAGGATGTAGCACTCTCGAACTTCTTGACGGATCTGCACGAGTCGTGAAATGTTGGTGAAGCTCATGCTATGAAATGACCAAGCGCATCTGCGTATCATCGACTCTCGGTTGTGAAATTTCTGCAAGCTAACTCGAGCACAGAATCGGGACGACGATTATCCCATGTGCGATCTTGAAGGCCAGGTACCACAATAACCGCCCGAAGTTGCTAGACAGGATAATATACATCGCGGGTGAAAGCGTCTCATGACGCCCCCAACCGCTGCCAATGGCGAATCAGAGTCCACCTTGAACTTCTCGTATCGCCCTGCCTTCTAGAAGTGAGGGAGGATGTCATCGGCGTTGGCGGCATTGGCGAACTGACCCTATGATCGGCATGCTGGCATAATACCTTGCGATGATGTCGCTAAAATTACCATTGAGAGCTCAGTACCGGCACCGGCTGTCGGTGGTGGGAGGCACGGGCAGTGAAGTAGGAGAAGAATTATGCTGTTTGGGCGAGGATGCGAGTCCAGTCCCTGATGCTGACAGTGCCGAGGTGGTGGTTTGCGTCGAGGAGGCAAGGCAAATTCTTATTGGTTTCGTTTCGACGTGGACGGTAGAAATGCAGCGTCCCGGCATTTTCCGGGCAATAGTCAGAGCTCACCACATAAGTACATGGCACCTGGAAAGCCAGCCAAAGCTATCAGAATCAAAGTTCCGCGCCATGGTGCTCAACGGATAGGCGCGAAATTTTCCGCGCATGTCCAAGCGCTGGCTAGGAAAGAAAAAACTCGCGTGGCCACCTACCAGCCCAACTATGACTCGAATAATGGGTTAGCTCAGGCTATTGTGAGTGCCATATTACTTGCACCAGGACTCTAACATTAGGAGGGCATCCAGGAGTCTGCATCTGACTGGAATTCATTGCTTATAACAGCTCGCGCTGAACGTGGACCACAGTGGGATGTTGGAACTCAACAGTGCGTCGTCTAGCCATATCGTATTCAAAGGTAATCGAAAGCTGTTCAGGTTTCTTGTGGACCAAGGGTCTGACCTCTACTACGACCCATCTCCACTGATGGAGTACCAGAAACGACAACGTGAGGAGGAGCATGCCGCCGCTCGAACCTCGATGCAGCCTCCCGACTTCCGTGGCCATGATCCTTCTCGTATTACTCGAAATCACTCGACCTCTTCAAATCATAACTATCCATACGTATCACAGGGCATGTCTCAAGTGACTCCACGACATCCTAATCTTGGGGGGTACTCGAACGTTCCATTTAACGGCATTCCACCCAGTCACTTCTACGGCGCTGGAGTGGATGTGGCTTCTCCTGCGAGGATGGGTATGAGAGACAGCATGGGTGCCAGCATGTCCCCAGATGTGAGGAGGAGGTCAGCGAGAGGCATACCAGAGGATGGATTCATTCAGCTGCATGGACCATGATCACACAAGACCATTGATTCCCGTGTATGTTATCCAGTGCTGTGTATATCATCCTTGTTCCTGCTGAAGTTACTGCTTCCTAATTCTACATTGCATCATTCGGCATGAATTAACCACCCGTGCATTATTTCACCCGAGTCATTCTTGTTGTCACAATTTCTCTTGCTCCGCCCTCCCACGAAATAGTTATAATTGCAGTGTCTCTCACAGGTCCTTCCAGCAGATTATTTTTCCTAGGGTCTTTCCGGGCACCTTTCCGACAGGCAACACCAATGCCCATCTCGGAGTCCCCTTGTGTTTGAGCCCCATGCGATCAGCAAGTCTCAGGGGATGATGCCCTCCATGTGGTAGTTTTTCGTTGTCGAGCTCTCCATTCCAAGTTCTCCATTCCTTCTTGCTACAAATAACTCCCAAATTCAAATGCACCTCGATTTAGACACCTGGGCGCCTTTGGTCCCCCTCTTTTTGTTCTTTTTGATGAACGCCATATGCATGCTTCATTTCACTACTACTGTTCTTTCCTTATCTCAATCGATCAAGCCGTGGAATCGGACCTCCAAGACTTTAGTAAGTATGTTTGGAGGTTTTGTCACGTACATACTGTCCTGTTAGGGAATAAGGATAACTGAGGAAGATCGAAGAAGCCACGGAAGGGACGTCATATATTGGACGGACGGGATATTGGCAGGGCCGGTTCGCTTGAATGCGATTGATTCAGGTGAAACCTAAAAAGTTGTGTTTCGATACATATATGCGCCCATTGTGCGCCCACCAGTTTTTTCTCTCTCATCTCTCTCCTCCATGACTGTTGTCCTGGTCTCTGCTTTCAACGGTGTGTTGCTCCACGGAATTTGAAGGTACCAAGCTCCATCTTAATATTCCTGCTTCTCCAGTCTAAGTTGCGCCGTCCTGTCGGTCCCCGAATGTATTTCGGTTGAAAAAAGCTTCGCGATTGTATTCCAGTCCGAAATACGCGCACCTAATATATAAAGCTCTCGTTCACTGTTTTCAGTCACTCGTTTGGCGTCATCATGACCGGCCTTCCAACTCCCCAGCGTTCACGAACGAAGACAGCCGATCTCTCTGAGATCTTTCGCAGCTCGCATAGTTCACGCCAGGTTCCCAAACCTACTAGCAGCACAGTTTCAGTGGGTGGTCTTCCCGATACCCCCTCTGAAGAGAAGCACAAGTCCAGGCGCTCTATGTTACCTTTCCTCGGCAGGAAGAAAGCCGAGCGACCGTCTGCTTCATCCTCCCCTCTGCCTAGGAAGTCCACCAACGCTCCTTCGGGATCTGTCGGTAAAGAGTGAGTCTCTTGTCTGGTTCAAGTTGGTAATCAAACGCGTTGTTCAGTCGAGGAGGACCTCTTGTCGGGGATGCTTCAGCGACCTATGGTCTGCTCTGTCGGCATATATACTTTTATATGCATCTCTGCTCGTTGTACGGATCCGACTTCGTATATTGCAATGGAAGTAAAGCGTGCACCACGCACGGGACAGTCTTGAACTGTGCATTCCTTCGTTGTTAAATTTATTCTCTCCCCCTTATCAAAGACTGATCTCATATCACTGTAGGAAAAGCACCTTGACTATTGCTTCAACTACAGACGGTTCTTCGTCTGACGGACCACTCCCTTCTACCCTTCCTCCGTTGAACGTATCGCCGCCATCATTGGGCTCCAAATTCGCCGCCCATTTCACTCCTTTGCGATCTCCTACCAAAACCCTCAAGGCACGATACTCTTCATCGCACAAGTCTGCAAACACCCCTCCCAATCATTCATCCACCACCCTCTCTCTACCTGTAGTTGATGGCCGTGGTACTTCCTCGGAGTCCCGCAACTCCAGTATCCACAGTCGGTCCACTACACCGAAACCGTACCGTCTTACCCCAGCAGAAAACCCTCCGAGCTATGAAATGCGGGACGATTTTTCTGATCTGTTTACTCTTCCAGAGCCTAATCTGAAACAGACAAAGTCTGCCCAAAAGGCTTCCGCCCTGTCGCCCGTAATTGTCAATGCTCCGGGCGGTTCAAGAAAGCTCAGTGTTGCCACACCTCTGACACCTGCTAGTCCCACTCCCCCATCCTCCCCTCGCCTCCAGTTCCCCATCCCTCCTTCAAGCTTCGGTCTGATTTCTCTGACGAGCGAGAAACCATTGGCATCTCCCCACCGTTCACAAGAATCGTCTCGAAGGGAGCCAACCACTCCCTCAAGCAAGCACTCTAACAGCAGCCTCAAGCTACCGGCTGTGAGCCCCCAGCATCGTTTCTCGATCTCTCATGAACGTCGGGGCGACCGCAGGACTACCGCGGGACTCAATTCTGAAGATGAAGGCCGTGCTCGTGCATTCAGTCTCTCGGGGAGTGATACAGACGCATCGCGTGCTACGAGCAGTAGCGCGCATAGCAGGAAAGCTAAACATCAGAGCGTATTGCCGAAGGCGTCAGCTATGAAGCGTCCGACCCCTTTGCAGCGTACGCCCTCATCATCAGAGAAGTTGTCCAATGGCCCTCCTCCTTCTGCCCCCCTACCTTCTCCACCGCCTTCAGCTCCGTTGGCACCTAGGCCACCGATAAGCTCGTTACCAGTCATCCCTTCTACCACCAGTATTCCTTCTAATTTGACTGCTCGCTCCCCGGGTATATCACCACGACCGCGAGCTAGCACTCTATCTTCGACGACAGCACTGAGTTCAGCTAGGCTTGCGGCGTGGATGGCTCCAAAAACAAACCCGGAAGATAAACACGTATCTGTAGATGTCCAGACACTCGCATCCGTGGATGAACTTAGGAACGCGCTTGCCTTGCAGAATCGAAAGTATGCTCAGCTCCAAGAATATGCTGTCAGCATCACCAAGAAATTCGAGGACGAGAAGGGATCTATGGCCAAGACCATTCAGATGCTAGAGCGAGAGATTCGAAAAAAGGTCAGAGAGATAGAGGGTCTGCGCTGGCTCGTCATACACAACGGTGGTGCCGATGATATTGATGCTGCAGCTAACCTGGCACGAGCTTCTTTGATTACACTGGATGATGGCGATCAACTCGATAATGCGCAGGCCATGGACTCAATGCGTGGTGAGGCTCCATCCCAGAGCGCACAATCACCGTCAGCAGTCAGATCTGTGGAGCATGATGTAGGGATAGTTACCCCCCTACTGCAGTCTCGGAGAGGACTTGGCTTTGATTACCTTGATCAGCCTAGTCCGTCTGGGGCATCCCTGGAGCCACCTTCGCCAGATTTTGGTATCACTGCCTCTGCCTCGTCTTCGCACTCGTCTTTGTCCCTTCCGGTGCTGACTCCATCGACGACCTCGTCCTTGTCAGCCATCCCGGAGCAGCCACCAGGAGAAATAAACCGAGCAGAACGCCAAAAAGCTAAAGAAGACCGGCGCGCTTCTCGAGCCCTGCGTCGGATGTCATCGTCATCGATGTCCTCGGCGGCATCTGGAGCGCTCATGGTACCTCCGCCGTTGCCGACTGATCACACGTTCGACTCTCACCACAGCATGGAAAATGTACTGGACAAACTGCGTCCATTTCGAAACGCTTGATCGAGCTGGTATGTACGATATGCGTAACGTATTTCGTTATAAAATTCCTGACGGATCATACCAGACTCAGCGGCGCTCTGCATGATCGCATCAAGTACTTCCGCTGTCAAACCAACCCTTCGGCACCTCTCCGCTCTTTTTCGACCACTTAGCTCATAATTCACCTCACATTTTACGGTCAGGGACCAACTAGAATTCATCGTTCAAGGACTCATCATCATCGCAATTTACAACTCGCTCGGCAGGACGTCCACAGGAAATTGTGATACCTCCCATCGTCGTTCACTTATTCGTATTCGCATTCGCATCTGCATCTGCATCCTTGGTATATCATTGATATCCACCACAGTCGTTATCCTCACACTCGCTTCGTTTTACATACCTCTGATCAGCATAAGCTCATACCACCTCTTCGGTCATACACCACAAGCGTATTTGGGGAGCATAAATTATAATACAGGAAGCTAAGGAGTAGAAAAAAATTATTATTTTGCATGGTTCAAAAGCAGCTATGAACGCCGTTGCCCTTCAAGGTGATGCCTATTCCTATCGTATAAGATTACAATTGTTGTAAGTACCGGCCTTCCATCGTAGCTACTATAAATTGAACACATGAATGCCGTCGAATTCGATAAGGATGTACCTCTGGTTATTTCGATACCTGAGCGCATTATTGTCGTATCCGAGGTGAGATCCGTTTCAATTAATAAATAGTCTTGCAGCCGAGCTATGGGTATGCAAAATTGACACCTTGCAATGCCGCCGACTACTGGCCGTTGATGAACCAATTAACCTGAAACCTTCTACCTTGTGTTACGCGCAACAGGTCATGCGGGGCATTAGGTCATGCTAGAATTCTGTGTCGTAGCGGAAATAACGCATTTAAAAATAAACACGGAGTCCTGATGGCTGTATGTAGATCTGAGAAGATGTAGCGCCAGGACACTGGGCCTCAAAGGCTGTGATAGCGGGTGGTGGAACTGCCGCAATTTGAAAAGGCAGTGAGACGGAAGCTCAGTTCGAGCAGAATTTAGGCGACCTTGGGAAACAAAAGAGACGGACTGGAAAATAGGATTACGCCTTCTATCCTTTGGCAGAGTGTCTGCAGAGCGGCGTGTGCTGAAAGACGCCAAGGGACGAAGCAGTGCCTGGGTGCTATAAAACACCAACTGGCAAGCGTCTAACCGGCGGCGCGCAACCACTGACCGATAATTCCCATGGTCGCACTGGAAGTGGGCCCCGAGAGGTGTGAAAGTACACCCGAAAGTCATCTAAAACATGATGTACCGCCGCAGTGAGTCCCACGATTTGGATGTACGATCAGGACAACCTGGACAGGGAAACGATGCAGACAAGTAGCATAGGTAACAGGTTTAAAAAGCTGTGACATGATGAAGTCTGAGATCTGAGGCCCTGCAAAGCCGCAATATGATCTCTAGAGTAGACTCCAAACAGGAACAAACATTTATGTCTTGATGCTTTGATGCGCAACTGCCAAACGTTGCTATGAATGCCGGAATGTACCCAAATGTACAAACTTTTCCCTTTCCTCGCCCTCCTCCTTCTTGTTCCACCACATACAGGGCGCTTTTGCGCGTCCGGGGACACCGTATTGCTGTACATTTTGGTTGAATCTGGTTTAAGCCGTATATCTACCACTCAAGGTGCACCCCTTGGCGTCTTACCCTAGAGGCCGTATAGAGCACGACGTTGAACGGGGAGGATGATCATCTCAAATTTCATGCGAAAGAATGTCAAACGAAAGGCGAAGGTACCAAAATCTGGGATCCCTCCTCCGCGATCCCAGTCCCCTACCTCACCTGTTTTACACACTTCTCCAGAAGAGGTCTTCGATATCAACAAGAGGTCAACTGATTCCTGCGTGATCGAAGACTCTCTCTCGGACAGAGATACGTCTGTCGGAAGACCTTCATCCACTTCTCGCACTCGATTAAATGTCGGATCTTCCTTGGTCCAATTAGACTATAACCCAGAGCCCCTGGATAACTGGTTCCCGCAGGAGCTACTCAACGGACAGCGTGGCTCCCATGGCTCTATGTGGAGCATTCACACGAGCTTGGCACCGGAATCATCTGAAGTTACCACCCTGAACACCACGAAGGATGATTTTAATCGGGGTCCTACATCTCAAGTAGGTCTTTCTGAGTTGGGGGCATTCCGTTATCTCACAATGACTTTCAACAGGCCAATATATCCCACTCTCGGGAGCCATCCGATCGCACGGTACGTCTTTTCAAACTAGCTGGTTGCATGTCGGTGGTTGCGGCAGGAAATTACGTCCCATTTCATTTCAAATGACTTCGAGAGAGAAATGTGTGAGCTGATTATACTCTTAGGCGCCTTCCACTTCGAAGAAGTCAATTCCTGCCCCCATTTTTATACCAGCCCCCGAAGTTGCTCCCACCAATGCTCCGAATGGCCGGCAAGCAGTGAGTGTGGTGAAGTCTACCTCGCCTCAGGGTTCAAATCTGCAAGCGTTTCCAACCTCCCCTCCATCCCCCATGTCTTCCGAAGATATGTCCGCTATATCCGGCACAACTCTTGCTCGTGCCCTAATCGGGAACTCGTTCATATTATCATCGAGTGATCGGGGATCGCGATACCGCAGCGGTATGGCGCGGCAAGATTCCGCCACTCTCCCTCGTGGCGACCATCTCCTTGTGGAGATTGCCCGTGCATCCGACTCGGCACGTGAGTCAACTGTACCCCCTGTGCCTCCCCTGCCTCCGAGCGTAGGAGCATATTTGCTAGATCAAACGAGAGCATCCACCATCCAAGATAAATCACAAGCGTCTCCAGATGCCAGTGCATCGACCACGGAGTATTCACCCTCCGGAGCTTTCTATACGTCTCCTGATATGATCATGCATTCAAGGTTGTCAAGACGCATTTCCCGAATATCAGAAGTCCCCTCGCCTGTGCCGACGACGCCAATGTCGCCGCAGTCAATTCGCGATGCTCGGCCAATGAAGAGTGGTAGCTCTATAGCTGCAAGCAGTCTATTCGCGAGGATGGATGAGACTGATTCGGATGTTCCAAATTCCGCTTCTCATACGCCTGCAACAGCGTCGTCGCAGCCATCATTTCGCCAAACGGGAATAGGTGTGTCTAGCACTTCGATCCAATCATCCGAACTCTCTCCTAGTCCAACGGATGGTTTGGATGGGTATCAATTTGTTGCCCCTGAGCTACCACAGTCTGCTGCATCCATTGGCTCTGACGTCAGCACATCCTTTGTCGGTAACCTGCAGACAAAATCCAGCTATGTCAGTCTGAAGAAGCGCAGGGCAAAATTGCTGGGAGCAACGCCGTCGTCGACAGGCGGGAGAGGTAAGCGTCTTTGAGTAAATTTTTTCGCCGTTCTCATTCAACGTTCTACAGGTTTTAAGGCATCAGCTGTGCTACCTAACGGTATTTTCCAACGCAATAAAAAACAGATTAGACTCCCCATCGGCGAGCGCCCTCGTTCAATCCTCGTCCCACAGACGCCAATCACTCCTGCATTAATTGCTTCTGCTACTGTGCAACATCCCTCCGCGCTGTCCCAGTTTCCTTTGGTGCCCTCCTCTGCGGTTCCTGCTGGCCATATCGAGATGCCATTGACAGCCTTTGCAGATGTGGATATTCCTGCCACCAGCCCGCTTTCCGGTACGGGAATATTTGCACAACGTCAGCGTGCGGAACGTACCCTTGGGATTCCTGGACGCGTCACTCTCGGGCAGGAATATGACCTCCTTGATTATGCTATCACTGTGAGCCCCAATTCGCAGAGTTTATCAAATTACCCCCCTCCGAGCCCTTCCACTGGGGAACAGACCTTCCCCGAGACTCCAAATATTGTCACCCCGTTGTTTTCCCCCGGCTTTCCTGTACCCAGAACAGGACTGCTGCTTCCTGCTGGACGTCCTCAGGCACCTAAACCGGCGACCATTCCGGTACCGCAGGACATTGCTGATAAGGGTGCATTGTCTCGGGTGATGACACTGCGCGTTCCTGCGCGAGGAGAGGACTTGACGAAAGATGATAATTCTTCTGTCCCCCGCAGGCCGATGTCTACCACTCCACCTGTGAAGTCAACACCATCGCCTGAACCTGTCCCTCCTGAGATCACTTCTGAAATTACACCAGTTCCAGCGTCTCCCCTCACAGGACAGAACACCGATACCACTGACCAGAAGAAAGATACCGCAATACCGTCACAATCACCCCCCATTGATCCCGTGATATACTCCCCACTCTACCGTATATCCACGAGCAGCGATAAGCTGCAAGAGGACGAGGTTTTGCAAAGGCTTGCACCCTATTCTACATCATCATTCCCTTCAATTAGTGCATTCATATCTACGCCATCAAAATCGCTCTCCTTTGTCGAGCAGCCTGATTTATCCCCAACATCTGTCCCCCTCCCAGGATCCAAAAATGCATCACCCTCCCTTTCTTTTGCGCGCTCTGGAAGCATATCCTCATTGGCCTCGCCATCCAATTCGCCTAATATGCCATCATCTAGTCCTAATCTTCAACATACTAGCATTAATTTATTCAGTCCTATCGCATTATCACCGAACCGCCCTCAGTTACTCAGCTCCCAGCCGCAAGCGGCATTTTCAAAGGGCATCTCCTCCACTCTGGATCTTCTATCGCTCCGCCCTGAATCCGGTCATCATGTCGCGGGTACCTCATTTTTACCCTCCGTATCGCCGCCGCCGCCTTCTACTCCTCCAAGGAGTCTGCTCTCACCATCACCGGCCAACTCATCGTCGTTTACGCCCTCATTTATAGCTCCTCCCCCATATTGCAGTGTGGTTTCAAATGAGAATGATACTCCTTTGGCCACAAGCACTAGTGGCCTTTCATCGCAGGAAACTGGCTCGTCTGGGAATTCTATCGACCGCCATCCGTCCATTTCTGTTACCCCTAGCCAGCCTTCCAATGTGAGGAGTCGAGCTAGGGTCCGACCGCCACTGCCCATCGGTCCGCGAAAACCCAGTGGTCCTGGTCAGCCACTTGGATCGTTTGTCCCCGGAATCAGGGAGCGTAACGGATCTGTTTCGTCGGTGGGCAGTAGCTATGCTCATGGTTCTGGATCAGGCTATGCGTGGCGCAAATTGACCGCTGCTGCTTCGACGCCGGCGCCGAAATTCCAGACGCCACCCCAGAGGTGGCGAGGAATGCCCATGGAGGCGGCTCAGTGGACGCTCACGCAGCATGAACTTCAAACAATCGTCTCAAGAGCCATCAGGCAGTCTGCGGAAGCCTCGTCTATACGTCTTCTTAGATCAGAGACGTTGGATGTGGACATTCCTGAAGAAGTTCATCGTCTGGAGATGCAGCGCACTGACGTTAAATCGAAGTACAAGTCGCTCGTGCGCAAGCGGTGGCAACTTATGGGGGCGCTTGCTGGGCACCTGGATGGCCCAGACCTGTGCGACCCTATTACAGCTGCACGCACCGTAGAGGAGCTTTCTGAAGTCTCCCTTACTCTTGACCAGCTCACTGACGAGCTCCATAGCATTGTCGAGCAGCTAGCTCAACTGAAGAGCCTGCGTGACGTGCACTCCGCCAGTGCCCTTGCTATGGCTTTGAGGAAGGTCAACGCGACCTTCCTCAAACAGGTCTCCGAATCCCAGAAACTCCGAGATCAAATCGAGTCAATGGAGGCCGAAAGAGATGAGGCGTGGAAACAAGCAGAGGATATTGCTCAGGACTTTGATAACCTTACGGATCAGGTGATGGAGAGTCGCGGGGAGCAAGCCGAAGGGATACCAGTGTCGAGGCCGTCAAGTAGACGATCTGCGCGAGTTTCGGCTGTTCGGAAGTCAAGTATACGTCAGTCTAAAGCAGGCTTGCGGTCGGTTAGCAAGCATCGAAGCCGGCATTCTTCTGTCAGTAGCTCGGGTACTCGCACAAGCCTGATGATGTCAATGTCTCCCAGCTCAGACGGCATTCCTCCGGTTCCGCCGTTGCCTTTACACGCACCCCTTGGCATTGTCACGTCGAACTTGTCTGGCCGCAGCTCTCTAGGTAGGCTACATTTTAAATTCATAGTTCTGCATCTCACGAAATCCACTCTTACAGCTGGCTCCACTTCCAATACATCAGTTTCCGGTGCTCGCGCGTTGGCGCAAGCTCAGAGAGAGCTGTACGAAATGCTGGGTCTAACTCTTCAAGACACTCCTCGCGAAGCGTATTCCAGGCCTCGCTCTGTGTCTGGGCTGCTTGATTCCAGGCGTATGTCTCTTAGCCCGAGACCAATGTCCGATGTGATTGCCACACGACCTCGTGCTCGAGAAAATAGAGCTATCCACAGTGTGCTCTATGATGACGTGCGTCTGTCTATCACTCTATGAATCAACTCTCATCTTTGTTCCTGCGTAGCGACAAGCTATGTTGGCGCAGCTTGGCATGATGACCAACTAATGTATACCTGACATACGATATTTATTTACCTTGATACGTCGCTCGTCGTTCATGATATTATGTGTTACGAACTTGCGAGTATACACGGACCCGATTACTAACGATCTACATCTGTGTGCAAGTCGTGAGTTGTAGAAAGGTTGTAACTATGTAGTTATATTCACGATTAATCCTCTGTTGCTGGAGGAGTTGTCTCGAGTTCGTCCCCTCGGCATTTGCCGAAACCTTACCCCTCTAAACTATACAGCACCAAATTGGCTACTCACGTGCAATGTAATATCTATCCGTCATCGTCAAGCACCATGGGCAAAGGTAAGGCTGCCCGCACTCGCAATCTATGTACATTGACCGTTGCATTATGAACAGTTCACGGATCTCTCGCGCGTGCCGGTAAGGTCAAGTCGCAAACACCAAAGGTTGACAAGCAGGAGAAGAAGAAAACGCCCAAGGGCCGTGCGAAGAAGCGCATCTTGTACAACCGCAGGTGTGTATCGTCCCATTTGCTCTGTAGCTCAAGCTAACTGGCCCGGCAGATTCGTGAACGTAACGACGCTCCCTGGAGGCAAGCGGAGAATGTGAGTGCTACGTCTTTGATGATATCGATGCGATCCCTCGCATGCCTTCCTCTCCCATGTGCTAATGAAATGATCTTACTTCCAGGAACCCCAACCCTGAGAAATAAATGCACTCGTGGGGTATTGTCTCCCCCGGTCAGAGAGCCGGAGGACCATTGTCATGATAGAAGTGGAGGACGGGAGGGACCACCTAATCGTCGTTTTGCAATACTGGCATCTTTTTATATATCTCGTCTCCCTTTCCCTCGAGTTGCAAGTGCAGCGTTTTCTTCGTTGCATTGCGCTTTTCAATATCATCCACTCGTTGGATTTTGGCTCCAGTTGTGCATTCACCTGACAAAATTTGTAATTCCTGCATCATTCTTATGCTACGATATGCACTATGCCCAATCCAACACTGTCAGTTGTAAAATGAAAGGCTGTGCACTCCTTGAGTGACGATGCTCGGAAGTCTATTGTGGATCGTAACAATATATTTGGCGGAACCTTTGCAGCAGAGTTGGCAAACGAGAGCGGTTGCCAATCGAAAACATGTTGGTCTCTAATTCTTGGTGACATGTATTTACAACATAGCGGTGAAACAGAGCAAGATAAAGCCACATCCGACAAATAAGTATAAAAAACTCGAAAAATCCCATCTGCCACTAATGACGAGCACGTTTCCTCCTGAAAAGAATTCCATTCGATGGGCTTTCTTCTCGGGGGCCCTCATCTCCGGAAGCGTTAGCGTCGCCGTTAGTTTCAGCAGCTTCAACTTCACTCTTCTCTCCAGCATCCTCATCATCCTCGTCTGTCCTCCGTCGTTTTCGCGTGGATATAGGGGTGACACCATTAGACACATTAGGGACAGATGGTGTCTTCGTCGGTGACCTGCCGTATGTTGCTTGATGACGGTTCCTTGGAGTGGCCTGCTCTTCTTCGGGCTCACCCTCCAGCTCAGCTTCACTTTTTTCTACTTCATTTTCTTCTTCGGCGTGTTCCTGTCCTCTAGGTTCTGGGTCACTCGCTTCAAGCTCCGACAAAGGCGAGGTAGAGCGGCGTATTGGGGGTGATTTCGGGCGAGGCTTCGGACGCGGTTTTGGTGCGGGAGGTTCTTCCTCAGCTGGTTGAGGTTCTGGTTCACTCTCCGATTCGTCGCTGGTGACCATTGCTGTACTCTTTGCGCCTTTTGCCTTTCTACCCTTTGCACCGCCTAGTAGAGAGTATAAATCGGCAAGTCTGTTTAAAAGACGTAGTACGTGCCTTTATCCTTTGCCATGATCGAAGAGAGCTTCTTCTCGTACGCTCGCTGGGGTTCCCAAATTTTGGATGATGGCGGAACCTCGATCTTAGCCTGAGCAAGGACCTGATCCATATGGGCTTTGCTGTATCATTCTGTCAGTTAATTCGTCTTCCTTTAGAAGCACTTGCAGCCTACATCTTTAAGGCGTCTCGGCTATCAACAGCTATCAGAAGTGGCTGCAAAACCCTGAAGAACAAGATAGCCGTTTTGCGTGATTTCTTATTCTTGGCTGCCTCATATGTGCCAATGCGCTTCACAATCCAAGTTAGGAGGTTCGTGTGCGTTTGCACGATGTATTGGCTGTCAAGCCTCTTGATAATCGAGAGTTGTGCACCCCGGATCATGAAACTTTGTCCGAGCTGCTTGGCGAGAGCAACTGCACGCTCTTCCCCGCGAACAACAGAGTCAAGGACAAGTGTGAACGACTGAATCAATCCAATTAACAATGGTCTGCCAAAAAAACGGGGGAGACATACCTCTTTCAGTGCCTGAGTGACAACATCGACTACGAGATCGCCGTTCTCCCTGTACATCCCTTCTTCGCGCAGAGAATCGATGATTACCTTTGTGCAAAGATCAAACGCAGGTCCAAGCCGTCCAAAATGCGCCAGTAGGACTGCACTATGCCTCACATGCACAGCGCCCGCGCGAATAGCCCTTAAGAACGTAGAAATCGTTCCCATGAACACATACTCTTGCTCGAGGCGAGTGCGCGTCAGGGGCTGTTCTGCACGTCGCAACCGAAAACTGTTAGCGATCAGCGAAAGCCCCCGTCACAAAGACTGACCTTTGACAACAGGCGACTTCGCTTTTGTTTTGCCCTTCTTGCCCTTCGCAGGGACATTCTCCTCCCCTGAACTCTCTCCGCTCTCACTTGCTTCTTCCCTCTCCCCGAGCGCCTGTCCCTCTTCAAGCACCTCGGCGTACTGCTCGATCGCGGCTTGTATGAATCCTGCGCAGCGATACTGCACCTCGACGTCAAGCTCAAGGGGCAATGCAGCAGTTGGTAACACACGCCCATCCGGCGTCATTGTCTGCTCCGCACAGAAGAGAATGTGCAATGTCATAAGATTTTGGAAGGCCTAGAAATGGATCAACATCTCAACGTCTGGATTGGAAAGCGAAATGGACTAGACGTACGGCGCGTTTGACAGCTTCGGCAGTGTTCGACTGCGTACCAACTGCGTATTCTACCAACTTCTCGAGAAGAGAGTCCCGTTGCTCGCGCAGAGTTTCTATGTACTTTTCATCTTCTGGTGTCGCCTCCTTGGCGTCGGGTAAATTCCGTGTCTTCCACATGATATGTAGCCCGAGGATCTGCAGTCCCTGTTCGATCATCTACACCACTCCAATCAGCCACAATCCGATGAAGGGCACGAAATCAAACTCACCCTTTCCTCTTCCCTGTATCCCAGCCGTCCCCGCTCTACGAGTGCAGATATAATATCCCATACACAACTCTGCTTCCCGCCCTCACTCTCTTCCATCCACCCGCACATATCCCTCGTCCCCAATAGTGCGCAGACCCGCGCACACACAGCACCTAGTGCAAGAACCTCGTCCTCGTTAAATCCAGCAACCTCGATCTCCTCGCGCCCACCTACAGCGTCGCGAAGTTGCCCCGCGAGCTCGTCCTCGAGTTCCAGAATCTTCGTGCTGTTGGTGTTGCTGAGCGAGGGACAGGAGAGTAAATGCGTGATGGATGCGACGGCAGAAGTGAGCACGGTTTGGGCGGAGTGGGAAAGGAATTGCTTGGTGATGTCGTCCCAGAGATTGGCATAGGCCTGTGGATGGCAAGTAAGTACCATCGAATTGGTAGGAGTAAGAAGAGGAGAGAACGAGTTTTAAAGAACAAGAGGGAATATTTGACAGGCTAAACAATAGCTGAACAGAAAGACATCAAATACACAACTCACGGTCATCATCCGCATCTCTAGATATAACTCCGTGTTCATTAAGGGTGGGATTAATAGCACATTGGCAATCCGGTTGGCATCCGTCTGATACTTGATGAACAATCTCGGGAGGCCCTTGATCAGTGCACGCGTGAGATCCGAGAGTAGCGTCTCGTCTTCGCCCTACCATCAACTTTAGCCTTCCGATCAAACTCGACGACAAGAGTCACTCACCTTTTTTGCAGTGCCAGCAAGAGCTTTTGCCCTTCGGAGCGACGCAATGAGCACCTCCAGCAGCACACTTTCCTCTGTCTCGGACAGGCGCCATGCCTCATCTACAGTGTTTTTCGCGGAAGCAGCGATAGAGTCGTCCACGCGATCCAGATCTTCGTCGCCTCCTCCAGCAGAGTGATCAAGCAGCAGCATCTCAAGGAGACCCTCCCACCCGCTCGCAGAGTCCACGTCTTCCCACAGAGCCTCTACAGCAAGTCCCGTACGCCCTTTGATATCAGTGCTCATAGCCACGCCTCTTTGCGAATCGTCCTGGCTCCCGTCCTCTTCCTCCACGCGCTCGCGATCCCATCGCACAAGTAACATTGCCAGCGCCTTGGCACCCGCCCGCTCCTTTCCTTTCTCGCCCACCTTCCGCCCCGCCAATCTTTCCTCTACAAGTTCATTCCAGACACCCCCTACGAATCCTGCAACTGCTTTTCTCACGCGCACCTCACCATCAAATACGAGCTGGCACATCTGTTCCCGCTCCTCGTCTTCTAGTAAGCTGTGCTGGTCGACTGCGCCCAGGACACCAAGCACAGCGGTGCGCACGGCAAGCTCTGTATCACGTGCTGCCATCTCAAGCAAACGGGGCTTGAAGCGTGCGGTAAAGTTCATGAGGCCACCGATGTATTCTGCCTGTGCATAGACAGCTGATAAGGCGCGCACGGCTTCAAGACGGACGGGTGTTGCGCTGTCGGAAAGAACCCACCCGACGTAGCGTAGGTAGGACGCATCGAGGAAATGGGCGGGGTAGTGTGTGAACCACTGGCCCATTGCGCGCACACACTCAGCACGGATGTGGGGGTCAAGATCGCGGTACCGGTGCACGAAGACACTGGAGAGCAGGTATCAGCGAAAAGTGAATACAGTAAATAAGACACTTACCCATCCACGATCTCCTTGAGGTACTCTGCAAGGGCAGCACGACGTTTTCTCACTTCCGCAGCCTTGCCGTCCAAGTCCTTCTCCCTCACACTTTGGGCTTTATTTGCAGCTCGCCTCTTCCGTTCTCCCTCACGTTGTCGCCCGACAATCTCTGCCTCTTTTTCAACTGCCGCTGCCACCTGACACAGCGCGGTCTCCACCTCCAGTGCCACTGCTGTTGCTGTGTGCCGGAACGCGCGAATCTGTGAACTGCTCATCGCAACTACCCACGTCTGTAGTGTCGTGACCATGTCACTCGTGTACAGCGCTCCAACATCAGCCGCGCTCAGGACGAGGCGTGATATTAGCTCGCTCAAGGACGCTCGGAAACGCTTGAAAACTGGTAACTTGGAGGTAAGGGGGTATATTGGTGAATTTTCCTGGGTAGCGTGAGCGATAGCAAATGATTCGAAATGTCTTGCTCGTACCTGTTTCAGTCCCTCAGTAAAGTTATCAAGCGAGTCGACAACGCCATCGTAGTCCAGGACTTCGTCTGCATCCACTGAGTCATTACACCCGCATGCTCGTAGAATACAATTGATAAGCTCCGCCTGAGCAGCACCCGGACTCTGGGCTAACGAGTCCAAAAAGTCCTCTGCGGTGGATTGCAGTGCCGCGGACGGGTTCATGATAGCGTCTACAAAAAAAAATGAACGAAGTATATATGAGCATTAGTTTCTACGCACTGAAAAGTGGATTGTCGGAAGAAATCTTGGTGTCGGTGGCCAGCTTGTCTGCATCAAAGTCTCCGTTGGCTTTGGCTTTACGTTTGGCCGGCTTAGGGGCTTTCTGAGGCTTCGGTGCTGCATTTTTTGTCGTCCGTGGTTTCTTTGGAGGTGGGGGGCCTTTGGCTTTCACCTTTGCTTTGCGTGGCGCAGTGGCCTTGCCCTTTCGTTTGGCTGGGCGGGTGTCTGGCTCGTCGTCATCGGCGTCATCAACACCTTCGGCATCCTCCTCATCGTCTGCTTCAACTTCAGCATCTTCCATTGCTTGTGCATCTACCTCTTCGTCCTCCTCCGCATCACGCTTGCGCTTGTTCGGGCTTTGGCTCCCTACTCATGCAACTCCGATCAGGTGCGAACGAGAAAGATGATGGGTACGAACCTGAAGCAAAAGGTTTGACTTGTTTTCTCTCGCGTTGAGAGCGCCGTTGGACTGGCGTGCCCTCGACGTCGGTCATTTTCCGTTAAAAGTGGAGGGTGTTTGAGAAGAACAAGAACGCGTCCGAAGTCGCGTGGACGCGTCAATCAACTCTTTTTGCCAGGATCCTCCTAAATTTCAAGTAACCCTAACCCTAGGTTCAAAACAATCGAAATCTCTTTTGTTCGTAACCGTTGAAGTATGCATTGTGCAAGAGCCAAGCAAGAGCAAGAGTTTCAATTGCGAATACGCCAACAACACCAGCGAGTCCGATGGCGACGAGGGTTGTGCACAAGGACTGTTTCAGTGATTTTCGCGCTCAAACATCGACGATCTGCTTGAATGAGAGTGATTTTTGTGGTCGGCAAGGCCGCGCGCTCCCAACCGAGTCGATCTTCGCCTACTGTACTTGATTCTCCCATTTTACTGAAGATCAGTCACCACCGCCCGGTCCTCCATCGCGGTGGTTAGCATACCCTAGCGGTACCTTTTGTCTCCTGTACACAGATGCCCTTCGGACGGGATCAGCGCTTATGCAGAAGACACAAGGTTTAACTTTTGAGGCTAGCCTGAGCTCGTGACACTGACGGAAACCGCAGCACCTTGTAATTGATACAATGATAAGTCAGTTGCGCGCTTGTTGACCTCATGTGGCAAACTCTCGGCTGATATTCTTTTCCAGGGCACCAAGCAGATTCCTCATCCGTGCTCATGTGCTTCATTATTCATATCAGTTCTTATCGATCATCATAGCATGTCTACGATGCAGGGTCCCAGTGTCACAAATAGACCAATAGGCGCTTTTTCTTGATCTGAATCAAAGTCACGGCACTACCAGGGTTGAGGGTATAGTACTACACTGCGACTATCCAGATGGATCAAATCACCAGCGGTGTTACCTTTCCTCAGGTCGTTCCAAAAATAGCGCAAGCTTCAACTAGCCTCGAACCCTGACCTCCTGAGGGTGGGTGTTGATCTGAACAACCCTTCAGACCCTCAAGCTATCTGTACAAGAAATCTGATTTTTTTAATACCGCTCCTACGCTCCAATTTCGTGGGCAGCTACAATCGGAAGCGAGCTCGCTGTGAATTTCTTGCTGTCACAGACGGAGGCCAAGTCGAAGACAATGCCATGCCACACCGAGCGCTTATCGCGACAATGCATGGAAAACCGCAGGAGACGCCGTGAGGTCTCTTTCGGGACAGATCTTTCCTGGACTTCTTTGGCCATAGTGCGGCACCTGTCCTGTCGTTTGCGCGGTCCTGTCAGAGTTTCTTTCAGCTCCTCTTGGTTCAGCAGGACCTCTGCCAATGGAGTCTGGTTAGGGGCTGAGGGCAGCCATAGCGCTGGCAGCGTGTGCACGCGAACAACTTGAAGGGAGAAAAGGGAAGGGACCTGATTATGCCACACATCGAAACCAAGACCGCCATCAATGATCGATGTCATACCTTCCTCTTATCACCTTTAGTTGGTATCATGACGCACGAATCTCATCTTAAGCTTGTGCTTCCTGCATTGACCCTATCCTCAGACCACAACTACATATAGATAATAAGATCATGGGCGTACGTAGTGCACGCTAACATAGTGACAGTAAGCAATTGATTCTGATGTCCTATCAACGGTGTCGAACCGAATCACACAGGACTATTATACATTTGTGCTAGAAAGGCCATGGGCCGAGTACCGACCCATCATGTCAATCATGCTTTTTGGTAGCTTAAACAAAACACACCTTGAGTGTTATCAACGGTGTTAAACCGAATTGCGCAGGACTATGTAGCTTTCTACGCTCTGTGCTAGAAAAGCCATGGACCGACACAGGATCATGTCAATCTTAGGACGAACACCAAAAATCGTAGCAACCAACCTCGCGCTCTCGGCTCCTCGGGTTCTATTTGTAAACAGCTTTGATGTATGAGATTAAGTGCCTTGACAGCATCGCGGCTCTCAATAACACACGATATGTTGATCTCGCTGGCGCCTTGGCTAATCATCTCGATATTCACATTGCCCTGACCAAGAGAAGTAAAAATGCGTCCCGAGATACCAACTAGGTTGCGCATCTGTCGGCCAACAAGGGAGAGGATGACCATTTCAGGGTGAACGGAAACCTGGAACTTGTGTTAATGGTTGAGAGGCATGCGTCATAAAAGGTACTCGCGGTTCCACTTTTTCTTAGTTCCATCACCAGCCGCTCCATGGTTGTTCTGGACAGATTGTCCTCGACAGCCAAACTGACATGTACCTCACTAGTACTGATGAGGTCGACGACCACGCCAAACCGATCGAGAGTTCCAAATATCACAGCCAGGAAGCTGTGAGACACATTCTTTCGATTCGAATTAACGTTGAGCACAACGATGTGTTCTTTGATTGTAACGGCGGTTGGTAGTCGCGTGCTCTTGCACAATTCATCGTTGGCTAGAGAGAGGTCTTGGAGCGTCGCTACTGGCGCTTCACAGAGACTATTGTCATGCGGTGCCCCAACATTTGGGTTGGGCTGAATAATTGTGCCACCGCCCAAGGGGTTCTCCACGTTTTTGACTCTTATTGGAATTTTTCGACGAATAACCTGCAATTTGAGGGGTAAGCAAAAACTGAGATCCAATGAGGGCCTTCCTGACCTGCTCCATCGTGAATGGATGTACGACTTCACTGCCATAATAAGTCAGTTCAGCGGCTTCGTCGGGCGATATGGTAGGTATTAATCGCGCCGCGGGCACTTTTTGTGGATCCGCTGTAAATATCCCGTCTACTTCCTTCCATATCTGCAGTTCCGATGCTTCGAGGCCAACAGTCAGAAGAGCAGAGAGCAAATCTGTGTATCCTCGGCCGACTTGCCGGAGAAGCGAACCTGGTACAGGGCCGAAGAAGCCGGTGACTACGGGTACACGAGGCATGCACCTTTTGATGCGTTCACCGATAGCGGTAGCCACACTGTCGTAAAAGGCCTGATCAAGAGAGCCTTCCGGTGCGCTATCACTATCCTCTGATACAGGAATAATGTCTTCTAGTGATATGAACTCCGCGTCGATTCCCTGTAAACTATAGATTAGTCTCATAATATCATTGGAGTATCGATGGTACAAAAAAATTACTCGGTCGCGGAGAACAGCTGTCATCAGTTTACAACCTATTCGCTCGCCAAAACCTATGATGCTGTCTCGCGAACGTGGAGATATTTCATCGATCACCTGGTGACCGCAGACACGTTCACATTAGGTTCGACATTGAGCGGCAGTGCAGTCAAATAAATAAATCCACCTGAGCGGCCAACAGAAAACTGCGAAGCCAGTCGCAGTCTCGATCTATTTCAGACTCGAGTTCTTGAGAATCTCTGGATTTTTGACAGATGCTTTAGCAGCGCTGATGTGCTCTGACCGTATAAGGTCGACGGTGACATTGAATTCCGGTTGTGTCTGGCCCGCCTGGGGTACTATCAATGGTGTCAATGCATCCGTGGCCAGAGACGGGGGTGATGATGAAAAACCGTTCATTGGAGGAGTAGGTTCTGATGGCCCCCCAAAGATGGCATTTGCCGGAGTCATAGTGCCGGTACCGCTGAATGATTTAGCTCGTTGTCGTGCCTCAGAGGCAGCTTTGAGCAGGAGATTAGTAGTTCCCAGAGCCTTTACGGACCCAGACCGTGCAGAGCAGACGACAGCTATTTTGTGCTGGTCAATATAGCTCCTAAAAATGCTAAGTCAAGATACCCAAAAGTGCAGCATAAACAAAGACTGACGATACAATATCACGAGCAATATTGACTGCGAATTTGCCCACACTAGTACCTCCATATTTCTGGATTAGCCATTTTGCGTCCGGATGTGTGTTGTTCTGGCGCAACACCAGGGGATCTGTAGATGAAGAGGAAGGCAGAGTAATCAGATCTAATTCTGATCCTGACATCTCCAGAGATAGTCAATGACCACGCAGTGCAAGGACAAGTGAATCAAGACCGGGAAGAGTGATAGAATTTATACACCCTGTTATCACTCGGAGTTTTCCTTTGACAAAGAACGATGTGTGACCTTGTTACTATTCTCAATAGTTCGGATCTTTGTCGTTCATGTTAGTGTCCCCGGCCCTGAAACTTTGCTTGCAGACTCACGCCCAATTTCCGCCGCTCAAACGCAGACGGGTCTGGGTAAATGTCGACGAGCGTCTGCATGTCGACCCTAGGGCTTCTCGTAAACTGAGAGTCAGGTGCTGAAAGCGCTGAACACGTGCAAAGGAGGTGCGCAGGAAGATAGGGCAGGCGTAGAAATAAAATCAGCGAAGCGATCTTATGCTTGCGAAGATGTGATCTCGTGTTTTTGGAAAACGTAAAATTCTAGAATACAACCAGCATAAATCTCGTCAATATAGCCAGTCCAAGAACAGCGCCAAACCCTCGAACGGACAAAATGTGATACTCACATCCCACCATCAGACATCTTACCACTCCCGCCGGTACACCTCGCTTTCATGCAGATCATACCCCCCGGTGTGAGGTCGGGATCGACGTCGAGCCCCATTGCACGTGCGATATTGACGAGGTTGTGGATCTGTGAGGGGAGTGGTGTGTTAGTGTTTCATCTATGCGTTGCATTGGAAACTGAGGTGGGGAAGGGGCAGTAATGGGAGAGGAGAAGTTGTGGATATACACTGGGAGTCGCAAAGGCAAAGGCAACAACAAAGTAGCAGAAATATACAAACACGACGAAAGCCATCACACAGGAAAGTCAACAACTCGAAAATGACGATGATTGAGTCACAATGGGAAGGATCTACCAGCATTGAGAAGGGGGGTAAGTTCCAGAAGCAGAGAAGCAATGTTGAACGGCCCCGTCTGCTAGATCTTATCTACATAGCACGCACGAAAAGGACACAATGGATCCTATACCACTCACCTCCCCTAAAATCCATCCCTTCTTCATATCATCCGTAGCAGCTCCTCTCGCCGTATCATATCTCTCCATCAGACATCATCTCTGCGCGATCTCTCCAAACCCGGCCGAAACAAGGGTCCTGAGCTTCTTCTGCGAATTCGTATAGGTGGATGCGGGGGCGTGGGGCGAACGGGAGATGGCAGAGGTGTGAACTTGAAGCGGGGTGCGGAAGATGAGACCCGAGCGCTGAGTAGTAAGGAGGGGTAATGTAGAATTTCGAGGTGAGAGTCCGGAGTATTGATGTGAGAGGGTAGCAGCATGGGAAGGTTCAAATTTCTGGGGCATCAGGAACTGGACAACTGTAAGTAAGTATACGCACTGTTAGCTGCCACATGATGTCAATTTCTTTCATTCAGATAGCTGTAGTCGTCCATGATGGATGAAATGGGTTCCTAAGGAAAATCTGGCACCTGGTGCGGATACTTTTCTTGCGCCAGCTGGGACCATCGATAGGTCTGTTCTTGCGGGAGTCGAGACTCGAGATCCACTATTGGAGCGGGGTGGTGAGGACAAGATAGGGAAGATGAGATGTATACTTTCTCGGCGGCGGCGGAATCTTAGTTACTCGACAATGTCGACACTGAGAAAGTATACGTTTCCCGAAGCTAGCGACAGTATTGCGCTTGCACTAAGATCACCGAAAATTCCCAACTTCCGGTATCAAAACGGCGTAGACGCTCCGACATTCTGAGTATAGCGTGATAACGGGGCACCCTCAACTCTCTTCCTCTTACTTCCAGCCCCAGCTCGCGTCAAACAACGCCTTCGAATACCCGATTTCTAGCCACATCCTACCGCGGGATTAGAAATAAATAGAGTGATACGGGATGAAAATGACACACCTGAGTGCACGTCACAGATAGTCTCCCCTCTATAGGAACGAATAGTCACAGACGAGATCGTCACAAAGACTCAAGCTAAGCCGTCCTTCCTGCACACGCGCAAGCTATGCACAATCTCTTCCAGATCTGATGAGTCCATAGGCAGATGTGAGTCTCGCGCTCACGCGTACTTGATGTGTCTTCGGGCTAGCTACACGTTTCAAATTGCAGTGGGAGTCAGATTAGGATGACAAATGGGGCCATAAAGATGGGAGGTACAACCGCACAGTGAGTCTGTGCATTGCCAATGATACTTATATCAAGACGCTGAACGGGAGAGGCAGCGGTGCTTCCATGACTTGCATTAGATGACAGTGCCATGGGAAAGTGAGGTTGCATGCAACTTTAACGCACAATTTTTTCGAATGTTGGCGGTTGTTACCACATTTATTGTTGTATGTCGCGAGCTTATAATCAAAGAGCAATGAGGCGTCTCACGAAAGTATGATTGTGGTGATTGTAAGCGTTTGTAATGGTTATAATGCAATCACAACTTTGTGATAATCCACGATAAGGTCGGAATTCGGAAGTGACTCGGAGTGACTCTCGGAGCATCATGCATGATCAACATGAACCCACCTGAACTTCATACACTTTCAGTTTACGAAAGGTCGCCGGACACCAGTCGCCACCCAATCCATCATGTTTATCATAAATGGAGTGCGTCGAGCGCTCAGAGGCTCCTTCCGAATGGACCAGTAATACTGCTATGCCAGAATCTTCAAGCTTCTGAATCTAAATCAGATCTACTAGTTCCTTGATGGCCAGGCATGTGCTTCACATTAGTTCTTATCGATCATCGATGGGCTACTCTACTCCATGGTCTGGCGCGATTGTTACGAATGCACTAATATAATAGGCGCCTTTCCTTAATTTGCATAAAGTCATAGCGCTGCCACAGAGGCCTAGGGTTACGTTTTGCACTCTCCCAATGGATCCCATCACCAGCGGTCTCACCATTCTTCAGGTCGTTCAAACCGTAGCGCAAGCTTCAGCTCTTTTGTATGGATATGTTGCCAGCGTCCGCGATGCTGACTCGTCCTCCCGGGGTCTGCTTAATGAGCTCCGTTCAATCGGTGGAATCCTCACCACCGTAATGGAGATCGAGAAGGACAGTTCTCTTCCAGATAACCTCCGCGGTGCACTTTCGTGTTTAATGGCTGAAGATGGACCAGTCGCTAAATTACAGGTCGAACTGAAGAACCTTCTGCCAAACGAGCAGAGGAGTAGGGGAGCGGGCATGATAGACAAATTGAAGTGGCCATTCAAGGAAAAGACAGCGGCGGCTATTGTCGATAAATTGAAGGACTATTGTCGCGAGATTACAGTAATTCTAGAAATCGACGCATGGTGAGTTGACTCGCTTGTCATGATCGCTAACACTAATGCGGCGTAAGGATCACACTCAAAGAAGTCGATCGAGGAGTCCAGGCGAGGAGTCCAGGACGTTCATCGAGGAGTCCAGAAAGTAGAGAAAGATTCTGTCGCAAAACAGGTGCGCGAGAATGGTGAGTAGATGACAGTTGGTGATCTCTCCATCCTATTCAATTTTGCATAGCTGAGGAACGGCGAAAGTTACTTAAGTGGATGACTCCCGTGTCTTGTAAAACACAGCACGACAAGTCCGTTGACTGGCGCAGCGCTGAGACCGGTCTGTGGATTTTCGAGACCGATCAGTATAAGATCTGGAATGCATCCGATTGCGCGTTCTTATGGTTGAATGGCCAGCGTCAGTTTTATTAAATTCAACATTAACTGGTTACTGACACTCAAAAAAGCTGGTGCTGGAAAGACCATTCTCACGTAAGTTCGAACTTTTTCTAGAGAGCTTACAGAGAGCCTAACTTGACTTCTGACCTTTCAGCTCTGCTGTCATCGACAAAATCCGAGGAGATGGGCAAGCAGAACCACAGACGCTTGCTTATTTCTATTGCAATTTTCGGGACGAGCAGACGACAGTCGCAGCTGCAGTATTGCGCACGTTGATTTTTTACCTTCTCCAAGAATCGAAAGACGATTGGATCACCAAGATAGGCAAGCCAGAGCAACAAAGATCAGATTCAGAAGGGAATTTTGTTTCCCTGCGAAAGCTAGCAGAGGAGTACAGGGACGGAAATCAGTGTTCTACGGATCTTGGTTTTCTACGGAAGCTTCTGGTTGAAGTGTCTAAGCTAGTTCCCCGACCAGTCCTCGTGATTGACGCCTTGGATGAATGCAAGGATTATTGCAACCTCCTAGGACACCTCGCAACTCTTGCTCAAGACGCTCGACTGCGACTCTTCGTCACTGGTAGAATCGAGCCCGACATCAAGGATACTTTCCATCATCTCCCAACCGTTTCGCTGAAGGAGAAAGGAAAACAAATGAAAGAAGACATACGTGTGCACATTAACAAGCAGCTCCAAACCCAGAAGCGTTTGTCGCGCCTAGATGAAGAACTGAGAATCGCGATTTTGGAGAAATTGTTAGAAAAGGCCGATGGCATGTAAGTAAACCGCCTTTTACCCGCTCCTTGGAAATTCATCATTACATGGAGGTTTCGCTGAGTTCAGTGTCAACTGGACGAAATCATGGCTTGCAAACGGTCTGCCAGTATTCGGAAGGCTCTTGATAACCTTCCAAAAGGACTATACGAGACATATGACAGAATTATTCACTCTATCGAAGAAAGAAGTAACGACGACGGGCCAATTGCCAAGAGCTGCTTGCTTTGGCTCGCTGGCGCACTCACCCCATTGACGCTTGACCAGCTCAACGAAGCGTTGATGATCGAAGTTGGGAAGTCAAGTCTTAATCCGGAGCTCCGTGCCAATGACCCTATGGATATCGTGGTCGCATGCGGAAGCTTTGTGACCTATGACGAGGCAACCGGTGTCGTTGGTCTATCTCATTATAGCGTTAAAGTATGATACACTAGTCTTCTTTATCATATTCGTCTGCTAATGGGTCACGCAACTAGGAATACTTGATCAGCCCTCGCCCGAATAGCATCCTAAAATCGATCTCAGATGTGCACGCACGCATCTGCGAGCTTTCGATCACGTATTTGTTGTGCGACTTTGTGGGTGAGATGTGCGCAAAAGGTGCAAAATTATCTTTGACATGTACGAGCTAAAAACTGAAGGTGTTCGTATAGCTGTACAATCAGCCGCACAAGCCGCTGCAAGGAATAACACTCGACATCCTGACCATCCATTGCTGAACTATGCAGTTGGAGGATTGAAACACCTTAGACATGTTTCGGACGAGGATCCTGCCTTCATGGCCACCCTGTCGCGGCTACAGCCGGAGCTTCCTCGGACAGCAAAGCACATTGATATGTTGGGATATCCAGCTCTATATCGCTGGTCCTCAGTCACTTCGCCATCACCTCTATTCGTTCCTATTGGGCTCGGAACGCCATGGATGGTGGAATTTCTCGTCAAGCAGCAACCCGATGTACTAGACATAGACATTGCCTCTTGTTGGGGTTCTCCCTTGATTTTCGCCATATCCGAGAACCCTGACATGCTCGATATTCTCCTGAAGCTCGGTATCGATCGCAACAAGCCTTCTTCCTTCACGCCCCGTGTATACGGCTGGGATAATCCTCCTGACGGCTCCTATCCTCCAATTTCATGGGCAGCTGCGATTAGAAGCAAAGTCGCCCTGGATTTCTTGCTGTTACGAACGAAGGCCAACTTACCTGATGACATTCTGCACGTGGCCATTGCGGCGAGCAGGGTGAGGAGGATGAGCAGGATGTTCAGGGCGATATGGGTGTCCACCGAAGTTATTCGCAAATGTCGTCAACACGGCGCGGATGTCAATTTCACTGTCAATGGTTCCACACCTATCCATACTTTTCTTTCCAACCAGAAATTTCGCTTCCTCGACTTAAGGCGACGGCTACTAGTCGTACAAGCGCTCGTTGAACCATCATGCAATCTTTCTATGCAGGACTTGACTGCCAGAACCGTGCTACACATTGCTCTTGACAGACATCTAGAAAATGTCGTCGAATACCTCCTTGAGCAGAACGCACAGTTGTCAGCAACAGCGACTCTCCATCCAGACATGTGGAGTTGGGCTAAAAATGAAACGTGGTTTCCCAAGATTCAAGCAGCGATTCTCGCTGCCGATAGACCGTGCACTAGAATCAGAGGGAAGGTGGTTGATACTACTCAGGAATTCCTACTCGTCGAATTTCCAGGCGCAGTCAATGCCGCTCGCGAATACCCCAATCCTATTTGTGCTGTCGTTATTTCTGCGATACTCTATGGGCCAAGTAAGTAACCGCTCTCTCTCAGCCAAACAATTTACCGAGTGGCGAAGCCTTCGACCTGTCCCAGTGCGGGCATCACTGCGGGCGCATTCGCGGGCCGTCGGCCGTCCTTTCATGCGGTCAATTGTCGTTCAAATTTTCATGGGCAAAGCATCAGCGTGTCTCTAGCCGGCTGTTCGACTATCGTCAGGGGGACGACGTCAGCAGTATACTACGACAGTTAGTAACCGAGGATAAAGACTCGCCAACCTCCCTTTTTCTTGAGATCTCGGACTCCCAGCCATCGGATGCCTGGTCTGCGATGCCGATACCACATGACATCGGGGTAGAGTACACACTTGATATCTACCGAGGTCCTATCCATTAATTCATCACACAAGTGTTACGCATGGCCGAATAATATACGACAGCTGGTGTCATGCCGAACCCCAATGTAATACTGCACGGCCTGCAACTGGGCATATATAAACCTTTATAAACGTTTCACATAAATAAACGCATTGAACCACTCGAATTAAGATCGATACTATAAAGAACGGACGAGACAAACTGAAACGAGTCTGTAGATGACGATGCTCGTACTATGACGGACAGTAAAAAGATACACGAAGAGCAACTAAAATACAGTACATCGAAAACACCGAAATTCCAGCCATCAACAAGAGCGGCGATGTGAGATAGAGATAGAGATGAATGGACGAGAGGACATAACGAATAGACAAAATAGGTAGATAGCTACAGAGAACCAGCAAGAGTTGCAGAGAATAAGCAAGAGTTGTTACGGGAAACAACTACGAAGGCAGGTAGATAGCTAATGATAAATTCCAGAAAATACGATAGTGGAAAAAGCAGATACGATGAGTAACGTAGACGTACACATAGCGCGATGACGAGGGCATAACGATGGCAAGGAGCGGCATGAAGGCATGACGGGGCATAACGAGCGTATTATTTACGTAGCCGAAGACTGGAAGCTGAGAAACGAGCAGGAAAGAGAAAGAGTAGGGAAGGGGAGGGAAGGGAAGGGAAGGGGAGGGAAGGGAAAGAGAGACGATCACTCCTGATAACGCGGTTGCGACTGCGCAGGATACGACCTCCAATACGCACCATCGCTCCCCTGAGTCCACGGCTGCTCCATGGCATATCCCTGTTGTTCCCCAGCATACACTTGTTGGGGCGCAGGGTGCTGGTCTATCGATATCGATGGTTTAACACCATACACCGCCTGCTGCTCCCCAGCATATTCCTGCTGATACGCCTGCCGTTGAGGAGGAGGCTGCTTCTCCTGCGTCTCATAATACTCTCCCACGAGCCCGGTCTCTGGGTACTGCGGCCCATAGCTAAACCTTGAGTGTTGCTGTTGTTGAGACGGAGGTGGGTGCTCGCTGTAAGGCGGTTGAGACGCAGGATATTGGGGTGCTTGCGTTTGTGCAGGAAAAGACGGCTGAGATTGCGGAGCAGGTCCAGGGTAGTGAGGTACTTGAGGTGGAGGAGCGAACGACGTTGGCGTAGACGGGGGACCGCTGAACTGCGCATATTGGGGCGTATCCGGATATGGAAACGGTGAGGCGGATGAGCTAGCGTAGTCATAGGAGGAGAATTTTTGGGCAGGCTGAGGCTGCAGGAGGTGGTGAGCGAACATGATAATAATAAAAAATGAGAGACGAACCTGAGGCTGAGGCTCATAAGCAGCCCCGAACGGCAATGAGAAATCGACCGCGCCTTCTTGCGACATAGGTGTAGGTGTCGAGTGATAAGATCGGTCAATAGGTGTTGAGACGAGGGAAGGCGGCCGGAGGGGAACCACAGAAGGTGCCTGTGACATCGCCGAGAGCTGGGACGCACACATCGATTGACTAGATGTTGGCATCGACTGGCTGGGTACTGTTATCGGTTGGCCAGAAATCGACTGGTTAGGCATCGGCATCGGCTGACTGGACAGAGCTATTGGTTGACTAGACATTACCACCGACTGCGTTGTCGTAGGCGCTCCAACGCTCTCAGTCCGCACCCTGGCAAGTGGAGACGACTCCTTCCCAGGACGCACGCGGTACCCAACGGGCGGATAAGACGCCTTCTTACGGTCCTTGTCTTTCTCCCGTGAGCGGTCTTTCTCTTTCTCTTTATCCCCCGCTCCCGTTCCCGCTGGCCGTCCTTCGGCACATCTTTCGCACGGTCCTTCCGGGACGGTATTTTGGAAGGAATGAGAAGCGCAGGATAGCCCCGCCTTGGTTCTGGGCCTGATTTGTCCTTGTTGGCGTCATTCATGGACGAGATGATCGGGATAGCATTAGGATCAGATTCAGCGCGAGGCGGAGAGCGTAGCTTGATTTCCTGGGCAGCCATAACGGGGATGTGAACAGGTACAGGGATTGCGACGAGAGGAATGTTCTCCTCGCCATGACCACCCGCACCCGAACCACCAGAAACAGCAACAGCGTCCCGGCCATCACCCTCATCCCAGCCCTCTCGCTTCCGCTTACTCCCACCACCAGCTCCTGAACCACCCGATTCGAGTTTTCGCACGAGCGCTTCGACAACGCTCACGTCCAGCCAAGGACAGAGCTCACGGAGATCCCGAAGTAACCCAAGGCCCATCTTAGCATCCTCTACAGCCGTGCGCGCCCATATGGCCCCTGGATCACGGAGAGCACTAGTAGCGCAGACGACAGAGGCGTCAAACAACGCCTTCGAATATCCCATCTCTACTCCCCGGCTAAATCCTACAACAGAATTAGAGACATGAATTAAGAGAGACGGGACGAAAATGCGGTACCTAAATGAACATCGCAGACGAGACCAGAACAAAGACTCAATCCAAGCCCGTCCTTCCTCCGCACTAAATCAGGACGCGCACACGCAAGTTCTGCAAATTGTCTTCCAGCTATCAGAAGTCCATGCGCGGCTGTAAGCGCACCAACACGCGCTTGATGCGTCTGCGGGCTAGTTTCATGTCTCACATGGGAGTGAGAGTCAGATTGAGATGACGAGGACGAATGAGGCCGTAAAGATGGGAGGTACAATCCCATGGCGAGTCTATACGTCGTCATCAATATATCAAGACGCTGAGCGAGGAGTGTAGGCGGTGCATTTCCATGGCTTGCGTTGGATGATAGCGCCGTGGAAGGGTGAGGCGGCATGCAAGACTCCTCGCCCATCCCGTCGCTGTCCATCCGAAATGAGGGTGAAAGGTCCAACAGCCACTGTTTGATCTCGGCTTCGCATTGGGATGCGTGTTCGAGGGATAATAGGACCGAGGGATGTTCTAGGGAGGATAGTAGCGAGGTGCGGGAGTTGATGTCCTTTACGAGCTGTGCGAGGCTGCAGAGAGAGGGGATAAAAATCAGCAATGAGCGGAGGTAAATGGGCAAGCAGAAATCGCTCACCGTACTCTCATCCCAAACCACCGTCCCACACCCTCTTTGCCCGTCGGGCTTAGAAGAGGCGCAGACGTACACGCGAACGTGAACACCTCCTCATTAACGTCCAGCGGGAGGCGCGTGCTGAATGCGTGCAGAGGGATAAGCGGAGTACGCGAAGAGAGGGTGGACGTGTATCTGTAGAGACAGAATTAGTAACGCATTGTTGGAAGATTTGAAACTCCCGAATCAAGCCAACATAAAACTCTGGAATGTAGCGAGCAAGCTCATCGCGAATTGCTTCGCCTTGCAAGAAAGAAAGGACAGAACAAAACGCGACTCACACATCCCACCACCAAACATCCCACCATGCCCTTCGGCGAGCCTCGCTCTCATACAGACCATACCTCCCTGGCGTGAGATCAGGGTCGACGTCGAGCCCCATCGTACGTGCGATGTTGACCAGTTTTCCAATCTATAAGGGGAGTGGTGAGTTTGGGTTTCATTGATGCGTTGAGTTGAAATTGAATGGGGAAAGTAATGATGGAGAAGGGTGAGTTGTGGAGCTACCGCGGGGGTAGCACATCAAGAAACCAGCAGAAATGTATAGATATAGACACACGACGGAATAAATAAAAACGCATGAACATAAAAGTAGAAAACCGACCAAAGCGATCGCACAAGTGACAGAAAAGTCAAAACCTCGAAAAGGACATGACGGCGATCACGATCACGATAGGAAGGATCTACCAATCATAAAAGGGATTTTTAGAAGTCGAGAAGCAAAATCGAGCGAACCCGTGCCCAACTTCTATCAAAAAGTTGCACGTCCGCTCCGGTCCCCCGTAGGGCGCAAGACATAGTAAACGGGGAAGTGTCCACTCACCTCTCCTACAATCCATCCCTCCTTCGCGCTTCCGTTAGCGTGTCTCTCCTTATCGCAAAGGACTACGAACAGCACGCCAAGTACGATCGCGGATATGTAATCCAAGTCGTACTCGCTTGCAGGTGTGTTATTCGAAGTTGGAGCCGAACAACAAGGCACCACAGCACCCTCCCACACTCCGAGCGCTTGTCGCGATAATGCATGGAGAAGCACAGGAGACGTGAGGTTTTCTTTCGGGGATTGATCTTTCTTAGACTTTCTGGGTCCTAGCAAGGCACATGCCCGTTCGCTATGTGTAGTCCTTTCAGCCCCTATCGGTTCAGCAGGAGCTGCGGTATGACTGGGACTGGATGCGTGGAGGGCAGCGCTAGCGCTAGCGGCGCTCTCTTCGACCAATAAAGCCAATGCAAACGCGCCCGCGACAGAAGCGAAGAAGGGAAGAGACGGGGTGACGGCCCTACCTGACGTTTGCGCAGGTGATGACGCAGGTGGAGGAGCAGGCGGTGAACCAAAAAATATGGTACGGGCTGTGTCCGCTTTATTCGTTTCTGAGGATGTGCGAGAGGAAGCGGTTACGGTTGTGGCTGTCGTTGATGACGTATTTGGACGGGATTGTTCGTCTGAGCAGTCGTTTGAACATGACGTGCTCTCTGTCTCGACCCACCTCCATATGCCCTCCGCGCGCTCTCTCCAGACGCGCCAGCTGAAACATGGGCCAGGAATCATCCTGAGGGCTTCTTCTGCGTGCTCATATAGGCGGGTACGTCGACGTGGAGCAAATGGAAGATGAGATAAAAGGGATTTTGTAAAGAGGGGTGGGGATGACGAGGAAGGGTGTGGGGTGTAGTAGCAGGATATTGGGGGTAGGAGGAGGGAGAGAGGAAGGGATGATGCGGAATTTGAAGAGGGTAAGAGGAGGGAGGAATGACATGCAGGCTCAGATTTAATATATCCCTCCTGGGCGTCGGAACTGGATGATCGTACTGCTAGCGGCTGTGGGATGTCGATTTCGTCCATCCAGATAGCAGAAATATCGTCCAGGGTGGATGTGACGACTTCGTGCGGGTAGTATGAATTAATGGTGTGGAGGGGTAATTGGAGCGCTGTTGAGGATGATGAAGAAGGAAAACGGGCACCTGGAGCAGATATTTGAGCGAGTTGGGACTCAACAGCAATGAGTCTGTTGTTAAGGGAGTGCAGGTCACTATTAGGATTGAGGAATCAAATTTTGCAACGGAAGAAGGGAGACATGGACGGACACTTTCTCAGCTGCAGCCGGCGAGTATATACATCTGGCGACAGTATCGCGCTTCGTACAGGAACCACAAGGGGCTCGACGATCACATTTCAGTTTAAGACGCTTACACTAAGTCGGGTCAGTTAGACTGACATAACAAAATGAGTGGCACATACCTCAGCGCAGACGACGGTAACACGAGAGCGGACTTGTCTGTTGGGTTATTTTAAAAAAAAGGATAAGGAAGATGAAGAATAAGGACACACGGGCCAATTGCTTGGTGGTCACCGCTACTACTCGGGTCCATGATAAAAAGGCTTCCGAGTCTAATGTAATTAGTGATTAAAACAAGTTGGTCGTCGTCACAGTAGTCGTTCGTGGTCGTGGTCGTCGTTGTCGTCGACTTGATAGGATTCAGAAACAAGCGCTGAAGAAAATACGGAAGTGAAGCGAGGACACCCACTAAAGCGGTGTTCTAGGTCTCGAGACCCCGAAAGTAACATGGATAAACGTAAACCCCTGACGCGCGCGACTTTGTTTGCTTCCGCTTTCAACAAAACTATAATTTCCGCTTCGGTACCTACAGAACGAAGCAAACTTACGGGAGTTTGGACAACAAATTTAATAAACCATACATTTCACTGTAACCTATCCGACGAGGAACCCACGTTGTCCTACCGACACGGAGTCCTCCACCTACACGTCTGTCTATCCAATAAATATAATATATCCTCCGGTCAGCTTTACAGCTCAGTCGAAGCACGTACGTTGAACTTCTCACCACCTAATTTGTAGTCAAGGTTCGACTTTCCTCCATCGACCCTGGCAATCATTTCAAATCTTGTCTAGACCGCCCTGCTATCAGCTAAATTTCGAACATTCTCCGGGTCCCGCGGTGCCGCCTGTACCGACTTCGAGGCTCTTGACGCTCTCCTGACTCACTTACATTGTCATTAATCCAACACCTTCGTTACATTCACAATATTTGGTTGCTCTGAAAGGCACTCACATTAAAGTTACAGCGTCCCCTTCAACGTCTATGTCATAACGAACTGAACTCGACGTGACGTGCCGCGGCAAGGCGTGTCGGAAAGGCCCTGCCATGACGTTGTTCGGTGATGGAATGACATTTGTAGTGCCTAAATAGAGCGCGCGTAAGATAAGGAAAAATAAGAGATCGAGTCACCTCAGTCAACGGATGCCTATCCAGGTGCAGGACCCAGGCAGGTGCTAGCCTCAAGCTTGAAGGTTGTAGTAGTGTTTGTTTTCAGAGTGATTTGCATTTGTTTGTATAGCCACCTCACCACTTGTCTTTTCTTACGGTACTGCTAGCCTTGCCAATTCAAATAATAAGTTACTAGAAGTTCGGGAGCGACATAAGTGACGTACCGTCTCTCCCAAACTTCTATTGGTGCGCCACTGATGCCTTTTCAGATGCGGCGGCCTGACCTCAGGGCATTTCGCAGGCTAGCTAGGCTTCCGACAAGCGCTTTCCCCACAGTACTGACTACACAACCACAGATGATCGGGATTCGACAACGACAAGATCTGTGCACTTGACGATATCGAATGTACCGTACAATGCAAGAGACAAACTCTCAGAAAATCAAGACACAGGTACATAGATAAGCAAGATAACGGAGTTTTTGCCCTTGGTTCGGCTCAAATTTCCAAGTTGCAGGTACATGTAGTAATCCCGCCTCCCAAATCTTGATTCCCCGGGCCGCTTTGCTGCATAGCCCGCAACACAACAGCTTTCTAGAAGTTAACTTCCGGCGCGCCAGTGTCTAGCTGTGTGGGCGATGCATGACGCATACTATCTTCATTCTATCATATTGGTCTGCCTACGGGATCAGACTAACCACAGCCTGTGTCACAGACGAGTACTCACTCAGCTCCACCCTCATCCTTCAACCCCATTTCACCACGATCCAGTGAGCTTCCATGACATTGGAATGGAATTGAAAGATTTCCATAACTCCAATCAAGTTGATCGGTTTACTGCCCAGCTCATTACCGTCAAACATACTTATTGGACCACCTGACACCAAATCATCGTTGCGTGGCTAAAGCCTTTTCACACCTTAGTACCCGGCTCCAAAAGATCCAGGTGACAGTTTAGATCTTGATCCTTTGATGAACGTTTTTGTACGTCGTCCCTCGAAATAACCATTGCCCATATAATTTCTAACCGCACCGTCGAACCCAATCAGTGTTAGTACTTCCTGTGACACACGTTTAAAGTTATCATCGATGAGCCAGGATCACTGTCAGTATTTTATCTCTTATCCCCTCTTTTGTTCTCTCAAGGTGCTGAATACGAACGAGTCTACGACTCCCGTGAACGCCAGCCCCACCCGAAATCTTTAAAAGGGACCTGGGTGAACCTTCTCCACTGCATCTACGGATTACTAGACGACCGAAAGGAGAGTGGATTTGTTTAGTCGCACGACACGGCAGGCATCGGAAAGTCTGTTGCGCTTACTGTCAATTTATTGTAGCTGAAAGGAGGAAAGGTCTGAAAGTGACAGAGCAAACCAATATCGAAAAGCGGCTCCCGGCATCATTATTTTTCTCGCGAGAGCGCACGAAACGCTGCACCACTGGCTATTCTTCGCGACGCATGCCTACCAGCTTGCCAGCAAATTTGCCAGCGTCCGTGAGGAAATACTGCCCTTCTAGACCCCACCACGTCTCTTCGCGACCAGGTGGAGGCATTGTTTATCCAACCTCTCCGGGGGCTTAGCTTTAGACTGCACGGGTGTCCGCCTTTCGCGTTCGTTATGGATGCTCTTGATGAATGCGCGTGTCAAACCGAGCTTGCTTATGATCCCCGTGATCGGCTTCAAGTCATGCTGGATCCAGCGAGTAAATTGCCAATTTGCTACCAGGAACGGAGGTATACAAGTTGTATGACTGTATCTTCTCTACATGTGCCGACCCCAAGCGGGCATACCTGCACTTGTCCTCTGTCGCTGCCCTTGTGGACCCTTTACCGATTTCCCAACTCTCGAAAATTTTGGCCCTGGCCTAGGCAGGGACGTCGAGACCGCACTGGTACAGCTATGGTCTGTCATGGATATCCCTACTGACAGCAGTCTCCCCGTCAATATCTATCGCTCATCAACTCGTGACTATGTTTCCCACCCCTCAAACTGCAGGCTTTCTCAAGTACGCGATATCCCATCACAATACTGCCAGCCATTAATCCCAACTCTGAAAAGTCGACGAAGGAAGTGCCTGCGCCGGCACCCACTTCCAACATGTCGACGAGACAACCGTCAAGACTCCTCCCACGGAGGAGCTGGTCGTGGCCTCGCGGCTTAACATGTGAGAGCTGTTCCTAGGCCTCGCCTCAGTCCAATACACCTCGCGGCGTACCCCCTTCACTCAGCCTCTTGCACCACTTGCCCCTTATTCAACCCCGATGCCACGATTTCAGATGTTGGCATATCCAAAAGCGCACGTCAGATTAGTCCATTCTAATCCATCGTCCCCACCCCATCAAAACGCCCGAAACGAGACAAGCTAGCAACCGAAGGGAGGCGAGAGTAACACACCACTGGCAGTTCATGGGGAACCATTCTCATGATGAGGACTTGGATAACCTCTCACCCAAGGTTGGACTGGCAATCTGATCGTGTCCAGGCTGCTATCAGCTGGACATCGTAAACCCCCCGGGTGCCGCGGTGCCGCCTCACGAACTTCGAAGGTGACGCTCGAGAGTGGACTTGCTTCCTTGACACTCTTGGCTCACTAATGTCGGCGCCGCCGGCATTCCAACACCTGCATTACGTTCGCATTAAAGTTATAGTAGCGTCTCCTTCGACGTCCCTGTCATAACGAACTGAACTTAACGCGGCGTGCCGCGGCAAGACGTGTCGGAAAGACCCTACCATGACGTTGCTCCGGTGATAACATTTGTACTTATGTAGTACCTAAATAGAGCGTGAGATATAAATCCAGATGCTTCAGTTAACCAGAGTTTGCACAGCCACCGTTGTACAACTCATCTTTCTTGGCTGCCACTAACCGCTCTGCTTGTGAATTTTCGTACGCCAGTGATGTTTTCAGATGAGCTTAAGTCATTTCGCAGGCTAGGTTTCCGACACGTAAGTTATCCCGTCGCTTTCAATTATTTCCCAACATAACTGACTTTTCTTCTGTTGTGTTTGTGTCAACGTGTCATGCTCGCCTCCTGTAGTTCCTACTCCAAATTCTCAACTTCACCTCGGTCATCGCGTCTGGCCTCATGCTATGGAAAGGCCTCGGCCTGCTCTTAAACACAGAATCCCCAATCGTCGTTGTCCTTAGGTATGTGTCATCTTCGCGCAATCTGGCATTCAACTCAAGCTCTCCACCTCTCCCAATCCCAAATTGAATCTTGGATACCAATCTATCCGATACCTGCAGTGGCTCGATGGAACCAGCATTCTACCGCGGCGACCTTCTTTTCCTCGCCAACCCCTCAGGCGAACGTTACCACACAGGCGACATCACGGTTTATAGAATCCCCGGTGCCGAGATTCCAATCGTCCACCGCGTCATGGAGACTCGGGATGTCTTCATCCCATTCGAAAATTCGACGGAGAAGCGCGTCACAAACAAGAGGTGAATTGACTACCATTTATTCGACGTGTTCGCCGCAGTAGCGCAAAGGAAAAGACATTCGACGAGAACTAACTGGGACCTGCCCCAAAACAGACTCGCAAAGCTCAAACTTCCACCAGGAGAACATCAGTTGATGCTTACGAAAGGCGATAATAACCATGTTGATGATATCGACCTCTACCAGGGCCTTGAATGGCTCGACCGAAGACACATCATTGGAAAAGTTCGCGGGTATGTGTCTTTCACTATTTCATTATGTTCTTTGCTCTTTGGATGTCAACCTTGCGCTGGTCGCATGTCGTTATGGCCGAGGTATTACCTCACACGTGTCCCTCTTGAATCTATTATCCGAACTGTCTCTTTTTTCATTCAATCTTCTAACAACACTTCCAATTAACTCATACTTTCACTCCCAGCTTCTTGCCGTACATCGGCTACGTGACCATCGCCATGGTAAGTCTCTCACTGTCCTAGCTAATACGCTAGAAACAATGCTGATCACCCCACCTAGAATGACTTCCCACAACTCAAATACGGGCTTCTAGGAGGTCTTGGGCTGTTAGCTGTCTTACAACGGGAGTAGAATTTAACATGTACCTCCAGTTGAGGAGGGGCATTTACACAGATCCACGTTACTTCTTTCATGTAAGGTCACCGTGCGCACGCGTGTATGCAATGTCAATACTGACCTTAGTGGGCGACGTTCAACATCATCGCCGAGAAGGATGACACGCCGCGCCCGGGTCAAATGAACCTTGCTCCCAAAGGCAGGCTGTCGGCGTGACAGCTCCTGTTCCGACCCTTCACTTGCGAAATGATGGATGAAGCGATGTTGACCCTAACGCAGTTTGCAAGTCAATATTGTAACGTGCCGTATAGATGACGCTAACCTTATTTGAGTTGAGTTTTTCGTCGATCCTCCAATAAGGAGTGATGGCGTCGTTGCACTACAGATTAATTGAGCAACGACTCCTTCACTCCCTTTATGAAATGTGGGACTGCTTTTCAAGAGAAATTTCATCTAAGTCTGGCAAATGTATTCGGGGTCTATCTCAGATTGCTGATTGTTTTCTGCATCGTGTGGATTTGCGAAGGATGACGCTCTTCAGTCCTGAACATTGGCACTCTCTGCTGGTGAGCCATCTTGAATGTTTACTTCGTCTACGAATGTTCTCATATCGGATGGACACCAAGGATCGATTCATACTGGTCACTGTTGAATACAACTCCATATCAGGCGTTATACAAAAGCCTCACTAGTCTGTCAACTCGCAGAACAGTCTCATTGTCATACCACGAGGTAGTGAGGCATTGACATGCATGTATCATTTGCGCCACTACCTTTCTCATGCAACTTGTCTACAACCTCGTATCCAGGCCCATGGACTCAGGGCGCACAATTCATCTCATTTCCCCCTAACCGGAGGCTGTGCTGAATATCGGGAGTGGTGCACAACTGTGAGAATAGGTCGGCACGTTATGGGCGATGCTCGGGAACATTCCCAATCCATCATGGTCGGCACCGCTCCACCTATCATAGGCAGTGCGTACGAATATGCCTTGTTAGGGAAATACTCTCTATCCTTGTTAGGTGACGTCCCTTCAGTGCACGATTGAACTTCCGTGGTAAGTCGATAGACTTGTTCCTAGATCCCAGATCTGCTCATGAGAGGATAGGCAGATGCTGGAAAGTACATTTGTATTGATGTAGCGCATTGCCTATTGAATATTGCCTACGAAGCTCGCTGTACTCATGTCAGTGAGTCTTCCATATCTATGTAGTTTTACCAACATCCAGTGACTCGGAAAAGTCATAAGTATTGGATCATTTTCGCCGGTCAGTAGTACTTACGTGTTTCCCATGGTTAGCTTCTTGTATGACGATGCCAAATTTGCAGCTTGGGCTGTCGAAAATTTCATGCATACAGGGTGTGGATAACCGAGTACTTTAGTCACAGATCTACGGGAATAAAGGCCTGTCTCAATGCGCTCCTTTAGTAACGACACAAAACCTTTTTGCTTCTGCTTGTACTACTAGACATATGTTCTCTGTAATTTTCGGTCAGTATATGGGGCAGTGCCATCTATGATCTATCCTACCGCCCAGCATCTCCTGGTTTCAGCTTTTACATATTTTGACTTGTATGATGATAAGCATCTGAGGGCCCGGTCCAGGTTGTTCTGTCCTGCCAGAGCCTGAAGGCAAGCAATTTCCTCGGGAGCCACGACACCACGCGCACGGCTAAAACTTGCGCGCCAGTCTCTCTGCCTAGAGGCACCCACGGAGTGAGAGAGGAGCAGCACAGTGAGGCAAAGAATTTTCAATAGAAACAAGAATAGAATTAGTAAAAATATAAACTTTTGTCTAACATCGAGCCCGAGTCAAGCCTTAAGTACACCACTCGTCTTTGACGCATCGTTGATCAGATACTCTCCCATGTGAGGGATTGGGTAGATCCAATGGCAGCATAAGCGAACGATCAACGTATAGTAGGTATGGTAGGAAGCTCCGTTGCAGTGCGGGCAAGTCGTTGTCGTTCGCGAATTGACTTCCTAGCATTGAGTCTGACCACCAATCCAGTGGTTTAGTGCATTTCGTGTAAAGAAGTCAATCCACTTACACTGCCATCATCGAGTTAAAATAGGCTAAGGCTGGGGGTTTTAGTGTTCGCGCAGTTCGTGTGAAAACATACTGACTTTTCGCTAACAGTGATCCGGGTGCAGCGGAATAATACTGGCCATTCTGGACCTGGTACTGAAACGGTCCTGATTGTTATTTTCCGCATGTCGCATGGACGACAAGACTTACGAGTACAGCCATCGTGACCCCCACAAAGCTGGGGAAAACCGTATGACGGGGATGTTCAACAGATATGAAATATGACACATACCAAGACATCAAACCCATGTTAATGAAAATCTGTGTCAGTTGTTTGAGATGATTCCTCGACTTTGACCTTCAACCACATAACCCTGCATGAGTTAGACCACAAACAAGGCAGACGGACTCGTACCGGATATTTCCTGTGCGTGCGCGACGCAGATGCCACCAGACCGCCCCTGCAATGACAAGATCACACAATGCACCAGACATAGCGGCGAATTGCAACCACTAAGTCGAAGCATGAATTCCTTAGGGTTATTCACTATTTTGTGGCTGACCGTACTTTTGTGCCATATAGAGCTTCAGGGCTCATCGAGCGGAATCTTTGGAAACTATATGAGAAATCACGCGAGCTCAACGACCAAAAACTCACATTAAACCCCATGTGACTAGAGACGAAGACAGCAGCATCAGCACATCGACATCAAGAATGAAGAATGAACGGAACTCATGCCGAAACCTACAGTGTTCAAGAGTCAATTATGTATATGTGGGATCGAAAGAACTGACCGAGTGATGTAGTGGCGAGTGCGTACTGAAGGTAGGTGTTATGGCTCTCCGAAAAGAAACAATGAAATGTAACCTCACAATTATGATTGTGATGAATCGATTGTGTTCTGTGACTGAAAAAAAGGTATTGAGACCCTTGGTCGTGCAGATCCCGAATAACTCACTTATCCACACTCTGTGTGCATAAAAGCTTTCGGCAGTTAAAGTGCGTTGGGCATCATGCAGGAAACCAGCTATAGGAAACACATACCAATGAACTGCGAACACGATCCAAGCCTTATTGACTGATATTAGAAATTGATCACGACAATTTATGTAAGAATTACTTACCGACACAAGTACCCCTAGCTGTGGCAATGTTCAATATACAGTACTAAATCAATGCAAATGTACTTGCCAGCATCTGCCTATCCTCTCGATGAGCCGATTTGGATCCATGAAGAAGTCTATCAACTTACCACGGAAGTTCAGTCATGCACTTAAGAGACGTGCTACGACGACACGAAATAAGGATAGACCAGTACATCCCTATCAAGGCGTATTGGTTTATTGTTACTAGACAACTGCGAGACATCGTCATTGGGATCAGCGCATACTCGAGCATCGTGGGAAGTACCCACAAGACCATCATTATCTGGTGATCAAAGATGTCATTAATGTGAAGGGTCTCGTGGATGCACAGAAGTCTCGCTCACAAATAATTTGAATATTTTCGAATCTTGCGGAAAATTTCTCAGGTAGAAGATATACTGCCCGAAAGCTGCTCCATAGAACCTTTACAATTCTGCAAGTCAACTTTGGCCTGGTTGAGACTGAATCAGATGTCCATACGCTGTAGCAATCACGAATCCTTGGCCGAAAGTCAAATTGAGATTGGATGAGTGGCCATCGGAAGACTCACCAATGACCCCCGGACCCCACAGAAGTTCAGTACTAGTGGAATCGGCCATCGTGTCGAGATGACAGTCGAGTCTCGAACCCAAAAACTTCAAAAGCCCCAAGGACTATATGGGCCAGGCTGCACCATGTTTAAAGCTCCGCATTATTATGAGGGGCACCGCTGGACAAAATTAAACAAATAATTGCGCCGAAGAATTCAAATTTGAAATGGAAACTGTCGACGTGCTTCCTGCCACTCACTGATCAGAGCCCCGGTTTCATCCTCAAATCACAGAGTCGACACCAGCCTTACGGGTCGTTTCGCTTCTTCTGTGGACAGACATATGCCACGATACGATTAGCTATATGTCCACCCAGTCAGAGTACAGGTGTCACGACGAACTTTTGGATGGTCAACATAGACTGTGCATCATTTGCGGCAGTGAACAATAGTATTACGGTTACTAGTAGATCATTTTCATGTGCAAATAAATTCCTACAATTTACCTTCTTCGGTGCGAGTACGAAGGTGTCAATGATGTGATGGACTCACTACCTAAGCTTAGTACGCCGCTGTAACGGGTTACGGCACCCACCAGTGTCCTTTACTGCTGCCGAAGCCGCAGACACGGATGTTATCCCGAGGCTCGCATATACGCACGACTACAGTCTTGTGAGAGTGGTGTATCCTGAGCAGCTTGACATCCCCCGTCAGGACGGTGCAGCACGTCGGTATGACAAGACCCTTGACAACCACTTCACCCCGATTCACGTCCAGGCTCCACTTAGGCCCATTTTTTTCTTCATTTTGCATGCTATATGCGCCAGCTTCAACGCCGCGTATCTGATTTCGAGTGACCTGGAGACACCTATCACTAAATTCCAGCAGCACATGCACAGTGCACTCACCTCTTAATCCCTCGGATACTAAACAGCCTTTTCATCCGCAATAGGCTTTGCGGACCTCACAATGGAGTTGTAGACATCATACGTGGGATAGACCAGAATCCATTTTGTTCCAGTTATCTCGGGAGATTCACCCTTGACTTACTTGTCGCTTCTATTTACTTGTAGAACTCGACAAACAGAAGGATCCCGCATATAACGATATTATTCGGGCGCTGGGCGGGTCAGCCTGGGGCGCAACCTTCTGTCCACTGATTCCATTCGTTCAAACCTCCCTCAGCGCACGACTGTTGATTGGAAACATCATAATATGTTTTAGATCATTGTCTTTGCAACTGATCCTTCATGACGCGAGCTCAGCATTACTCACAGGTTTTAGCACACTCCACTCAGGGCTAGCAACCTTAGTCGTTAGCGCGACGGCTTTCTCGTCTTTCCGAATGTTTGGCTCAATAATACCAGGATGATCCGACCGATACCATCCCTCAATGACTAACATATAGAAGAGCTGTATGTCGAGTGCAAGATTCATCATGATCATATGTCTGACTCTAGTCCATCCCAAAGTCCTATTACTCTCAGTGAAGAGGAGCAGCGAGAGATACTTCAACGTCGCTTTCCTCGTGCCTCTCATACAGGACAGACACCACTTCAGGTGTTACACAAAAAACTTCAATGTACATGGAGTACTTATTATAATATATAATAGGCATTGACATGCAGTGTCATTTCTCATGCAACTTCTGCAACTTCGTATCCCGGCCCATTGACCTCAGGGCCCAGCCCACCCCTAAACGGGAGCTGCCAGTGTGCTGAACATTGGAAGTGGTGCACAACTTGCGAAAATAGGTTGGCACGTTGTTACGTGTCCCGTACACCCCCAATCTATGGTCAGTACCACTCTCACAGAGTACTTATAGTCTATCATAGGTATGTAGTGCCCATAGTGATAGAAGCTGTTGCTTCTGTAAATATCTTGTCCAGCTGATCTGCTTCTTCACGTGCATTCCTCATTCCTTATCGCAGTAATCAGGCAGACCGAAGATCATGATAACCACGCTGGGCAGAACTCTTCTTCTTTCAATAACATGGCCTCCCAAAGCATCATCCTAATCCCTGATGACTCGCCTTTCTCATTAGCAAATATCCCCTTTGGTATATTCTCCACCCAATCTCAAGTACGCCATCTCATCTCCAATAATTCAGATCGAAACTGACCATGTCCTGCAGCCCACTCCACGCCCTGGCGTAGCCATCGGGGACCATATCCTCGACCTTCGAGTCCTTACACTAGAGGGGATATTCACGAATTGCGGAGTATCGTTCCCCAGTGATGTCTTCACGCATGTAATCAAATCCCTTTTTCATACTTCGCATCTCGTGTGTTCATTTCACCGAATGTATGCAGACAACCCTCAATGCATTCGCTGCTCTTGGAAGGTCCACTACCTCTAGCGTACGCGCATATATCCAGTCCCTCTTGTCCCGATCCTCCTCTTCTCCGCTATACTCGAACCCTTCCCTTCTAAAGCGCTGTACTGTAAGGCAAATGGAAGCAACGATGCACCTCCCCTTTGATATTGGCGATTTCACAGATTTCACGGGTTCTAGGACGGTGAGTATCGACATATGTTTGTGAGGTTGTCATTCGGGAAGGACCGGCTGATATGTGTGTGTGATACAGCATGCGAAGAATACGCACTCGGGACATGGACATGGGGGTGTTGATGTTGACATGTGCGTCTGCATCCCTCTTCACCTACTACTGAACCTATGTCTTATTCCCCATATGTATCGAATAGGTTTCATCCCCCTCGCGCAGCCTCCGGACGTGCATCTACTATTCTTCCCTCTGGTACCCCTATTGTACGGCCCGTTGGTCATCTCCCTCTGGTCCCTCCCCGGGGTCACCTATCATCAGACCTCCCAGGGCCTCTCGATGACCTTTCCACAGACACTCCCATCGAATCAAGGACGCTCGCTCGAACAACAGGATTCACGCTCGCACCCACGAACGAACTCGACGTTGAGCTCGAGCTCGCGTTTTTCGTCGGTGTCCCGACGGAGCACTTTGAACGCGTGCCAGTGGAGAAAGCAGAGGAACATATATTTGGAGTTGTCTTACTGAACGATTGGAGCGGTGCGTTTTTTTTCGATTTATAAACTGCGATTTTGCATGGTATTTTGTGTTGCCTATTTTTGTGTGATGGAGTGGGTGCTTGTGTATTAAATTATATGTCCTAAACAGCAGCGAGACATCCAAAACCCAGAAACCCTCCCCTTCGGAGCATTCAACGCAAAGAACTTTGCGAGCACGATCAGCCCGTGGGTTGTCACCCTCGATGCATTGGAACCGTTCAAGATCGCACATGACATACGGAGGGTCCCGTCGTACCTTCTAGATAAGGGAGATGTGACGTATGATATCTCAGTCAGCATGGAGGTGATTCCTGGTGGACCGGAGCAGAGGGAGATGGGGGTAACGAGATCTAGTTTGAGGAATTCGTATTGGACGTTTCGGCAGATGGTGCGTCGTGTTTTTACTTTCCCCATGTTTCCTCTGTCCCGGTTGACATGAATCCCATATTCCTTGCAGCTCGCTTTCCACACACTCTCAGGATGCCGCATGCGTACCGGGGATTTGATAGGGACGGGGACGTTATCTGGAGAGGTGTGTCTGTTTTCGTTTGTCTTCTGCCTCATCACGTCTTCCTTACGTTCAAATCATTCCCTAAAGGACCCGACATCCCTCTGTTCCCTCATCGAGCAGCGCAAGCACTTCCCTAGTCGAATTTTCATACAGGACAGGGATGAAGTTGTATTCAGTGCTTGGTGCGGGTCTCCTCAGGGAGGAGTAGGATTTGGAGTGTCGCGGGGTAGTGCTACCTGCGAGATTGTAGTGAAGTATTTCTTGGCTAGGTTATCATTGTTCAGATTGGGAAACAGTCGGTCTCGCGCTACATTTGTTGATCGCTTGCGCCGCTGGAAATGTGCTCTCGACCACGTTGAGTAGAGTACTCGAGAGTCGTACTCACGAGTCTGCGGCGGACGTACGCCTTCAACCCCGGGATCATATACAGGGCCCCAGAAAGTTGTTTTCAAGTGATTTTATACACTCGATGCGGGAGCTACCGTGAAAGCATCAAGTAAACGGATAACCCGAGCAGAAGTGTCATTGGCGCGACGTCTGTAGAAAGATCACCGATATTACTGAGGAAGATCATGTCAAGGGTTGCCGTCACCATATCCTCAATTATTGGGTGCGAAATTACATCATACATGCTCTGTACGACGTGGACTGCTGGGGAGAACTATCAGTACTCTTGGCTGTGAGTGCTGGGAACAAAGTTTAATGATCTGGCAGGGGCCTGGCCAATGAATCACGCACTGGCCACTTCTCAAACAGACGTGGACGATCGTCTTGGAACTACACGTTGACAGAGTTCGCTGAGGGTGACGACGTAAGAATCTGATCGTAGCACTGCGTTGATCTCGATAACCCATACTCCGAGTCCACAGTCGCTGAACAGGGATGGCGGGCTCAACTATTAAATACCTCACGTCATACACCATGATCCGTATGTGAGAGCGATTCTATGCGTGCCCTCTTCTTCCAGGAAACGTTGTAATGATGTTTCAATAATAATTCGAGGTTCACGTGCCACCGATGGAGTTCCCTGTCTGAGAGGTGTGCAAACAGTATGAGACCAAACGATAGCTCAATGAAATACCCAAGAATAACAAATAAACTTCATGCCTACGCAAGGGGAGCAGCGACCCAAGCAAAAACCTCTTGCCTCCCTTTCGCAATCTCACCCTTCTGGCCAGAACTCGAGTATGCAACCCGAAGACGCTCCGTGGCCAGCTCATCCAGCAACTCAAGATTCTTCGGCGAACTAGTATTGGATAATGACTTCAGGTTCGCATTTTGCGCTATCCGGCGAGCACACTATGTTTTCAAAAATGTTCAACTCGATAAACAGCCCACGCGAGAAGAAGAAAAAACGCACGAGTTTCACGCCAAACCATGCTCGCACGGTGATCCCGAGCGGTGTGGATTCTTGCAGGAGCTGTTCCGAATCATCAGCGTCGGTCATGTCGACGACGGTAAGGAACATCTTAATGGCGAGGGGAAAGTCTTCGGAGGTGTAGGCTGTTTCAGCGGCTTGGAGCACGTAGAAGGGGTTCTGGGGTGTTAGAAGAAGAACGTGTGTGAGCGCCTGGAGAGAGTGGTCGTACCTGTGCGAGCGAACAATACATAAGACGTATAATGATAGGCATGGAATGAAGACGCACTGGTTACACGACGCGTAAATGTCTGCGAGTTCTAGCCACCCTTCGACGTCCGTATAGAACGTATCCAAGAATTGTACGAGTTCATTCACAACCTTATCTACCTTTCCTGTTCTCCTCAGTACCGATATACGCCGTTTCCAGATTGCCTGGAGGGAGAGTAAGCGCACAGAAGACACGTATGCGCGAGAGAAAGTACACACGGCATTGGCGGAGTCGGCTTCAAGGATGTCGGCGTAGTATTTCAGGACTATTTCTGGAGGCTCCGTAGCTTCCATGCGGATGCCTACGAGACAGTCGACACGTGGGGAGTTGGGGAATTTGTCGACGAGGAGTTGGAGGCATTGCTACATAGAAATGGGTTTTGAGGTAAGTATTTAGAACAGGAAATGGGGACATACGTCTGCTTTGTCAAGTCGTCCGACGTCTATCGAGGCCAATGTTAATTGTTCCAGGAATGTCCAGCCTGCAGGAACGCCGCAGCGACTCGAATAAGCGAGTTGGGTGTGGTCAATGATAGAGTGACTTGCCGTCGTCCCCCAGTTTTTTAAAACCACCTTTCTGAAGCACGAGGAGTCCATTCCGGAAGATATCTTGAGATGCGCGCGCGTTTTTGGCGCGGTAGCTAGCTAATCGCTCCAAGGATGACTGTAAACTCATGAGTATAGGAAGGACCAGTGTGTTACGTAACTTCAAGATTCGCCGTTAACTACATCTCCCATGCATATGTCACTAGTGTGCCTTCAAGCTTGACAGGTCTCTGTGCTACCTGCTATTATCATGGCGGAGGACTTGAGGTTGGTAGAACTCACTTTGTTTTGTCAAAGCACTGATCAGAGTGCGGGAATTGTCAGGGACCTCATTTGCGTCAAGACGCACTTGCTGAATCTCAAGGTCGGAAGCGCACGAGGTCCAACAGGCGAGGCGCCGCCTGTGTTGATCTCCATCTCCATTCCATGCGATGTTTCGGGCGCCACGATATCAGACAATTTGAGTCGATCCATCGACCATGCGTCCATTCACACCGTCTTGTTCAACACTCTCCCTACTAGACATTATACATCATTGGAAGCTCTGGCAGACTATGCTGGCAATCTTGTTCTCCAGACCTCGAAGGAAGTTAGCGAGGTGCACATTGAATTGGCGCAGGTGGATTTATCATCGGTGGTTGATTCGATTTCTCTCGAGACAACATGCGCACGAGACGGCGTGCTCAGGACGGGTCGTTTCGTTTTGAAGAACTTGAGGTGTTTGACATCCATAGGTTCAGAACCTCTTCAGCGACATACCTTCTGTTTTGATGTCACGATCCAAAAAAATATGGACCTTTCGCATCCGTTTGATGCTCGAGCGCTCGCAGAATCCCTCGAACGTGTGCGTAGCTTTTTCAATCCAAAATAAAGTGTTTTCATTGATCGTTTCCTAGGACTTTGAAGAGTCGTCTTTTTCCACGTTGGAGGCTCTGACCAATTTTGTGGCCAAACAAGTCCTTTTGGCTTTAGGTCAGGCAGATGATGTAGTGACTGTTGTCGGTGGAAGTCCCAACGCTCTCACGCCCGGAGATTCTACACAGTTGAAGATCACTCGGTGCTTGGCTGACTTCCCCGAGGAACACATCGCCAGCAATGACAGAACGAACTGCTCTTCCTCATGTGTATCCCTGGCCGACCTCCTAGCGTCCGTACTTCCGAATATCTCCACACTAACACCAAAGCACACCGTGGCAATAGCACTTGGTTCGAACCTTGGCGATCGATTTGCCAACATCGAAACTGCTTTGCGCTTGATTGAGCAGCCTAATCAGCTGCTGGCCAATATGGATGCTGACGTTGCTGTATCGGTTATTAACACGAGTTTTATGTATGAAACTGCGCCGATGTACGTCACGGACCAGCCAAGATTTGCAAATTGTGCGTGCTTAGTAAGTCTATCCATCTTTCATATCTTCGGTTAATTTATTGGGGCGCCCTTCAGATAGAGACGAACTTGGAGCCGCGGACATTATTGAGATTACTTAAAAAGATTGAAACGACAGTCGGAAGGGTCCCTTCTATCCAGAATGGGCCTCGTGCAGTCGACTTGGATATCCTGCTGTACGACAGGGAGATCATCGATACTCGTCCTGAAGACCAACGAGAAACCCTCGATAATCTGGTCGAGGAACTTGTCGTACCACACCCACGCATAGCCGAACGAGAGTTCGTTTTACGCCCTCTGGCTGAGTGTGTATTAGCTTTGGTTCTTGGCGATCACTAACTCCGCAAGATCAGCATGATCCCAGAATTCGTGCATCCAGTACACAAGAAATCGATACGCACACTTCTTGACGACGTTATCAGGCAGTCGAACATCGACTTCCCGATGCTCAAAGTCATCCCTTTCGCCGATTATCCGATCACAGAAATACGGCAGCTCCCTGGCATCGATCAGGTACCCTCCATGGGCAAGTACTGGAGCACCCGTTGTTCGAATGACATCCAGCGGCCGACGAAAGTGAGGCTCATGGCGACCTTGAATGCGACTCCAGATTCGTTCTCGGATGGTTCTGTCAATAATACATTGTCGGCTGCTCTGACCTACGCTGCGACATCCGTGCGAGCAGGTGCTGATATCATTGATATAGGGGGTTATTCAACTCGTCCGGGCGCAGCATTCGTCTCACCCGAAGAGGAGTGCCAACGTGTAGTGCCCGTCATTCAGGCCATACGCTCACATGAAGATCAGGACGTCAGTTCCGCTCTTATTTCCATCGATACATTCCGTTGGGAGGTCGCAGAAGCTGCTGTCCTGGCTGGTGCAAACTGCATCAATGACGTATATTCTTTCACGGGTCCTGAGTACCCGCTTACGGAAGCTTCAGCAGAGCACCTTCTGAAAATGCGAGAGGTGGCACGAAAACTTGCTGTTCCTGTCGTTTTGATGCATTCCCGAGGAGATGCAGGATCAAATAAAGACTACAACCATTACAAGGGCGGAGTTCAAGAAGGTGTGCGGGTTGAGTTGGGAGAGAGAGTGGAGGCAATTATCAAGGGCAAAGGCGGAGTGCGAAGGTGGTTCATTATTGTCGACCCTGGCATTGGTTTCAGCAAGACTGTCGAAGCAAACTGCGCACTGCTTCGCGAAGCTTCTTTGATGATAGCGAATACTGCCAGGAACCCACTCGCAGGATACCCACAACTCATTGGATCGTCTCGAAAGTCGTTTCTTGGCACAATTTTGGAGCGCCCGGATATAGATGGGACATACAAGGGGAGAAAAACCCAGCCAAAAGAACGAGGGTGGGCAACGACCGCCACCGTGGCCTGTGCTGTTCAACAGGGCGCAAGCGTTGTAAGAGTCCATGATGTACAAGATATGCGAGACGTCGTGGCTGTAGCTTCAGCTGTCTGGAGTTTTTGCTAATTATGTAGCGACTTTTCTATTCAACCGCATACAAGACTTCTCTCTCAACTGTCTAACCCCGTTTGGAACGCACACCAGGGTCGATCGACTGTGAGTCGGTACTACTGTATTGACCAAGCCAACTTCCCACAGTCTTGGCATTGCACAACGGAAAGAACAACAAAAATGCACCACCCTCCTACATCCGGTGAATCTGGCCCGATCCCCTCGCACGTGTCAAATCTGCGTTTGCCATGAACCAGTGGGTTAATGGACGCGATTGCCAGGATTGGCCCTGATTGGCCTGGTCTTTTTGCCTGATTAATGATTTCCAAGTCATCCGCAGTCAGTTGATCATTGTTCCGGGAAAAGCTATTCAATATTGCATTACAGCTAGCCCCGTGCTACTTCTCCCATCCCCACCCCCTCAAGAGGTACGCAGACCACATCTGTCCTTGCTGAATCCACCATGCCGGAGAGTGATTAGTGATTGCATTAATGGTAGGGGATCTCGATTCCCTTCTTAGAGCGACCTATTGTCATCACGCCGTGCCACCGCATCTTGTTGACCGGCCGAGCGCCGGGCGTATAAGGTGTCGAATACGCACGACTCATCGGACACACATTCCGTGTCAATTAAGCCACTGAACTTTCACTCTTATCTTATTCCAGCCCACCCATCATCATGATAGAAGCTCTCACCATGAAGGCTGGCTACACTGCTGTTATCGCAGCCATAGGGGTACTCGCCGTGTTATACAGGAAATTCTCGTCAGCGGGTAGGAACGCCATCCCGCTCCCACCTGGGCCACCCGCCCGTTGGTTCTGGAGCAACGCTTTGCCTGCTGTCAAGTGAGTCTTGGAAACGTCATCCTTGATGTTCGAGGCTGACGAGGATCGTCCAACTCAGCATTGCTCATGCGCTAACCGACGTGGTTCGAGAATATGGGCCAGTGGTATCTTTCCGACAAGGTAGCCAAGTGATAGTTGTTATTGGTAGCGTTGAGGTCAACAGTCCTTACCTCGAATTTCGGACCCGGTATTGACCCCTTTATCAGGCAGCCATGAGTATCATGGAGAAAGAAGGTGGATCACTGGCAGATCGTCCTCGGTCCATCGCCGGGGGCGAGATGCTCTCAAGGGGGATGCGTATTCTCCTGGCTCGTTCCGGAGATCGCTTCCGGCGCATGCGAAAAGCGATACATACCAATCTCCAGCCGAAGGCGACAGAGGCATACCAAGATATGCAGCGCGAGAATGCGAGGAATTTTATATTGGATATCCTGAATGACGCAAAGAACCACCAGAACCACGCAAAACGGTATGTCATTACAAAGGGCTTTATGCGATCCTTTCATAGATATGGTACTTAAGGTATGCAGCCTCAGTCATTCTTAGAGTGACTTATGGGAAGTCTGCGCCAACTGCCAACACCGATCCCGAAGTCATCCATATTCGCAAAGTCATCGACCATTTCCAAGTCGTGATGCGCCCAGGAGCTTATCTTGTCGATCGTGTACCTCTTTTGCGCTACTTGCCTGGTTACGGAAAACAACTTACTGAGTGGCATCATGTGGAACTAAAACTATACAGACAACAACTAGGGCGCGTCAAGAGTGAAGTAGTGAGGAGCTTTCTGTTTTGATGAACTTATGTTATTCATCTTGTACTCAGGACCAAAATAAAGCGGGCCCTTCTATTACAAAGACGCTCTTGGAACACACCGAAGACCACCAACTCTCTCCAGATGAGATGTCCTATCTTGCCGGATCACTCTTTGGAGCGGGAGTTGATACGGCAAGTCATGCAACCTATGTATCTCCGTGAACTTACTCATGCTTAGTTCAGACCGCTGTTGGAATTACCGCTGCTATTATGGCTGCGGCGTGCCACCCACTAGCCCAGGCAAAGGTGCATGAAGAGCTCGACATGGTCATCGGGCCAGACAGAGGTAATGCTAATGGGCTATCAAATCTTTGGTTTCTCGACTGATTTTTCGTGATAGCACCGATATTTGGAGACTCAAGCTCGCTCCCACAGTTGCACGCGTTCTTGTTGGAAGCTTTCAGATGGAGACCTGTTATTCGTATAGGTAAGTCTCCTGAATCCTACAAGTTCCCTGTACCATGGTGACATGTGCCTCAGGATTTCCCCACCGTGCAACCAAGGATATTATCTGGGTTGGTGCCTTAGATTTATGGTGTAACCCACATTCTCATTCTTTTCCGTGTGCAATCAGCAAGGATATCGCATTCCTGAGGGTGCAACAGTCTACGGGTGCCATTGGTAAGGTTGTACTTCACGATGTGCATCACTTCATTAACTGCATTTTTTCCAGGGCTATTTCTCGTGATCCTATTGTCTTCCCAGATCCTGAGATTTTCAATCCCCAGCGCTGGCTGGATGAAGAAGGCCACGTAAAGGACAATATGAAGTTCATCGCGTATGGCTTTGGTAGACGGTAAGTCGCGCCGACATGATTTCTTTGACACTGATCAATGAAGTTCACTTGTCGTCAAAAGTGTATGTCCTGGCATGCACCTCGCAAATCAATCGATGTTCATCAACCTCGCACTTCTCTTCTGGTCTTTCCGCATTGCTCAGCGTCCTGACGCCCCAATCAACGTGCATGCTTTCAGTGACGCTGTTATCTCTCACGCAGAGCCGTTTGAAATTGATGTTATTCCACGGATCGAAGTTGCGAAGTTGAGAGAGATGATGACAACGAATGACTGTGTCGGTTGAAGATTTACAAGTGATGCCGTTGCGCAGTTCGTTTTGTCAACAGGGTTCCATTTCTTTGTTTCTATAGTACCTAATGTCTGATTATATTCCTCGCCCTCGGAAAATAGGATTGGCGAGTCATCTCGCAGAGAGAATGGGCCCAACGGAAGTGGAGAATAGTCAAACTTGTCAGGTTACTACTGAGGTCTCACGCCTGACGTGGCCTGATCCATGCCTAGACTGCAGAAACATGGATGGTGGCCGAATTGCAAAGATCTGTGGGACTAGTTTTATGTAAGATGGAGAACCGTGGTGAGTGAATGAGGCGGCGTATGTCACAAACTCTCATGTAGCAGACTAAAAAATTCAACCCACCTTGAATGTCCTTTGGAGAAAGTAAGTCACGAGCCAGAAGACTAGTGACTTTGATGGTGGTGTAAGCTTTGGATTGTAAGACGGAAAGGCGCACTGCGATTGGGGATGAGACTAATATATCTCTGGCGGCGAAAGTCTTGGAAGTAGTAAAAGGAAGGACACCTCTAATGGCAATGGCATGATGAAGCAATACTTAATGTGAGGCCATGGCTGCATCTGCATAGATGGCCAAGGCAGATGATGGTACAATGAGATGGGTTGAAACGTTGACGTTTGTTGAGGGTCGAGCATGCAAACGACACTCGTATCCCTTCGGTTTTGTATCTCGTATAACTATTGTACATAGACTCTGGCTTGTTCATTGCTCACATCGCCTGTAGCCTACACGCTCACCCTCTGGCACCTGAATCAAGACACCAGACACTTCTTAGTTGGAACGGGTGCCGCGCCTAACGAAGGCAGTCACGATATCACCAGCGGTCTAAATACCGAGCGGCAGAGCAGCGACGTCGGGAAGCCGGAGGTCATGTATCCTCTCGCAAGCAATCAGGCTTGTCATCAAAGCGAAGAACACGAATGTGATTGTCTAGCAGTGGCTGCGGTTGTCTTAACTCACGAGTTTATCTACAAGAAGTAGGACGGTGAACTTGAACTTGCAGTTGCAGCAATTGAAGAGGTCCTCCAGAGAGGGACCAAGAAGATCCAAGACCATCGCAGTGTCGCCCTCCGAGTCAGCGCCGAACCACCATACCGTGACGAAATGGGGGTTGATTGATTAGCCTTGAGCTTGAAAGTTGACGGATTCAAATTTGATGACCTGGCCAAGTAGTTGAACAGTCCTTATTGTACTATAGGTCGATTTAGCCGAGGAGCTAACACTGAGTACTGAAGTGATGGCTTAGTCATCTGGCTCCATCCCACTGTGCGGCCAAGACGGTGGTCTTCCATTGAACAACCATTCCGCTCACAATGTTCCAAAGCGCACTCCGGTCATCTGTATGTCTTTCTACCAGTCGTGCTCAACTTTCGTATAACGTCACTTTTCGTCAGCTTTCGCTCCACAGGAGCGCTGTTTCAAGCAGTTTAAGGACACAAACGTTCCGTCGATTTCTATCTCAGGAGTCTCGCGCAAAAATACAGGCTGCAGTGACAGAGTACCCTGTGGTACTGTTCATGAAGGGCAACCCAAAGCAGCCCATGTGTGGTTTTTCACGAGGAGTAGTGAAGATCCTCAGCGCTTTCGACATTCCACCTGAAAAGTTCAAGACATACAATATTCTCGAGGACCTAGAGCTCAGGTCTGGAATTAAAGAATTCTCGTAAGCTATGTTTAGTTCGACATTGTCACCGAGCCTCAAGTGCTTCTCTTGCAGGGATTGGCCAACCATTCCGCAACTGTATGTGAATGGCGAGTTCGTAGGTGGGAGCGACATTACTCTAAGCAGTGAGTTGAAGCTGCATGCCGGATGTGTACCCCAAACTTACATTATTCAAAGTGTTTCAATCGGGAGAGTTGGAAACGCTCCTGGAGCAGCATGGAATTATTCCGAAGGAGTCAGAATTGCCATCTTCATGAATTGGTACATAATTTCGACATGTCATTCATCGCATACCTTAGATATTAATTTATCATCATTCATCAAGCATTGGTGTAATTCGGTCATTGTCGACGACTGTCCGTGGAGGGACAGCCAATGAGACGAAACAACCGCGCTCGCGGCAATATTCTACGAAGCCCCTACAGGTTCATATATCCCAGTTTACGCACAATGACGGTATCTCGACGTACGAAATAGGGAATCAGGACAGACCATCGACATGCAAGGCAGCGTCTGTCGAAGGGGCATCGCGACGTGCAATCATCTTGAGTGCTATTTTTCGCGCTTTTTCAACATGGCATTAATGTTTCGACGTCCCTTCCATGATTCCGTGGGGCATATGGTGTAGCTGGTTATCACATCCGCTTAGCATGGGCTGACTGCGGGGGGTCTCCGGTTCGAGTCCGGATTTGTCCAATTTTTTTCCCTCGCCACTCATGAACCAATTGACTTAGCCTCGAGTCTCGAATTGAGCCTCATCAGTTACATAGACCACGACATCTTGTCACTAACACAGTGTATTCGAGTAACCATGCAATATATATACCAACAATCACGATCCTTTAGTGCTCACTGCTGGGGGCTTGAATACATTCTTTCGCAGGATCTCGCAGGAGCGCAGGATACGGTTCTTCAGCCAATCTCCACGATTGATAGCGACAACGAGCAATTGATCATGCACTACTATGCGACCCGTGTCCGTGCTGGTATATCAGCACTTGGTCCTTGTGATGTTCTCCTCTGGCGGCGGCGGCATGGGTGATGGCGATGCCTACGAGGGTGAGTCAGCATCCACTATCAGTTGTGATGTGACCCGAGGCGTTTTCTCTAGGGTTCTCTCAGTAATGTTGGCTGGGGTGTCCAAGTCTTTGTTCCATAACACAAGCCATTCGTCACGGTAGCAAGCAAGAAGCAGCAGCGCTCGTCTCTGTTGTGTCAGCTGTGCAACAAGCCATCTTAACACCTTTTTGTTTTGTTTTGGCACTCTATTGCCCTTCGACGAATGTCATTTTCAATTTGTCACTAGCCCTGACAGACGCAAGCAATCGAAAAGAATAATCACTCTTCTGAAGTTAATCCCGCCGTTAGGAAGCAAAGCAACTTCAGGAAATCGTCATGATCATATGTGCAAGGCACAGGTACGGGCGTTTCACCACGGTTGATTCCCATGGAAGAGCTTGTAATGCATCACACATTTGTAGGAGATGCAGCTTCGCCAGATCTGGGCAAAGGCGTTATAAGTATGTCGTTCCTTCGACACAATCCACTGCTCATATTTCTACGTTACTGTGGATTTCCTTGCTGTTTCTGCACTCGAGTCGCATCAAGGTATCACGTCGCCAATGGAACGAGCCGTCTTAATACCTTTTTAGGCACAATTTTTGTTTCATGTTCTCCACTTCTCGTTATAACGAAGGTACAGCTACTGACCAAACCGACACACACTACACAGGTTTGAATAATAATGAGAGCCGAATCCGAGGCTGCTCGGCTGTGACCTCCTGAGCCATTCCACAACTTCATTCCACCCATCTGAAGGTTTGTATGATGGAGTAATCACGATCTTGATTTCTCTACCAGGAAACACCGTGGCGAGAAATTTTGCCACTGCTTTTGGATTGGCCGGGTATGAATCCGCGTCCACCGCTATCAGCATGCACGTAGAACGCGTGGGGCGCGATGACAAAATGGTAAGCGTTTCATCATCGAGTACTGGCAACTCTGTTGTATCCAACGGGATACCAAGTTGAAGACGCGATAAATTTGGACAATGCCTTGCGAATGTGGCCAGACTGCCGACATTTATAGTAGCTGTCGCAAGCTCCTTGATGGAGGAAGGATTGAAGTCGAATTCGACCAGGTCTGGCCACCCGGTGGCAAGCTTCTTGCACACCGACGCGTCTAATGATATCACGAGGTCGTCCAGTATAACGTGCTGCAAGTGGGAGAAGACGAGCAGGTCTTCAATGGCAAGGAAGTATGGGTGACTTGAACCGCAGAACACGTCGTTATCGATGCTAAGTGGTAGGGAGAGTTTTCTTTGGTGCAGGGTAATGGTCCTCAGGGATGATGCCCATCCTCTCTTCGACATGATCAAGGCAGTAAACGCGCGCGCAATATGTTCGCCATCAAATGTGGGGGGGAGGAACAAGGAAATGCTATTCAGCGCACTCGAGTCAACAGCTTCTATGAGTGACATCATGAAACAGAAATCACTTGAGATCGTTAGACACCGCAAGGACGAAAAGACTCGATGGCGGTCTAAGTTCTCATGCCGGCTGCCAGCTGATGAGTAGAGCTCCATGATCATCAAGTCAAGGGTGTGGAGCACCGTTGACTGTAGTGCTGTCAAAAAACTAGCAGCAAATTTGGTAGGGCTTGACAATTTCAGTTTCTGTAAACAAGGGAACTTGATTTGAATGTCAGCGATGCCATAATCCTCGGAAAACTGCCGGCTGATTGTAAGATCCAGGTGTTCTAAGTTGCGGAACAAGCACAGAGAAGAGTAGAGCTTGTGCATATTGTGATCCCAAACGCTCACTACGAGATGGTGTTAACTAATGCATGTCCTCGATCATGCCTAAGCCTTACATTCCAATCTTATCGTCCTGAGCTGAGGGAGATCATTAACCAGAGCCGAAAGTAATGGCCAGTCTCCCACTTCCTCATCGAATTCGGAATAAAGGTCGAAACTCTTGAGGTTACTACGGGATAATGGCGCGAACGAGACGTCCATAATGTCCCCCATGCCCATCAGGGGCGCAAATTTGAGACACGACATGTAAGTGAGACGGGGTAGAAACCTCTGCATAGGGTAGGCCGAAAAAAGCCAATTGATGATATGGGAGGGGATCGAGAAAAGTTCGGGAAGAGGCCAATGACAATCGGCTACAGGCGGACCTATGTTCTTGATCCGTCGAGCATAAGGAAGCATCCATAACAAATCCGAGGGCGAAGGGTCTTGAATCAGGTGCTGGAATCATTTCAAAATTTGTAAGGAGGACGCATACCAAGCATAGCCAGGGGGAGACATGATCACTCACAATGCTCCGACGCAAGTACGGTTCATCACAAGATAGAATACTCCGATCCTCGTCTGGTTCATAATCACTATCTTGAACTTCGACGACCGATGGCGGCATACACATCAGCAATGGTCCAAAGCACACTTGAGTATGCCATAGCGCGTCGAGCGCCGGACCGCTCAACGCATGACACGTTGTCGCAACTGCTACGAGATCCTCCAGACGAAGCGGATTGGGCCGATGAGCGCATTTGGGTTCTGAGATAAAAGGATTCAGCAATTCAAAAATATTGCGTGTAATTTCAGGGAGAAATAAAGCGTGGTGCATGGCACAATTTCAGTCTTCAAAGTGCTTTGGGAGTTGCAGGAAGTGGTTGTACTTCGATACCGTACTATACCGTAATACTCACCTTACGTTGACCTTATGCAGACCATCCGACTCGGACCCAGCCGTATGCAGTCAAATCTGAGGTCATACTCTCTTGTGAAGGAACTCAATGTTGACCTAAGTGATGGGCCCATCTGTGGGGCACTGTGGGTTCTCCCCAGAGAGTTGGATTGTTTTTTCCGTCTGTGTCATGACACCTTGTGTCACTCGCCGATGTGGCAAATCGTTTCAGGCATCATAACATATCGAATGACAACAACCCCTGCGTAACGCGGAACAAAACACCATAAATGTATACTGTATACGTGGATTGCAGGCTCGGCGTTTCGTAGCTCCACCCGCGAATTTCCCTCAACGCCCGGTTGCTGGGAAAGGCTCTCGTGGGGAAGGTTGATAAGAGGCGAGCGCCTAAACACTTCTCACACGTGCGATTCTTGGAGGAGCCAATGAGGTTGCTGAAAATGAGTCGTGCGAGGGATTTCAAGAAGACTGCCCGTAATTATAAGCACGTTGTATCAGGAGCATTTCGAGGCCCCTGCGATGCTGTCCATTAGTTACGGGAGCTACGGGCTCCGGAATGCCAGCCAATCACCGCTTGACAAACGTGTCGCATGTCCCTCATAAGCCCTTACAGATGCGAATGTGAAGTGTTCCATGTCTCTCTTCCGACCCATTGCAATTGCACCTCCCAAAGGTCCAGCGGACATGGACGTGTACGCTGCAAACAGTCCACGCAGGGCAAAGCGCTTGCGTTCAGAGTCAGGCGCTGCCGTTGCTATAGCTCCGCAGTCAGACATTCATCGACCGTCTAGCCCATTTTCCAGCGATGACCAGGTTGAAGATGACGGCTACGATACTCCTCCTCCAGCGCCGCAACCCAAACGTCGCGGACGCAAACCTGGAACGCTTTCACGCGCAGCACGTGAAGCTCAGCGGAAGATCAACCACTCTCTCATTGAAAAAGCAAGGCGCACCAAAATTAATGATGCCCTGGCCGCATTAAGAGAGCTGGTGCCTCCAGAATACAAGCGGGTCAATGAAACTGTAGAGGGCAGCGACGAAGATGATGACGATGAACCTAAGAAGGGTAAAGGAAAGTCAAAAGCGGGAGAAAAGGAATTTAAACTCGAGATTCTGGTGAGGACGGTGGCGTATCTTCGGGACCTGACAGAGAAGGTGAGGCACCTCGAAGAAGATGGGTGCCCAAACTGCAAACAGTGTGCTCGCCAATCCTCTTCTGACACCAGGGGGCTCAAGCGAAGGAGACAGGACGTTGAGCCGAACGAAGTTGAGGAGGAAAAGGGTGCAAGGACAAAAGTGGGGTCCGCCGAGGACCCATCCTCCCGCTTGCCATCAATTTCCACCTGGCTTCCACATCCATCACAAGAACGGACTCGGCGAGCCCCGCTCCTGAGTTCATCCCAGTCACCATCCGGTGCCGTCCCGAGCTCTTCGAAGTCTCCATCACAACAGCTCCCAACACCTCCAACTTCCGCAACATTTACAAGCTCCTCCTCCGTCTTCGGAGTCCCGCCTGTTCTGACCCTCCCCTCTCCGAGTGCAATCCTCCCGCAATCAGGGACTCAGATTCAACCCTGCTTTTCGGGCTTCGTTCCACGACGGAGTTCTATTGACACATCATCATCCTCGCCAGTGTACACTCCAGAGGATGAGACTGCTGCATCACTACTGTTGCGCATCAGCACCTCCACGCCCGTGACCTCACCACAACTGCCACTAAAGCAGGCATCTCCGTCAAGTAAAATGAGTGACTCACGGGCGGGACGACCTGGAGAAGAGTCTGTGCATGCACTGACACCAAGTCATCTGTTGGGCTTGACGACGGGGACGTGAAACCGGACCATGAATGCCATTGTAAGACGTAAAAGCCGTACCTCGATCCGACTCTTGTCTGCGTGTCTTGTAACTAATATTTTGCTCGTACTTCAGTTATGAGGACTGTAGTATAAGTAGCCAAAGCTTGGTCTTTTGGAAACATTGTATTAGTACCTATATTGAATTGTGCTATTGCCGGGTGTTCGGTGTTTGTAAGATTTGCCGGCTTCCCTACTAAGACTTATCCTTAACGTCTGGTTTTCACTTCATCGCTTGTATGTTGAGACCATTCTGCAGGTCTCTATCCAGACACGGACGGTTATTTTACTCCAACAGCTCAGCGCGTCAGGAAGTTTCGCATGCCGCTAAAGAGACGCAAGAGGATGAGGACAACTTGCAGGACCTCAATCGACGGAAACGAAAGACGGAGTGGAAGCGAAGACAAGGGGTAAGCCGCACTTCTAGTTATACGCGTACCACCTGGAAATAACATCGCGCAGGGTCAATCTTTCCTCGATAACCTTGTAATCAACGTTCGAGGAGGTGTGTACATGTCTAATTTTTACTCGTGCATACTCAACATCATGCAGGCAATGGGGGTGATGGATGCGTTGCCTTCCACCGAGAAAAATGGAAGCCCATGGGCCCTCCTTCAGGTGGTAGCGGTGGACGTGGAGGCGACGTTTATATTCTCCCTACGCCCGGTCTCACAAATCTTTCCTCCATCCCAAAACGTATACGAGGCGCCGCAGGCGGGAATGGCCAAGGAACATGGCAGAATGGCAAAAGCGCACAACCAACGATCATCAAAGTTCCTCTAGGCACAGTATTACGCGAGCTTCTTCCAGGCGACTCACGACGCGCGAAGGACGAGTGGGAAGCGGAGGAGGAATCGTTGGAGGGCCTCAATCCCGAAGAACGCCGTGCAAAGCTTCGGGAAGATAGATGGTTGCATTATCCGCGATATGCGGATGATAATGTCAACCGTGATGTTTTCAAACAGGCGGAAGCAGCTCTATGGCGCGAGGAGAGAGCCAGGCGTTGGGCAAGGAAACAGAGGACGCTAGCGCCCATCAATCTCGACTTGGACAAGACAGAGGAAGTCATGATTTCTGATGATGCACCTCTTGGAATCGGTCAGCAGGAGTGGCTGGGACATATTGTCGCACGAGGCGGCAATGGTGGGTTAGGCAATCCGCATTTCTTGTCGCCCATCAACCGTTCACCTAAATTTGCGACGCGGGGACACGAGGGCGAACGTATAACATTATACCTTGAACTCAAGATTCTCGCAGATATTGGACTTGTCGGGATGCCAAACGCGGGCAAGAGCACTCTCCTTCGCGCATTGACTGGCGGACGAACGAAGACCGAAGTTGCCGGTTACGCGTTTACTACGCTCAACCCCATCGTTGGTGTAATTCGTGTAGGAGAAGATGGGACCTTCGAAGGCGAACTCCAGGGTGAACATATATTCGAGGAAACTGCTGTTGAGGAGGAACGCCTCCGACAGCGCGAACTTTCCGAAAGAGAAAATCCCGAAGAGCGATTGCGTTTAGAAGACAATTCGCCTGATTCCCCCGGGCCTGACATAGAACAACGGCCAGGTCATGACTTTGACGTTCATGAGACCTTTCGCTTCACCGTTGCGGACAATCCTGGGCTCATATCCGGCGCATCAGAAAATGTTGGTCTGGGTCATTCCTTCCTGCGCTCAATGGAACGATCCCTTGCGCTCGTCTACGTCGTAGACTTGTCTCGCCCAGAACCATGGGACGAGCTAAGAGACTTAAAAGACGAGCTAGAGAAATACCTACCAGGATTGAGTGATAAGGCTCATATGGTTCTAGCAAACAAAGCAGACTTGTTGGGTGGTGATGGGGATCAGGAAGCAGTGGAGGAGGCGCGTGAAAAGCTGAGGAGACTCGAGGAGTACGTCAAAACGGAGATGGTCGTGAAGACGGCGGATGGGGAGCGGATACTCGATGTCATTCCTACCTCAGCGAAGTTGAGCCAGAACCTCAAGAAGGTAGTTGGGCTCATGCAGAAATATGTCGAGCAAGCTAGAATCGCAGGGGTTTAGTGGTCGTGTGTATGTATGTGATCTATCTCATTCTCTCTTGGGATTGTAGACTGATATATACGTTACCAGCATTTACCTTCAGGCTGCCATTCGAGCCCGCTAGACATTTCTCGCGCCTGCATCAGATCCATGTTGCTATATTGCTGCAAGGAAGGCCTATTGTAGCCAGTAGGCTGATGTACGTGACAATGTGCGTACTATTGTGAGCTGGGGGTGCGAAGCAACGCGTTTCGTTCACTTCTATAGAAGTGCCCCATCCCGAGCGGGATGTCCCATTTCAACCGTAAGATGGACCTTCTTCATCCCCAAATTGACATCCTGAACAACGTAGTTCGTGGTTCTCTCTCGTTACACAACTTCCATCACCCGCCATGCAATGTCGAGATAAAAACGATCTCGTCGTTATCGCAGAGTTGGTAGGAACCTTCCCCTTCAAGCTCCCAGTCGGTGTTGTTAATCAGCACAAGGATTCCTGGGCGGCTAAAGAAATTATCAGAAAAAGATTAAGTAGAAGCAAACACAACACACATCGTCCCGTTCTCCATGAACAATTCCGGGCGCTCTTTGAGTAAATGATCACGAAGGTGATATATCAAGTACTCTAAATCTGCTGCCTTCGTCTCTCCCGTGGAAAGAGCGTCGTTGTACGACGAGGGCGTAGATGAAGATGAGGACGGAGTAGAATGCGTGGAATTATCAGATGGTACAAAGTCAGGGATGAGAACCGAGTGACTACGCTCGTTGCCAAATAGCAACTCGAGTCCACCGCTGAATTCCAGTTTGATCGTCATCGTGCCAGCCATCGTGGTCGTTGGCGTTGATCAGGACTCAGAGAAGTACTCTGACTCGAAGGATGGCCGAACATCTGATCAGCATCATTAGTGCAGCGCAGTCCTCCTCTTCGTAGGGCATATGGTGTAGCTGGTTATCACATCCGCTTAGCATGGGCTGACTGCGGGGGGTCTCCGGTTCGAGTCCGGATTTGTCCACTTTTTGCATCGATCTATGAGCCCCTTGATGTTTCTGCACTCGGGCCGCATCTAGGTCAGTCCATATCTACCAGTAACCAGTTGTGATACGATCCTGAGGCATTTTCTTCTGGGGTGTCCGAGGCTGCTCTCTCTGAAAATGCAAGCCATTCATCACGGTAGCAAAGAAAAAACAGCGCTCGTCTCCGCTGTGTCGGTTGTGCAACGAGCCGTCATAAGACCTGTTTTATTGTTTTAGGCCCAAATTTTTCCATGTTCTCCAGTTCTTGTCATAACAAAGGTTACAGCTGCAGACTAGACCGACACACATCACAAGTCGTGTATGAGAGCAACGCCCTAATTCGAGGCTACTCGGCTGTGACCTCCTTAGCCATTCTACAACCACCCATTTGAAGACTTGCATCGGTACTGCCAGCAAAAGGATGCAGCAAGTACGATCTTGATTTCTCTTCCAGGAAACACCGTGGCGAGGAATTTTGCCACTGCTTTTAGATTGGCCGGGGATGAATCTACATCTACTGATATCCGCATGCAGGTGGAACGCGTGGGGCGCGATGACAAACTAGTAAGTGTTTCATCATCAAGCACCGGCAACTCTGTCGTATCCACGGGATACCAAGCTGAAGACGCGATAAGTTTGGATGCTTCGCGAATATGACCAGACTGCCGACATCTATAGTAGCTGTCGCAAGTTCCTTTAAGGAGGAAGGATTGAAGTAGAATTCGACCAGGTCTGGCCACCCGATGGCAAGCTTCTTGCACACCGACGCGTCCAAGATATCATGACGCCGTCCAGTATAACGTGCTGCAAATGGGAGAAGACGAGCAGGTCTTCAACGGAAAGAAAGTAAGGGTGACTTGGACCACAGAACACGTCGCCATCGAAACTAAGCGGTAGGGAGAATCGTCGTCGTTCGATGGTAATGGTCATCAGGGATGATGACCATCCTCACTTCGACGTGATCAAGGCAGTAAGCGTGCGCGCAATCTGTTCGCCGTCAAATGTATGGGGAGATCCAAGGAAATGCTATCCAGCGCACTCGAGTGAACAGCTTCTATGAGTTCCATCATGAAACAGAAATCACTTGAGATTGTAGGGACGAAAAGAGTCGTATAATGACATCGTCGTGGCAAGGAGCAGTCCGACACATGCTTATATCAAATGGTATCCGGTCAACAATCAAGGAATTGAGTTATACGCCCCCCAGTTTTTGCCATAATGACGGACGTTCGTTACCGACCGACCCAACACACAGTACAAAGTTGTGTATGATAACAAGGGCCGAATTCGAGGCTGCTCAGCTGTGACCTCCTGAGCCATTCTACAACTTCATTCCACACATCGGAGGATTTGCGTAGGGACTTCCGGCAAAAGGATGCAGCAAGTATGATCTTGATTTCTCTGTCGGGAAATACCATGGCGAGAAATTTTGCCACTGCTTTTGGATTGGTGGGGGATGAATCCGCATGCACTGATATTCGCATGCAGGTGGAACGCGTGGGGCGCGAGGACAAAGCAGTAAGTGTTTCATCATCGAGCACTGGAAACTCTGTCGTGGTATTCAACAAGTTACCAAGCTGAAGAAACGATAATTTTGGACAATGCCTTGCGAAGGTGACCAGACTGTCGGGACCGACAGCCCCAGAGTCTACGGCCTGAGGCCTGACGTAGAATTCAACCAGGTCCGGCCACCCGATCGCAAGTTTCTTGCATAAAGCATCGTTCAGTGAGATCGCGAGGTCATCCAGTATTACGCGCTGCAAGTGGGAGAAGACGAGCAGGTTTTCTATGGAAAGGGAGTATAGGTGACTAGGACCGGGCAGCCCGTCAAGCCCTAGGTTGGGTCCGAATCGGTCCATTGTAATGGTCCTCAGGGATGATTCCCATCCTCTCTTCGACAAGATCAGGGTAGTAAGTGAGCGCACAATCCGTTTGCCGAATGTGAGGGCGAGAGTCAAGCAAAGACTTTCCAACACATTCGAGTGAACAGCCTCTATGAGTGACATCATGAAATAGAAATCACTGGAGATCGTTAGACGTCGCAAGGACGAAAAGAGTCGATGTTGGTCTAAGCGCTCAAGCTGGTTGCCGGCTGATGGGCTGTACATAATGATCAAGTCAAGCGTGTGGAGCATGTTCGACTTTAACGCTATCAAGAAATCGACAGCAAAGTTGGTATCGCTTGACAATTTCAGTTCCTGCAAACAAGGGAACACGTGAAGGCCAGCGAGGCCAGGACCCTCGGAAACAAGCCCGACGATCGTAAGATTCAGGTGTTCTAGGTTGCGGAACAAACACAGAGGAGCAATTGCCCCGGAGTAGAGCGTATGTATATTATGCCATGCACTGCCGATGACTGCGAGATCGTGTTAACTAATGTAGGTATCCTTGATTATGCCTTACCTTTCAATTTTATCGTTCTGAGCTGAGGAAGGTCATTAACCAGAATTGAGAGTAATGGCAAGCCTTCCACTTCGTCATCGAATGTGACAGAGAAATCGAACATCGTGAGGTTACTGCGGGATAATGGTGCGAACGAAATGTCCATAATGTCTCCCGTACCCTCCACGAGCTCGGGACACGACATGTGAGTGAGATGGGGAAGAAATTTTTCCATAGGGTAGGCCGAAAGAAGCCAGTTGATGGTTTTGGAGGGGATCAAAAAATGTTCAGGAAAAAGCCATCGAAAATCGGCTACAGGCGGACCTATCCTCTTGATCCGTCGAGCATAAGGAAGCATTCGTAACATGTCCGAGGGCGAAGGATCTTGAATCAGGTGCTGGAATCATTTCAAAATTTGCGAGGAAGACGCATACCAATCAGGAGAAGATATGATCACTTACAATGCTCCGACGCAGAAATGCTTCATTGAAAAATCGAATCCTCTGATCCTTGTCTACTTCAAAATCACTATCGCGAATTTCGACGACAGATGGCGGCATGCACATCAGCAATCGTCCGAAGCACATTTGAGTATCCCATAGCACGTCGAGCGCCGGACCGCTTAACGCATGACACGTTATCGCGACCGCTGCGAGATCCCGCAGACGAAGTGGATTGGGCTTATGGGAGCCCTCGGGTCCTGAAAGAAAAGGATTCAGGAACTCGAAGATATTGAATGTAATTTCAGGGAGAAATAAAATGTGGTGCATGGCAGGATCGATCTGTGCAATGGTAAAGGGATACAAGCTGTAAGTTCTGGACGATCATGCAGATGACTCGGATATATATAGTACCCTGTAGGACTGTGGCCACAACTTACGCGCTGCTATTTGGCATGGCACATGGACCAAGCTTGGACAGCTGCCATCCTGATTCCTCAAGGACATCACTTATTACTAACGCAATTCACCCCCCGAGTCTCTGGATCAACCAACGACGAGAAACTTGCAAGTTTGCGTGACTGATACAATACACAAAACATAAATAGATACATATTAAGAACAACGATTCAGTACGATACATAGGATTCACATTGCAAAGTACTGACTCCGGTATAATAACAAACGTCGTGGCAAGCAGCAGTCCAGAGCATGATTAGATCAGATGGTATCCTGTCAACAATCAAGGAACTTTCAGTCCACTTTCGGCAAAACAAAAATCCGCAAATCTGACCTTCTCATACGCGAGGAAGTGGCACGTCCTCTCGTATGGAGTTAAATAAACGCAGAGAGATGAGGTTTTCTTCCACCATCTTAGCGAGGAGCTCGCGCATCCAGACGCGACTTTCAGTGGTTATTTGATCGTACTCTATATCCGCTGCGAGCTCAAGCAGTTGCTCACGCTGCTCCGATGTGAATATCCCCAGGGATATCGTGTGGTTGCGTGTGCGTTCCTTGGAGTTAACTTTGAGCGCGTTGGGGTAATGGTACTGGTGCCAGTGCCCGTGCATTGCGAGTTGGGTGATATCCCAGACCTCGATGCCACCGCCAAGAGCGGCGTTCACCCAGTAGATGAGGACGTGTCTGGGATTACTGGGGTCAGAGTCTTTATATAGCCCAGTGGCCTGCAGAAAGACTTCTTTGTCCGACCAGTCGTCGCTATACACCTGCGACACATCACCAGGCCCTCTCGTTGGTATCGGAGTGTTAGACATGGGCGTTGAAGAAGAATTTGGATTGTCCGAATGACCTCGATTTTGCATCTCTTTTTATGATGCGCTGTGCCACAAGTGTGCCACCGCGATTGCCACCACAATTATCCAGTGGCCACAATTCATCCGAACCGCGGTTTTTCTTGTCCATTGTATCGGCAATTAACTTGCTTTTTCAGTTCGACGGATGTCCAAAAACACAATGTATTGAAAAGTAGACCATATTAGTTGGAGCATGAATGGGAAGTTCGCTATATATTCATGTCCGTCAGCTAATGATTACCGGAAGTCTTGCTGACGTCAACCTACTGGCCATGGTTACAATCTTGTTTCCCGATGCTGGATAGAGCCGGTAAGATACTCCGCGCTGGGAATCAACATCCTCTGATCCTATCATCGGTTACCTCCACCAATTCCTCCCAAAGTATGGTGGTGCATACCTCACTCCAGCATGACAAAATCTATTGTGATGTCGATATGCCACGCAGTCTCGATCTGGTGACGAGAGCTTAGAAGGTCGGCGATCGCGTCCCAAAAAAAGGATAGTCGACGGGAGATCGGGGAAAGTGACCTTCCCTTCTGACCTTCCCCTTAAGTAATACGCGAGATGCGACACCGCAAGGGCAAAAACATGCATGTAGCAGACACTTGAAAAGTGATTTGCCAAATGACAAAGTACTGAGGTTATCGTGTAAATTGTCAGGGATACACGAGTGATTGGCAGGTTATCCAAGAGCGACATGAGATGAAGATACCGCCCTCGCATCTACGAGAGACTCTGCATTCCATGTAAGTTACATCCCGAGGACTTCTGTCTCCATCAACACTGCGGGGAGCAGTTGAGGGAAGGAGTCGCCCCTATAAAGTACTTGACATTGAGCACTTGTTATAATTATCATCTGTATTTGACCTACCTGATTAGTACTTTCCCTGATTAGTGAACCATCAATGACACTCGTATACTTAAAACTGTGCAGGTCTGTACCTTGGAATCACGTCCACGACACGAGTTCCGTGACGGTTGTACCATGCATGCACTAGGAAATTGGCACCAGAGTGAGGCGAGTCTTTTTCCGAGCTCAAATCCGCAAAGAGTGTTTCACGGCACGCCAAAAGCTATGCTGACGATCAGTGAAGTCGGAGAATTGCGGCTATTGGCCTGTCATTGTCAACGTTTACGTTGTTTTACCGTTGATGTCATCATGTCATGCGGACCTAGAATCAATATCACAACGGCCACGTACAGGATGCACATTGATGAACGTTGAATACAATATCCGTTATCTCACATGATTAAGTTACGCCCAATGTTCCCGAAGTCTGATTAGATCAGACGGAAGCCTGGTCGACTTCGCGACTACATCGATCATGAATTCGTCACAGCTGGTGGAACGAACTTACGCCAGGATATGTCTTGGATTAAGTATTAGTGGCACCAACACATACGCAAGTCTTCGCGGATCATATGACGTGTCATGGAGTGGTCGGACACGTAAGAATTCGGCTCCCTTTCTCGTCGCTTCCGGGTATAAAGCGCAGCCAGTGTGGGGGCATTTAGACGGCGCTATGACCAGCGCCGTCCAGACTCCAGCGAGGCCGAGCGAAGGGTGTTCGCCACCCTCAATCGAGCATTAGAACGGTGAAAGAGTGTATTGGCTTTGGCATGATGATAAAAGAATGACGCCAGTCTGTGGTGCTGGATCCTCGAGGAGACCCTGAGGTTTATACAGTCTTGAAGGATGCCACCAACTTAATAGAGGTTAGCGATACGAGCTAACTCGTTGTTCGGACATGAAATGCACGATGATTTGTGTCCTCTGAGCTGCAACGCCTGGGCAGTACATACTCCTGCGACCGCCATCGTCGACTACCTGCCAAAGGAACGGATTGGATTGACCCGCCTCATCATGATGGCCCAGATTGGCCGAGAATCGAATGGGGCGGTATATCGTGAGAAGATCCACTATACGTAAAGAAAATGGAACATCGAAGCTCTTATGTTGTCATAGCCCATCCCATTCACGGTTGCAACGTTGCTCGCCTCCCTAAGCCCTTAAATTCAACGTTCTTTCATTACCCTCATTCAGCCTTTGCTCTTGTAACCCCCCATCTGCTAGCAAAAAAAACTTGTCTGTACTACATACTACGAACTCAATTCGAACCCCTTTCACGATGATGAACGCTTTCAAGACTCTTGTTTCTCTTGCTTTCCTTGTTTCTACGCATATCGCGCTCGTTCAAGCCGCTATCTATGTCAGTAGTCGCGCCATCTTTGACGTTGCACTTGAACTTTTGTTTCTGACATTTACTCGTCCAGGTGACTGACCCTGTACAATCAACCGTTTGTTCAGGTGGCCAGGGCTGCCAGGTAGAGTGGGTCGACGATGGTCAGAGCCCCCTCCTGGACTCCATTGGAGAATGTACTGTTGGCTTGTACAACGGCGAGATGGTAAAGAAGTTCACTGGTTTGCAGCCACAGTGGATTTGAGACTCATGACGCCGTGTTCTCTCACAGCTTCTCGCGCAGTCGCTTACATCCGTCAACGTTGCGACCACGAATTCCTTCTCGTTCACTGTACGTGTCCTTCATTTCAGATTTATTGCCCCTCTAATTACCGAGCGTAATTGTATAGCCTAACCCATCTGCCGGCGCCAACGGCGCATAGTGTGTCTAACTTCTTTGATATAAACACGAGTTACATCTAACGTGATCGACACAGCTACCTGGTATTCACTTCAAACGGCATCACCTACCAGGGCTGGTCTGGTACTTTCACGTAAGTAGCCTGTCCCTTTGTTCAATATACCACATTGCTGATAATTCGCCTCACAGCCTCAACGGTATGACGGGCACCACCGGTGGAAGTTCTGGCTCAGGTAATTCTACCTCAGCTGGGAGCTCTACCGTATCTGGAACTTCATCCTCTGTAGCTACATCCGGAACTTCAACCACTGTAGTCACTTCAACTTCTGTATTGAGTTCTGGGTCAGTCTCCGCTACCACCACCACTAGCAACGGTACAGTAACATCAACCGGAACTGACAGTGGTGTTAGTAGCCCCACCTCTACTATCACTGACACTAGTACTACCGCTACCACACTCACTACGCCCACCTCCTCTGGCACACTCACCAGCAGCACTGCCACCGCTCCCACTTCTGTCACGACCACCCACACTACCACTACCTCAAGCGCGACGACCACCCCATCATCCGGTGCTGTCATCCGTGCCGGTGCCTCAAACTCGCTGGCTGGTGGTCTTATTCTCGCCTTAGCTGGTGCTATTGTATTCTAGGTTGTTGGTGGTTTAGAGTGTTGGGTCTGCGATACCTTTAATTTTCTCTTTGAATACCCTCGCAGAGACATTGCAGAGACTTTTTGATTGCGATACCGAGCGTTTTCCTCGTATTATTTTTGTTGTAGACTTACCAGTTGATTATGTAATCAACTGGCTGAGATCATCATTATCGTTGTCAGATTCAGTTGATGCCCCCTCAGTATCCCATCTTCCAGCGGCCATCACAATGTCGAAAAGATCATTTGTTTCAGACTCAGACTCAGCACGAGGTTTCCATCTTCAGGCGCGTCCGCAGGCATCCTGAATGTCCGCCCAACACCCACATCTGCAAAACCACTGAAATGAGCGCTTACGACTTCAGTAGCGCACTCATGCGATTAGTGGAGATGCTGAACATATAACCAAAAATGTGTGCTTACGAACGCAAACCTGAACTAAACCAAAAGCGAACTGCTCAAAAGCACTTCGAGAGTTCGCTCTGGACTCAAAAGTAGACTCACACCGACCACATTAGCATGCTACATCGATGATGGAAACTTATATGTCTCCTCTCCATCCTTGGAGAACAATGTCGCAATACTCCGGGAGGAGTTCATTTTTGTGAACAATTGGCTTCGCGAAGCTGGACTGATGGCGGAAATTGACAAATCTGAGCTCATCCATTTCACATGGCGTCGTGCACCGGATCGACCACCTATCCTGCTGCCTAGTGACGAAGGACAGGTGACAATTAACCCCCGTGACTGTATCAAATGGCTTGGTATATATTTCGACTCTAAACTCTCTTTTCGCAGGAATGTATGTGAACTGGCAGGCAAAGCGGAAAATATCGCCCAAGGACTACAAATGCTTGCAAATACGGTAAGAGGTCTCTCGCAATCACTATTGAGAACTGTATACTCGGCTTGTGTCCGCAGTGTAATGACATACGCAAGCCCCGTTTGGTGGACGGGCGTGAAAACCCATGCAAACATGCTTACCCGCGTCCAAAACAAATCCCTTAGACATATCTGTGCCGCTTTCCGAACCACCCCAATAAAGGCCCTAGAAATAGAGACATCAATCCCCCCCATCAACCTCTTCCTCGAACACGCAAACGATAACGCCGCCACTCGACTACTCAAACTCCCCTCGTTCAACCCAATCCTACAGAGACTTGATCAACCCTGGCGACAATTTAACCTCGCTGACCCCCCACCCGCTCTTCCCACCGACAAATACCGTCCTCGCAGCCGCAAACCACCAAAATCGACCAGACTCACCCGTCTGTCAAAACGAGCATCCCCGAACGCGGAACGCATCAACATATTTGCGCTGCCACCTTGGGCAAACACGAAGGAAACGTACCGCGGCCGCCTAACGATCTCGGACAAGCAAAGAGGAGGCAAGAAAGAAGCCGCCAAAGCGCACATACAAACCGCTCGTAATCTACGAACGGAGGACACGCACCTTCTCGTTTACTCAGACGGATCGAAACAATCAGTCAGAGAGGAGGAAAGAGCTGGAGCAGGATGGGCCGGCTATCACAGAGGAAGAGAAGTCTTCTGGGGTCAGGAAGGAATGGGTCCCAAAGCAGAGGTGTATGATGCAGAGATGGTAGCGCTCCTTCGAGCAATATCGCGAGCTATCAGCTTCGCGCAAAATTCCCAGGTGACCCATTTACATTTCTACGTCGATAACAACTCTGTGGTGCAGGCTGCATATGCAGCTGCACCCGGACCCTCACAATACATTGCATTACAGATCAGACGCTCGATCGAAGACTACCTAACCACATCCCCCCTCCATCATGTCCAAATTGCATGGATCCCAGGACATCACAACATCATCGGCAACGAACGTGCCGACGAGCTTGCAAAAGAAGCCACTGGACGTAACGACTCGTACCACTCGACCTATGCAAATGCGCGCCGAAGAAACAAGGAAGGGATCTTGCAGAAATGGACAGAGAGTTGGAATAGAGACGTGGCAGCACAGACTGGACGCTTCGCTCTCGCAAATCGACTCCCACCAACGCTCAAACCCCGCCAACATTTCACTCACACTCCTCGAGAAGTATACGGCCGTCTTATACAATGCCGCACAGGACACGGATTCATGGGAGAATACTACGCTGCATTCGTTCCAACCGAACCCACCCTCTGCCCATGTGGAGAACCACGTCAAACACGAGAACATATCATACGTGACTGCCCACTATTTGCGCGACAACGCATCCATCTGCGTGAGGTATCACACAACATCATACTCAACGAAATTTTGGGTACGGAGAAGGGCATAAAGGCACTAGCGAAGTTTATTCAAGAATCCAGCGCATTCAAGAAGGTCGCACTGGAACGAGAAGGAGACTGGGAAGAAAGGAGAGGGACAGAAGCCTGAGTAAGGGCAAAGAAGGAAGTGACGAGGGAAGGAGGAGACGAGGAGAGATCAGAAGGAGGAGGAAGGAGAGAAAGTGTATCATATTATACTAAGCCTGGACACCAAACGAGCCCACACGCACACCAAAACTCATCAAACGCGGACCGCTTGGCTATTCGTACTATACCTACATCCCTCACCCTGTTACAACACTCCCCAGCACAGCCCTAACAGGGCACCGCGTCTTAACAGCTCACTTTGTTTGTTGCGGTATATAAATATAGAATTTCTCTCTCTCTCTCAAAAGTAGACTCAGCCAAATTGCAGCTGCTCCCCAATGGAGAGAATGCGGGGGACATGGATGAAACTCGACGCATGCGACGTCAGGTTTAAGTATCAAGAATGAGTTTGCATCTGCCATCATTTCATAGGCAAGAAAGTGATCGGCCACCAAAATTTTACATGCTGGCCACCCACGACGACCATAGTTGATAGCGACGCGCAGCATGGAACAGTGCTTATTATTGTGTACTGACTCCGGTATAATGACAATGTCGTCGCAGAATGTACTCATCAAATGGTGTCCTGTCAACAATCATTAATCATTAATCATGCTTAATCAAGCTTGAGTTCATTTTCGAGAAACCAAGTTTGTCCCTACTTCTGGTCATAACGAAAAGGACATTACAGACGTGTAACACACTACACAAACGTTTGTACGATAGCAACGGCCTAATTCGAGGCTGCTCGGCTGTGACTTCCTTAGGTGTTCCACAACTTCATACCACCGATTTGAACGTGTGCATCGGTACGGGTGGCAAAAGGATGCAACAAGTACGATCTTGATTTCTCTGCCAGGAAATATCGTTGCGAGAAATTTCGCCACTGCTTTTGGATTGGTGGGGGATGAATCCGCATGCACTGATATTCGCATGCAGGTGGAACGCGTGGGGCGCGAAGACAAAATAGTAAGTGTTTCGTCATCGAGCACTGGTATCTCTGTCGTATCCAACAGGATACCAAGCTGAAGACGCGATAATTTTGGACAATGCCTTGCGAAGGTGACCAGACTGCCGAGATCTACAGTAGCTATCACTGGACGGACCTGAAGAGGCGTTACGACGATCCCATGGCCAGAAACTACAGCCACATGGCTTCTCGGTGCGGCGGTAGGTCTGGAGTAGAATTCGACCAGGTCGGGCCAACTGGTCGCAAGTTTTTTGTATAGAGTATTGTTCAGTGGTATCACGAGGTCATCCAGTATAACGTGCTGTAAGTGGGAGAAGACGAGAAGGTCTTCTATGGAAAGAAAGTATGGGTGACTAGGACTGTGGGGCCCGTCAAGCCCTAGACACACTCCTGTTTTTTTGATGGTAATGGTCCTCAGGGATGATTCCCATCCGCTCTTCGACAAGATCAGGGCCATAAGTGTAGGCACGGTGTGTTTGTCGGATGTGTAGGGGAAGGTCAAAGAAATGCTGTCCAGCGTACTCGAATGAATAACTTCTATGAGTGACGTCATGAAACATATATCACTTGCGATTGTTAGACATCGCAAGGATGGAAAGAGTCGATGGCGTGCTAAGCGCTCAGGCTGGTTGCCAGCTGATGAGTCGCGGTCCACGACAAAGTCGAGGGTGTGGAGCACTGTCGCCTGCAATGCTGTCAAAAAACCAACAGCAAAAATCGTATCGCTTGACAATTTCAGTCTCTGTAAACGAGGGAACTTGATCTGAAGGCCAGCGAAGCCAAGACCCTCTGAAACCTGCCCGCTGATACTAAGATCCAGATGTTCTAAGTTGCGGAACAAGCACAGAGGGGCAATTGCCCCAGAGTAGAGCGTGTGCTCATAGCGGCGAAAAACGAAGACTACGAGATGGTGTTAACCAATGCATGTCTTCTCGATCATGCCTTACCTCTCATTCTTATTGTCCTGAGCTGAGGAAGGTCATTAACCAGACTTGAGAGTAATGGCCAGCCGTCTACTTTGTCGTCGAACGTGGGATAGAATTCGAGGCTCGTAAGGTTACTACGGGATAATGGCGCCAACGAAATCCCCGCGCCATTTATTTCGTTTATTTCGCTGAAATAGGACATGTGAGTGAGACGGGGTAGAAAAAACTCTATAGGGTATGCCAAAAGAAGCCAATTGATGATATAGCATGAGATCGAAAATCGTTCGGGAAGAGGCCATCGACATTCGGTTACAGGTGAACCTATCCTCTTGATCCGTCGAGCATATGGAGGCATGTGCAATAGATCCGAGGGCAAAGGATCTTGAATCAGGTGCTGGAATCATTTGTGAGGAAGATCCATGTCACCAAGGAATATACGTACAATGCTCGGAGGCTGTTTGAATAATTCTGGTTCTTCACGAACTGCAATATTCCACTCCTCGTCCTCCGAATCGGGTTCAAGATCATTATTCTGAGCTTGAACGACGGACGGCGGCATGCACATCAACAATGGTCCGAAGCACATTTGAGTATCCCATAGCACGTCGAGCGCCGGACCGCTCAACGCATGACACGTTACAGCGACTGCTACGAGATCCCGCAGACGAAGTAGGTTGGGCTCATCACAGTCTTCGGGTCCCGAAAGAAAAGGATTTAGGAACTCGAAAATATTGCATGCAATTTCGGGGAGAAATAAAGCGTGATGCATGGCACGATCTGCGAGCGTCTTGACTTTGTGCGATGATACTTATCGAAGGTACAGTACAAGGCTGCAAGTTGCAAGTAAGCTTTGAACCTGAGTGTGGGAATAAATTGCCACATAAGCCCAGATGATGGTCTTGAGCGAGGCCTCGCATGTAGATTGGCAAGCGCGATGTCCGTTGCAGAACCTAAACGCTATCAAGCTAAGCAGAAGCAGAAAGATCCGAGGCCACAGGCCCCAGCAAATGCAACTGAACGCCTGAAAACCGTCGTGCGTCGCCTGCCTCCCAATCTCCCCGAGGAGATATTCTGGCAGAGCGTTCAACCATGGGTCACTGATGACTCTGTCACTTGGAAGGTCTATCATTCCGGGAAGCTGCGCAAGAGGTGTGTTATAATACTGTACGCGCTCGTGCGGTGTGACTCAATGTCGCGGTGTGCTGGCAGGACGAATCAGGAGAATATCCCCTCACGAGCGTATATCGCATTCAAGAATGAAGAGGTGCTCGCGACGTTCGGACGTGAATACGATGGTCATCTCTTCAGGGATAAGGCAGGTTTGTGATAATTGAGTGCGACTACGCCGTTGCAGTCGAGTGATCTTTGCTGCAGGCAATGAATCCCAGGCAGTAGTGGAATACGCTCCGTTCCAGAAGATACCCTCCGAGAAGAGAAAGGCCGATGCGAGGAACGCAACGATCGATAAAGGTGCGGTTAGATCAGCGTTCAAATTCTCATGTGCTCAAATGGCCTATAGACGAAGATTATATTTCTTTCCTTGAAACGCTCAAGAACGCTGAGAAGGCCGAGCATGTTTCCCTTGAAACATTAAGTGTGTATTGCGTGATGTATAGTACCAATATTTCTGACGTCAGTACTGCTTATGTGCAGTTGCAGCATCTCAACCACCTGCTCCGCCAACAACTACGCCTCTCCTTGAAGCGCTCAAGGCAGAGAAGTCAGCTCAGAAAGATAAGGAAGCTATCCTCCGTAACCATGCACACTACAAGGACCTCGCCCTCGCATCTTCTGTCAAGAAAGAGGAAGTCAAGAAGAAAGCTCCCGTCCCCACTCCAGCACCGCAGAAACAGCCCGAAGTCAAACCTGCTCCTCTCAGCCGCAAGGCAAAGAAGGCCGCAGCCGCAGCCGCAGCTGTACAGAAAACCGCCCCTCCTGCTCAGACCGCACAAACAATTTCTTCCGCTGCGAAGGGCGTCTCTGCAGGGAACGCTAACTTGCCAGCCAAGCCTCCCCCACAAACACCTGCTACTCAAGCAAATTCTCGGCAGCGCCGCCCCTCGCAGAGTCGCCAGCAGCAGGCGCCTAAACTTCCCGTTGCACCACTCCCTCCCAAACCAGCGACACAACCTACTCCTTCTGCCGGTGCAGAGGTCGCGCCAACCGCGTCATCCTCAGGTCGCAGAGGGCGTCCAGTCGTCGGTATGGGACGGCACTTTGAGGCTGCCTTGAATGGCGCGGTTGGCCCCAGCGGGGGAAAGAAACGCGAGAAGGATACACAGTCAGGTCCCGCAAGTGAGGGTGTGCAAAAAGACGTTCCGGCGAAATCTAAGGATACCTCTGCGCTGTCTTCTCCCAGCCCCGGTATTTCGAGTATTCTGCAGCGCGGGGATGGACACACTCCTGGGAGTCCTATGATTCTACAGCGTCCTCAGACTGCTCGTGTTGCCGAAGGCCCTGCTGCTGAGTCACACCTTGGTAGAGGGGGGCCGCCGAAGAGAGGTCGTGGCAGAGGTAGGGGAGCTCCTCGTGGTGGCTAGGTGCAACGCTGGTATGCAGGCCCATTTTTACCCGCTATATATAACGCCAGTGCGAGGCTAGCGGTGATTTCAGTTGCGGTGCATGGTTTGCTTGGCTTATTTGCAGCACAGTAGTCACTTGGGAGCAGACCAGGCCTTCGATTTCAAAGGACTGTCGGTCGGTCATGTTCACTTCGTGCCAGCTGAGATCGAGCTTGCAGCATGACTGATACGTGTGCGCATCCCTTGAAGTAGAATTTGCGTGTAATCAGACCCAGTATCCCATGTATATCGTGTTTGCCAGTCGTTTTTGTACACGCATGCAGAGGAATTAGCAATCGAAATTAGTGTTCCGTTCCCGTTATAAGAATATTGAGTAGATTCTACTGGCATGCTATATTCACAGTCAAGGGTACGTCATCAATGATCAGAGTAAGCGAGTCCATCTCTATCCAAATGATGCCATCAAACATCGAACGAAAATAATCCAAAGATGTGAATGCGAGGCAAAATTACAGAAGGACGGCCCCAAGGAGAGATGCAGCAGCGCCAACAAAGCACGTGATACCGGTAACACCAACTTTGCCAGCGGCGCCGGTCTTGGTAGCGCTAGCAGAAGCAGAAGCAGTGGTTTTTGAGCTGGAGCTGGAGGTAGAGCTGGTCATTGTGGCCGAGCTCTTCGCGGTTGACGAAGTGACGCCACCAGTTGCGCTAGACGTTGCGCCGATAGGTGCTGTCGATTGACCGTTAATTTCAGCCTGAACGGTAGAGTTGAAAGTTCCGGTCATGCCAGCCATCCTGCGAATCAGACGGTGAGCGATCATCGATTTGGACGAAATATAAGAATCTCTCACGTGAATTTAGCGGAGAAGGCTTCAGCAGGGAATTGAGGGCTAGTAGCATCTTTCAGGTTGATTGACGTAAAGCGGACGAAACTGTAATGAAAAAATCAATCAACCTCGTAATGAACAAGGGAAGGACGGGTCACTCACTATTCATTACTGTTGGGGCCAATGGTGCCATCTGGGGTGAAAACGATGGACGAAGTAGTCGAAACATCGACGCTGGCAGAGATGGTTTGCAGCAACGTCTGGTAAAATTAAGACGATTATTTTATTTAATTCAAAATGATAACTGACCTGTACGTTGGCATTACCGGTGTAGATACCAACGAGAGCAGCACCAAAAGAGGTTAGGTTTGGGGTCAAGCCATCGTCTTGCCAGGCGACAGTCGCCTGCTGGCCAGCAGTAAACGTGGTAGAGGCAACGGGGCTAGTGATCTTCGCAACCAGGTAAATCATGTCAATTCAACGACAACATTCATACGTCTGATAGTTACGCACGAAGACGTTGGCGAGCGCGGAGGCTGCGAGAGCGAGAGAAATGGCGGCCTTGCTGAACATTGCTTTCTACTGTAGAGAAGGAGGGGGATTTAAGCGAATGTGGGGTGCTTGTGAAAAGCAGGGTATGTGCAGACGATACTTAAAGTTGGAAACGAAAGAGAGAGGTGAGCAAAGCCGACGGGAAGAGCAGTCAACGGAGTTCGAACTTTTGAGACCTTGGGAGGAAAAATTATCAGAACAAATCGCCTGAGGCAGCAACCGCCGCCTATATTGTACCGAATATCGGGCCCCTGAGGCTGTGCCTGGCTGGTGTACTCGAATACTTTGCATGGCAAAATCACATCAGCCAACAATAGGTGATAAATAACAGTACTCATCCATACTGCCGCATCAGACTCATAATTAAGAGGCTACACGGAAAGACGTGCAGTCGGGATAATCTCGGGTTGGAATAAACTCTACGAGCCTCTACGGCTCACGAATTACACTTGGCAGAATCAGCGATTAAATTAGAAATCTGCGTGTTGCAAACCACCAACTTTGCACGATCTGACGCGACGGTCGCGACGCCAACGTAGGCCGGGAACCATAGTATGTGAGCGTCCATAGTAACATATTACTTGTGTATGGGATGCTAGTATGTGGACAACATATTATAGCCTCCCATGGCGGACCATTCAGGTTCCAAGTTGGCTGCCACTTCTTGTAGATCCACGATGAGCTGAAGCATTTCGCTGGCCCATCTGGGTCTGAGCAGTTCCGTGGCATTCAATGTATACGTCTTCAATTGCGGCATTGTGAGGTGATGATCGATGATAAGAGCGATGCCGGCTGATGCCGGGCATTATGTGCGTTGGTGCCTGATTTATGTGTTGTCTCAATCTGACATTCTCTGACATCTCGCAATAAATTGTTAACTCGTTGTATCGATTCTCACATCAACAACAATATGCTATATGTACAAATATCGGAACCTACACATTAGTACCCACTTGGTCATTCCGGAGAATCGAAAACGGTCCGCATGACATGGTCTGCTTTTCTCCCAGTGTGTTTGATGAATCCGAGATAATCTAGCTCCTGAAGGGCACGGATGAATCGCGCTTGCACTTCCATGTGCCATTCCTCCTCATCTGCTCCCACATCCTCATCAGCAGCCTCATTCTCCACCTGCTTTTGTTTTCCTCTCTTCCTTGACGGCGTCCCAGAGTTTCCACGCGCACCGTCAGGAATACGATTGTTTCCCAAGCGCCGTTTCCGGGCTTCTAAGACGACTGCAAACGACTCGAACCAGTCATAGACGTTGATCATCTTCGCACTTTCTAGGTAGCCCTTGAATAAGATGCTTATGTCGGGCAGGTCGTCATCCTCGTCATCCTCAATCTGTCGTCCGGGGGACACATAGTCCTGGGGATGGATCAATCCTGCGAGGATGGAAGCGCGAGGTGATGGATTGATCAGCTGGGTAGAAAAGGGGGGAGCGAATTAGCTTGCGTCCAATTAATTACATAGACGTGTAGTCGTTAAGTACCTCAGACGGAAACGGCGTTGAGCCGGTGTACCAGATATCCCACAATGGACTGTCTTCTAGGGCGACTATGCGTAACCTGATCATAGGCTTTAAATCAATCAACCGCAATGATAGCCGCAGTGCGTACTTGAAATACTCTGATAACCAATTCCCGAGCGGAACTGATATATCCTGGGCGCTTGCATCTCGATCGAGCATCTTATATGCCGTATCTACGCGTGAGATCACTTCGTCTTCCTCTGCTCTTACGTCCTCGGGAACATCCTCGAAAAAATCGCGTACAGCCCGCACAAAGTCCTCGAGTTGTGCTGCAGGTAGTTTCCTGCAGAGAGCAGCAACGCCTCAATCAACTGTTCCCGTCAACAGTGCATTCAAAACTCACACACCTGACCATAGAACACAAATAGCCGTATACGCTGCCCAGACGTCCACGCAACGCCAAACATATTAAATCAGGCACCGTTTGGTCACCTTGAGCGGTTTTGTACCCATGCGCCAACATAAATTGACGGACACGGAGCACAAGTCGAACCGCCACACGGAGCAGCTTCACGCGCATTCGGAAAGTATCGCGTGCAGTCTCCGCTAAAGATAGGAGTGACTCGACAGTGGCGCTTCGCCAGCGAGTAGCATGCTCTACAGGTGTAATGAGCGTCGAATCGTGCACCCGAGCGAATAGGGCGTCGAGGAAGGGGAAGGCATCGGGTGTGAGGAGCGCTTTGGCAGCATCTTTGGATCGTCCTAGCGATTCAGCAAGGGCGAGGACACTGAGAGGTTCTTCAAAGTGTTTTATGTGAGCGAGCTAAGATTAATCGTGTTAATTTTGGACGATCGACAGGAAGAGTCAGCATACTTGAAGTATGGATAATAGACCGTCAAACGATGAGCTGTGACGAGTAAAAAATTCGACTGCAAAGTCAATAGTTGTCGGACCCATCATCACCTCTGGCTCAAACATAGGATCAAAAAATGTCTGGGAAGATTCCGTCAGTGCTTAATGATGACATCGAGACTCAACATACTTCCAATAAAATGTCGTGCAGAGACTGCTCAACTGGCGGGAAAGGGCAGTTTCTCACTCGCAGCAACGACAACATAGAGCGGGGGTATGTTGCATGAATGTATGATGGGGAAGGGGGCGAAGACAGCGCGAGGATAAATACGAGTGGTAAACGCGGAATGTATGAGCTAAGGAATATTCAATAAGAGGACAAGCATCAACAAGGGCGGTCTGACCTGCAGACTTCAAATATGTCTTGAACCACCTGAGGCTCTAGTTGTTCGAAGTCATGCATTATAACTACCAGACGTGTTCTTTCATGACGATCATCTTTTAATTCACTCAGCGAACAGCAGGAAAGGAATGATCGAAGCCCTTACCTCGCGCATCACATATGGCCCGATACCATGCCTCAAGGAGAGCAATATCATATGCTGCTAGGGAGGTGGTTGGCTTGCGTTTTACGTCTAAAGACATTAAAGTATTAGTAGACTAGATAGATAGTCAAAGAGGCGTGCGCAAGCACCTTGTCCTCCTGTCGGAGATCGGGATACAAAACCTGAGACAACTGTCTTCATCGCTCCTGTAATATTTGGGCAATCGCTTGGAAAAACGTGTGTCACGAAGTGATCATTTGAGTCCTCGAAAAGCTCGTCGGTACTTTCCTGTAGTCGGTATGAAATCTCGTCGAAGAGAGAAGATGATGTGCTGGATGCTGTCAGAATAAGGATCGGAAGGCAGTATTTTAGCTCGAGCAAGACAACGGACATGTGACAGATATGACTGGCAGCTCGGGGTACGGTAATCCCGGAAGCTCGTCCGTATAGGACTTTTTGACTTGATCGACGATACTCTCCACGACCGGCGCGTGCAGTGAGTGGATGAGTTCCTAGTTATGTGAGACTCCCGAAAGGACAAAAGAGTGAACCACACACTTGCATCCTCTTCAAACATTTGTCCCAGGCCGTTCTGCATGCTTGAAAGCGAAGCTGACATCCTTGGGGAAAATCTCGCTCGGGAAACAGGGACGGCGGTGCTGTATCGCTGTCCACATCATCTGAGCCATCTATTTCAGCTGTATTTTACGGATGGAATATAGATTTATGCTACCAGAATCATTGAAGGGGATGTAGACTGTAGTCTAACAACCAAAATCAGTAGACACTTCAATGCACATTTGTGCAGAACTGACCTGGGTGACATCTTCTAGATCTGTGTCGACTGCCATGAACTGAAACGATTTTGTTGTAGAAACAATAAGCAGGAGGGTAAGTCTAGTTGTGGACGGGCTTTGACCTGCCCTGAAGAAGACACAATTGACGCGACGCGACGCGTCTGATCTTTGCAAACACACATATTCATCCTTGTACTTCGAATTCAGTGTAGTAGTCCACTAAATTCTTGATTTTCAGAATGTCATCTCCTCCTAGAGTTGATTTTCCAACGTCGGATATCGATGACATCGAGATGGACGGGCCACCTCAGGATGGCACTATCGATCAATCACTATCCATAGCTCCTCCGCCCCAACGTCTTTTTCTCCAGGGAACACCTTCTGCTGCAGGAACTCCTGCGCGACAAAGATATGCTAACAGCGTTGCAGCTACGCCTACGAGCGGTATCGCTGCCAGACGGGCGCTTGGAATGAGCACTCCTCGGCGAGCACCACGAACACCTCTTTTTGCTCGTGAGTGCTTGCTCAATGTACAATTACCTGCCATTCATTTTTATACTAGCCGGGAGCTCCCCACTCGCATTCCCAAGTTCTTCGCCTGCTAAAACTCCCCGGAGGAGAGTCGCGATCGATTCTGATCCAGCTTTTCTAGACTCTGAGCCTCTCGCCTTTCCTTCGTAAGTCGCTGTCAATGAGATCTTTATCCATTCGGCTGATAATGCGTTAGGAGTCCAGCCGCTGCTCTTGCTACGCCAGTCAAGAACCGTCGCGGGGACATTCACTCTTCTCTTTCCCTAACACCAACCGCACGGCGAGCCAGGCGTGGCGATTATAACAACGATCTTAACGATAATCTCAACTCAGATGGAACTCATCTTTCCATTCCCGCATCGTCTGTACCACACCTCTCAGCACCCGCCGCGCCCTCTGACGAGCCAGATGAAATCCGCGCCATCTGGGGAACCACCGTGAACTTGGCAGAGACAATGAAACTCTTCCGGGACTTCCTGCGCGGCTTCAAACCGAAATATCGCGCCACCCACGATCGTCAGGAGAACCTCCGCACTCGGACATTTGCCACCCCAGACGAAGGCGAAATCGTGCTGTATGAGACGTACATGCGCCGTGTCCGCCAGACGGGCGAAACGAATCTCAATCTCGACATGATTAACCTACTTTCCTATCCGCCATGCAAAAAGCTCTTTGCGCAACTCCAGAAATACCCGCAGGAAGTTATACCCGCGATGGATCAAATCCTGAAGGACCTTATGCTCGAACTCGCCGACGAGGACCAGCAGGCCGGCATGGACGGCATGCAGGGCGACCAAGGCGACGAAGAGATCGCTGACATCATGGGCAAAGTCTACAAAGTTCGTCCATTTGGGTTGACAGCCGTGAATATGCGTGACCTCAACCCATCTGGTATGTTGTTCAAACCTTCCTCATGTCTTCATCGTCCTAATGTATTACAGATACCGACAAGCTCATATCTATAAAAGGCTTGGTCATTCGGGCCACGCCCGTGATTCCAGACATGAAAGTCGCCTTCTTCCGCTGTCTCACCTGCTCTCATACTGTACAAGTCGAAATCGACCGTGGCAAGATCGAGGAGCCAGCTCGGTGCCCGAGAGATGTCTGTGGCAGCGTAGGGACGACGTCCCTCGTGCACAACCGTTGTGAATTCGCGGACAGGCAGGTCATCCGGCTGCAGGAGACTCCTGATGCGGTGCCTGATGGCCAGACGCCACACACTGTGTCACTAAGTGTATATGACGAGCTTGTTGATGTGTGCAAGCCCGGTGACAGGGTCATCGTCACTGGCATCTACCGCAGCGTCCCTGTCAGGGTGAATCCTCGCCAGAGAACGATGAAAAGTTTATTCAAGACCTACCTCGACGTCGTCCACGTCCGTCTTAGCACAGGTGGTACGCTAGGACTCGACCGGAGTACACGTCCTGCGGGTGGTGACAAGGTACCGGGTATAGGTGGCGTTGGTGACAGTGCAGATGATCAAGAACTCGAGGAGCAAATTGCAGGCGCTGAGGGGGGACGAACACGCAAAGCAGAACTTGAAGCGAAGCTCATCGAGCTCAGCAGGCGGCACGATCTTTATGAGCTCCTAGCCCGTTCCCTCGCACCGTCAATTTGGGAAATGGACGACGTGAAGAAAGGTATACTTCTTCAGCTCTTCGGTGGCACCAACAAGAGCATCGCAAGAGGTGGAGGCGGAGGTGGACCGCGTTACCGCGGAGACATCAACGTGCTTTTGGTCGGTGACCCGGGTACCAGTAAATCGCAGATTCTGCAGGTATGTCGGTCGCCGTCTGCATTTGTGAAGTTAGGTAAAGCCATTGCTAGTATGTTCACAAAATCGCTCCTCGTGGAGTCTATGCATCTGGCAAAGGCTCTTCGGCAGTGGGTTTGACCGCGTACGTGACTCGAGACCCTGATTCCAAGCAGCTTGTCCTCGAAAGGTAAGGAATACATCATCGTCATCCCGGAGACTCTTATTCACGAATTTCCAGTGGTGCTTTAGTGTTGAGTGACGGTGGTGTCTGCTGCATCGATGAATTTGACAAGATGTCCGATGCGACGCGGAGTGTGCTCCATGAAGTTATGGTCAGACCCATCCAGATGGTCCTTTGAATATCATTAACACCTTCTTCAGGAACAACAAACCGTCTCAATCGCCAAAGCAGGTATTATTACCACCCTCAACGCCCGTACATCTATTCTCGCGGCTGCAAACCCTGTTGAATCAAAGTACAACGTCGATCTTCCCATCACGCGCAATATCGACCTCCCTCCTACGCTCATCTCCCGTTTCGACTTGCTATATCTGGTACTCGATCAAGTAGACGAAACCCTCGATAGAAAACTCGCGCAACATTTGGTTGGGCTGTACCTCGAAGACGCACCCGACACTGGTGGCTACGATGTTTTGGTGTGTCTTGCGTCACTCCTTTCCTGCATACTGAACTGACCTTGCTTTAGCCCCTTGAGGAGCTCTCCGCATATATCGACTTTGCGCGTACGAACATTCACCCCGTCCTCAGTTCTGAAGCAAGCGATGAGCTCGTCGCCTCCTACGTTTCCTTGCGGTCCATCGGCGCCTCAGACCCCCGCTCATCTGAAAAACGTATCACAGCTACAACCCGTCAGCTCGAAAGTATGATCCGCCTCTCTGAGGCCCACGCCCGTATGCGCTTCGCTGCGCACGTCGAGTTGCAAGATGTACAGGAGGCATGCCGCCTCATGCGCGAAGCCATCCGCACGAGTGCTATGGATCCTCGCACTGGCAAGATCGACATGGGCTTGTTAAACACCGGTACTGGTGTTGGACAACGCAAAATGCGGGATGACATGCGGAGAGAATTATTAACGATGTTCGACAGTGGTGCTGGAAAAGGCAAGGGCATGAAATGGGGCGAGGCGATGAAACGCCTTGCGGAGCAGAGTAGTATCCGTGTTGATGCTACTGACTTTTCTGAAGTTATCAAAGCGATGGAGAACGAGGGAGTGTTGACTGTGGTTGGGGAGCGGGATAAGAGGATGATTAGAAGAGTTCAAGGGGCGTGATAAGTATTAGAGGTTCTGAGGCATGGATCAAGTTTTGCTTGGAAATGTTCATTTTACTTGTTGTAATTGCTTACATGTGTACTGATACTCTATCGACTACGAACACGTCAGGATTAACTACCAAGCTATGAACTATCTCAGTCTGCTGGCTAAGCCATTTTGAACAGGGGATAACTAGAGTTGGCGGAGTTGGCGGAGTTTCAAACAAAGGGTCATAAAATTTTCTAGAGCTCAAGCAATCATCTTGCATGTTCGTCCAGTGTTTCTTCCACCGCTAGTCTCGACGGTGACCTTGGTAAGTAATTTCATCCACCATAGTCCACCGTTCGCTTCTGCTTTTTCGGTTACTTTGATGAATACATATCACATTCAAGCTCAACAGTCTTATGGACCTCTGCGTCCAACTGCTGACTTCCTACTTCTGCAATTCTGATACTTCTCAAGCTTTCCAACAGTCATTTGATCAACTACTAACGTTCGTTCTTCCAGCCCTCAACCAACCGTCAACTATACAGCTTCGTCCTATGGTTCGGTTGCATTCGTAGTATTTACATAACACATGTTGTCGCAATGAACATCTACTGCTTTGATTACATCTATGTGTCCTAAATCCCAAATTGTGTGCTGCAGTGTATCGATAATTTAGATTTCAATAATGTTACAGAATGTGGGTAGATGAATATACTCTGAGTACACATGCAACAAGGAGATTAAACATGCAGTGGTCATAGTGCTGTTCCCCGCTCGAAACTAGCCCGAATCTCTGAGGTATATTTGTCGTAGTATCGCGCAATCTGTCGCTCGTCGGTTCATTCTTCATAAACATGACCATGGGCGATGACTCACCTTTTTGTTGAATACGCGATTCCGCTCATTAATGTAGGTGATATCGCCTTCATCCTCGTTGAGTCTCTTTCGGGAGAATTTGCCCTTCTTGTCAATGCTACGGCGCAATGTCAGTGCTCCATGGGAAGCCAAGTAGTGCAGTAACATACTCTCTGTTGATCTTGCCAACCAATCTGTCGATGGCATCTTCAGTAGGTTTATTGTCGGCATACAATAGAGTATTGGCATCTCGGTAGAAGCTCTCTGCAGCCATTCGTTGTTCAGTTGATGGAATCACCTGGGAAATGCAACATGATAAGTAATACAATATATCAGAAGGGTCGGTAACATTGACCTGTCCGCCTGAAGGATCGAAGGTTGTGAGAGCAGACGATGATGGCGTGCTGCTCCCAGACTTGGAAAGTGATCCAGGCGCCAACCCCAGTACGGCCTCTTTCTGTCGGCTGTACGCAACAAGGTCCGGTTTAATGAGGTCAAGGTCTTTCTTGTAGCGCCGTCGAGCTGCGTGAGCATCGTCTACACACAACAATTATGAGTGACATCATGCAAGGAAGCAGTAATCCCGCACCATGAAACTCGTAATCTGCTCTCCGTGCTTTCCTCGCCTTCTTCTTTTCCCAATTGTCATTCTCTTCTATCGTCCATTCCCAATTCTTCTGCCGCTCCACATCCTCTCCCTGTTCCTCTGCTTCCGCTTGCGTACGCAACACCTCTGCAAGTTTCCGTTGTCGTTCTAGGCGTGCAGCATCCCTCACCGTCATCTTGGCTTTGGAAGACTCTTCAATGAGAGAGGCGCGATTCGCTTTCGTCGAGGAACGCTGTGACAGAATGAATGAGGGACAAGGACTACGAGGTACACAGGACCACGCACCATCTTCGCTCTAAGCTGCTCCATCTTGGCTTTTCTTTCGTCCATCGTCATTGTACCTTCCTCTGCCAACTTCTCTTCGCCGCCGCCTGGTGAAGCCATTATTGGTATACCAGTGATCCGCTCGAGACTATGTAGGTTGTTCCTGGCACTCCAAGCTTATATAAGCCAAAGCCCCTAAATGGTTCCTTGTGGCAGCTTTCTTTGCTTGAAAGCAACTGCTCTGGTGATCGTCTACTGATAATTGTCGGGATGCATCCTATTTTCTCTTCGTATTGTATTAAACGAGCCCTATCTGAGTGTTTGTACTTTTATGCACCTCCCTGTATTTGTCTTCAGTGTGACTTAGAGCTGCTTCGAGTCTGGTGATAATTGAAATACGTCTATCCTCGAGAGTTCTCACAAGCGTTGGAGTTGCAATATCTGCGACCGCCACAGTAGTCGTTGCCTCGAATTTCCAGACCCGTTCCCAAACGCTGTCTCAACGTTGCTTTGTCGGAGACGAAATAATCTATCGCCGCTGCATCACATCGTCATGTGCATTTGCATGTCGAAGCTCATTACTGATGGGAGCCCCCAGGCAGTCCGCTCGACGCGAAACTAAAGAAATACATGGTTGACAGTCATCGTGTGTATTGTACTATCCGAAACGTTTCGTAGCCCCAATTTCCTTTTTCCTCTCGAATTCAATGCGTGCCAGTGGCCGGTTCACTGGGGTGAGGAATATTTCCGGACAAGGCAAAGGTTGTACGACTAATCGCACGGGGCGCGACAGAGGAACACTTCCCCGCAGACAGTAACCACTTCTACAACTGAGAGCAACGGCTCAACGACATCCACGGAAACTCTGCTTTGCGGTGCGGCCACCTGAAAGTCTAGCACCTGAACACTATCAGAGGTGTGTATGGTCTCTTCGTCCTTCCCTCCTGGAATGTCATTTTTATTCTCGGCCCACAAATGTGGCCTCCATACCAAAACCCTCTGCATTTTTCAAACTTGCTCATCCTCCTCCCCAGAAAATCGAAGAACAGCGCATCACAATCGAAGACCTCGAGGCCCTCAAGGAACTCACGGACGAATTTGAAGAGAACCATGTTCAAGTCGAGCGTGAGCTTCGAGATAAGATTTTAGAGCGCGAGAAGGATCTGAGGGAGGAGAAGGTCAGAGTAGGGTTATTAGAAGACGTAGTGGCAGACGCACATGGGACAATCGCAAGGTTCAGAGAGGTCGTTGGAGAAATGCAGGGGTGCGTTTTCCTATCCCTTCTGCTTTCTTCTTTAGTTGTGTTCCTTCACGGGAGATGCTGATAAACTCACCAGCGAACTCGACTCCTTGCGTTCAGCGACGCAAGCAGCACAACACGAGTCTGCCACGGCTGCCCACCAGACGGCAGCGATGATGTCGCTGAATTTGAAACTCCAATCCTCGGCGGCCAAGAACCAGGCCAGGGCAGTAGAGCTGGAGATCAAGAAACTCGAGGCGAAGGAGAGGGGAGAACTGTTAGGAATTGTGCAGGTGGGCTTGCTTTTTTGTTCAAGTTGTTTTCCAGCGTTTATTTTCTTTCACTCCATCTGTTCCACTACTTTCGTTCTTGTTCTCCACCGTTTCTTTCGTTGGTTGTAATTACTCCGCTCGTCGTCAGTGAAAAAGAGGTCATCCGAAGGCAAGGCAAATCCGGATTGGTGGTTCAATGCCAACCTTCCCCGTTTGCCATGCCTTCGGTTTATGACTTCATGCGTCCCTCTCTTTTCAGTTTACGTGTCTGCTTCGTTCTTTTCGTCCTGTCCGTTATTTCTTTTCCTTTACTCCCTTGGTTTCCTTTCTCCCCCTTCGCTCATTTTAATCACTCCTTGGTGTGCGCCTTCTCATCGGCTAACTTTTCAACTTTCAGCCTTACCTACCTCAACAATACGTCGAATCCGACAGCGACGCCACAAATTGCTATCTCTTCTTCGCACGCCTAGGGTACAAAACCGATCTCATTAACACTATTGTGGGGCTGGCTCATGGCCTACCCGAGTCGCTCAACGGTGTCGTGTCAGAATATGCGCAGTGCGTTACATTTTCCAATTTACAACAGTGGCACATGTAACATTCATTCACCGATAACAGATGCATGGCCGTGCCGCGTCGTTCTCCACGCTCTGCAAACGCTTCGCTGCCATCCTTAGGCGATGCGACCCCACGTCGTTCCTCAATATCGGACGCATACCCTGAGATCGCCCCAATGGAGAAACGCATCGATCTGCACATTGATCTTCTCCGACGGGATGAGTTTAGGGAGATGGAATTCGTCAGTGACGTGCTCAAGTGCGTTTGGTCCTCATTTTTACTTTCATCTCCTTACCTTTGCATGTCAACGAATGGAAAATACTTACCGCTGACACAGGATGCTAGCCTAGTTCGACCATCTGGCAGAGACACATTTCGATGGGTTCGGGCAGGACCTAGGCGAGCGCGAGCTCGGGTACGCACTTTCGTTTGACCATGATCTAGGTGTGTTTGCTGCATCTATCGGGCTCACGAAAACATCTGTCGCTGTGATTCTCAATGATGAAGGTGCGTAACACTGCCTTTATTGGCACGATGTTTGTTGCTTACACAAAACACTCCAAAGATGTTGTCCTCGACATGGGTGGCTATTTGCAGAAACTTTTGAAACAGTGCAAGAGCGCGAAAGTGTTGTCCAAGTAAGGTAGTTTTTATCGCATGGCGGATATATGCTGAAGGGGTTGACAAGAAACTTACGAAGCGCCTTGACGATGTTATCCAGGAGTCTTCGGCGCTTAAGTCCCATCTCGTTCCACAGCTCAAGACTCTCAGCAATGCAGTTCCCGAGCTGGTCAACTTTGGTATCTCTGTTAGTGTTCCTGTGCCACCTTCTAAGGATGACTACTAATTTGCCCAATTGTAGCTCGCCCAACAAGTAATCCCGCACCTTAGCGATGCCCGCAGCGCCAAGTCTCCATTCCAGTTTGCAACAGTGTTATCGTATGCAAAGCAAAGTGTTTGCTATGAGCACGCCTATCAATGTCCAACTATCCACGCGAACCGCAATGCATCAATATCAACCTCACCGCGCCTCAACGCCTTCCACAGCGCTCTCCTCTCCCTCGATACCAGGGTACTCGCTCCCAAACGTCCTTTTGTCCGGCCCGCCAACCCCACCACACCACACAGCTCCACGCCTGTCATACCTGCTGCGTTCTTGGCAAGGCTCAAACACCTATGTGCCACTGAAGTTTGCATGCGCCCGCCGCGAGAAATTTACCTCGCAGACCTATTTACCGCGACGCGGCATTTTGGTGCGCTAGACGCCATGATGCTCACTGCCCGTGCACGCCAAGATGCGGAGGTCCTTTTCAAGCTCTGCTAATTATGTACCAGACTTACTTTATCGTATCATAGTGATATTGAATACAACATCCAAAAACGCTTGGAGCAATGCGCTTAGTTGCCAACGCCAACGCCAATTTGAAAGGCGTGTTCTACCAAAAAGTCATAAATAACGTTATGGTTGAAACATAAAGAAGGAAACATAAGAACGGGACACACTTGATGCTACCAGCCCTTACAGGCAGCGATGATGTAATATCACAACGTTGTCACAAACTCCTCATGGTAATCTAGACATCAACATTCAATATTCAATGGCTATGTATAAACAACTCAAATTTATCGCAGCATACATAGCCAATATTTAGCAGAAGCAGAATTACATCCTTCTATAGTTTCCACGGCTACAATATCAAGGACTCATGAATTCACTGATGTGCTGACAGGTGCCGGGAGTCTTCAGAGCGCCACGAAGCATGCTGGCATGTGGAATGGCGCATTTGATATGCTGGTAGAAATTGAGTGACTGACTCTTATCATAGTAAGAATGAATGACTATCTTCATTTGTTCATGGTCTGTCTAGGGAGACTGGACTCTCATAGCAAATTTCTTCGCTTGGACCCATGGGGTTGTGGTGAGTGCTACTTATTCGCTTGTCCCGTGGTTTCATCTCCGGGTGCACGAGTCTCCCATAGTCGGACCAGTGCTAAACACCCGTTTCCTACAGATTCACGACATCCAATGGCAGATCATTATTGGCACTTACACCACACTAAACTAAGCTGGTCAGCATGGACGGCTTACTGATACATCAGTGCTTGTCAAAGCGCATAGTTTGCTTTGATCCAAGGATCATCCAAGCGTACGTCCTGTCCTGTCAAAGCGTTGGTCCCTTGCGATATTTAAGGCTTCCGCAACCTGGGTTTTAGCTCCACAAACATCGATCACTTACCACATTCTACATCCGATCCCAGAGATGACATCCCTCGTCTCCACAGATAGTCCTGCACCCTTGTCATCATTATCCCCTGACATGGCTCAAGTGCTCACTGGTGTCCGCTACATCATGGAAATGAATATTACCCAGGACACCAAGCTCCTAGACATCATTGCTATCCTAGGCGCTCAAGCCTCACAGTTAAGGGAAAGAGATCAATCAATCATGATTATGCAGTCGAAGTTAGAGTAAGCCATCTTCATCTTACTGTACCCGCTCAACGTACTCAATCAATACTCAGCTCGCAGCAGGCCATCATGGAGGAGATTCGCTCAGAACAGCGGCAGCTAACAGCTGCCGTCGCATGTTTCCTGCATCGTGGGCAAGATGTCTCAGTGACACTTTCTCCGCCTGCCAGTCGAGAAACGCCAGAGCCTGTGACACCTACGGCGACCCCAGAAACATTTCCGAGCGCTATTTCAGTGCCAGAGCTACTTGCCTCCCAGCCAACTCCCACCGACGCACGATCAGACATTATCGCTGCCGCGGACACCAACTTGAGGACTATCACCGTTGATGACCCATGGAGAGCTCCCGAGCACTACGTCAAAACGCAACGAGGTGGCGAGCTACGGCGCCAGGGTGCGTTTTATGGCACTCCCGACTGGAACTCCATGACAGTAGCTGCTGGTGGTGTACCTGATTCTGGCATGCCTCCTTTCTCTCCTCCGGCAAGCCCTAAGGTCCAAGAAGAAATCATCCCGGCAGCAGGGAATACTCGCGCAGATGTACGCAAAACGCGGGAAGCTGGGCAGGAGACAGAGGCCGCTGTCATTGTCCTGAAGGCCGCACTAAGTGACGACGAGGAGAGCGCCTCTAATAGCTCTCTCCGTAGCTCCTGCAAGCGTTGCAGGGATCCTAAGGAGCAAGAGGCACGCAGAACCTCAAATCCTATGGATATATATAGGATCGTTCATGATGCATCCCATGGGTCTTCCCCCTCCTCGTTGTTCTCCCCTTCATTCCCTGGACCTAGTCCTACTCAGGATGACCCCAGCCGTGGTGGTCCAGCAAAGCGCAGACGTCTGTCACAAGATATCGTTGAATCCGATGCAGTTTTCAACACGAAACGCCCAACTCGCAGAAGTCCGCGCCGTGTCACACCTAAATGATATCATTGTTCATTTTATCTCTTGTGTATTGTATACATGTATTTCTAAGACCCAGGGATGAGCGACCGTTATCTCTCGTTGTATCATCACACCAATATCAACGAACGCTTTCTACAATCATGATGTTGAAACTGCAAAAACAAACTTTATGGTACGATTGGCAATTCCGGACTGCATCAGAGGCTCCCAGGGACGTTGCTTTACGGCGCCTTGTTCGTTTTGGGTTCACGGCGCTGTTCGCGAGTGTTTTGTGAACCGAGCCTTTAAGACCTTACTGGTAACCAATCATAACAATCATAACCGTCATTTCCATTCCCACCGCATGATATTCTTTGTGAACTATGCATCCTCGCACGTTAGCAAGACTTGCCTCCCTTTCTACCCATCTCCGTCGAGTTCCTCTCCCTGCTCATTCGAAGCCAATGTCATCTACTGTTCTGCCAGATAACTCGGCCTTTCAGTCACCGCCATTGAACTTTGCCATTTCTCCTGTACCGAATAAGAATCCAATTGACGAGGGACGGCATATAAAGACAGCTGCAGCGCTCATCATTGGGTGTGTTCGTGTTCTGGGCTTTACGGATGAAAAGCTGAGAGTAGCTATAAAGGGACGAAATTCTGAATGGAAAGACGCTCGACCGGAACTCCAACTACTTTGCACGGTTCTGTTTTGAGCATGGTATTCAGTTGTGAGTGACCCTTCCTGTCTAGTTATATACGCGTTGATGGTCGACTGCGCTGCAGGAAACGCATAGAGGTGATAGCAGATGATGAAGCTGAAATGTACGTGCGCCGTTTGTAACACTCATGTTGCAGGGGCACAGCTGCTCAGCGAGCCCCAGCATCGAGGCCAGCCGGAGAATGGTGCAAATGTACGACTTTGTGGTAACGACGGGCGGTATTGGACCCACCCACGATGGTACGCAATTCCTTGTGAACTTTATTACCAGCGCACCACCATGACGCCATTCATTATCATTTCATCGCTCACAGATATAACATATACATCATTGGCGAAGTCTTTTAATCAGGGCCTCGTATATCATAAAGAGACGCTCGCTCGAATGGAGGAGTCTGGCAAATATCGGGCTTGGGTATCAAAGCAGAGCGAGGAACAGCGAACGGCACGCAAACGTATGGCACTGTTCCCCGATGCTGCTGAGGTGCTTTTCGTCGCAAGTGATATATGGGTGGTGAGCATGCATGAGTGCAGCTCTAAGACCAGTTGCTGATTTCCACCAGCCCGTCGTCCGACTACAAGGGAGACTCTGCATATTTCCAGGAATACCCAGCCTCTTTCAAAAGATGCTAGATAACCTAAAACCATTCCTTCCTCTCCCGCCTGAAGAGGAGCGACCTTTCCGACTCCAAGTCTTCACGGCGTAAGCATTTCGTCACCATTTCATATCAATATGCTGAACGTAATTTTAGATTACCCGAGTCATCCATTGCCCCTTTCCTCACTGACCTCCAAAAGCGGGTGCAACCCGAGGGTATTCGGATAGGCTCGTATCCGGTCCTACAGAAAGGTGTGTACGTGTCGCTCATAGGCGCAGACCGTGGCCGTGTGCATGAGCTCGGCGTAGAGGTTGAGAAAGAAGTGGAGGGACGTGTTGTCAGCGAGGCAGAAGCGGAAGCCAAGCGGCAATTGGGTTGCCAGTGATTGAACGCTCAATCAGAGGCAACCTTGTATTATACGGTCTATTGTGCTTTCTGGATGCGTGGATCATTTTTTTTTGTTGCATCTTCACTTACGCATAAGCACTTGAGACGGTCTCATTTCGTCTGCTTACCCATGGCAATAGGAATTTTGGCTGCCGGTCCTGATCTTGTCTCCTGTTTCTCCCGCCCGATGAACCAACACCGTACGACCCTCAGCCCAGCGTTACACACCACCATGTACTACCCGGAGTGCGTAACCGTAAATGGGGTTTTTGTCAAACCATCCCAAGTCTTTGATGGAATCAATCTTTGTCTTCTCGCCCTCTCTACCATAACACATGTCCTAGTCCTTTCCCTTAGGATAACTTCCGACCATCTCAAACCGACCATCCAGGTCTTGTAAGAGCCCGCGTCCCACGCCTGCAGGAACGGTAACAACATCCCCCCTCTTACCTTCCGCCTCCACCCTTCCGGGATTGTCCTCTCCACCAAAACATAGCTTCACACGAACGACCAGAAGCGATGCACAGTACTTTATTAGTAATGCTATGAAAGTATGTCGTGCTGTACAGTCGGGGCTCGACAACGCCGACGAACCTTAGGTGGGCCTTGATGGTGGCGGCTGAATTCGACTGTGGGAAGCATTCGTGATACATGATGAGAGGATAATTTTGCAGGGATATGTTTGGGATGAGATTGAAGCTAGGAATGAAATGAATAGATGCTGGAAGACTTCGGAGAGGTGCGATTGGCGATGTCATGATGCGAACGAGTAGGCGCGACTCGGAGACGAGAAAGGCCCCTGTAAGGCGACATACATGACGTCACGAGGCGTCTATTTATGCGCCGCAATTTTGCCGTGCTACTACTTCCAGACCAGTCAGATGTTATCTGAGGTCGCCAGCACTTACTCAATTCCACGGAACGTCGCCCAGAACTATTACGCTGGTGGTTTTCGCTTTTGCGATCGAAGGAATAAGCAGGTTAAGGCGCTAATTCTCCTCCCGACATGACCCGATATAATTGAAAAAATGGGTCCAGTCAAATGACGCCACTACCCTCTCGTTATCAAGTAATCCATCAAGTATTTAAATTTTAAAAGCTGATTGTTGAATTACAGCATTTTTCTTGTCTTCGTTTCCTCTAGGCCATGTTCAAGGCGCGCTTGAGTGTTGTATGTGGTCGTATGCAACCTCACCCGGCAAGACTGTCGGTCGCCGCAGGACGAACGTTTACTTCCTCTGCACCGCGGAGTAAACAACGTCTGGTCATATTGGGTTCAGGCTGGGGAGGCTATGAGATTTTGAGAGATGTCGATAAGAAGCGTTGGAGTTAGTCTCTGACTGCGTTCGAGCGAATGGTGATGTTGATAACCCCTTTTTGCAGATGTCACGATGGTCTCACCAACCAATGCTTTCAATTTTACGCCTTTGCTTGCTAGTTGTGCTGTTGGTACCCTCGAATTTCGTTGTGCGGTTGAACCGGTATGTCATATTACACTTCCGTGACAATGTTCTCATTAATCTTGATGACAGGTTCGGAGGTTTTCTCCACAAGTGGTAAGTCAAACCTAGTTATGTCTTGAACCGTGTGCTAATGTATGTTTGTCTTTTAGGCTTGCTATCAGGCCTGGTGTGACTCGATCGGTCTGTTCTTGCGTTCTTTAACTGTCGCAGACACCTGACTTTTAGTCTCCCCAGACTTCAAGCAAAAGACCCTGAAATGTGTACGTACTCATTCGAAAGTCAATGGTCACACTAAGCAAGGTATTTCAGATGCCTGCCACACCTGCTTTGGAATTTGGACGAGCTACCTCTGCCCCTGTCGTAGAGACAGCCACAACAGAGAGTTCATACCCGACTACGGGCACTCCGTTCACCTTACGTTATGACAAGTTGGTGATTGCTGTCGGCGCCTACTCGCAGAGTACGTAAACAGTCGTGATACACTACAATTTCTAACGAAATTAATGATAGCGTTCAACGTGCCTGGCGTCAAAGAACATGCGCATTTCCTTAAAGACGTGCGAGACGCTCGAGCAATCAGGACGCGTATCATAGATTGTAAGTGTATTTACCAGTTTTCATAAACATTGCTTACCCTGCGTAGGTTTCGAGCAGGCCAATCAACCTGTCCTCTCTGATATCCAACGCCGAAACTTACTCAATTTCTGCATAGTCGGTAAGCATCTGATCTCTGGTGACATTTTTATCCTTGTGTTAATACAACACTTTATAGGTGGTGGACCCACTGGTGTCGAGTTCTCGGCAGAGTTGCACGATTTGCTGCATGCTGAGATAGAGAGGCACTATCCTTCGCTCGCAGCGTATGGCTAAAATCACGCTCTACGACGTGGCACCAAACATCCTTGGCAATTTTGACAAGTCCCTGGGAGTGTAGGTCGCCTGTGTTTCTTCTCCGACATCTCTGATGATATTCGGTCAATAAACAGCTATGCTGAAGACAAGTTCCGGAGAGATGGTATTAGCATCAAAACAAGACACCATGTGGAACGTGTTGAGAAGGTTCGAATAACGCTGTATTGTTATTCTAAATCTTGATGCTGATTGTTATGCAGGATCGCATGTTCGTTAAAGAACAAGGAGAAGGTCCGCAGTCAATGCCCCCAATATTTTAGTCCAAGTCTTGCTCACACAGCTGCTGTAGTTCCATTTGGTCTTCTTGTCTGGAGTACTGGATTAGCCCCTAATCCGCTTATCCAGTCAATCGATTCTCTTGAGAAACATGACAAGACACAAGGGTCTGTGATCCTACTTGATTAGCCGAGACGTTCGGGCTGACGCATGTGGCTGTCTCTAGCCTTTTCACTGACCAAAACCTTAACGTCATCACAAAGGAGGGCCACGTTGATCCATATGTTTGGGCTATCGGTGACGCTGCAAACATCAAAGGCCAGATCCTCCCTGCGACCGCACAAGGTTTGTCTGCCCATACCCTATTAAGCGCCCATGGGCTGCGGGCTTATCATCCTGACAACGCCTATTTACAGTCGCGAATCAGAAAGGCAGATACCTGGCGCAAAAGCTGAACAAGATAGTCAAAGATCAGGAGCACACAAAACCCTTTGAGTTTCATAATAAAGGGAGCTTGGCTTACTTGGGAGACTGGTGCGTGGCGGTCCATCAGAATCCGAACATTTCTGATTCGGCTGTACAGGAAAGCAATCTATGATCGGTCGAGTGCTGATACTGTCAAAACTAAGGAGACCGGTCGCTTGGCGTGGCTTCTATGGCGTTCCGCATATTTCACCATGACTCTTAGTATTAGGAACAAGTGCGTGCTTCTATTTCCACAGATGACTATCAGGCCTCTGATGTATACTGGTTAGGATTCTGGTGCCCACATATTGGTGAGTTCTGCATCATTCTGATCAGCAATTCAATGATCTCATCGACTTCCTGTACAGGTTCCTAAATTGTGTGTTCTTGTCCGTGTACTCCGGTGATATGATGCTAATACTAATACAGGGATTTTCGGCCGTGATCTGACGCGCTTCTGATTTTTGTCGCTGCGCCACTACACCACACTCATTTCACACTCATAGGTGAGGAATCTTGTCGTAGTGGCTACCTTGTGCTGACTTAATATCAGACTGTACAGACTTAGAGATCTTTAGAATTCATGTTGTTATGTTTATCATTACAGTGCCATAATATGCAATCAATGTAAAACAAGAAATAACGCATATGTATGCGATAGACATCATTCAAAAGCATTAGTATGATAGGAAAGACTAAAGATTGTACACATTACTAGAACGGAACAGAAAGACGCGTTAAAGAATGGTGACAGTTTTTCTTCGGATTTTGCGCTTCTTTTCGGGTGGCGCTGGGGAAGTTGGTGTTGCTACACAGGGTTCAACATCAGCAATATTCAGCAAAAACGAGGGCTTTAGGACTCACGCTGGTGCTGCACAGCTGCTGATTTCTCCGTCATTGACTTAGCACCGGTAAGAAACCCTTCCACAAAATCCTTGTTATCTTGGACGATTTCCGGCGCGATCCCACAACCCTGAAGGTCCGCAATCAGTCTCGACCAGGTGGGTTCGATATTCCTGGAAGATTCGATGATGCCTCTAGTGGAGATTCCGACATGTGCCACATGGACAAAGGAGTGGGGTGCGGGGCTGGAGATTATCCGAGGGCTCACTGGAGAAGATTGGGGCACCTTCTGCTTCTCTTTCTTGTTCTTTTTGACGGATTTGAAGAGGAAGGGCTGGAAGACTGAAACACGTGTTGTGAGTTACATACAGCGTGGCAGCATGGCCGAGCGGAAACTTACAGTGGTGTCGCGTCCGATCCGAGACTTTTTTGTAGAAGACATTTGCTTCCTCGTCTTCGTCGAAGCAAAGTCCGAACATGCGACTCTGACGCAGAATTCGGTTACGCTGCGATGCAATAAAACATAATGGACGTACTGTTCCAGAGAAATAGTGAAAGAAAGGCTTGTCTCTCGTGTACTCGAAGACCTCGGGAATGTAGAACGTCCAAACCACACGGTCGGTCTTCGTGTCAACGAGGCGAAACCAGTATTTTTCCTTGAGACGCAAGCCATGACCGCCTCGCTTGGGGGGAGACGTGCCATGGGGTGCGTCTCGATCACGTCCGAAGACTACGATTCCTTTGAGCTTAGAGTAGCTCCAGTTTAAATGGGGATTATTGAAAGGCGCGTTGTAGACTCGAACTGCAGCAGTGGCGACCACTTTCTGCATGTTGGGTTCGAGAATAGAGGAAATGTGGCGTTGTTTGTTCTCAGCTGCGAACGCTGGTGAGGGGTCATGCATCTGCGCAGAATGTGATGCTGCAGGAAACGAAAAGGTGGTTTGCTGGTGTTGATGATCGATCGCGGAAACGAACAGGGACAGGACGCGAGTTTATATACCGTTTGATAAGACAGGAGAGCGCCTGTGGGGAAGAGAAGGCCACAGCGTGGTCCCCTCGTGCCATCATAATCTTTGCCCGGTAACGCAGGGCCGTTTACGTTATGGTATTCGTTGTCAAGCCTGTGAGGGCATACATAGGCTGTTCCCGGGGATCATTGCCCTAGGAGGAGCTTCCTTTGCTAAGTCCATTTTGGCAGTCAAGGGCTCAAGTGCCAGTGCCAAACAGCTGTGTTTTTTCAAGGCTATAGTTTCAAATATGTAATACTGTTCATGGTGTAAATTGCAATTCTCACCTTGCCGGCTGCTTAGCCTGGAGATGTTCTGCACGGGGTGTGGTTGCCAGGGAGGACATCCCCAAAACCAAGTCCTCATGCTGAGGATTCTCATACGTACACATTAGTACGACAAGGTGATCGTGTTGAAGAGTAGCCTCGCGTTCTTCCTTACCCCAATCGCCACCCCGTGGTAGTGAGTACTATGTAGTACTGTAATGTCGTCGGCGCGTTCAGAAGATATGAGTACCGTTGCCGAGACGTATCAGGTTACTTTTGGAAAAATCGTTATGTCACTGTTCTATTCAGTAAGTTACATGATGACCGTGACTATCACTCAAGCTTCAAGTTTAAGAGTTAAGACGTATACTCAGCACTCAGACACTATCCTTTTTTTAAAAAAAAATCCTCGTCTATTGTCTGGTGGAGCAGTGCTCTTAGCTCTATGGTAGACACCGCTGTTGGCCACGACCTCCAACATCCTGCTGCAGGTCTGGCGTAGCCCTCCGCAGGTCCCCGGAGTCCGCACCCATTCGCAACCTCCAGCGCCCCAGGACAACTTCCTTAAACCTTCTGCTATCCTGGCATATCAAACGCACCCAACCTAGACCCTTCACCACCCTTCACTGACCTGGGAGTGCCACGGCCTGCCCCAGTCTTCGGTTGCCTACATTGTTCAATCCCGACCTCCCGCTGCCCCTCTCTACCCGGTCATTTCTCCATGACCGCCCGCAATCTCTCGTTACCCTGGCGTGTCTTGACTTGATTCGAAGAATCGAAGAAGTCAAAGAAGAGCGACAAGGTTGGCTCTATGCTCGATGTCCGTCACTCTGAGTTGAAGGAGAGTGATAAGGTTTGCGCTATGAGAATATAGGAAGGGAATAAGCAGCCTCCGGTGACCATGGCTCGGGCCGCCGTATTTATTTTTTCCCATCTCGTTCAAATCTCACTCAAACTTGTTTGCAGATGCTCACGACGAATTATATCACCAGTACTAAGTGGTGAGGGGAATACCGTGACGGTCCGTGTTTGGTCCCATGGTCTCGTTTCGGCGCTGTGCAGCCCGGGACAGCGTCTGGCCATCGTCAGGAGGTGAGGCCGACATTGCATGACAAAAAATGCGGCGACAGGCGATAATTGGAACGATGGAAGGGAAGGGAACGGCGAGAGCCTTCGGACATTTGAATGGAAGAGTGACGCTCCGAAAATTTCCCAGCCCTGGCCTAACACATCATCCCCGGATGAAGGTGTTGTCGCACGGCGAACCTCTACAGGCAAGTATGTAACAGCATGCCATACATACCTGTAGCAAGAGGATCAGCAAGTGGTTCTCAGCGCTCGAAACGTAAAGCGTACTGTAAGAGGTATGATTGCCAGTGGATCGGTTACAGCATATGCATCATCCCTTGACTATCGTGAGGCAATCAGGGGGTCCTATATCGAGTAGCGTGGAGTGACAAGGACCTCTTCAACACGGTGCATCAGATCCTAAGAACAGCTCTGGACAGGTTATCGACTACTACGAGTTGTGCTCCTTTCAGCATTCTGATCTTTGTCGTGGATCCCGCTGTTTCACAGTTGTTTGGGTGTCCCTCTGACGTGGTTGCTTCGGGAATGTACCGGTAGGCGTCCAGAATATTTCGGAGATATAGCGAGTACTTGGCATCATGATACACCTTGATAAAGTCTGTTGATTCCAGTTGTGCATGACGGATCTGATCTGAAATGTCATCGGAAGGGTCAACGGATGCCTTCGACTGTGCAGGCTGAACGGGTCGGTTGCTACGTCTAGCCGTTAAGTCGAATCTATTTATGCTCGACGTAAATGTAAATGGGACACCCGACGGTGCGGCATGGAAGGAAAGTGAGATGGGCCCGAGATTCTTGGCTTGCTGTATGGATATCATGAACTTCCAGAAGTCCACGATCGAGTGCCGAGTCCAAGTAATTAGCGTGGTTCCGTCGAATTGGGTTGCGGGTCCAGAGGGAAGCTGAGGGGTATCGCCTCTTTGTGGAGCTTGTACAGGCTCTGTGATAGTGGCCCAAGCGGCACCGTCCCACGGTAACCTTCCGCGTATAGGAATAAGCCAAGCCGCCCTATTGTAAGGACTGTGCATGAAGAGCTTAGCCAACTCAAAATTATCATACGGGGCTATCATATATGCCGGGGCCTTTCTGTAAGGCCGAAGGTGCTCCCTATCCAACCCCGGAAAACCAGCACTAGGACCTGCGACAAAATGAGGCTGCAAATTGTAAGCAGAAGTGAAGATAAACTGAGCGAATCCTCAAGACCTGGGGGATCAAGTTTGCAATGCAGGCTTCATCATGTCTGAAGCGCTTCCTAGGGGGTTCTATAGACAGTTCATTTGTTGAGGATGCCCTATAATGCGCAACGTCTCGTGATTGTGTATCACGAAGGTCTGTGCGCAAATCCGGCGGTGCAGAGCGCTTCAGGGTAGGACGAGCGCGGCGAGCTTCAGGCTTTACGTGTATAAACTCCTCGAGGGCTTCGAGCACAAATTCTTCATCGTCGCTTGGAGAAGGAGGAACTCCCCAGTCTTTGAGAACATGTGTTCGATGCGCCGACGGTACTCGCGGTGGGCTCACACTGAACTGGTATAGTCTGTCATGCCTCAGTTCTGCTGACAGTTCATAAGAGAGCGAGCTACTAGGTTACGAACAACCTACCGAACAGCCGTGTGTTGAATGAGACAACCGGTTGTTTCCATCCGATATTTGAAGAGGCTGCATGAGCTAGGTCGCGTCCAAGCTCCAGTGTTTCATCAGAGTGTGACGAAGTTGGTCCTTCATCATTGGAGTAGTTGTGTACCGTCAGTCTAAGGGAAGAGCCCATGATAATCGCGTCCGGGTCCAAGAACACACAAGCAGCAGATAAAGTAAGATTGAAGCAAGATGAGAGGAGAGATGTGTGGGAACGAATTCAAGACACCAGATCGGACCGCTCGGAACCACTGGTTGTCCCGGAACCATATTGTTCACTCGAAGTCCACTGACATTGTGACTCTAGATCTAAGGCCGACGTGGACTGACCACATTTCTTAACATTATCAGAAGGATGGAGCAGGCGGCACAACGTAACATTGTTATCATCGGCGGCGGAATCATTGGTATGTATACAGTACTAATGGTCCATAACCGCTTATCTCTCACCCTCACTGACTGTCTTCTCGATAGGATGCAGTATCGCTTACTACTTGTCCAGGCACCCATCATATTCCCCCTCGACAACGAACATTATCGTTTTGGAAGCCTCGGCGAACGGGGTTGCGCAAGGAGCTTCTGGAAAGGCTGGTGGATTGATTGCCAAATGGGCATATCCCCGTGAAATCGTAGATATATCCTTTCCCGAGCATGTTAAGCTCGCTGAAGAGCATAACGGTGCCGAAAGATGGGGCTGGAGATTCGTTGGCTGCGGCAGTTGGGAGGGGGAGGGAGAAGCGCTTGCCGAGAGTGGAACTGGTGTTGGGAAGGGAGGGAATCGAAAGAGTTTGGAGAAGACACTTGGTCTTGAGGCTACTGCATCGACAAGCAGGGCGGACAAGGGGATGCCTGACGACTTGACTTGGGTCAAGGAGGAACTAACCACGTCGTACAACCCAATGTCTGGTCCAGACGGAACAGCACAGGTTCATCCATATTTATTCACCACAAGCATGCTTGACCTTGCGAAGGAGAAAGGCGTTCAATTGGTGAACGGAACTGCCATCTCTGTTGAGCGGGTCGACCGTCATGTCACAGGCGTCACTTATAGAGATCGTTCTGACCCTAGCCGCATTGAAACTCTCCCAGCAACGCATGTAGTATTATCGGCTGGAGCATGGTCGCCATCCATTATACCGTCCCTTCCGATTGCAGCCACGCGCGCTCATAGCGTTACTATCCGTCCCAAGGCTGGCGTCACGATATCGCCCTACGTGTTATTCACGGAAATTCTACTCCCTCAATCTCACGTTGTCTCTCCTGAAATATACGCGCGCCCAGACAACGAAGTGTACGCCTGTGGTCCAGGAGATGACTCCGAGTTTACCCGGCAACGTGGATGACGTCGAAGTCGATCTAGCGGCCTGTCAGAGTATCACAAACCATGTTGCCAGCATCTCCCTTGAGCTGAGAGAGGGAACAGTCGATAAGCGCCAGGCGTGCTTTTTGCCAGTGGTACGTACTGGCGGGGGGCCCATCATCGGAGAAGCAGACAAAATTGCCAAGGGTCTATATATTGCAACTGGTCATACCTGCTGGGTAGGTGAAGCACCTTGCGTAAGATTTGGAAGAGCTTATCTGGTAATTTTCAAAGGGCATTTGCAATGCACCTGGGACAGCCAAGGTAATCGCGGGACTCATCATGGGAGGAGAGGTGCGTACGCGGAGTCTGGCGCGATTGGCACCGTCGAGGTTCTTGTAGGAGAATCCAGTAACGAGAATTCTATCGTGCAATCGAGGTATGTACTATTCGGAGCCGTAATGAATAGCTTCCTTGAAGAATCATGGAGCGACACGCTGTTCTTTTAATGTTAAATAGGTCGGACGCCGTATCAGAGAGCGATAATTGTTTTGAAGCGAAATAGGCGACACCCTGATATGATGGATGAATATATTTCTGGGAAGAGTCATACAGACTTCAGTACTGAGTCATGGTGCAACGAGACAACGTAAATGGCTCGTAATTTTTGTTTGGAAGAGATTGGCGCCTTAAATGGTTAGTACAAAGCGGGGACAAAGCGGTTCTCGGGTGACCGAGTCAGCCCATCAGGGCATCCGACGAAACAAGGCCCCTATCCTGTGAGATACTATGTTTGACAAGTCTCGAGCATGCGTAGCACCGGACGAGGAGCCGAGTTCGCGTTTCCATGAGAAATTGACACGTCAGTAATTAATTGATAACTGGTTCTACTCGGCGCAATTCCCAATGGCTACTTTTGAACAAAGGGAAGAGTCTGCTAGGCCGCCGCCTTATGATGACGTGCCTAAATTCACCGACAACTTTGTTTGTTTTGTATTGTTGTTACTTATAGACGGTGTTGCCTTATTTGGATAGTACCTTACAAGGTGCGACTTCTTGAGCTTCGATCAAGTAGACCGTCCAGCTGAGTGACTGGTGAGTTCTCTCGGTCAGTTTGTTATTCTCCGAGTCATTTCAAGTCATTTCTCATAAATATCTGATGCGGTATTAACGTTGCTACACAGAACCATTGAATCTAAATCGGTTGACCCGAATTTACGTCCAGGTTCAAAGGACAACATATCAGCCTCGTGGCTTGTCAGTGATTATATCGGTCACACTAAAACGGGACGAGCGTCAAGTGAGCAAGTAAATTTCGCAGCTTCTTCCCGCTCTCATCGTCTAGGATTCTCACAAGTTTGTCTCTCTTCTTTGGCTAGTCACTGGTCATGGTCACTTCCCTTTGACTCCCTCTTTGACGATATCCTGATCCCTAGTCACGTATCGTGTCGCACTGTCACTAAATCGTAGTGCATCAAACTACAAAAACACACGCACGGTATGTTTAATCCTCCGGTTTTCCGACTATATCCGCTTAGGCTGTGGAATATGTCATTGACTTGAAATTTTTTGGAAATATACACTAACCGCGTTCAATTACCCAGAGTCTGGAATCTGACGAACTTCATCCACGCTTCAAAGATCATCCAAAGCCTCCTCGACGTTCTTTCATATCACACGACGTTCTTTCATCGCACACGCACCCTCGACATTGGGTATCACCTTCCCTTACAAGCTTTCAAAGATGAGTGGCAGCCGGCAGAGTTTACTACCTTCAAAACAATATATCTTGGCAGAAGACTCTGATCCCCTTGAGTATGTTCTACGCTACAGACATCAGCTGACACTCACTGACGCATTTGTACAGGCTTCTTTGTTCTCGTTTCAACGTTGCAAAGGCAACATTAGAACCGGCATCCGACATTCCGACAACCTTGGACATGCGTGTCAAACGGGATGCTCACATGCCCTCACATGTTCTCGCCGTCTTTGACATCCCAGAGAGCGAATGGGGTCCATCTTATCAGCCTCTCTTGGTACCTATTCGTGTTGACCTCTTCACTCGCGGTTTTCGCTCCAAAGTAATCCCACCCAGCCCACCTGGATCTACTTTTCCAGTCCCACATAGCCCTGAACATACCGAGGGGCAATTCGTGACACTTCCCGTCATCCCACTGCTTGTCCCGCATGCTCCGTCTATCCCTCTACTCCTCCTCTTCGGACTTGGGCTTGAAACACGATCCGACTTGCTGTGCTGCCGCCTCCTGCCTGCTGAAGTAATAGGAGAATTCCCCGCCTCTTCTACCATGGCCAACCTCATGGCAACGCTATGCAGCGACGACCAGTTCCGAGAGCACAAAATATTTAATCAAGGACTATGGAAGAATATACTCTCTTTAGGGCCACGGGACTCGCATTTCATCGAGCTGGCACAGACAGCATGGAATGTCACAGTAGAAGCACGGCGAATCCGACAGCGCAACACGGCGGGTAATATCCTATCGCTCCCGATATGAGCGGACACGTATCCCCTTTGACGTCTTCCTTTCATTCCGCTTTGCTCATCTTGCTAAAACGGCCTTTATACGACACTTTGCTGAACGAGGATCATGATTACATCTGCACTGCTTACATCGTAATACCCTACTCACGCATTGCAATCGATTTGCTAATTCTTTTCTCTGACGTTCTGTCTCCTCCGCATCCGATCGTTACTAATATCCTACATGTATATGATCATTAATTTCCTTTCGTGACGGCAGCCGACGTGAGCACAAAGGGAACCTCAAGGTGCGTATCATGTTGCAAATCTTTGTACGGTCATCGGTCACCGCCCGGATTTTATTGGCTCCAGGTCATCTGCGTTTATCTGCTACGTAGTTACACCACCAGCGCCCAGACAATCGGACATAGATAGCACACGTATTCGATACGGACTTCGGTAGCCTGCAAAAGGAAGTGAACGTGCATATGGCGCTTCAAGTTGGTGCTGGACTTGCGCTGGACCATTGAAAGGTCGCCACTTTTCGGCTAACATCCCTTTCCTTGGCACACGATCATGTCTGGAAAATCAATTGGAGCTCGGAGAACGAAACAGACATTTGAATATGATGGCAATTAATTCGAGCCTGCTTAAATATTCAGGGTTAGATAGGACCCAAGCACCACATCAGCTTAAGCCAATATATAAAATCATGTTCCTGCGTGATTAGGTATAATACACAAGATCAGATACTGGATAGCTCAGAAGACTTTCATCAAATGGATACAACAAGAAACAGCCAAAACAAAACGAAACACAAAAAACACCTCGCAGCTCACCCATTCAAGTCCATCTTCTCCCCATCCACACGACTCCGCCTCCTTGCATACTCACTCCTCCTCGTACGCTTCTTCGCGCTCATCAGCACATCCCCACCCGCTCTGGCAACACTATGAGACTGCCGTCCCCTCCCGACGTTCGCACCCATGCTAGACCGTACCTTCGGCACGCTGGCACTCGCACGGGAGCTCGATGTACCCACTTGTGGCTTTGGGATAGCGCTCGCGCCTGCCTGCTGAGCCTCGCGCTGGGAAGCCAGCTTTGCGATCACCTTCCCCCTTGATATGCGTGGCCGCCGTCCGAGCATAACCTTCGGTTTCGGAGGAATCGGAGGCTTCACAGTGACGAGCGTTGCAGCGACTGCTGCAAGGGACATCTGTGGCTCCGAAGGCTTCGACGTGGGGCTCACGAGTGTCAAAGGCTGACTGAAGATCTTGCTCTGGGTTCGGGGGATCGTCGGAGAATTCACAACCTGTTCCGCTGTATCTTGTTCCTTTCCTTTCTCCTTTGCCTTGTCCTTCACCTGGAGTGGGGAAAACGACGGCACGGGCATTCTGCTGGTCTTGGCTAGTGATGATGCGGTTGGCGCCATGAGCGTAGAGTTGCGCGCTCGAGCCGTACCACCGATTGTACCTTTCAACGTGCCAACGAGGGAAGTTTTCGTGCCCATGGAAGATACATGTCCTGTGTTACTTGTTCGCGAAGCAACACCGAGTGACGAAACGCCGGTAGCGGAGTTAGTTCTACTATGGGACATCCTACTTGACGTCCCAGGAGCGGGGAGCAGAGGAATCGGCGACTTCGATGTGCGCGATGACGTCGAATCAGCTACTGGTGCAAGCGAGCTTCCGGAGGGTACGCGTTTGCCGTTGCTGACCGATAGCACACGCTCTTTGAGGGTGGGTGGCGCGCCGGATGAGCCAGGGATGATCGAGGTTTTCTTGGTCGTCGATTGTGCTTTCGGAGGGTCCTTGGTTGGTTTGGAGGAAATAGACGGAGCCACCGTTTTGGTCGGGGGTGCGGGTGCGGGCTTGGCGGCGGGGACATTTGACTTAGACCCAGCTGCCCCACGATTCCAGACATTTGTGACGAGATTCTTTGCAGAGGAGAGGAAACCGAAGCGTGAGGTTTGCTTAGGTTGATCTGTAGGCAGAAGTTGATTCGATCACATGAATCAAAGAGAAGTATTAGGATCTGACTTACGGGCGACACCCTTGCCTATACTTGGCCTACCCATGCTACTGCGCCGCTTGGCTTTGTTGGCATCCAGCTTCCGACGAATAGCTTCACGTTCCTTGAGCTTCTTCGCATCTTCCCTTTCCCTCTCTGCATCCTCAGCAGGATCGATACGAATACGTTTAGACTTCCGCCTATCATCCTCCCAGTCATCCTCCTCTTCGCCGTCATCATCGTCATCATTATCGCCAAACCCTCCTGGGACGACTTTCTTCGAAACTGGGCGCAACCTCACACTTGAAGTGGATGGAACGCGATCCTTCTTCACCACAATGCTCGATTGACGTTTCTTCCCAGCGATAGGGACAGGGGCGACACTCTTTCGCTTGCCCAAGACAGGTACAGCTTCTGCGTTAGGTGGCAGCCCGCGTCGCGCAGCATAGTGGTTCGTGATGCTGTCCATCTTGTCGAACTGTGCTTGGTGCGCCTTGTCGAATAGCGTGCTCGTACTAGCTTTCTTCTCCTGCTGCGGGTCGTCCCGTCCTGGTATGGACTGTTGCCGGCGTTTTAAAACGTCGATGTCTACGCCTGCGACGCCCTCAGCTTCAAGGCGAGAGTTCATTTCGTCCAGCACGCTTTGTGCCGCACTTCGGAATTGCGCGTTTGAAAGACGATGCTGAGGATTAGGAGAACCGAAGATGAAAGGCTCGGAGCGGGGTATGCCCAGCTCGCCACTTGGCTTTTCGGGGGAACGCTGTGGGCGGAATGAAGCCATGTGCTCCCGAGCACGGGTCAGCCTGGGTGCTGGTGAAAATAAGTCTTTGGGGATGTCAGAGGGCTTTTGACCGGATTTTGGAGTGGCGCCTGTATTGAACTTCGTACGCGCCGGTGTGGTGGACTGGAGAGAACCGGGAAAATCGACGTCGATGTCCATGTCGGAAGTATCTGTGGGCTGAAAGGCAGAAAATGTTGGAATGGCTGGGTATAAGCGCTCGCATTGGGCACCCCCGGGCGAGAGTGGCCATATACCGCCACCTTCCACCCCCCCGGGTGTAGGGGGCGCAAGATCAAACGATGTCTTGAACGCATCTAGCCTTGGCGGGGAAAACAATGAGTTTCTGGGTGCGTTGGAGGCGACTAGACGAATTGTAGTCGTTGCAGGCTCCTGAGATATACTAAGACGGGCATTGGCTGGTGCTGGGAGACCTGCAAGCGCGTTCTGTCCTGGGACGGGCTCAACTTCGGGCTCTGGCTCAGTTGGAGCTGTGCTCTGCGATTGGCCACTTTGCGTGGAATTGAGAGAAGATTTGGATGATGTAGTTGCGGTTGTTCCAGCAGATACATTCCCGCGTTTTAGTCCAAGGGATGTGGCTATGGCTTTGAGGGAGGAGCTCACACTTGCTACAGAGCGAGTTAGAGATTTCGTTTGGACAGCGACCAAAAAATGAGTTAGGAAGATAGATACCTTTGCCTCCGTTCGTTCCAAACTCTCCTGCTTGTGTGGCATTACCCGCCCGGTTGTTTTTGAGTGTGCTCACAGCATCTTCATCAACTTCTGCGATGCTGTCCATGACAATCTCCCATTGCTCACTCGGGCGGGCCATCATAGATTCTATGCTCTTCATTTCCTGCTCTATATCATCTTCTTCATCTTCACTCGTGTCGCCCCTTGTCGCGATGCTCAAAGGATCATCAGGCGGTAGTGTTTGTGCGTGAAGCTGGAGGCGCTCAATAATATCCTTGTTCTTGCCATTAGCTTTGAGGCTATGAATCTTGCATAATTTTACAAGTTGGTCGCGTTTGAGGGAATTTAGAGCCGGGCTGTTGAAGAGGATTTGGGTGGTCGTTGACATCTTCAAGGCATTTGATAAAACCAAGTCGCCATCATTGCCTCCGTTCAAAACACATGTCATGTGATCGTGTTTCATAACCACGTGACTGTTCACGGCCAAACTTATCAATATCACAACTCACAGTGACCGCATATCTTATTCAATCATTAATTTTTGATCGAGCCAGTGTGTTGGAATCCGATACCCTGTAATTCATTCAGACTGTGCGAGACTACGAGGTGCCGTTATAATCACCTTGTGTACTCCCTTCACCGACTTGAACCTCTGAATGACTTCCGACTCCAAGTCGGTGACTTGGACTGGTCACTGCCGTGCATCTGATGCAAGTGTACAATGCGTAACATTTTCCCTCGTTGAAAAGCCCGTTACTTGAGGCTCGAGTGTAACAGGATGTGCTGTAACCCAGGAAGAAACTGTGAGTCCTCTTAATGGATGACATTCCACCGTGGTCCACGACGTCGCCAGTGTGATTTCTCGATGCTGGAAATCTGGAGGGCACTCTAAGTGTACAATCCAGGAAGGTGGGTGAGTAATGGACTGGTAAATAAGGTTTAAATTTATGTATTTTGACCCTCTTCCTTCATTCGTTTTTGTACATTTTTCGATTTTTGCTTCCGCAAGAAAAAATAATCTAGGAGGGACAGGTCTAAATTCATTTTTGAATTGTTCATGGGCCCACAGATACGCTGACAACAATCTGTTTTAGGCATGTTGTTTCCGCAGCCACCGACGCGACGCGTTGTATGTCTCACTCCAGTGGATCCTGTGGGTATTGTTTGTACAAACCTCTGACGTGATTGATCTTGTTTCTCGCTTTTTAACCCTCTTCCACTATCTTACGGACATCCTTCTCTCTTCTCTTCCTCTTCCACGTTCTTATTAACGTTACCCCTCTCGCTTCTTAATCTCATAGCATGTATTGGGAAACCACACGGGCCTGGCTATTCCCCACTTGAGGGTAGCCGCTATTTGGGATCGATCTCCCGATCATCAACGCTCACTTCTTGTGCCACGGTTATTCACCCAACTTCTAGTCGCGATGTTTGATATAGAAGATATAATAATTGATGGCTCTCCTACACGCCTCGAACAACCAAGTCCAAAGCCCAGAATAGCCCAACGTCGGATATCGTGCCCATTCGACAACAACGAATCACGATGACTTGACCTGGCTGGTTGACATCGGACAGTAGGCCACGCACAGGATGATGGCTGGTGAACTGCTTGCCATCTGCCGCCTGCCAGCGGCTCTCCTGGCGGTGATACATAAAGACGTGCTCCCACGTTTAGGTAACAATTACCCTGTCTCCTTCCTGCGATCTTCCGCGGCCTGGAGACTACACTAGACAGCAATCAGGCGGACCATGGAACATATCTTATGTTCCACGATCCATCCTAGACCCATGTACTTCTCTTCTGTGGATGTCGCATGGGCAGCAAGTATCCCACACACGCACAGCATACGAAGCCCTCTACTACGATTTTACTGGCGTGATCGCGAACTTCACCGCAGTACATTTTTATACACAATCTGACTGCAACTTTGTCGACGGCGAGTCTTACGCCACCTCAAACTCGCCCTGATAGGAATCGAGTGTCGACTTTGTTCGTCCTCCGGCAACAGGTTCGTCACATACTTAGGCCCGAGACATGTCAGGTAAGAGCTTGCTCAATCGCCTTATCTAATCTAATCTAATCGCTACGTGGACCGACAAGATCAAGCACTACATCACCGAAACGTGATCACAGCAACGCCTTTGTAACTGTTTTCCAATTCGATCGTACATGGAGGCCTCGTTTGATCAAGCTCTTGTCCACAAGAATCGTGACCTTGCAGGGACAATGGGTAACATCAACCGCGGGTGGATGTTTTGATCGTGAATTTCTTCTCCGAAGTCCTGTCAGGCTGTGGACGTTCCACCTGTGGCGACGTCGCAACAAACACTATTGAACAAGTGCCAGACAATTGGATGTAAACAATGTGTGGACGCAATCGGTGGATTGCTGTTTTCGATACTTCTTTTGTGGGTCCATGTTTGACCATATGGGTCCCAAACAACTTCCAAATTCAGCTAAAAATTAACGAGCAATCTGCTTAAGAGGTAATTTTTACTGTGACATGATGGATTGCTTTGCAGTGTCACGTCACGATCAACATTATGATTGCTTCTTCCCTTCCAGGTGTATAAAGGTCACCTCCCGTCATGGACAGTTCTCAGCAAAGTCCCCGTCGACAAACGCGTAGCACATCTGTTCCTTCGTCATCTACTTGCGTTTAAAACCTCGTTTCCCCATACTAGCCTTTACGACAACCACAATGGTCTTGCAAACTGCCAAGCACGTCCGTCGTCTGGACTCTGAGAACACTCCTCCTGCCGCACGCCTCTCTACAAAACCATCCAAAGTTCGCAGTGGCATCCAGGCTGCCTCTCGTCGTCGCCGAGCCCTCGCTTCAAGCGGGCCACACCACCCCAGGCATGCAATTGAGCATGCCAAGAAGCGCAAGTCGCAGACTCCGTCCAAGTGCCCGCCTACTTCAGTGCGGATGGACGTCCCCACTCTTTCTCGCGATGTCGAGATGGGGGACTTAACAAAGGTTTCTATGAGCACTGCCAGCGTGTCTCTTCCCAGACGCCTCGCTCGACCTGAGATCTCAGCTGAGATCCCACAGTCAACACTAGAGGCTGTGGCCCCTGAACTTGCGAACACACACCTTGACTACATTCGCGAAGGACTGGAATGTGTTGGGCCTGAGTAAGTCAAGTGTCTTCCGCTCATCGATCAATCATCTGATCAAGCCTTTTTCAGCATGCTCCGTGTCCTTGCAGGCATTAAAGCCGAACCTGTCTCCAACGTCCTCCCAAAGGAACTTTCCATAATCGTCAACAATCTCTCGTCTGACATGCCCACGCACATGTTCGCAGTCTTCTCATCTCGCCAGCCTGCCGCTGCTCGCCGTCGCGTCACGTTGTTCCCTGCACACAATCTCGTCTTTGCCACCCACTGCGCAAACCTTCCCATTCTGCCCACTCCCACACCAGCATTCCCTGAGTGCGCAGGCCAGGAGATCAAAGTGCCAGTTGTCCCCCTTTGCATTCCTGCCCCTGAGGCTTTCCCTCAGCTCTCCACCTTCCTCTACACCAAACGTATCGACCACCTCCTCGGGTCGCTTATGCCTGTTGCCACGCCGCCACAACTCTATCTTGATGACCCTACCACTGTCATGCCTATCCTCACCGAGTTCGCTGAGAAACTCGCCGCGACATATACCGCACAAGCCCTGCTCCTGCACATCTCTAACGTGCACGGCACATGGCGCAACGCAGTTGCACTAGGCATCGCTGACGAGCGGCTCTGGTGTGCCCTCGATGTAGCATGGGAAGTACTCCTTACTTCCCTCGCTATTTCCACGGGAAAGCCTCACCTCATGACGGAGATCGCATGAGGAGGTATCTGGTTTACATCGTTGGCATTGGATCTGGAATTTAGGATATTTCTCGTCTATCTCGCGCATGAGATGGGTAATTTCTTCACCCACGTTAAGTAGGTGTATGACTATGCAGTCAACTATCGCAACAACATAACACTGTTCAAGTAGCAAATATTTTTATTGTTATATATGTGCAATTTATGCATCTCAATCGTGTTTTGTCAAAGTGGTGATCAGCGTCATCTGAGAAAGGCCTCTCTGCGTTGACAATTTGAAGCTTCCCTAGCTTAAGCGAGCGCTCTCATTGGAGGAGAGGACTAGAAGTCCGAGACTATACCAAACAGGAATCGTTCAACGATAGTTTTTCGACGGGTCCAAACTCTGATGCTGGTCAGCGATTTGCAACTAGTTAACGCTGGCTCGGCCTTCTTTCTGTGGCAGTGAGGCTCAAATTTACCTGGTCAGACTTCCCGCCAGTTCGACGGCAAGACTACGCTCGATCACTACGTATACAGACATACTAGTCAGATCTCAGATCCGTTCATCTCGAAGAGGCGTCTACAGTGGACACTCACTGCGAAGGTGTCCTGGCGTTCCAGAATTCATCTACGATGGTCTCCGCACCGCCCCCTTCCTTCCAGACCTACTCTGCGACCACCGCGCCGGTGGAACTGCTCGCTTAGGTGGCAAGCTCCGCCAGGACCGTCGTACTTCATATGTGAGGCCTCGTCATCTCGTTAACTAGTTGACTAATGGTTTCTTATAGTCGACGTTACTTGATCTACGTTTTTTTCCAATCGTTCTGCCAGTTCTGCCCGCCCACAACACTACGGCACTAGCTTAAGATACGTATGCAACGGGAATACTGTCCACAGTGCTCGCAGTCGCAAGAAACTGTCTCGGGTTCCTCTCGTGCATATTGAGAGGTCTCTCGACGACCACGGCGAGCAAATGTCGCGTCAACTCTCGCCGGAGGAGGCATCAGTGGGAGTGGCTATCTGTATATCGTCGGTGCAATGTCACTGATGCAGGATTCAGGCCACAGTAGCCCTATTCTTATCTTACTTGAATGCAAATATCGTAGTATTCGAGAGTCGCCTGGGTCCTACAACGTCTATCGAAGGCGGTGTTGTGAACCTGGAGCCAATCGGAATGCATGTTCTTCGAGGGCTTGGATTAGCGGAAGCGACCCAGTGGCATCCAGGTTCCGTGGGTGCATATATATGAGTTGTCCGATGGCCTGTTGGGTAAAATCACTCTATGTTCCGAGGAGCGTTACGGTTTTGCATCCACGATGATCAAGCGATGGGACATCCAGAAAGTGTTGCTGGATACCATGGAGAAGAAGCAATTGACTATCGTATGGAACGCCAAGGTTGAAGATGCCATGGGTGCCACCCTGATCCGAGAACTGGTTGGGACTGGATTTACTTGGACCCGCATCACTTCCAATCAATACCATATTTTTCGGCTTGTTCAATGGCAGCGCGCCGTTTGAATTCTTCAATAGAACCGTCCCAGCTGCGCCGATCTCCCTTACAAACTTGTAATAGTCCGCTTGTACATTCACATGCTTGTTGGTCACTTCGTCATTAGGATTGAAGGCGTCGAAGTTCGTTGCAGGGTAGTCCTCGTCCTGGTGAAGATAAGCCAACCAGCGATTATCCGCGTCACATTGTCGTCCAGGCGAGCCATGCTGATGTACCCGTCGTCCACATAGTCTGTGAAGTTACTCCGGAAGTAGGAGTCGCCGGAGCCAAACGTGATATCGCCGGGCATAGTCATATCAAGCCCTGTGACAACAGAAAGGGTCGACATGGTCGCCGTCCAGTCGGATTGTACGAAGCCTTAGAAACCGTACTCCCGCTTCAAGATGTTGTTGAACATCTTGTCGCTGTTGCATGTGTAACTTCCATTGACGAGGTCTACCATTTCAAACCTCAAGATGATGTGAATGGTATAGAACGCGGATGAGGCTTACTGTTACTGCATATGACGGACGAAACGCCAGCCATGACGCTGCACAAGAACGGGTGCGCGTAAATCGCATGTTGAGTTCGGACATCGGCATTTGAGGATTCTTGGGTACGGAAGTGCTCCTGCTCACTAGCGGGACAAATAAGTATGAGATGCAACAGGAGGTGAACTTGTTCATGGAGGGCTTGGCGGTGGCTTATACTCCACCTTGTTGCAGGCCTACGATTGTCTCGTATGCAGATTCGCCGGTCAGGAAAGGATCGGCACCAAATCCCTCCCAATTGCGGCCGCCTTGAGCGATGCGGCTCACATTCATCATGGGACCAAGAGCAATGTTGACGCCTTTGCCCTTGAACACCTAACCCAAAGCCAGGCCACGAGCACGCATCAGAGCGCGATTCCAGCTGTGATAGATATTAGACAATTACGTCGGCGAACTTGAAGATGACTTACGTGGACGCAACCTGAATGCCAGCTGGGAATGCAGTCGCGAAGTCTGCAAAACGGACGGCGAGAGGCGAGTCCTAGCGAAATCGTGAGACAAACATCTCATAAATTCAAGCTACGCACTTCAAGACACAAACCGGGGAAGTTATTATTGGGTGGGACTGTTACAGACGTACAAGCCATTCACCCAACCGATATCAGTGGTAATGTTGACTTTTTCCTCGATGGTATAATGCCGATATATGGGTACCAAGCATATTCAGCACGGACACAATAGATTATGAGAAGTATCTGAAGATTCAACCTGAAGACAATCATATCATTAGAAGGGATGCACCCACAAGTTTTTGGCCTTCTGGTAGGCAATGGCCCATGCAGGCGCAAAATCAGGGCACAATTTGCGGATCACTGCTGACATCGGGAGGGGTCAAGGGGTCAGTTGCAGGGAGAACCGGGGGACGAGGTTTGAGCGTAGGTGCAGGGTAGGGAGTGAATGAATAGCTAGAGATCGGAATGGTGACGATACCAGTCGTGGTGAACTGCGCCTGAGGTGGACAGAAGCAGAAGATGTTGTGGAGCTTGATGAAGAATTGGACGAGGTTGCCTACCGATGAATATGAGCCAGTACTAGTAATACTGAAATTGCCACCTGAAGCAGGTGTTCCAGCAGGACTAGAGGACGAACCCAAGGCCGGCTCACTTAGAGCAAAGGGAAATATACACAACAGCGACAGCAGCTTGGACAACATTGCAGTTGCACGCGATGATAATAAAATCAAGAGTTAGAAGAACCACCAAAGTTCACAGGAGCTGTTGTGTGCACGGACCAGCACTTTTGTAGTTCGCCTGAGCTCGACTCGGAGCTGAACACGAGCACGGCAAAGATGTCACGACCACGATTCGCAGCTGCCAGCTGACCCATGGAGCGCTCGCTCGGCTACTTTTTGTCAGTAAAAAAAGCAGCAGGCGATCCAATTATCTTTGGTATCAATGCGTCCGTTCTAACGGACACAGTCTGTCTTTACGAACGAAGTGCAAGGAAATCCAGGGAAACCCGTGCGCGTGAAGCCAGACCTATGTGGCTTGAAATCTCAAGACACCACAGGCACCAAATAATATGCTTGAATTAAAAAGTAAAAGACAAGATGAGAGTGAGAATGAGAATGAGTGAGGGTGATTGATGGATCACATGTTGAACAGTTTAATCAAGGGAATGCCGTTGCCCCATACATGAAGCAATTTTACTGCTTAATTCGGATGGAGGTCAGCGAGACCGTTGGATAAATTAGCGGAGCGCAAACAGGACGACCTACCATATAATGTTCATTTTATCATGACTTTGCCCCACTGAGAATGTCCATGGAACCCATACTGGCATCCGGACAAAAATTAGCCTAATTGGCTGTTTCACCCAGGTTACGATCCAGACATCCAACATTGGTTTGGGTGTTAACCTAGGAGAGCATCCGGACTGTAACACCTGCGGAGGGAATGGGGGTCATGCTAGGTTGAAGTCCGGAGTCCGAATTCCGAAAAAGAAGTATAGAGTGAGCATGTCCTAAGGAAGACAGTCGTTCCTTCTATGGTCTGACTAGGGGAAACTAAGCATGTCCGGACTCGATGACTTACCTTGCGCTGCCTCTCGTATCACCTAATAGGTCGACCTCTCCCAGGTGGGATCGTTCAGGAGAACGACGGATCAAAATATATGTCGAAGGCTCGTAACATGCTGCCAGTGGGAGTGGTAAAGTAGCCTCACCTGGCCATTGCCAGACCATAATGGAAGGACTCCAGACAGTGGGTCTAGCAGTCGTTCCTTTTCAAGTTGAATATTATGGGGGAACTTCGAACTTCGAAGGAACTTGGATTGTTTATGTAAAAATTGGTTGCACGAGTCTCCCCAACCCACAATCTCGATGATTTGTGAAGTAGGGAGAAGCGAAGTCAGTTTGCCGTCATGCAATGCGAAGTACTGAGTAGGGACTACGGAAATGTTACCCAAGATTAACAAACACAGCAATTTTCCATCTTCTTGCTGGTGTGCATAATGTGATTACAGTTTGTCAGTCATTGCAGTCTTTCTTGATGTGAAGAGTAGGGAGGGAAGTTCCGATAACTGTACAGCAGGCAGCGACAAGGTTAAGGTTACAGTAAAGTAGACCGACAATGACCCTCCCCCACTAACGTGGGAGTCGGGGAAGGTAGTGATCCACCGATCAGTGCAACGTAAACCACGCACAATAGGGGCTTTTGAACGTTGTGTAGCAAGACTTCAATGTTCCCTTGAGGTCCTGAAGCCTTCCCAGAAGGAAATAGTAATTAACAAGTGCGATGTCAGGTATCGATAACAAGTACATGATAGAGAGATGAAAGAAAGAGTGTGCGTACTCTAACTCAACATATATCAACAATGATTCCATCCCAAGTTAATGTCGAGTCTCACGCTCACGGCTCAGACGCTCTTAAGGTTGCCACTTTTCGCAGCGAGGCTCACAGTGGCGAGCTTCTGACTAATGTCGCTCCCCGCCACCGCTTTCCCATTTGGGCCCTTTGCGATGGAGATATCGTCCTGCGACTTGAGCTGCTCTACGTCGGCGTTGTGGTGGTGGACGACATGTATATCCTCGAGTGTTTCCTTCTCGGATTCTTGCTTGAACTGATACAAATCCTCGCCGAACTTCCGCGCCTCTGGTGACAGGTGATGGGCGAGTGTCGACATACGCTTCACCGCCATCATTCCCAGCACTGCTTTTCGGACTGCGAGAAAATTCACGCTGTTCAGTACTTTCACGAGTGGATAAGGAATATGGGACGCACACGTCTTCTTCGCGTCGAAAGCCTTCCTGACGTTCGGCAACAAGTCTCTTGGCTCACCCGTCTCGTTCTCGACGAAGTGCGGTATCTCAGATGTGAGCCATTCATGCTCAAGCATCTGTGCTGCAGTTGGCCGTTGTTCGGGATCGACGGTCAGGCAAGTGGCAACAAAATCCCGGGCAGTGTCCGAGACGATGGACCAATACTCCTCTGTGGACATATGAAGTTGCTTCGATGGCAAAAGTGCGGAAGCAGCATACCAGGCTCGAACTTGTAATCTCCAGCGATGATGGCTTCCATCTCTTGTCGCTGCGTGTCGCGATCGAAAGGGGTGTAACCTATATCAAGCTTTCAGCACTGAAATCATTAAAGAAAACACGCCATAGATGCGCACCAGCGAGCAAGAAATACGTGATCACGCCCATTGCCCAGACGTCAACAGGTTTCCCATGACCCGCTAGCAGCAGTGTCAGGACAATGATCAATATGTCGAAATCAACATCTCGCACTCTTTTTGAAGATCTCAGGCGCCATGTACTATCAAAGCATTTTAATCCCCGTACAGAGACAGGGGAACTCCGACTCACCCCAGGCGTGCCACAAACTTCCGTCAACATGCTCAACTTGTTCTCCGCCATTACTCGACTAAGGCCGAAGTCGGCGATCATGATTTCCGAAGTCTTCTCTGGTTTTGACCGGAAGAGTAAGTTCTCCGGTTTCAGATCGCGATGCACGATCCCGCAGTCATGAATGTATTTGACCGCCTGGAATATGGTGCGGATGAGCCCAGCCGCGTCACTTGTACCTGTAATTGATGATATGCGGAAACGGAAATAGGGGATACTTACGCCTCAGTGTACTGTCCCCTAGCACATATGCTATCGAAGAGTTCACCACCAGTGCAAAGGTCGAAGCAAAGGTAGAGGTTGTGCGACGTCTAAAAATAGAAACGGTTCATTTGGTTAGCGGGCGCTATGGAACGGCGTGTCCACCATGCACGGACCTCGAAGTAGTCGTGCAGTGTCACAATGTTTGGATGACCGCTCGATATCTTCTTTAGTACAGCAATCTCATTGCGAACCTGAAGTGGAATGTGATCAGCACCTCTGGTGTAATGATGTCCCAGAAAGGAGGAAAAGTAGCTGCGGGCCTGCAAGGGTTGAATGTGGCGCCCGGTTGATTGGACGAAATATCCGCAATCAGCGTTTGTTATCAAGATCATTGCAGCGCGCATATTTTTCCCATGCCTGACATGCTGTAAGACCACTCTACCGAGTAACGTTGATTCAACTGCAAGTTGCGTCCCCAGCGACATCGCAACCGAATAGACTATTATCAACGCTGGAGTCTGTTACCACTCACCATATGTTCCCTCCCCTCCATGAGCTTCTTGTTAATGACTTTGCAAGCATAGTATTTGCCTGTCGTGATGTGTATGGCCTCCTTCACGATAGCATATGTACCGCTTCCAAGCGTACGTCCTGTACGATACTGCAACGATCAAGACAATATCAGAACGAGAAAACCAAAACCAAGAATGCGGATGAGGGGTTAACATTCCCCTGGGCGATCACTGTGACACTGTGATACCAAGTTTAAAGCACGTACCTGACAAGGGACGGTAGCGGATTGAGGCGGCATGATTGCTGCTTGAGCGTAAGAGTCCTGATGGTCGTTCGATGGAGCGAACGATAGGCAGATGAAGGAATTGGGATAAGATGAGATCCAGAAGCAGCTGTAGAGCAGCCTAAATAATCTCACCTCAGGGACAGTCTCCGGTCGACTTTCCTTTTCTGTCGGCGACGGCGACGGAGGCGTTGGCTTTATGTCTGACTCTGGTTCCCGCACAGGTTCCGGTTTTGGTTCTGGCTCCGGCAGGGGGTCGGCAGCAATGGTCGGTGGGGGCAATGCTGGAACCGAATTCGACTGTGGCGAGCGTTTGGTCAATCCCACCGACGCTGCCAACGTCGAAGTTGAGAATCGTTGCGAGGGCTTTTGAGGAGCGAGGGTTTGCGCTCGTCTTGTCTTGCGCTTTTCTGTTTGCTGGCTCACGGTGTTCCCCATGCTTGCCGTCGGTAGTGTTGAGGAGTCGTCGGTAAGAGGTGGTCACGGTGAGAGATAGAACAGTTGGCTCACTACTTACTTAAGGTTGAAGGGTACCAAGCAAAATATATACCATCAGCACCATAAGCACTGTGGGCGCTTCGCTGACTTTCTTTTTCGAATTCGAAGCACAGGTACCAAGGTCGATGCTACAGAGCTGTGCGCCACTGCACTGCGTTCCTAGACAGACGCCTCCTGGCGTCGCTTATCTTTCGTCGAACAACCTACTCGATGAGAGTACACTTTTAAGGCTGAGCAAGAACCTCCAGGCAGCTGTGCAGAAATTGCACTCGTTGAAACACAGCGACACGTTGTTTTCATCTCGGATCCTACTCGCGAGCGATTTTCGACGAATCACGGTGCAGCTGGCCTGGTTTAAATCATGTCACACTGTCCAGACTTCTACATGGCTTGCTTCATGTTGATGTTGTGCGTCGCCCTCATCCACAGGATTGCAATTACCCAACTCCTGTGTTGGTGGCTGGACAGGTCAAATCTGAATCATTCAGAGTCATAGGTCATCCAATGCCATCTGATGGATGTTCTATCAGTCAGAAGAACTCACAGCTTCATATATGTTTCACTCGCACAGACTCTGGTATGGGATAGGCTGATCATCCTCACGGCCTCACTACCTTGTAATACTTTGTCATTAATGTCGCTGGCACTTCCCGGGGTAGATCCTATCGTGTCTTATGTTGACCAATGGCTCTATTGCGCCCCAGGGTACGATACGGGGTCATTACGAGGTTCCCACCACCTTGCTTCTCCAACTGATTGTACTATCAGATCAATCTATAATCCAATATGTCTCGCTTTTACCTCTGTATACGCAGGCCACGAGTTATTCGGGATCACCACACTTCGGCCCGGAGACTCATCGAGATGTTCTACGATGCGATCGCTGTCAATGAGGTGTTGAATGCAACCCTTGAGTATTCTAGCTAAGCATCAACGTTTGTCGGTGCCAAAATTGTGAACTCGCAACAAAGGTACAGAAGTTAGCTAGTCGAATGACATGTGTTCAACATCTAAAAGCCAGCTGCTGACACGGGGGTTTTGTACCATTCGAAGTGAATATCTCCACCCCGTCGTCCAAGTACTATCGGTTACGGTCTATTCGTGATGAGCCTCCATTTCGTGAGTCACACTTTTGGGCATGGAAACGTGATGGCTTGTCACATGGTGTAACGGTATGTCACGAAATATAGATTGTAAGGGATAGTAATTCGTTGGTGAAAGTTCAATCTGAGTTATGATTGCATGATTCTGTCAAGTTGTGACTGTCACACAATTCAAGCTTCTAAACTTTAATTTGAAGGGCCCACCTAGTGCTCTTCAAGTTTGAATTTTCCATTGGCCAACATACGATTGACGATGCTCGAGTACGCTGAATCCTGTGTTCACGAACATGGGGTCAGGAAGTGTCGGTCCCGGGCCCGAACTTCTGCATGTACGTATCTGAGTTTGTGATATAACCCGCCGCAATTTAGTTTAACGTAAACTCACGTACAGCGCAGAAAACCAACGACTCGTCCCTTCTCTGTTTTTCTTGCCTGCTGGATTGTCGACTGCGACAAAAAGCATACCAGTTTCATTAGATTTTACTATATCTCACTCAGTTAATCGTCACCATGCTCATTCGTCTCATCCCATCCGGACCAAACGGCGCCGTTCTTTACAACGTCTCCTTCCCGACCAACCTTCCCGATTTGCCTACTCCCCTTGCGTGGTCGAACCAGCTACACCTTTTGACCTCGGTATTGCGCCTCGAGGCTCCGCAAAGCATTCATGTGTTCGACCGTTCAGTCGGTCTCGTCGCCCTGATAGTTGAAGTTATGTTTGATATACCAACCAAGGAGGTCGTCGTGAGCTTCGTTGACGGGCGCAGTTTAAAGTTGCCCATGCACTCGCAGTGCATGCAGATGCTTCAGGCCGTCATTGATGACGTTAGAGCGTGTTCCGCACAAGAATCTCGAAGAGACAGCTTCGAAGGTGCCACCTCTGCTAGCATCTGCAGCAGCGTTGCTAGTTCACAGGAAATTCCTAGCACATCCGGCGCACCCCCGAAATCTCCGAAGTTGAGCCGGCATAAGAAGCAGCGTTCCCTGCTGTTTTCTTTGATCTCGTACGTGTTGTCGTCTTCTTCGCTCCTCCAGCAGTCTGACTGGTTTTGGGCGACTCTTTAGCTCGTTGGTACCACGTTCCTTGTCTCCGCCCCCAGCCCCTCCTCCATCACCCACCACACCCAATCCCTCGTCGCCGCCTCCCCTCCCGCCAATTCCCCCTATTATACCCCGCAATGCATCATTTTCTCCCATCCCACAATCTCCAATCTCCCCTTATAACCCCGCTTTCCCACCATTTACGGACCCGCCGATTCTCCGTCGCCGTGCGCGCGCCACACTTATTGATGCATGGAGACGACACGTAGTCCCTGCGCTTTCGGCACACAACCATTATGCCGGGTACACTGAATGGGTGCTCCGTGGTATTGGTACCGTAGTTCGCTCCGAGGTGAGAGACATTGAGAGATCCTGGCAGCGCTGTGATGCGCTTGGGCGCGGTGCAATTCGCAAACATGGAAGGACGCAAAGCGAGGGGAGACTTGCTCTTGACTTTGGTGGTCGCAGCTCTGAGGAACCCCACAGGCGGTGGCGCGCACCTTCACCATTCCCCGATGAAGCAGAGGGTGAACATGACGATTGTGTCGTGTATCCTCGCCACGAACAAGGTTTGGTTCATGCCATTTCCAAATGCCGTGTTGCTGACAAGTTTGTAGCAAACGAATGGGGCAGAATCCGTCATGTTCGCAACCCAAGTTCATCCGACGAACTTGACGCGTATGCTTTCGAGTTTAGCGTGGAGAACGGCAGCCTCTTACGCGAGAGCTTTGGCTTTGGGGCTGACGTCTTTGGTGATGTGTGGGATGACGACAGCCATGTCGGTTTCGATGATTTTGGCACCGTGGGCCCCAGAACGGAGTTTATCTTCGACGATGGACAGCTCAGGTTCGACGAGGATTTTGGAAGTGATTACGAGGGTGACTATGTAGTCGACACGACGTTCGCTGCTACGCCCGTCCGATGCGACTGAGGAAGACGAATCAGATGAAAGCCAATCATCTTTACGTACGCCTGAGGACGGTGAAGTGCTCCCTTTACCACTCCCAGCTACGTTACCAGCTTTGTCCGAGAAGGATGCATGCTTTCAGCAGCGCAGTCATTCCGACTCCGCTCCGACGGCTGTCTCCAAAACGACTTCTTCTCGTCCTAAACTTCGTCCTAACCCCGGATGCCCCGCTACTGTGCCATGTACATATGCCAAGCCTGCGAGTCCTACCGCGGCCCCACGGAGCGACCGATTGCCGATGCATCCGCAGAAATTCTCCCCGAGTTCCCCTACCTCACCGTCACGTTTACCGAAGCGCATGCCCATTCCAAACATAGAAGAACTTCTTTCCACTCGTGTTACTTTGCTTTCCCGAATTCGAAGTGCGCTAACTCTCGTGCGTTCTCGTGCACGTGAGGAGCATTGGGGCTTGATGTGGTCGCGAAACCCTTCTGGGTGTGGAGTTTTGGACCTTGAGGCTGAGGGGCTGCTTGAAATCAGGGCACGCAGGCGTGCATGGAGTGCAGGCATCAAGGTATCTGCTTCTGCGCCAATTTTGGTTTCAGCTGCTGTCCCGGGTTCCAGCCCGGGCGCGAGGGTATGGGATGGCTCCTGCCCGTCCGCCCCGCATTTTCCACACCGACCTCCTGGGCTCTCACCACCTGTGACAAAGGTGAATGGACCGATTATCCCCACTGGCCTTTTGTTGGGTAGACCTGTCAAGAGGTCGCCATTAGCTATGTACGTGTGGACCGCGGACGATGTGCTTAAGCAAGACGCTGCTCGCAACGGCAAGTACGGAGATATTGGCCTCAAACGTGGCGGAGAGACGGCGGGTTTGAAGCGAGCCCTGCGCGTTTCGTTCCTCGAGAGCCCCACAAAGTTGTTTCCCGTGCACGAGGAAGGGGACGATGAAGAGGGGTCCTCCAAGATTGACTTCCCGCAAAGTCCTACGTCGCCGACATCACCAACGTCACCTATCAAAGTTACATCAACCACCATTCCGGACGAGAGATTTGGTGTCAGTCAGGGAGGTACCAGTATGACTGATGATCCGTTCTTCTACTCTCCCTTTCATGCACGTGCGCGGACTACGAGCATGTATCCTTGCTCTCAGCCGATACAGGAACTCCCGATGTTTAGGCCACGGACCCCTCCTCCATCGTATCAGGCTGCCATTGGAGATGGTAACGCCGATGATGACGACGATGAGTGCGAGAATGGGACGCTCGATACTTGCGCATTGTTATTCCAACCCCTTTCAGCATTGCGCTTGACATCGCCCCCAAAAACTACGCCTGCACGACCTCCGCTAGTTCCAAATCCGCCGTTCACTCCTCGAGTTCGTGCTGTGTCCTTGCCGACATGCCCACTTCGCCCGCGTAGTCCATCTCTCTCTTCGAGGTCTGACGAGGATTGCCAGGATTTATCACAAGCTTATGCTGCGCCACCGCCTCCAGCCACCCCCATTACCGCAGCGCCAACCATTGCGATGACTGATTCTTACCTCACTTATGCGCACCTTCATGCACCAGTGCCTATCTGTGGGAAAGCCAGCGTGGCAAAAGGCATGTGTGAAAAGGGCAAGGGAGTTGCAAGCCAAGAGGTGGTCTTTGAGCGGAACGGGGAAGAATTTACTTTGGGTTTGGAGGTGGCATTAGGTAGGGCAGAAGAGGGGCGTTCAGTGTGGTGAAAAAAGAGAGGCGTTTGAATGCTGATGCACAGAGCCAAGACCCGACAGGAAATGACTACTGACGTTTGCTCTAATCTTTATTCGTGTCTATCATGCTTTCGCTCGTATCAGTTTTCGTATTTTCGCCCTCATCGTGTAAGTGTGTACTCTCTTCCATTGTACATGTGAGCTCATCGGCGTTTCTTTAATCTAAAGCATTTTAGTCACGCTTTTGCCCATTGGTTAGCGTTATAATGGTTTCACCTAGACCGTCATCAGATACTCGGATCGAATTACCTAGTCATGTGGTAGTCTCAGCAGGCCTGGAATTCTAATTGCTCAATGGATCCGTACGGTTTATCAAAATTTCGGCTCCTTCGTTCTGAGTTTGGCGTGTTGTGCCCCGCCTTCGTACATGTGGCATACAAGTTTCTTGTTCACAACAGACCTCCGCGTTTACGTTATACTTTGACATGTCACTCCCTCAGATTTCAAAAACGATGACAAGGTTATGTTGGTGGGCAGTACTTTGGACGTGATTCAATCTGCAGGGTAATGATCCGGCCTCTACTACAACAAATCAAATCCCCGCTCGGCCAAATCAACTGTATATGTAAGAAATCATGGTCATCTCCCTCAAATTAGATGAAAATGAAAATGTCCCTGGGGTTGGGATGCGCGCATGAAGCAGTCGGTGATTAAGTTGACTACACCATGAGTTCTGTACTTCGAATCAGCTCCGTTGCATGTGTTTGAAGAAAGCGTTGTGTGCAAGATACTCATTAAAGAAAACCTGTTAATGGGCGGAGAGCATTGCGTTCCTCGTTATGAACCTGTCTCGCTGAGACATCTAGATTGCAATGTGTATAGTCGGTGATTAAATATATTATGCCTATCACCGTCAACGGCGCACAATAACCGCTAAGCTGCATCTACCACCCAAAAATCCTGTTCGAAAAAAAAATCAGATGGTGTATCAACATTAAGAAGCAGGCGCTTACTCCTCGTGCATCTCAATGCCACCGACAGCCCAGCGTCTACCAGCATCTACCTGAGAAATCACCTGCGCAACCTCATCGCTCAAACCCACAGGACCACACACGCCGACGATGACACCTGTGATATCCATACTGGCCTTGACTCCAGAGCCGTAAGACACTGCGCGCGACATCACTGCGTCGAGGACTTTAGCGACTTTTGGGCGTCCTGCGGTGAGTGTGAGCCCTGGCGGGAGGAAATCTTTGCCTGGGGGTTTTTCACATGCACGTGTGTAGTAGACGGATATTTTAAGTGGCGCGTAGACGCTTTGTTGGATAAGCGCCACTAATTGGGGGACGAGTGGAGTGAGGGAGGCTAGTGGAAGTGAGTCACATTCAGCGAGAATGGGCAACGATACTGACCAGAATCTTGAACGCTCCAAATGACTTCTATGATCTTCACTCGGCTTGCACCTTCCGAGTCTCTCTGCCAGTAGTGGTCGGAAAAAACACATCATAAATGATCAATCTGACTCACTTGGAGGATATCTTGAACGGCTGAGAGGGCAAAGGTAATCCCACTTCCGCCGACAACGAACATCGCAGCGGAATAGCTCGCATACACGCAGTGTCCCGGTCCTCCTGCACAAGATATACAGCCATGAACGGAATGCCCATCTTCACTTACCATATGGACCCTCAATCATAACCTGCACCATCCTCCCAAACGTGCTTTCATCTGTACCATACCCCGCTACTTTTGCCATCTCGTACAGCCGCCCCGTCCATCCACCGGTTTTCTTGCACAATAAAACCATGCCCTCAGGTGTCTTCGCTGCGGTAGCAATGGTAAACGGGTGACTCTCTGCCCAGCCGATCCACCCCATGGCTGAGGAAAGTATGCGGATGCGTACGTGCTGCCCTGCCCTCCAGCCAGCATTGAGCTGGGGAACCTCGATACGTGTGAGCATAAGGTCGGGGATGGGACGTATGCGCGCATTATAGCACTCGTGTTTTCATAAGCCGGATGAGGTAGTCGAGGCCGATGGCACCGCCAGCGGCGATCACGTATGGCCAGACAGAGGGTTGATGACCATGAACCTGGATATGCATAGCAATATCAGAAGTTGGAAACGTGCCACGGAAACAAGTTAGGCTCACAGCTGGGAGAAAAAGAATGAAGAATACGATATGCGAGCCTGTAGAATACATTGTACGCCCGTCGTCTGAAGAATGGAGCGAAAATAGGAATAAAAGATCTAGACTGATGAGCGCAACAAAGGCCCATATGATTTCTGGTGTGCGAACGTATTTAGAAAATGTGTGGTCTATCGTCCACTGATAAACTAAGATGGGGGTGAATGCCAGACATCAGCGCTGAGTAATTATGTTCTTTTCGAACTCACTATAGCCAAGCGAATGCACGTTGGATGCGACCACAAGGAGTGTCCCCGCATACCGATGAATATAATTGAGCTGTAGATAGTTTATCAGGAGTTTACCCAAAAAAGTGCAGATACCAACCTTCTCATACCCGAGGCCAACAAACATACCCAGTAAATTGTTTTTCGTCGCCAAGAGATAGACGACAGGAATCTGCGACATTGCTACGAATCCAGTACGTAGCGGATCCGCAAAAGGGTTTGATTTAAGGAACCCAGCATAAACCAGAACCGCAGTGTAGATCACCAAGATCAGTGCCTGCCCCAGCGAAAAGCCCTCCTCGAGTCTGTACCGCAGGATATTAGCGAAAGTTGGGACACGTGAGGACCATGCGCGGACATGTGGAGGGAGTGACCAGCCCTCTTCCTTTGCCGCTGGGTGTCGAATAAGGTGCGCGTCTGAATGAAGGGTATGTGATTCTTCCGATGTAAGGTTGTCAGCGGCAGCGGCAGGGGCAGGGGCAGGAGCCCCGAATGCGAGAGTTTGTACGGAGCGCATGACAGGCCTTGGCGCACGGCGCTCAAGCGGGATCGCACGGAGGATATGTCCATGGCGCCATTCCGCAGCGCGGGAGAAGCGTGCAATAGCACGAGGAAGCGCGAACAGGGCAAACACGCCTGCAAGTGCGAGAAGGAAGACATCGATATGGAACACAAGTTTGAAGGGGTCCACCTGCGGGATTGGAGCCTGATGCTTGATTTGGTTGCGGCATCCATGTCTGGAAAGGGCTCAATGGTTCAACCTATTGAATCGACTAGAGGGTGTGATAGCAAAATGAGCGAGGAGGAAGTTAAAATATGTGCGGGACCACGCCGCGTGAACAGACCAGCCTGAGGGCGTAAGTGATGGTGGATGTTGGGAGAGGCGAGAGGACGTTGAGGTGACTCACAACTACAGGTCCGACTCTATATGGGATGTCAATGGATAGGCATGCTACTAATTAACTGCGCAGGTAGGGCATGGAAGAGACGCTTTTGTGCCTTGATATCATAATATTAGTCGAGATGGAATGCAAGTATTAGAAGTCATTAAACGTGTTTGCCTCATGTCCATCTTACGAAAACTTACCAGTCAGGTGGCAGCAGCGCTTATACTGGGGACCTAATAGTAAGTGGCATGTATCTATACTGCCGTTAGTAGGCCTTAGTAGGCAGTGCTGCGGCGGAGATCAGTACCCCAATGCTTGAACCAGCCGAGGAGATGACTTCGACCCTCTTCGACCTGCCAAATCACATTCGGAACTTGCTTTATTTTCTCAAATCAGGTCACGTCGATAATAAAGAAGGAGCAGCTTTTTTTTTTCTTCTGTCTCCCGTAGATAGAAATAGAAGGAAGAAGATAAGTCGTGCCTTTAGCCTATCATTGGAGGACTGGGTCACATCATGATGTTGGAGAAATGCTGTATATGTTCAAGTCACCCATCCGAGGCCATTCTGGGAGGACACTAGCATCAGATTACATCGCACTGGTCCCCGAAGAAGGCCGTGTGCAGCATTGTGGATCATGCCGGATCTCGCATCGAATGCCACTGGCAGCAACGGGTATGAATACTCGGCCCCAGACAGGGCTGTTCCGTAGTAATGGAGAAGGTGAACTTCATATTTCATTTATTGTGTGAATTGATGTTGATTAGGAGGTCCTCAGGTAGTGCCTGAGATCTCGCTGCTCAGCAAGTGCTGCTCCGTCTAAGATAGTAGTGGACTGCGGCCAGATTGTTTCAGGCCTAAACTACCAAACACACCTCATATATGCCCAAACTTTGTCTTGCGAGATATTCATTCCGATCCGCATGCCCGAAGCCATTCATCTGCACCATCGAGGCCCGGGTTCAAAGCCGAGCCTGCCCGCTCAGACCAACCGATGAAGCCATCGACCAACATGGGCAAAGACAGCGATGCCTCTCCAACCCCGGGGCCCCGGACAGTGTGTGAAGCCGATTAGTACGGACCAGGATATACCGGATTATTGTGCCCGATGCATGGGTCCATCAGGGAATTGAGAGGTTTGTCACACAGTATCTCTTGTCCACCTTGCTGGCTAATTCACCTACCGCAGGAAATCTCAGTGACGTTTCACGATACAGAGGCAGATGACACATCTGGAGCAACGTCGTCTACTTACGCACCGATAGATACATCGACAGATCGTCTCGGTCGGTGTTCCGTCGTCAATTTCAAGGTACATTCAAACACTTCCGCATCTGCTTATTCAAAGCCTATCGTGGTGTTTACTGTTCAAAAGCAAACACTGCTTATTAAAAGCGAGCGAGCTGCTTCTCATATCTTATTAACTTGCTCTCACTTGACCAATCACTTGTTTATGCACTGTAATGTAGGACACGTCTGCCATACGTCAAGCCACCATGTACTACTCCATTGCGGGAGAGGTCAACGCCAAGGCAGAGGCACACGATATTCCATGTCCCACCAATGCCTTCTGGGCATGGGCTCAGACCTAAATCCAGAAGTCCGGTCACACCTTATCTCTGCTTGGTTTCATTCCATATAACATTCAATATTCCTAATCACGACTATGAGTGTGTCTCGCATTCACGATGGGCAAACCAGAAAGTTCCACCCTCCAGTGAGGGGGAGGTCATCGCCAAGGAAGAGGCGCACGATGTTAACCTATCTGACCAACGCCTTCTGGACCTTGGGATTAGACCCAAATTCCGCCGTGAGATGTCTCTGTTCGGAGTGCTTGGGATATCATTCTGTGCCATCGGCATTCTGAATGGAATGAGCAGCGCCATTCAGACAGGGTTGTTCTCTGGAGGCCCACTTGGCCTGTTCTGGGGATGGAATGTGAGTTTGACACTTCAGTCTGCCTAAATACGACCCAAACTGCTATTCTATACAGATATGCAGTTTCTTTATGCTTCTAATTGCGTTCAGTTTTGCAGAGATTTGCAGTGCATAGTAAGTAAGCCACACCATATCAGAGCCCACGCCTTAGGTCGTCGCATAGCCCAACAATGGGAGGACTCTACTTCTGGGTTTGCAAAATGAAACCAGACGTTCCCATTCTTGGTTGTAAGTTTAAACATCCACCCGTTGCGCATTAGCTCAATGAATCAGTCTTTACTGGCTGGCTTTATTCCATGGCGATGGTATTTACCGGTGTCTCCGCTAATTTAAGGTATGTTGCGTTTTTCATCATTGAATCAGAACCTACGATTTGCCATCTCCATCTAGTGTCGCTTTATACCTTTCATCCATGGCAGAAGTCGGACAAGGAAGAACTCTAACGAGAAGTAGAAATCGCTGCGATCGCATGGGCCGTAAACATATTCTCTGGCATTGTCAATACCATTGGAACGAAGGCTATAGGACATATGAGCACGTTATTTGTCTGGTGGACACTCGGAGGCACAGTTGTTTTGGTTACCACCCTGCTTGTAAAAGCACCTATGAAGGTAAAGTTCTGCCGATCCGCTTTCCTTCACGTGTCATCTGATCTTGTCAGAATTCTGCCGACTTCGTGTTCACGAATGTTCAAAAGTAAGCTTTGCTCTTGTTGCGAACGACAGTTATTGACTGGCCGACTAGCTTCACTGGCTGGCAATCTAGAGGCTTTGTTGTGCTTCTTGGGTTTCTTCAGGTGAGGTTCGGCTCTGTACACATGTGGTACAATCTGACTCACAGCCCGATCTTACTCTAGGCTGTATACACACTCGAGGGGTGCGAAACAGCAGCTCAAGTGGCAGAAGAAGCTGTGCGAGCAGAGATCCTGGCTCCACTCGCTGTAGTTGGCAGCATCGCTGGCTCTTGGTTGATCGGTCTCGCGTATTTGCTTGCGCTTCTTTTCGCAGTTCAGGACATCGCTTCTGTTCAGGCCACCACATTTGCCATCCCAATTGCTCAACTCTTCTATGATGCAGTCGGGCCCCAGTTGACACAACTGTGTCTGATTGTTATAATGGTTTCTCAAGTGATGGCCGCAATCACGACATTTACCGCAAGTTCGAGACTATTCTATGCGCTCGCAAGAGACAATGCGTTCCCGTTGAAAAAACAATTTTTGACCTTGAACCGGTTTCAAGCGCCATACTGGGGTGTGTGGACTAGCGTCTTGATAGGATGCATCATATCATGTGCCTACATCGGGTCTGCGATTGCAGTCAGTTGATCCAGCTTATTACGGCGCTACTCTGTTAGGCTTTTTGCATTTACGCTTTCACAGTTCAACGCCATCTTATCATCAGCAGCCATATCAGTGATGTTGAGCTACTTGCAGCCCATCATTATCCGTGTGTTCTGGCCTGACTCGTTCGTTATTGACAATGATTATCCAAGCCATGTCTGACTCGTTTCTTGAATTTAGAATTCAAGACTTTGGACCTTTTCGCCTCGGAAAGTGGTCATGGCCAGTGAATTTTGCCAGTTTCTTGGTACGCAAATAATTTGTAATGCATAGCTGGTATTTATCACCCATGCAGTTCACCATTTTTGTCTGCATTTTATTCATTCTACCTACGGCATACCCGGCGGACGTCCTCAACATGAACTACTCAATTGTTGCTGTGGGCGGTCTTCTGGTTGTGATCACGATCAACTGGTTTTGGTGGGGAAGGCATAGTTTTAAAGGCCTTGTAAAAACGGTCACAATCTAATATCACAAGTGTTCAGGGTCAGACAGCTAAGTAGAATGCAATTGGTCTCGCGGCTTGCCCTCTTAGCTAATGTATGAATGTCACGTGAGACTCGGGTATGAAACTAAGACTTATTAGTTCCCATGTACACTTGCAATACGTCGTTGGTACACATCATTAATATTGCCAGGCTCAAGTACCGCTTGACTCTTGTCCCTGAGACCTTCCTTACACCTGCACCTTGTCATACTATTACGACGCATTACATGTTGTTGCAGACGACATCAATTAGTAACTGACCATACTTATTCTTGTAGATCACGATGAACGGTGACTACAAGGCCTCGAAGGAGGCTTTCGTCTCTGGAATGACTGGCTCGACAGTTTTTCATGTAAACATGATAAGCGGCGTTGCATTGGTGCGTATTCCTACGCGTTATTCCACCTCAGCAAGTTGACCATCTTCAGTCCTCGATCGCCCTTCATTCGGCTCTGCGTTCGCGTGTGCAAGCGTTCGGGTCCGCATACTTTTTGGCAGAGTTTATGATACTTGTGATACCTCTGTTGTTGTCTATGACCTTATTTGCGGAAGCTCCTGGCGCACTATCTCTCCTACTACTCGTACCGATGCTTGTATTGCTCCTTCTCCCCCCTCTTGAAATAGGCACGCCTTTGCCAGCTGAAAGTCGAGACGAGCTGGTGTCTCCAGGTGGAAGAAGTCGAGCAGAGACTCCGCCAAAGCCCTTGTCTCAGTCCCTCAGGCCCTTACCTGCTCTGACCACTTACCGTGCTCACATGATGTTAATGACGATCCTTTCCATCATTGCTGTCGATTTTCCGGTGTTCCCCCGTTTCCTAGCAAAGTGTGAGACATATGGTGTTTCTTTGGTATGTTCAGAAAAAGCCATTGTCCTTTAACTCTCACACAACTCGATTTCATAGATGGACATCGGCGTTGGCTCGTTCGTATTCTCTCAAGGCGTTAGTGTCTGCGATTCCAATCATCAAAGACATATCTTACCTCCAGGCCCCGATCATTCCTAAACTGAAGTTCGTCTCCCGTAAGACGATACCCATCATTGTGTTAGGCGTTCTTCGTGTCGTGCTTGTGAAAGGCACTGAATACCCTGTAGGTTTTCGTATGGGTTCTATGTCACGCGTCCCTCTTAATATCTACAACAGGAACATGTGACAGAGTACGGGGTACACTGGAATTTCTTCCTCACCCTTGCCCTTTTGCCTATCATCGAGGTCTTAATACATCCTGTTATTTTGCATATCCCCGTCGCTCTGCTGGGTCTTTGGATTGGAGTTTGTAAGTAATAGTCTGCTTATCATAAGAACCTGAAATGGATGCCTGTTCGATAGTGCATCAATTCGCACTGTCATCCGGAGGAATGAAGGATTTTCTGCTCAACGCCCCACGGAGCAATATTATTTTTGCGAACAAAGAAGGATTGCTCTCCTTGCTAGGTATAATTTGTCACTCTGGTAAGATGTACATATTCTAATTCCTCTCCACTAGGCTATGTGTCAATCCATATACTCGGCCTTTCCTTAGGAACCGTCGTACTTCCTCCTTCCCCTTCGTTTTTCCGGAAGCAGCAGCAGCTCTTACTCGACGGGCCATCCTCTCACCGACCAAGCAAACTTGATGCTTCAGCACCCAGACAGAACGCAAAGATCGTCATTGAGTTATTGTCGTATTCAGTGGTGTGGTGGATGCTTTTGGCCTTCACGAGGCTAGGACTAGATGTTTCGAGAAGGATGGTTCGTTCTACTTTTTGCGCATATAACTTTCTATCCGAGTTTTATGTGCTGAGATAATTCTTAGGCAAACATCTCATATATCCTTTGGGTCGCAGCTTTCAACACGTCTTTCATCCTTGGCTACATTTTACTCGACATGGTGTTTTTTCCCACCAGAACGTCGAAGATACGAGATCCAACTGATCCTTCAGGCAAACGGCTCCTCATCGAGGAAAAAGGACCGAAAGGTTGTGCACCTGCGCTGTTGGACGCTATCAACAAGAATGCATTGATCATGTTCTTGCTGGTTCGTCTTCCCAACACAATTTCTCCTGCATTTGGCGTCCTGACATCTATGTCAAGGCAAATGCAGCCACTGGTTTGATTAACCTCAATATCCAGACTATGTTCGTGGGTAATACGAAAGCGATGGGAATACTGTGTGCGTACTCTATGGGCATGTGTGTTTTTGCATGGCTTTGTAGAAGGAAGCGGATATGGAAGATATGAGGTCCCAAAATATCTCAAATACCCATACACTTCCCAGTATTCTTGCAGTTGAACCTACCAAGCTCCACCACAGTGGATGGCACTATCGCGAGACATTGGCCGAGTTCTTCCGCTGTCTTAGTATTCGGTCCATATCAACAACAGGCATCATTTGGGTATCATCACATAACAGTTCCCTACATAAATACATTGATAGGTAAGCGTCGTTATGTAGGCAAGATTTCGAAATTTGGTTCCGCTTCGATAAAGGTCTTAGGATGAGAGTTTGCCCCTGCTAAAACGCGAGAAGGCAACTTTGGCCAGACCAACATGCCCCGCCACGATATGCGCCACCTAGATTTATTCCTTAGACGGAGTGAAGTTGTTCCCCCCGAACAACTTGCGAGAAAATCTCCAAAGCTGCTTGGGGCTGGAAGGCGGCCTAATAACAACGTAAGCGGCATCAGTGGATATATCCATCATCCTGAGGCTGAGTCAACTGACCACTTCGTGTCCAGCTTCATACACCCGTCTACAAGGCAAAACAATGAGATATATCTTAAAATCTGAAAGAAGAAGCTTACGCGAAGGAGAAGTTGTCGACGTTCTGCACGGCAGCCACAGGCGTGCCATTAATCGTCATATTGGTGAATGGGGTATTGTGAAGCGTCTCATTGCCATACCAATCCATTGCTAGGACTGACGCATGACCCTGTTAACCAGCATAAGTAAGTGATGCTGGCGACAAGATACGTGACAGCTTACCCCAAGCCAGTTGCAACTAAAAGCAACAAGAAGCGTTAATATCACACGAGATGTCATCACGGCGGGAAAACGAACTTCATATCAGTATCTCCAGCCTGATCTTCGAAATTAGCAGATGATGAAGTAGACACTGAGGCACGCACCCAGATCAAAATCTTCATCCCAGAGTTCACCAAAGCCGATAGCTGGGGCAGCCATGTCCTAGCGTCCTTTAACAGGGATCTACATTTAACACACAAATAAAGAAGTTAGACAAAAACGTACGTCGCCTGTCTTTACAAACAACTGATAGGGTGCATCTGGGCATTCCTCGTATTTGACCTGAGCACCGATCTTCTTCATGACATGCTTCTTGCGCAAATAATGCATGTAGTATTCAGGGGGGAATAAAGAGGACGAATTTTGACGGATATCATAGCTGTCGTAATTGCCCGCGGCAGGGACGAAGACATTGTCGATCTGACTGAATGAGGTGACGCCACAAGATAGCACTGACGTGTTACTCACGCAGTAATTATCAGCCTTCCGACAAATCTTGTTTGAGCTGGTGGAATTTCCAGCAGCGTAACAGGCTTCCTCTTGTGCTACGCAACCATCGGGGCCGTAGAGGGCATCCGAAATGTTCTTGAGTACGTCATCTGGCTGGAGTTGTCCATAGCCAGGGGCATAGGTCACAAAGTTTAGGTATGCGATGTTCTGAATCAGTGGATCGTACCAGCCACTGGGAATGCTCATTCAACAGAGCAGTCAAGAAAGTCATCAAAGCGACTTACTTGTTGATCATCAGAGCGCTGACAACAACTGGAACGGCATTAATCGCCCTGCTAGCGATTAAGGCATTTTGCTCTTCAAAGTAGGTCACAAAACTGGGCCCATAGTGACCACCATAGCTTTCTGTGCCAAATATGAATCTGAGCCAGACATAAGCAATCATTCACCACCACCCAGTTAAGCGACTGACTCTCGGCTGGCATACTTCGAAAATAGCTGGCTTTCAAACAAAACCTGGAATGCAGTCCATACAAAGGGCGCGGCGGCTTCTGTGCTGTTTACTGTATCGGTACCATAGGAAAATCCGGTTCCGATTGGCTGGTCGATGTAGATAACTAGATGGGGAAGTCAGCTCTTGCGACGAAATCAGATAGCTACGTGCTACACACTGTTGCTGATAGTATTCCAGCTGTAGAGACGCGCGTCAGGTTAGCATGGGAAGACGTCTATAGTCCTGACATACCTGTAGGGGTTAAGAGTGGTCGAATTACGATCGGCATTCACCAAGCATGGCCCGTTTTCTGTACAGAATGAGAAACAGAATAAAAGCCAGTCAACTCAATAAAACCTTGAAACAATCCAATCATAGAAGAACATCCAGGCCCGCCATTCAACCTGCGAAAGCAGGTAAGACGTGCGACCAGGCTCAAGAAACGGACCAAGTTAACCTACCATAGAGCAAATGGGGCTGTTTCAGGGGAGTTTCTAGACTCAAAGAACCAAAACCACTGTTTTGAGTGAGTTTACATCAAGAGTAAAGTGCACACACGAGTTACAGACGTACCATGGACATGTTTGTTCCAACGTCAATGTAACCAGAAATTTGCGTAACACCTGGAGTCGTTTCACATATGCCTGAGTTCTTAACATAGCGAATGCCAGTTGCATTGTGAATCTTAGATCGAATCTCGATGTGCCCTGCTTCTGAAGTGTCAAGACCGTCCTCCACAACAGAGACAGCGCAAGTTATGGATGCGCCAACTAATAGTGCAAGGCCGGCTCGGACGAGCGTTTTCAGAAACATGTCAGCGCGCGCCAGTAGGGTGGTCTAAAGTCTTCGCAGCAAACCAACTCCAGGTACTTATACGGTACCAGATACTCTGCCCAGCCTGAGAATATCAGGAAGACAAGTGCCCACATGGCGGCGAGAGAAACGAGATATGGTTGACGGAATTCTGATTGGCCGTTTTACGTTCAGGAATAGCGTTTTAGCAAAAGTGCGATGTCGCCGTTTTAGACTGCTTGGTTCCACAACTAGCGAGCGGAACTTGTTGGTGCGCTAGAAATAGGTGCTTTGCCCATTACTGCTGTGAGTCAGTGACCACGGCTAATCAGTGAATGCTGAAGGTAGTCAGCATCCCGGGCCGACGTCCGAAACGTAGCTGCAAACAAAAGTACATTCGTACGGCTTCCGTGGCGTGCCAAACACTGAACAGCATGTGTACATCGGTAAGAGGCTTCATGCGTCGATGCATCAGAGTTTGGACCCCGTCGAAAAACTATGGTTGAACGATCCCTGTTTGGTATAGTCTCGGACTTCTAGTCCTCTCCACCAATGAGAGCCTCGCTCGCTTCAGTTAAGCTAGGGAAAGCTTCAAATTGTCAACGTAAAGAAAGGCCTCTCTCAGATGTGCTTGCGCACATGAATAACATTAGAACGTAAGTAGTTTTGCCATATTGAATATTCTAGCTAGTGCGGCAAAATTGCCCGCCAACAATTATTTGATTCACGAACATCCGGGGAAGAGCAGTGAACTGGGGCCCGAGCTCGTCCACGGCGACACCTAGTTGCACTCAACCCGATGTGATAGGCCAAGTTCTGATGGATGGGCGTGTGCGGTACAAGTACAAGTCATAAGGCCAATGTATGTGACGAAGAACTAATTATAATAGTACTAAAGACCATCGACAGTCCTTGGATGATCAAGATTCAAAATCCAACTGTGTTCCAGATTCGCTATGAAACATGATGGGCACCTTAAGTTTCAACACCAGCAGAACCTATTGAAACTTGTCAGCACAGTCGCGCCCATGGCATAGCAGGAGCACCCACTTCTCGTTATACGCCCATTCCACATTCCCTGTGGCCCCAGGTCCATACCACACAATCTGCGGCAAATGTTCATTTCGTATAAACGTCTGTCCACCCGTCTTCTCCGCAACGTTCCTTAATCCTGCTCGCAAATTCCACACCTCCACTTTCCCAATTCCACTTCGTCTAGCCGCATGCTTGATCTTCGCGATCAGCCCAGGGAACGTGCCTTCACTGGCCCAGAGTCGCGTGACGATCAGCGTTGGTGGGGGAGGTCCCATTTCAACGCTCCAGCTTGCGTATGTGTTTGGGTCGCTAGAGGACTGTACACCCCAGAACCCGCCTGCCATAGAAAAATTCGAGCCGTATGTTGCCCGCGGTATTTGGAACGCGCAGACACCGTTTGTGGGCAAGCACGCCACAAGTGCCGAGGGGCACTCCACTTCATATGACCCATTGCTCATCGGCATAGTCTCTAGCTCCTTTCTAATCAGCTCAGCGTCGTGGTCCCAAAGCCCCTTCAGCTGTTCCTGAGTCAGCCACGTCCATCCCTCGTCGTCTCCCTCGTCAGCGCCAACCTCCCATACAGTTGAAACTGGTCCCCGCTTCTCCCATCCGCCTCCTTCTCCTCCTGGCCCCGCTGAGTGGTAAAATTCCTCCCCAACATCACTCCACAGCACCGAGAACAGTCCCCCGCCAGCATCCGCTACTTCTTCCGGTGGTGCGCCCCATGCCTCTGGGAACTGAGGAAGATTAGCACGCGAGGCAGTGACCCAATGCAGGAGGCGCATCATGTGCCCAGCGTAGCCGCGCCCACGTCTTGATGGTGGAGTGAAGACCGCGGCGACGCCATATGAAGTTGTTTCGTGTACTGAGTTGGGCTCAGAAGGGGAGGAGGAAGGATAAGCGACGAGACTTGCGCGCTTGTATCTGTTCCCGCGGACGCACGTCAGAAAGCTGCTCGTCCGCCGTACTCGAGTCGCTTACGTCCTACAAGCACACATGAAATCAAGTGTCGTAGGATCCTCCCGTGGCGCCAATACCCTTCCCCTCTCATTAGCTCTCTTCTCTCGGGAAACTGAGTTGCTCACCAAGTGATCATTTTCCCCTCCTTTGCGTGCTCCAGAACATCCATCTCTTCATCTCGCTTAATATACTCCGCGAGACTCATACTGCCACCCAAGTGCGGCCACCTTCGGCGTCGTGTCTCCTCAACTTGCGCAGGCGTCGCGCGGAAGAGCGAGATCGATGCAAGGTCTACCTTCGGTCCTGCCATCGGAGATATACTTTAGAGGTCAATTCGCTAGTACTTGACCAGATTGAAGATAGTGAAATTGAAGGGTTGCTCCTTATATCTTTATCGCAACCTCACCTCCCACCCATGTCAAGCGCGCAACTAAACAAGACTTATCAGAATTATCACACATGGTCACGCAACTCCTGACCCTACCCTCGTGTCGATCTTCCAAGGCGCGTGCCAAATATAGCCTGCTAGTCATACAGGTGCAAAATGCGCATGGTTGAGACCGTACTTCGGCGTTCAGCGCCAACTAAAGCTGTATATGTGCATTTAGATCATGGGACATATATGAAAGTATCTTGCGTCTCATCTCTCCCATACCATGGCCATCCACCCGTCCCTTTTCCTTCTACGAGCCCCTCCAACTCCCATGGTCAGTTCCACACCTCCGCCTTTTCCAACAGCTTCGTGACCATCCCCATCGTGCAATCAACTACTAGTAGTATACCGTACCCATGGCCCCTTGGCCTCTGTGTCACTCTAAACGCAATAACTTTGGCTCATTCATCACACGTCCAATTTCATCACCCGCGTCCTCTCGCACTGCCCTCACCTGCCCCATCATACTTCAAATGCGCTCGTTGTTGGAACCTTCGTAAGCGAAGAACTACATCAATGATTGCCGGATGTCTAGATTTCTAGTTCCACTCTATTCATCATCCACTCCTCAGCTGCGATGTCGAACATCACTAGAGGCACTTTTGTTTGAGAGGTGCCCATCGCAGCTGCATCGCTGTCCGTAGATTAGCCGATGAGTCGAGCGGAAACTGACACGCTTGTTTCTGTAATTTTTTACGGGTGTCAATGATCCGGTCTCATACGAGCGAAGCCCTGCCGCACAAAGCCGTGGCAAGAGCATTTGAAATGTCAAAACAATTTGGTTGTGCTCAATATATAACTCGTCTTGTGTTTATAACTATGTCCGATAATCTAATCACATCGTGCAGCTATGCCCGGCGGCGAGATGCCAATAAACCGGACGATGACGACTGCCCACCTCTGCCCGCCCTTTGTAATATATTGTAATTGGAGAATTTATCGATGGGATTGAAGGAGGATGTGGATGGTGCCGGTCCGAGTCGAGAGAATGATCCCAGGGGCTCGACATCACATATAAAAGTGGTACTTGATGATCGCGAACAACCCCACAAACACCACTAATCCAGACAAGATAGCCTCCCCGAAGTCACCCCAAAAGGTATTGACGTCGAAATGAGGGCGAAGTGATGGCTCCACCGAAACGGCTATCTTGTGCATCCTGCCGGAACTCCCGTCTTGAGGAACGATGAAGAGAGTTTGCCGGGCTTTATCATAAGTGTATTTGTCACCGGCACTGAGGCCCGAGACCACTAGCTTCCTGCCTTGGGTGATGAGGGACGGTACAAAAATTTCAGTCTCTCGAGCAGTAAGAACGATATTGTCCTTAGACTCGGGCGACCTCCACTCGAAGATGAACATGCCTGTGTTCATTTCGTACTCGAATCGGGTAGGTATGCCAGCTGTCTTTGCTGGGTATGGTCGGACGACAGACGGCAAGATGCGGGCGCCGTTGTCTAGCGTGAACGACCACTGGTCCAAATCGAGGAGTGACCGAGGTAATGCACGCCTCCGACTAAACCACGAGAAATTTTCCCCGTTCCAGTCATCACCCCGAATGTCATCATTATCAGGGTTGTAGTTCCACAGCCTGAAAGCATATCAATAATTGCCCCCACAAGAAACATAGCACGTACGTAAATCCGATCAGGGATCTCTCGAGACCTGTCATCATGGCGTCCATCATCCTCTCCTGCCATTTCCAGTTGTCGCTCTCTAATGCCTCCTTTTGGCTGTGACCGTTCATCGTTAAGCATAGATACCAGTGAGACGGTGAAGCTTACTTCATGTCCATGGGTATACCACACTCTCCAATCAGAATGGGCTTCCCGCCCAGTACTTTGGAGCTATGATCCACGATAGTCTGGATTTGCAACGAGAAATTTTCTCTTGCGCCTTTTTGACCCCAATAGAAGGCTTTCAGCGGGAACATTCCCTAGAAAACGAGATAAGTGTTCAAACACCATGTCTTCAACGGCAAGGATTTAAATTTACCTTGGATAAGCCTTGCACATTTACCGTGAAATCCCCAAAAGCCTTTTTAAATAGTGCATTCAGGTCGTACCTATAGCTCAGGTTAGGAATATGATCTTGCGACAATAGTTCAACCAACCAATGTGGGGCAAACACCATATTTGGAAGCTGGTGTTCTGCTGTCCATGATGGTGGACAAAACTACAAAAGGTGTCAAAAAATATGAGAGGTATGTCACGCAACATGCCTCGTTGGGGATTGGTTCTACAAAGAACATTTTATCGTTCGACATTGCCTTCCGGGCACGATCTGCCCACCGTTTGAGGAACGGGTAATAGAAATCGGTATACCAATCAACCTTCAAATGTGTGAGCATCCACTTGATGTTCCGTGGTGCACACTTACCTTACGACCGGTTACGGGATCCTTGACAAAATAATTTTCGCGGAGAACAACACCCTCGTTCTTGCCCTTGTCCCACCCCCAGACACCATGCATCTCCCATACACACATCCCTTGTGTCGGACCATCAGGGCGCCAGGCCTTCCGACTGGCAGAATTCAGGACACTCCGTGAAGTGAGACGAGTAGGCATGGGGAACGAGCGCGTCCAGTGGGCAACGAGAGTGGGGTATCCGGAGCCAAGCATGAAAGATTCTAAAGCAGATGCTGTACATGCCCTGTTCTTAGCTTCTCAAGTGATGAATGTAATGTCAGTGCACGTACGGACATGCGAAAGATGCAGATCGGTGTTATAGTCAAACTGATGCAACGAAGGCAAGTCTATGTATCCTCTATGGGGCTCATTCATAGCCTGTTTCAGATCAGCACTGTGAGAGTCATTAGAAATTGCTCAAGCTTGCCTCAAATCCAACGACTCCGTCTAAACCATCTAGAGCCTGTACAACTGTAGCATACATATCCAAGAATGCATCTTGCAGGTATTGTTGAACTGGTTTTGTCTGACCACCCGGCATGAGAATCTTCAATTTGGGTGCAAAGGTATCACCAGCCCAGAAGCAAGTGCTGGACGGATAAAATCCTATGTCAAAGTGGTGGCAGCAATAAATAAAGCTGAACATACGCCATGGTTGCGGCAGCCAGCTTTTGGTATCCGCAAGGCCAAATACCACGTTCAGCTTCAACATGGCCACCGCCTTTGACCCCTAGCAGCCATGCAGCGCCGGACTCTTCGAGTGCGTGTAGGTCAAACCCAACGGCCTCGAGAGTCCATGCTGGCGCACCCGAACCACCAGAGTACCTGGACCAGACGTCTTGGTGAACGACAACAAACGCACTTAGGCCGAACGAGGGCATCAACAAAAGAAGCTTGCGAACGTATGCCAGGTACTCCTTGTCGTATATCCCACTACAAGTATTGCGTTAGCGGTGTATCTGAGAGATAATTTTAATGCGTACAGTCCTGCATGTTCAACAGCTTCCCAAGTCACGAGAAAGCGAACTGGCAAGGAATTATCTGACCGAAGGAAGTGACAAAATGTGAAGGCGTACTGAAGGTCAAGCCCCATCTTCGAAGGCGAGCAAAGTGCTCAGGTGCTTCCTCCAGCGGAAATGGGCGGCCAACAAACGTAACGACGTCGTGTTCAGCAGGGAATGTACCGTGGTCATGATTCATTGGACTAGGAAACGTTCAATATTGTGTTTTACATGCGTAAAATCGACTCGTACGCTTTGCTGCAGCCAGACACGTTGACGCCTCGTAAACTGCAGACGCGTCCATACGAGTCGATAAAGTGTCGTCCGTTAGGCTTTATTCCACCTCCGGTTCCAGCTCGAGACCAATCATGCGCGTATGTACGAGTAGAGCCGGGTATATATGAAGGCAAAAGAGAGGGATGGATCTGATACCGCAGTTAGCACTTGGCAGTAAACATTGGTTAGACAAACGCGGACCTTGTCTAAGATTTGTGGATCTGGCTGTGCATAAGATGCAGGCGGAGTTGACTTCGGACTACCTTCAAGAAAGACAAAGGAAGTTTCGGAGTCGGATGGGCTGAGCATCGGTAACTGTGACGCGGGTACTTGGTCAGTGTCTGGCTAGAGCCTAGAAACGACTGGATGACTCGAAAGTATTGCTATAGAGCACGTCTCAAAGAAACGGTATCAGAGGGTATTAACTAAAGATCTAGCGAAAGGAAGTGATCACTACTCTGAAGTTGGTTTGCGCTGAAATAGATTTATATAATGTGGCCGAAAGAGGAAGGCGGTTGTTTGGCAAAGGCTTCCGATCCAAACAACTCGAATGTCCTACACAGGTAATGTTATCACCGCAAGTACCGACACCGAGATGAATTTGAGATTTTGCGGTCTGCGTGCGCATCGTTTCCTGACGTCAGGATTATCCAGACAGATCATTTCTCCCTTCCGTCGCATATCCACAGAAACTAGAGTTCAGACATCAGATTCCCAGTTGACTGTTCCTGCTCTCGGCGCCTCTTTCCCCCATAGATGGCTCCGAGACGCGTGCCAATGCGCAGCCTGCGTGCATCCATCTACATCTCAGAAGCTTCATAGGACATCAGACATTCCCGCTGACGTTCGTCCCGTTCCCCACGGTGTAACCTTCCAGGAAGGTGGTATTCACATTGAGTGGGCAGACAGTCACAAATCATTCTACGAGCACTCTTTCTTGGAACAGTACTCGTCCGCTCCACGACTGTCGTCTTTTCACAAAGATGTGCAACCTATATCTTGGGACGTATCCTCCGTCTCCAAAGCACCTGACCTCTTCATGACCTACGAAGCCATCAAGAAACCTGCCCGTCTTCTCTCTGCCATTACACAGCTTACTCGCTATGGGATACTCTTCCTCACAGGTGTCCCGAACACCGAACACGCAGACGAGACATGCGAGCTCCGCAAACTTGCCAATATCTTCGGCCAAGTACGCGAAACCTTCTATGGGGAGTTGTGGGATGTCAAGAACATCCACAACAGCAAAAATATCGCGTATACTAACCTTGACTTAGGTATGCATATGGATCTCTTGTATGTGGCTTTGTTACGCTGTTTCAATGCGGCGTCTGATGATCGGATAGATACTACCAGCATCCTCCTCGATATCAGATTCTCCACTGCCTTCGCAATCGCGTAGTAGGCGGTACTTCGCGTTTTGTTGATGGCCTACGCGCTGCGGAGACATTGCGCAAGACCCATCCAGTGGACTTCGACACCCTGGCTACAACACCGGTTCCATTCCATTATATCAATGATGGACATCACCTTCATTACGAGCACCCTACCATCGAACTCGCTCCATTGCCCACGGCTATAGATCAGACCACCGATATATCCGCGCCAAGAGTGCCAGAAATAAAGCACATTAATTATTCTCCGCCTTTCCAAGCTCCTCTGCTATTAGATTCGACTCCCCCCTCATTTTACAGCGCCCTAGGGCGGTACGCCGCTCAACTTGACGACCCTCTGAACATCCTAGAATATACCCTGCACGAAGGCGATGCCGTCTTGTTCGACAATCGGCGGGTCTTGCACGCACGCACTTCATTCACTGACGATGACTCGAGTGCGGGTGCAGATGCCGAGACGAATCGGTGGCTGAAGGGTTGTTATCTCGAAGCTGATGCAATATTAGATCGGGGAAGGGTGTTGAGGACGAAGCTTGATAAGGGCTCTCTCTAGGTCGTTGAGTCACTGTGGAATGGAACACGACGACGAGACAGCATGGTGACGACGATGTTGCAAATGTGGTCGTGAAGTTACACATATAAGAAGTTACACAAACCAAGGTTCTGGGTCAATATATACCCCCAACATAACAAAGAATGACTGTCAACTACAATTTGCTCTTTTCTGCCTTTTTGATAAAAGCAACACCATTGCCCAGTGCAACCTGTGCAAACCATTCAGAACAATACTCAAGAAACGGTATGGCAAGGAGCTCACTTTGCCGGATGTCAAGTTCTTCGTCATAAATGCAATTTCCGAGGTGCCGTTTGGACCAGGACCAACTTCCCATGCTGACGTCTCGAGTTCATCGCCAGGCTTGACAGGCGACGTGAACCTCACGCCAAAGACGGTCAGGGCGCGAGTATTCCCTTTAGCTATTGCCTGAATCAAACCTCTTGCAGCGAACCCATAACTTGACAGCCCATGCAAAATCACACCACCAAAGCCCATCGTTTTGCCAAGTTCCGGGTCTGATAGCCAGCTCAGGTCTGGGGTAACACATTATATATGCAAAGAGCCTACCAATGTGCAGAGGGTTGTAATCGCCACTCAGCCTGTAAATGAGGGCCTGTTCTGGTGTTGTCCTGTCTCGGATAACCCAATCCGGCTTTCGGTCCTTGGGGATAGGCTTCGCCTGAGGTGGGCCTGCAATAGCTTTAGAGAATTTGTCTCCATTGCCCTTCGAACCAAGGTAAAAGGCTGAGCTCTACAACTGGTATCAGTATATTAGCAAGACGGCTTGCGTGAGCGCTTCACATATAGCTTCGCATAGGGAACACCATGAGGGTCAAGCAATATGGATTCTTGGTCGGTGATAATTCCGGACTCTCCAAACATTGTTAATCAGGAGAATTGCCTGCAAATTTCATTAACGCACTATTCTCGTGTACCCCAACTACTCTTTGAGAGAGCTTCCAGCCGGGTCCGCTGGCTACCGGAAGGTCTTTCAGGATCTCAATACTTTGCGTTGCGTGAACCTGGAGACTTGTTTGTGAACACGGATTGGATAGCATGTTTTGTGAACCACGTACCACCCTGCGTACATTCAGTTTGGGCAGACCCGGAAGAGGCTCGCCGCCCTTTTTGGCCCCAAACAAGGTGACATCCTGGGCGTCGCCTATTGATGTTGACGGGTTCAGTCCAGCATCTTGGGTGTCTAATTGAACATATACCTTTCAGTGCAAGCACCACAGGGTATGTCGGTAGTGGTCCCCACGACTTGTCTGTGGAACACGTCAATGGCCGAACGTAAGCAGTGCCAGAACAGTACTACTTACCAAGCTCTACAAAAGTTGGGTTAACGTATGAGGCGGACTGTGATGCGAATTTCCTTACCATACACCAAAGACAGCTCATCGTGTTTCGCGCCTACCCCGAGAGCATACGTGATGATGTCTTTGCGGTTCCACGAAACCTACATAGATACGATGGGAAACAGTCAGAATCACGAACTCGTACTATAACTGCTGTAACACTGAAACGCACTGGTTGGTCTGGGGACTTGAAACCAACAGCTTTTCCAAGGTCATAGCTCATGATGGTAGAAACGAAAGCGTTGCAGGGTTGATACTTTCAGTGAGATTTATTTATTGTGAACTTGGAAGTTCTAAAGCATGAAATTCCGGCTATGTGAATCCCGGAGTGATGTGCTGGCATCCGGTGATGATGTCACCACGTGGGTTCAACCCTAGTAGTCACGGTCTATGTCACAGTTCACTGCTAGGACCTAACCGGTTAACCAGCTGGTGGGATGAGGATGGTCTCTGAGAGTGTTTCAACTTCACTAACCACAATCATATCCGTGACGCGTAGCAATCGATGTCCAAAGACCTGGAGTAGCAAATTTCCATACTTCGCAAATCACGATGGGTTAACCTCTCTGGGCTCGTCGACTGTGCCACGAAACGTCTTTCGAAACCTACCTGCCAATTCATCCAACTTCTCGGAAACGGCAGCAATACTGTCTATAAACTGGTCTTCGTTGCTGGCACTGAGATTGCCGCTAGCGTGTCAGTGCATGATGACGAGGACTTTAATCCCCAGGCGAAGCTGTCTGAGATAGTCATCATGCAGTTTGTCCGCGCGTCCGGCTTGTATCCAGATATTCTGGTCCCCCAAGTCTACGCTTGGGATGTTACATTTTCTAATCTGGTTGGTGCTCTATATGTTCTCATGGACGTCGTCTACGGACGATAGTCTTAATAGAGTAGTCAGTCATCCACGTCAAATTCACGCTGTACTCTGCTGTACTTCAAGTAATTCAAGAGCAAAATTTATGCCATCATTATATTTTTTGCCTATACTGAAATTCGAGGTATCGCAACCGGGGTCCGGCACTCGTGATATCATTTAAACGTGAATGTTCTGACAGGGCCTTTAAAGCTATGCCTTCCCCACCAAAACCAGTTGATCGTGATTATGACCAAAAGACCACCTACAGCAACGATCGCGTAGTTCATATTGAGGGCGTTCACTGGGTATGCCGTAGGTAGGATGAATAGCACGCAGATGAAAACGCAGAACTACACAGATAATCATCAGTTATGTATAATAAATGGCAAATTATACGTACCGAAAAACTTGCAAAGTTCACTGGCCATGACCATTTTCCGAGGCGAAAAGGTCCAAATTCTTGAATGCTAAATTGAATGAACAAGTTGAACAAAACTTCGATGCATCATATTGAATAACGAACGCGCCGGGCCAGAACACACGAATGATGATGGGTTGCATGTAACTCAGCATCACCGAGATAGCTGCTGAGGATATGATTGCGTTGAACTGTGAAAGCGCGAATGCTATCAGGACAAAGCAGTAAAAGAAATCGAGTCGACTGACTGCAATCGCAGACCCGATGTAAGCACATGATATAATGCATCCTATCAAGACGCTGGTCCATACACCCCAGTATGGCGCTTGGTATCGGTTCAAGGCCATAAACTGTTTTTTCAGCGGGAAAGCATCATCTCTTGCGAGTGCATAGAACAGCCTCGAACTCGCAGTAAATGCTGTAATCGTAGCCATCACTTGGGCAAGCATCGTCACAAACAGACACATTTGCGCTAAGCGGGGCCCGACTGCATCATAGAAGAGTTGAGCAACCGGGAGGGCGAGTGTGGTCGCCTGAACAGAAGGAATGCTCTGGACTGCGAAAAGAAGTGCAAGCATATACGCAAGACCGATCAACCAAGAGCCCGCAATGCTGCCGACTACAGCGAGTGGGGCCAGGATCTCTGCGCGCACAGCTTCTTCCGCTAATTGAGCTGCTGTTTCACAGCCCTCGAGCGTGTATACAGCCTAAAGCAAGATCACACTGAGTTAGACTGTACATCATGCGTACAGAATTGAACCTGACCTGAAGAAACCCAAGAAGCACAACAAAACCTTTGGATTCCCAGCCAGTGAAACTAGTTGGCCAGTCACTGACTATCATTCGCAAGATGAGCAAAGCTTACTTTTGAAAATTCGTAAACACGAAGTCAGGAGAATTCTACCAGACAGGATCAGATTTCCCATGAAGGAAACTGGACGCGCGAGCCGGAAGAACCCCACCTTCACAGGTGCTTTCACAAGCAGGGTGATGACCAGCACAATCGTCCCACCGAGCGTCCACCAGACATTGAAGGTGCTCATTCGTCCTATAGCCTTCGTTCCGATGGTATTGATAATGCCAGAGAATATGTTTACGGCCCATGCGATCGCGGTGATTTCTATTCTCGTCAAAGCCCTTCCTTGTCCAAGTTCTGCCATCGATGCAAGGTATAGAGCGACACTAGATGGTGAATCGTTAGGATTTGATTCAATGATGCAAACACAACTTACCTCAAATTCCCGGAAGAGCCAGTAAACACCATTGCCACGGCATAAAGCCAGCCGGTGAAGACTAGTTCATGAGCCACTGCGTAGAGGTGGATATCGAGACTCACAGCCAAGAATAGGCACGTCTGGTTTCATCTTGCAAACCCAGAAGTAGAGTCCTCCCATTGTTGGGCTGCGCGACAACCTACTAAGGCGCAGGTTCCGGTGGGGTATGAATGACGCGCTTACTATGTACTGCAAATCTCTGCAAGACTTAATGCGATAAGAAACATGAAGAAACTGCATATCTGTACAAAACAGTAGTTGGTTTCGTTTTCAGGCAGACTGAAGAGGGAAACTCACGTTCCATCCCCAGAACAGGCCGAGTGGGCCTCCAGAGAACAATCCTGTCTGGATCGCGCTGCTCATTCCAGTTAGAATTCCCATGGCACAGAAAGATAACCCAAGCACTCCGAAGAGAGACATCTCGCGGCGGAATTCAGGTTTGTACCCCAGGTCCAGAAGGCGTTGATCGGACACGGCAACATCATGTGCCTCTTCCTTGACAAAGACATCTCCCGTGCTGAAGTCTGAACGTTCTGGCTTGACCATGGTGGACGTGACCCACACTGATAGTCGTGACTAGACGAGGGGACAGATGTTCTAAGGTGACTAGTAGTCGACGAGAGCAAGAAAGGTATAAGAACGAACCCGCTCACTCCAAGATAAGCAGCGTCTACTTTGGATAGTGCATACCACAATAGGCTCTGAATGAGCACATGGAAGAGTGCTTAAACGTACCTTGATATTGACAAGCAAGCGGTCGCCGGAATTGCCGATCGGGACGGTCTGTCAAGTATATGTATACGGTGTGAGCGAGGTGTGTCTTGTGATCTCCGCGTACTAGAAACCAGTCACTGTACATTCTCATTGTGTCAATGTCATGTTGGTTCACTGGCAACTTCGGGTGAGTCACCTGACTAGTCGACTAGTGACTCCTTGTCGTAAAATGTCAAAACGGTACACTGACCTCGAGAGAACATTATCTACAATGTTGCGAAGTTGTATAATTGCGTGTTCGTCTGGCTGTGCAGAGGCTTGGTCATAGATGATTATGAGACACCTAGAACTTTGAAAGGGTCTCGTAGTAGAATATAGTACACCACTATCAACACCAAGTCGCGGTTATGCAGCATTGTAGACGTCACCGGTGCACCAATACATGTTCAGCTTCGAGGCCTAACGGGCATCGTTTCACCTGCGATGGGGGCTTACCTAGACAGACGATCGAGGGACATCGCGACAAACCTCCGAGTCTGTGTTCAATTGCCTCATGGCCGTCTCGAGACAGGCAGGTAGCGGAGAGGGCTGCACTGAACCGTTTATAATTATTATCAGCTATTAGAAGCAACGATTTTGTTCCTTCTTCGATGAGTCTGGCTAGGGGAGAGTCGAGACAGATCACATCAAATCTACGCTGCACTTCAAGTATTTCAGGAGCAAAATCTATGCCATCATTATATTTTTTCCCTACACTGAAATTTAAGGTGTCGCAGGGTTGTAGCAGGGCCGGCTCTGGGCACTCACGACATCATTTAAACGTTCTGACAGGGCCTTTAAAGCTATGCCTTCCCCACCAAAACCAGTTGATCGTGATTATGACCAAAAGACCGCCCACAGCAACGATCGCGTAGTTCATGTTGAGGGCGTTTACTGGGTATGCCGTAGGTAGGACGAATAGAACGCAGATGAAAACGCAGAACTACACAGATAATCAATGACTATGCATAATAGACGACGAATGTACGTACCGAAAAACTTGCAAAGTTCACTGGCCATGACCATTTTCCAAGGCGAAAAGGTCCAAAGTCTTCGATGCTAAATTCATCGAACAAGTTAGACGAGGCTCAGATGCATCATGGTGAATAACGAACGAGTCAGGCCAGAACACACGAATGATGATGGGTTGCATGTAACTCAGCATCACCGAGATAGCTGCTGAGGATATGATTGCGTTGAACTGTGAAAGCGCGAATGCTATCAGAAAAAAGCAGTAAAAGAAGCTGAGTCGACTGACTGCGATCGCAGACCCGATGTAAGCACATGATATAATGCATCCTATCAAGACGCTGGTCCATACACCCCAGTATGGCGCTTGGTATCGGTTCAAGGCCATAAACTGTTTTTTCATCGGGAAAGCATTATCCCTTGCGAGCGCATAGAACAGCCTCGAACTCGCAGTAAATGCTGTAATCGTAGCCATCACTTGGGCAAGCATCGGCACAAACAGACACATTTGCGCTAAGCGGGGCCCGACTGCATCATAGAAGAGTTGAGAAACCGGGAGGGCGAATGTGGTCGCCTGAACAGAAGCGATATCCTGAACTGCGAAAAGAAGTGCAAGCAAGTACGCGAGACCAATCAACCAAGAGCCCGCGATGCTGCCAACTACACCGAGTGGAGCCAGGATCTCTGCGCGCACAGCTTCTTCCGCTACTTGAGCTGCTGTTTCACAGCCCTCGAGCGTGTATACAGCCTAAAATCAGGTCACACTGTGAGTCAGATTGCACATTATGCGTATAGAATTGAACCTGACCTGAAGAAACCCAAGAAGCACTACAAAGCCTTTAGATTCCCAGCCAGTGAAACTAGTTGGCCAATCACTAACGAACTCGGTCGTTCGTAAGACGAGCAAAGCTTACTTTTGAAAATTCGTAAACACGAATTCAGGAGAATTCTACAAGACAAGATCAGATTTCGCTTGAAGGAAGCCGGAGGTTGGAAGAACTTTACCTTCACAGGTGCTTTCACAAGCAGGGTGATGACCAGGACAACCGTCCCTCCGAGCGTCCACCAGACATTGAACGTGCTCACTCGTCCTATAGCCTTCGTCCCGATGCTAGTGATGATGCCAGAGAATATGTTTACGGCCCATGCGATCGCAGTGATTTCTACTCTCGTCAGAGTCCTTCCTTGTCCAAGCTCTACCATAGATGCAAGGTATAGAGCGATACTAGATGGCGAATCGTCAGGATTTGATTCAATGATCCAAACACAACCTACCTCAAATTCTCGGAAGAGCCAGTAAATACCATGGCCACGGCATAAAGCCAGCCGGTGAAGACTAGTTCATGAGCCACAGAGCAGAAGTGGATGTGGAGACTCACAACCAAGAATAGGTACGTCTGGCTTCATTTTGCAAACCCAGAAGTAGAGTCCCCCCATTGTTGGGCTACGCGACAACTTAAGGCGCAGGGTGCATGGTATGAACGGCTTGCTTACTATGTACTGCAAATCTCCGCAAGACTTAATGCGATCAGAAACATAAAAAAACTGCATATCTGTACAGAACAGTGGTTTGTTTCGTTTTCAGGCAGACTGAAGCGGGACACTCACGTTCCATCCCCAGAACAGGCCGAGTGGGCCTCCAGAGAACAATCCTGTCTGGATCGCGCTGCTCATTCCAGTTAGAATCCCGATGGAACAGAACGATATCCCAAGCAATCCGAAGAGAGACATCTCGCGGCGGAACTCAGGTCTGTAACCCAGGTCCAGAAGACGTTGATCGGACACGGCAATATCGCGTGCCTCTTCCTTGACAAAGACATCTCCCGTACTGGAGTCTGAACGTTCTAGCTTAGCCATAGTGACGTGGCCCACACTAATAGTAGGGGACAGACGTTCTAAGGTGACGAGTAGTTGATGAGAGAAAGAAAGGTATAATAACGAATTCGCTCACTTCCAGATAAGCAGTGGACAGCGCACACCACGATAGGCTCTGAAGGAGCGCATGCAAGAGTACTTGAACGTACCTTGAAATTGACAAGTGACCAGTCGCCAAAACTACCGACCGGGACGGTCTGTCAAGTATATGTATTAATGTGAGCGAGGAGTGTCCTGTGATCTCCGCGCAAGTATGTAGAAACCATGGTGGTTTAACTTCAGATGCGTCACCTGACTCCTTATCGCAAAACGTCAACATGATCACATTGAAGGATATTCTATCAGTACATATCCCACTGACCTTGAGAGAAGGCACCGTCACGTGTTGTGACATCGTGTGTTGTAGCCATTGTGGCTGCGCATGCGCAGAGTCTCGATCATCATGATGGAACTTTGAAAGGGTCTTGTAGAATACATCACTGGCGTCGAACAGTATCAAGGTTATGCAGCGCTAAGCAGGTATGCTGGACGTCGTCGATAAACGTTCAGCCTCGAGGTCTATATTGGGCATCGTTTCTCCTGCGATGGGGTAAACTTGGCTAGACGGAAGAAAGACAATCGCGACAAACCTCTGATTGTGTTCAACTCCCCCATGGCCGCCTCTAGATGAGCTGGTAGCTGAGAGGGCTGCGGACCGTTTGTACATTGTCAGCCATCACTGCAGAGAGGGATGATAGAGATCGCTGCGTTCAACTCTTCGTCAATATCAATGGCAGTCCATCCCTTGATGTTGGAAGGGTGGTAGGCATCATCGATCATGCTCAGCGGGCATGCTTGGTTTTGAGCCTTCTTCATACGTGCCAGAGAACGACTTCAGGCATACGCGACAGGATATTTTTCTATGGAACTTTGGGCACTTATGATTTGGACAGAAGGCTGTTGCGCGAAAGGCTCCGAGATCATACGTTTGTGTACGCAGACAACTCTGAGGTTGTCGAGCGACTAGTAGACCATAATACTAATCGAAGGAAGACAGTTCTTGATTTCGATCAACGTGAAGAAGAGATCATAAAGTCGCACGGTCGTCCAGAACACTCTAAATTAAACCTCTATGTATTCCCAGATCCCTAGCAAAAAGTATACCTACACATTAATGTAAATACAAGGAAAATCTCAAAAGCAAACATCTAGCATCTAATCGCGCCCAAACAATATCTATGCGTCGTATAATAATGAAGGTCCGTATCCCCTGCACACAACAAAGATAACATCATAAAAGGTCATAACAGTAGTCCAAGAGAAAACGAGGAAAGATCAAAGAAAGTGAAGTTAAGATACCAAATCGCTTTACGCCCGCACCTCAGGCCCAGAGGGCAAAGGGACCGTGTCCCTAAACGGCCACCAGTCCTGCGGAAGAATCTCCTCCAGCTGACTGGTGAGTGCGACAGGGAGACGGCTGCGCGTTCCTTCAAGCAACGCCCGCTTCGATGGATACTCATGCTGCGGCACCCATCCATGAAGCCGCATGCCGAACGTCATACGCACGTCGTCCAGGAAGTCATGCCAATCCACATACCGGTCTCGTTGACGCTTCAGCTGCTGCACTTCCTCCCGCGTGAAGCGCAGTGGGCAGGGCTCATCACCACCGGAGAGTTCTTCCCACCGGCTGAAGACGTCAAGCAGTGCGAGGCGCAGCGGGAGAATGCCGTCTTTCCATGTCCGACCTGCTGCGCGGACAGGCATTGTTCGCGTCTCGCGGTGGCTGACACGATACGGGTATAGCTGTTTGATTTCATAGAGTTTGTGAAGTATCTGCGCTTTGTGTTCTTCGCGCATTGCAGCCTTGGTGTCTAGGCTCATGACGTTGTACTCGGAAGGAAGTTTAGGGAACTCGAGGCCCGAAGGGAGTTCAGCGCCATCGCAATCTAAGAAGGATGGACTCTTCATTTGAAGATAGGCAGGACCAGCCCAACAGCCCTGCCAGTCAATGATGCTGACCACGCGTCGCTCGTCGTCATCGGACACGAAGATGTTCCCAGGGTTGAGATCGGGATGCCACAGGTTAGATGCCAGGACCTTTCGCGCGGTTGGCATGATAGCAGGGATAATTGAACGATACTGTTCCAAGGACTGGAGATGGTCTTCCTTGAGCTGAGGACCCGGGACATTACGGAAAGGGTCATCGTGGATATTGGGCTTCGCAAAGCGTGAGATCCATGCCTCCTCGCGCAAGGCGAGGGAGCGAAGATAGTCCTGCGGCGATGACCCTTGAACGAGCATTAGCAACATGCTATAACCTCAGTCAGTGTCAGGGATACGCACACGGTCCTCTGTCAAGGTCCATAGTGGCGCGTTCATCTTCATAGAAATTGCGATGGGCTATGGGACCTATGCAGAACTTGTCCTCAGAACCGAACCTACGTGACCCATGGGCATACAAATGAGGAGCCCGTTTCGACTCAGGGATATCTTCCTTGTAATACAGGCTACCATACTGAGCAAACTTTGCGTTCAGCATGTTCTGCTCCAGTGCCACGAGGGAGTTGACGACGTTCTTCTTCTGGCGTGAGTCCATGGTGTGCCAGATGGTGCTAAGCTGGACGCCTGGAGCGGACTCCATGATGATGTATTCTGCTCCAACACCGTTATCGGGTGCGTGAGAACTGGAGGCAAGAATCTTAGGCACGGGAATTCCGAGATTGTGGCGGACAAAATCCATAGTTGCAACCTCGCTGGAAGTCATGAGGTGGTCGGGACCCGCAATTGGATTCTATGAATGGAGATCAGCATGAATAATGTGTGCATGTGATGTGACTTGCTTTGATACGGGCAGCCACTTTTTTCCCATTTGCGAGAGTCACCATCAGGGTTTTGTTGAACATACCCTCCTTCTTCTCCATGGATACTACAGGAGAAGCGCAGACAGAGGCGATGACACGATGCAGAGCAGCGACATCAAACTTGATGTAACGCTGAGCCATCTGCTGGGATTCGTTGTACAACCATCTGCCAGAGGTGTAACGGAACAGATTCTCATTATATTCGGTTCCCAAAGAGGTGACAACTGGGTAGATTTTGAGTAAAAAGGTCGGCCAAAATGCCTCAATACTCACCATGAGGTTCAAAAATAGGAGGATGAGATGGCCTAGGGGGTGATATAGAGAGGTAGGAAGGGGGGGTTATGGAGACTACGGTGGCTAATTTTCGAGAAACATTTTGGGACTTGACCGCCGCTGTCGCGGGTCTAATGATTCTAAGGGATGCTGCGGGGCTTCTCGGTACCTTCATAGCAACTTCATGAGCTATTGAAAGAGTGACAAGAAGTCAAGAGAAGATAAAATAAAGGTGTGCCAGGTTGATGAAATGGGAGAGGGGGGAAAGCAAGTTTATGTACGTAGTTCAAATTCACACAGCGGTTGCACAGCCGAATAAAAATGCGGGGAAAGATTCCGAACGAAAGTGGCACGATGGTAATCTTGTGACTCAGTCTCAAGACATGTCTCACACTTCATTATAAGCCAGCCTGGGCATCCCCAAGCCAGCAATTCGTTATGGCCTGGGCCTCAACAAATAGTTGCTCTATATAGGTCCGCTGTTGCGTCGACGCGGCCAATGCCTTTGTTTTTCAGTTTCAAATACAAAGCGACTATCAAAGTCTAGACTAGCTGAGTCTCTTGCTACTCTTGTCTGCGACTAAATGTTGTAGATTGTGCCTGAGAGCACTCCAAGAGCTTCGCGAAGGTATTAACCTTGACTGCTATCGCATGAGTTAATCTGACTTTTACGTCGTCGCTTGGACTGATTGGTGGAAACGACTTGGCTGTGGCACGTTCGCTGCACTATTCCAAAAAGATTTTCAGATCAGTGCATGCCTCTGCTTCGATGGGATATTACAAGATATGTATTACAACCCAGAACATTCTTTTCTCATCTCTTTACTTCAGCCTTATCTCAAGACCCGCATTGTCACGACGTTGCTACGAATCGAAGACATAATTGGTGCGTCGGCTCAAATAGTCTCGAGAACTTTCCTTGATGGGCCTTCGTAAGATTTGTCTTTTCACGTACATACATACCGACGGAAGCCTCACGCTCAATCTCCTCCCTATCAGTACCATTGCGCATTGGCTGACTATTAGTAAGTACTGCTGATCACAGAAGGCACTTACGATAAGATTTTTCAGCCGAACTGTCCATTGAAAGCACTTGCGCGCGCGACTCCCACAGAGTGTGGAGGGTTCTGATCCGAGTCAGTTGCCGGTCTTTTCCGTTCCACTTTAAGGCTCCTTGTCACAATCGTAGTGGGGATTATTTCATTCGCGGTATCATTTGTTCGCGTGCGGTGTGCCTTTGGCGTTGCGGCTTGCGTAGCTGTCCTTCTCCTCATGTACGTGGACTACTAGCGTCCAGTGCCAGAACCAACAAACATATGGCAGATATATTTATGCGTGGACCGACTTTCCGGTGCTTTCGTTACTAACGACCTGTCGGGCCTAGCAGGCCGCTCCTGTCTTTGATAAAGGTAAAGTGACGCAACTGCCCGCCGAAGCATATGTCTTACACGTGCGTGCGTTCTCGAGACGCAATTTGCCTGTAAAGTTAGAGCGATAAGCCTCTACGATCAGTATTCTTCGGGAGAATCGGTTTACTTCCTACATCTTGTTATGTGCCCAATGCGGAGGCTGACATATTTCCTCTATTACTACAACCCACAATCGATGGTCAATCTCTCCAAGTTGGGCGACCATGAATCACAATATTTTTCAACACGCTATCAGAGGCTGGGACGTCGCATCAATCTGAACCTCCATATCAACCCTGGTCCATCAGTGCCATGGGATCACGACTTGAAGAATACAATGGAAGTGCGGAGTACTGGGGTACGAAACCGATTTTGACTTGGGCCCATGGTTCCTTTTCTCACATACTCATTACCGATTTTTTACCAGCGACGCCAGAGTATCCCAGTCATTCAGGCCGCGATAGGGACCCATCATCATGCTATGATCGCCAGTTCACTAGCTGTCAGACGGAGCTCCTCGACAGCATTTGTCGATATGCTAGACATCGCTGATCTTCGTTTGACGTCGCCCGAGGAACGCGATCTCATCGCCCCTAGTCGCACAGCCATCTATGATGGTGCTTGCTAAGGGAAAAGAACTCCCTAGCAGATACTTCACTGGCGCTGACGTGCGGCAGCCCCGGTTGTATCGATCCTGACATCCTATATGGCATCAGAGCAGCTCTTTAACCTTAAGTGCCGTTGTTTTTCTAGATCCTTTCTTCCCTGTAGCCGACGTCTCGGTAGACAATCAAAATTCAATGGAGAATAACACACGTGCGTCTTATGGGTGAAACAGAAAAACTCGCACTATGTATGTTCGATTGAACACAACGGTTAAAGACACTGCAGTACAATGCATCCATGGCTTTATACCCCTCAAGCTGCATTGCTTAACCTTGACACAGATTGCCTCATCTAGCTACATCCAAATCGATATAATGTTCGGGACAGGCGCCAACATATTAATATCGTTCGATTTGATATATGAATGTTTAAACCAGTATGGTCACGACTAATGTACTAAGTTGTTGAAACTAACAATTTAGTGCTTGAGCGCTTACTACATAGCTACTTCATGGATTCGTTGCCAACCCACTGCCATCACAGTTTTGTACATAGCGCGCGTCGGCCGAAGAACGCACCCGAAGTTGAGGTTTTAGTTCGTTCACTACTTGTAATAACCCTCACTGTTGGGCGCGCGATCATCGGACACGCACTCCCGCGAGGTCGTAGTGACGTAGGAGGTAAGTACCCCCAAAGTACCTGGCGTTTAGTCAAACCTATACTAAATTAAAAGTCTGAAGGAAGATCGACAGTACTAGCTACTTTGTTCCTTCTATTCGAGGGCTCAGTGCTCAAGATCCGGAACACATGCGTTCTACGCTAATGATCTTCCTTTGATCCCAGGACCTCCCAGGACCAGCCACAGATGTCAGCAAGACAGATAGACGCTGCCGCAGATGCATCATATCAAACTTCGCCCAAGAAATTACAACCGTAAAGCTTCGTGGTACTCGCTAAATTCACTCATGCCAGCACATATGTGGGTTAGTTTTTCCACGAGCTTCCGAATCCCCACCACTGCAAAGTTGGCAACTTGAAAGTTCTGTCGAAATGCGGTGCGAGCCGTTGGAGCATCGATGCTGATTTCACGTTGTATCCCACGACCCTGCCGGCACTGTCGTCACGAGCAGCGACACCCTCTGGGGAAAACAATAGACGAGGAAGAACCGCTATCCGCCAGCACAATGCGTGGTGTTTGACTACGGGAGACTATGGCGGTGTCACAATCTTAAATTCCGTGATTTAACTTGATGGAACTAAGATGGGACTGATGCGTGCATTACTCCAGAAGGTCAGTCCCAAAATGTGGCATATATATAGTTTCAATCTTTGAATTGATACCTCGCCATGTCCTACCGCCCCGACGAATCCAATGAGCAGTTCTATGCTGAGGGCGCATGGCTGCAGGGCGCCATCATCACTGGTGTCCTGTACGGCATGGTGATCGTCCTGTCTGCCATGTGCTGGCGCTCCCTCTGGCCGCACACTCGATCGAATGCCACTGGCTACAAGCGACACAGATTTTTCTTATGCTATGTTACTTTCCTCTTTTTGGTTGGTACGATATATGTTGCGTTCAACGCGCAGATAACGCAGATGGGCTTCATCGACAATCGTTTATATCCCGGAGGTATTTGCAACCTTTGAAGTGGACTGCAGTCTGCATCTCGTACTTATGTTCTACTCAGGTCCTGGTGCATACGAGGAGGCAACCTCGTCAGCTCCACTTAACACTGCTTTCGTGGTTTCAGATTGGTGTGCAGACATATTGATGGTAAGTGTACAGTTACATCTCCAATCCCAATATTGACGACACTATAGATCTGGAGGTGTACGGCAGTATACAGAGATACCAAAATACATCGCCTTATAATTGGACTCGGAAGCATTCTGTTCCTCGGAGTTCTTGGTACGTGCCAGACCTACCTCTGTCATCCATCCATCTTGACCTTTCCAAGTCTGTGGAACTCTCTGGCTTGCCATTGTGTCAACACCAGCACAAGCCACAAGTGGCTGGATGTCCTTCAGCTTGCTTTTTCCATACCTCTGCTTTTCCCTCGCCATTAACATCTTCATCAGCCTCCTCACCGTTATCCGCCTGCTATACCACCGCCACCGAATATCCAAAGTCCTTGGCTCAGGCCACGGTACGATCTACGCCAGTTTCGCAACCGTGATTATCGAATCCGCCTCCATCTACTCAGTATGCTCGCTCCTTTACCTCATCCCATACGCCCTCAACAGCCCGATCTCATATGCTTTCATGCAATTATTAGGCGAGGCGCAGGTGAGCGTGTAATTCCTACTCGGAATGAACTGCGATTTACGCTTGTACTCTAGGTCATCGCGCCACTCCTGATAATCCACCGCGTCTCAGAGGGCAAGGCCTGGACAACACACTCCGCCACCCTTATGGACAACAACTCCTTCCAGCTGCGGCGGCTGTCGGCATTCCCCAAGCCCGAGCCCGCGTCCGCTCCACCGAATCGGTTGAACGTTGAGATTTCCTTTCACGAAGAAATCACTCGCGACGAATCCATAAACACCCCGAAGTCACCATACTTAAACTCCGCCGATACGGCTGATGCCTTCGGCAGAGCGGTATGAGACCCGTGGAGGGTGAGGATCTAAGTTACGCTGCAGCTATGTCACAATTTTTTCACGAGGGTATCCAGTTGCATTGGGGTTCACAGTTAGCATCTCATATCCACCTACTCCCTCAGGGCTGTTTTCGCCACAACGGAGACATCTTACAAAAAGGAAAAATGACTACATTTGCCAACACAAGTAGGACCATCCATCACCCATAGCACATTTGAGAAAAACCAAGAACACATTTCTAAGGGTCAACAGTTAACAAAGTACATACAAAGGCTAGACTTCCATGTTCCTCTCTCATGCACGTGATAGTATGATCAGACATTAACGTACAAGCCGGCATCCTTTCTGTGCTTCGTCATGGCTGAATGGTACGATCATCAGTATACCAAAAATGAGAGACAATGGTTCATGACACTGACCTGCAATGATAGCACTACCGACACCACTGCCATCCTCGGCATGGTATGTGACAATGTTGCTGTAATTTCGCGCGCTCAAATCGGAGAGGAAGGAGCATATCGAATAAGAACCGCTTACCGTCCCTTATCGCCAAAAATGTCCTGCAGACCTTCGTGCACGCGATCAGCAAATCCAGGGTATTTCTGCAGAGGCGTAAACATCCGACAGCGAGTATAGAAGAAGAGTGCTGTTACGTTGTACAAGGAGCCATCGGCCCCAACGGAGCAGCCTTCTTCGAGATAACCCATCTTGCTGACGATGGCGGCAATACCACAAGAACTCAACCGAGCCGCACGCCTTCCAATGAGTTTCGCAAGAGCCCGGAAGAACTGTCGTTCCGCGAGTGTCGTCTCAAGCGCGAAAAAGTGTGTGAAGATTCCGATGATCATGAGAAGTTCATCCGTTGGGTCACTGAGAACACGATGATGAGCTTCTGTATATCCAACATGGGGTGGGAAATGCGATACCTCTCCATGAGAGACAAGAATGCGGTGTCGAAGCAGTAGGGTTTCTCGAGTTTGTAAGTGTTCTGTCCGAGGAAGAGTACACCTTCGTCGATGAGTTCACAAAGAACTAGCCGCAAGATCTCGCCCAAGTACCGGCCAGAAATGAGTTTCTGGATGGTTGAAATGTCACCGTAATAATGCAATACAGTACAAAGGTACTTACTTCGAATGCCTGTTCCCCAGGCTTATTTGAAGTGTCATCGACGATAATGTCGTATTTCGTTCGAGGCAGGTGTTCGTGTTCGAATGAATCAAACGCGCCCTGTCAATCCTGTCAATAGTGTTGACATTGGGAGTAAAGTTGACGGACCCATTCACAGTTAATCGCCATGTCAGCTCCAGGATCGATACCCAAATGCTCCATTTTGGCGATGTCCTTGACGTGCTCCATATAAGCCGCATTACAACCAGTTCCAAAAATGACCGCGATCTTCGTCTTAGGATTCACATAGTGCGATGCGATCAATGTGCCGGTTGTATCATTGATAAGAGCAGTCAGTTTAATGGGCAATTGCTGCTCGTCTGTGAATTAGTGTCAGTAGAAACTTGGAACAGGCATAACACACGAATTTCTCCAGGGACTGCTTGAACATCTCAGCTACATCCCTGCCCTCCGTGTTTCCAGCTCCAAAACCCTTGGTCCAGCGGATGAGCTCGCCATGGTCAATGCGTTCCTGCCTGTGTACCGAAAGTAAATCGGTCTTACATGCACTGAACTAACCGTTACATCGTGCGCACTTACGAGCAAGGGTAGGAGAACTGGACGCTAGTCAGCAGGATGATGCTAGGCTAGGCTGTGACTTACGGTAAAGCCAAGAGGCAGGGATTGACCAGGCTTGAGTTGGCCCTCGCCCTCGCCCGTGTTGGTTTCAACAAAGGTATTTAAGCATTCAGCACAGAAATCGAACAATTTCTGGCCATCTTCTTGCTTTTGCTCCTCAGTTAAACGATATTTGGTTTGGGAGATCTCAAATTTTCCATCTCCCTGAAGGGTTACAAGACAAACACGCAGATTGGTTCCACCTATGATGAAATGCTTTCGCATGAGTATATTTGGAAGTTGGAAAAATGACATGAATGACAAAGTACTCACCAAGATCAAGAGCAAGGAAGTCTCCTTTCTCCTGACCTGTTGGCCATCCAAACACGAACGTAGGAATCATAGGCTACAAGTACTAATTCAGCACTCGGTCGGAAAATTTTCATAAAATGAACGTGAATAGTGTCAAGAATCAACAACATCGAGAGATGAAGTATCTGAACGATTGAATCGTCTCATCCAACTGCAACATCATTTGAGTTGGAACAACGAATGCAAGAAGATGATCTGATTCGGTACGGACGTATGGAGTACATACGCACTACAATCTGGTTGGGCTTGTTCAGGCCAAGCTCGAGCGTCTCAGTAAACGCCTCGACAATCATCCGCATCCTCTGTGGTGTGAGTGTGAACCTGTTCAACGAGGATTTAGCAGATCCATCACGATCATCATCGGAGCCCCTGATAGGGTGACTGACAAACTCTCGTATTTTCTCAAATGATCAGCCATGGTTCTGCAGTTCACAAAATCATAAAGGTGAGACGACCGGATCAAATTTCATCGCGTAACACTGCATACTTTTTAGTTGCATGCGGGAGGTCTTCCTCATCTTGCGTCCGGGTGTGAATGGCGATGGTCTGACCCGTCAGTAGCGTGAAGCTACCACTTCCGCGACGCGAGGCAGGCATTATTGATCTGAAACTGGTGTATTACGTGGGGGAGACGATGGGGGGAGAAAGAGAGCCAGTGAGTGGAGTTTGAGTTCACAACCATGGCAGTCCTTCATCGGTACCTACTACGCGTGGAAAATACATCTCCATAAGCGTATGCCTTCTAACCAAACGACTAGTTTTGGTCTACGAAACATTGAACGCAACGAGCCTCACAAAACCGGCATTGATATTGCTGACCTTGTAACACTTGATCTCTTAACTACCGACCAGCTGGCGGCTTATAAGCACGATCATTAACATAGTCGAGGAACATACATATAATACTAGCACCCACATCTAAGGGTTATCGAATACGTATATGTATATAAATTCCCACACCCTACACGACGGCGTTACTCTCAGTCCCACATTCCTCATTCAGTTCTCGCGACTTTTTTTGTTTGTGTGATGATTGGGCTCAAGTCGACTCTTAATGTTAGTGAAGTTTTGTATGCATATTATGTCCTTGATCAGCTCACAGAATTCATGCAGGTAATCGACAACTCCGGCGCACTACTCATCGAGTGCGTCAATGTCCTCAAACAGAAGGTCAATAACGGCTGGGGCTCTGTCGGTGACGAAATAGTTTGTGTCGTCAAACGCGCGCGCCCAGTGTCGGCAGCAACTCAGGCATCTACCACTGCAGTCAAAGTCCGACGTGGAGACGTTCGCCGAGCAGTCATCGTACGGACCAAGAAGTCAGTTCGGAGACCAGACGGACGTTTCATCAGGTTTGATGACAATGCGGCAGTCCTTTTGAATAATAAGAGAGAGATGCTGGGGACGCGTATTGGTGGCGTCGTGAGCGCTGACCTGCGCATGAAAGGCTGGGGGAAGATTGTCAGCTTAGCACCAAAGGTATGTAGTTCTGTAACGTGTTTTCGGAGAGTACTTGATCAATTCCTGTTAAGGTCGTTTGATAGATGTATATTATATACCCGTCTTAAAATCCATTATTGAACTTTTACGGTTCGAGTGCCGCGCGTGACCCTGATTCTGTAGAGTTCGAGCCATACTTTTGAAATACACGGTTGCAAAATGGCATGGTATGACCATTCCAAGTGCAATCCTCCTCACGAAGGTCATCACGTAACACTTTGGCTTCGTCGTTTCGTTCTTACGAGTTCTTCATCCTTGCACATGGTCTCCTTCGTCGTTCCATCAAAGTCGGTAATTTCACCCGAGCACTCAACCAAATATCTTGGTAAGTGGATATTTCGTATGCAGCCTACTCTCGCCCGACCAGTTCACCTCTGTCTAAAAAGTCCCAGCTTACGGCTTGTATTGAAGGACTGAGCAGCCAGCCCGATCGCGGAGATCAGCCATACAGGGGACACACATAAGCAGCATTCCAGAAAGAAAACGAATGTCGGGAAAGATGATGGATCTCAGATTCTCGTAGATTCATTCATGTAAGCATCACATTAGCGATCTACTACAGTCTACTACATGCATTGATGTCCGTAAGTTTTGTATCTCATGCCCCCCACTCAACTGACAGAATTCATGCAGGCAACAGGGAACTCTGGTGCGCTACTCGCCGAGCGTCCATCTCCTCAAGCAAAAGAGCGATAATAGCCCGACTCTGTCGGCTATAAAACAATTTATATCGTCAAACGCGCGCCTAGTCATAATTCATCTAGACTACTTAAGTACGTCCTTGAGAGAAAGGCTTTGACATATACGTCACTAGGCTTCTCGGTGGCTGGGAGAGTCACGCCTAATCGCCGTCCCTTTCTTCCTTTGAGTGTTGGACGATGTGGCTAGTTTCTCAGAGTATTTCCATACTTATACCGATTTTCAACTACCCAGATATTATCCCCACTCGAGGGTACATCGAAGAATGTTAACGGTATCTTGTCGTACCCACCATGGTGCCGTGCACGTGATGGGCAAGATGTCCGTGCAACCGCCATTTGACCTTCTTCCCTACACCACATCACGTTTGGAGCCTCATATTTCTGAACAGAAATATGTTTGATGTCGGTGTGTTGATCACTTGTCTTCGTGCCTGTACTTCCCAGGCGATCTGAGATGCAATCTACTGAATCACCTAATAATAGTGGTCTAATCCCAGGTCTTATGTGCTGGCCTAAGATTCTAATTTCCCCACCCTTTCAACGCTGTTCTGCACGACTTCTAACGATCTAACGATCTTTGTAGCCCATAGGCTACTGCTGTATATACTTCCCCTCGCATGTTCCCAGCCAACTGCTTCCAGCGGCTGCGGTCTTCCATAGGCCTGAGGACAAACTTGGCTCGGTCCAGATTCATCAAACAACATGCACTGCCTATCGCCCGTCGACAGAGCTCGACCATGCCCTTCAGGAGCCAACGTTCCTGGTCCCCAATTATCATCGGCTCGATCGCTAGCGGACTTATCGGATATTCATTAAGCGCTTTTGGGAAACCTTCTCTGACATCACAGGTTCTGGGAGAGGCGGGACCACAATATGGCACTCCAAAAGACTTTGAACAGGCTATCAAGGAGCTTCGCACTTTGTTTGATTCAGACGATGTTGTTTCTACCCATCCGGAGGACCTTCGTATTCACGGATTTTCGGAGAATGACTACCACCCAAGTGAGGACTTCCGCTGTGCCGAATGTCGCGCTCCCCTGCTCATGTTGGCCTTCCAGGTGCACCACATACCGTCATCGTGTACCCAAGGAGTACAGAAGATGTAGTCAAAATCGTCAAGACTGCCGTCAAGTACCGTATGCCCGTCACCCCTTTCTCTGGTGGTACTTGCTTAGAGGGGAGTTATCGTGGCGTAAGTCTATTGCTCTTCGGGGCCATTCATGCTGACGACGGCTGTTTCTCCCCCTCCAGAGCCCTGTCGGCGGCATTTGTGTTGATATGTCCAGCATGAACAAGATTCTCGAAATTCATGGTCAGCATTTGACGCATCTTTCAGTACTGAACCAATTCATATCTTTTAAACAGAGGCAGACTCGGACCTTGTTTGTCAGCCTGGTGTCGGATGGATGGAAATCAATGAGACCTTGCAGCAGAAAGGCAAGCTCGCAAAGCAATCCTCGCCGCGTTACTCACATCCCTGGCAGGCATACCGTTGTTCTTTCCCGTACGGTTGAGAATTTAGCACTTTACCGACATCTGACAATTTTTGCTTAGTTGGATCCCGGTCCAGGCGCAACTATGGGCGGCATGATGAGCACTGGTTGTTCAGGCAGTACGTATTATAGTCATAAATCGGTGGAACGATTGCTGACGTGCTGGCCTCGGCAGCAAATGCCGTCCGGTACGGTACTGCAAAGGGCGAATGGTTCCTCAATGCAGTATGTATTGACTTTCTTGACAAGTTTCAAGTTAACTGATTGAGTATTTCCATAGACGGTCGTTCTTCCCTCTGGAGAAGTCATAAAGACTCGTCAACGTGCACGGAAATCTTCAGCTGGTTTTGACACCACGAAGTTGTTCATCGGTGCTGAGGGTACTCTTGGTATCATCACAGAAGGTGATATCACGTATTTTCCTCTTGTCGAACGCCATTGACACTTCTTTTAGTCACCATCCGGTTAGCTCCTCTTCTGCCAACAACAGTCGCCGTCGTTCACTTCCCCGATGTCAAATGCGCGACGGAGGCCGTCATCGATGTAATCAACCGCGGCGTTGGCATTCGTAGGTTATTCCCTTCCCGATCAAGCAAGACACTCACCCCCAAGGTCCAGAATGCGTCGAACTCTGCGACTCCGAATTCATGCGTTCTATAAATTTGTTTGGTGCATCTCAGCGCAAATACCCTGAGCAGGATTCTCTGTTCTTCAAATTCCAAGGTCCAACGCCTGCTTCGATCGCCGAGACCGCGAAGATCGTCGAAGAAATTGTGCAGAAGCACGGTGGTACTGGTTTTGAACTCGCGCGTTCTGAGAAGGAAGCACGGGACCTGTGGGCAGACAGGAAAAATGCGCTCTATTCTGGTTTGGCCCTCTTGGAAGGGAGTCGAGGGTGGAGTACCGATGTTTGGTAAGCTCAAGTTGCTGCAGGTTCGGATAGGATGTCACTGATGATTTCCGGCTGTAGCGTGCCAATTTCGAAACTCCCGCAGCTTGTGCTTGAAACCAAGAAAGACCTGGAACGATTAGGCCTTGTATCAATACTTATAGGACACGTTGGCGACGGTTAGTACTCACATCTCTCATGCTATCTGGTCTCTCTCACAACGTAAAACCCAGGCAATTTCCACACCCTGCTTCTTTTCCGTAATGACAAGGAGCTCGAAACCGTTCGCGAAGCAGTGCATATGATGGTGGAGCGTGCGATAAAGCTTGAAGGCACTTGTACGTCTTCGCCTCTACACACGCGAGGCTGGAGCTGATGATCTTACGTCTACAGGCACTGGTGAACACGGGGTTGGGATTGGAAAGCGGGAATATCTGTACGAAGAACTTGGCGAGGGAACGGTGGAATTAATGCGGTCCGTCAAGAGGACCATCGACCCGCTGGGTCTGTTTAACCCTGGAAAGGTGAGCCAGTCAATTGCCTCGGAGGAGTTTGATGCTAATGCCGAATGGTTAGTTGTATCCAGACAAGATTGATAAGAAGTCAAAACATTGATGATTTTTACGATCAACCACGTATTTTATGATGCAGAATCATTGGAGCTATTCTGTTGTATTTCTTGAACTGTATCCATTCCATGTGAATGTAGCGCGACCATGTCCTCACATCTTGAAGTTATCTCCTGTGCCCCCCGATAATGCGTACACCGGTTGAACCGTTAAACAAACGCCTCTATTTGTCAGAGAATACCCATACATGTGCACTCACAGGTGGCCGGAGGAAGCCTTTGAGTCATCTACCTCATGACCCAGCTATCGTCACGATAACAGAGAAAGCACCGAGCCGAGATAAGTGGTTCAAAATTCGGTCTCAAGATTCAGGCATTCATATATTATTGTCCGTCGTATTACCTTGACCTTCCCGCATTTGTTGTGCATCTTATATTGATCAGCCACACATAACTTCAAAGCAGAAGAAAAATCCAAGTTTGTCTCACTATCGATGTAGACAGGGGTAACGACTTGGTGTGTATAAAACAACCTCGGCACCTGCTTACAGTGCACTGGCACCTGCACATTCATCGTGAGTAAATGCGTGATATAAAGGAAGAAACCCAATGTACCGGTAATAATGTCGACCAGCTCGTTGGTAATGGCGGCTTGGCGACCACGGTTGTATTGCATCGTCAGTCGGTCAATCATGTCTTTTGCGTTCTTTGATGCATTGTCCATGGCGTTACGACTGCGCACCGAAGCATTGTGTGAGAGGACGAAGAAGTTTGACTTATGAAACGTACCGGGCACTCTGCTCGCATGCGTGAGCCTCGACAAGAGCAGCATAGATGGCATTTGCAAGCGAGAATTCGGCGAGGTCCTTGGTAACATCATCCTCCATTTCGTATGCCCGGAATCCAGCTATACGCATATGAGTAACCAACCGACGACTTGGCTGTATAATGTCTCACCAGACTCCTTCAGCGCGGCCTCGTTTGCAACTTCAACGATAGCAGGCTCATAAGCAACAGCAGAGAGGAACTTGTTGTAAACGATAGCGATGCCGTCGTAGTTGGCATTGCTCTTCACAATCAAGTCGGCAACGCCTGCAGCGTCAGCGAAGGTAGGGATGTCACGACCAATTTGGTTGAAGGACATGGCCAAGTTCTTGGCAAGCACACGCGACAGTTGCACTTTAGACTTGTCACCGATAACCATGATGGGAGAGTCGGATTCGACGGGCTTCTCGGTGTCAGCAATGGCACGACGGGTAGCCTTGGACACGGAAGAGTGAATACCACCGCAGAGACCCTTGTCGGAGGAGACGACAATAAAAAGCTTGCGCTTTACAGGTGTTTCTGAAGGAGCATGTTGGAATATCTCTGGGCTGTTTTTGAGAATACGGGGGCGGATATACAGTCTACGGGACGCACCGGAGTTAGCAAGACCATACTCCTTGCCGTTCTGCATGGCGCGCTGCGCCTTTGCGAGCTTGGTAGAAGCAATCATCTTCATAGACTGCACACCACAACAAGTATCAGTGGTCAACGCTCAGAAATCATACCAAACCAAGGACGTCGGCGTACCTTGGTAATTTTCTCGATGTTTTTGACCGACTTCAACCGTAGCTCGATTTCACGCAACGTGGCCATGTTGCGGGCAGTTTTTGGAGCAGCTCCCAGCGGGGAGGGCTGGGACGCGATACGGGCAAGCGAACGCCTTGCTAACATTGAAAAGTGGTCAAGCTTGGTGCGCGACCGAATTCCGAGCATCCAACAGCTTCACCGACTTCCGGCGATATCCGAGCGGAGCTTAAATACAACCTGCCGATCGAGTCTGATCTCGGCATCACTAGAGTCATAATCTTGCTCATCGTACTTATCAACGAGCAAGCACATCTTAGACATCGACCACCATGGCAGCAGAACAACCATTGTTCGATCCCTCGCTCAAGAAACGCAAGAAGAAGGCCGTAGCTTTCACTGAGGACCCGCTAGGTCCTGAAGCAGATCCTACTACACCTGCACCAACTATCATCGAGAACACAACTACCAACGGAGATGTCGTCGACCTCGGCCCTACCACCCTCCATGAGCAAATGAAGCGAAGTCAAAATGGCGCAGCAGAGAGCGTTGATGTTGTCGATGAAGTCAAGGAAGACGATGACTTCAAGGCCATGTTTCCAGAGGGCCTCAAGAAGAAAAAGAAGAAGAAGGACATTCCTATGGACCTCGTGAGTGTCTCATTCTGAGACCATCTTTTGCGATTTTTACATTGGGCGCGTTATCAGCCCGAAGATGGTTCAGGAGCATCGACTCCAGCTGCTGCACCTGCCCCTGCTGCTACCGAAGATCTTGACTTCTCTGACATCAAGAAGAAAAAGAAGTCCACGAAGAAGAAGGCAATGGAAGACTTCGAGAAGGAGCTCAATGAGGCAAAGGCAAAAGATGATGCTGATGAGGCTGAAGTTGACGATGGAGAGCACCTCAATGACGTAGATGAAGCAGATCTCGGGGATGACCCATTCGCGCGCAGCGAAGCACCTGCAGGCATTGACTCTGGCACAGAGCCATGGCTTGGGAGCGACCGAGACTATACTTACCCAGAGGTTTGTGCATTTGCAGTCATACCTTCCTTCCCCATATTAACGTACATCAGCTCCTGACACGATTTTACGCCTCGCTCCATGCCGCAAACCCATCATTACTCACTTCCACCGGTAAACGATACACCATCGCACCACCCCAAATCCTCCGTGAAGGTGTTCGCAAATCGATCTTTGCAAACGTCGCAGATATCTGCAAGCGGATGCACAGACAACCAGAGCACGTCATTCAATTTCTCTTCGCTGAAATGGGTACCACCGGTTCGGTGGACGGTTCAGGGCGTTTGGTCATCAAAGGTCGTTTCCAACCTAAACAAGTCGAGAACGTATTACGTCGTTATATCGGTAAGCTTAACAGCATCTACACTTTTTCTGCGCAGTGCTGATATTATTCAAGTCGAGTATGTGACATGCAAAACATGTAAATCACCCGATACGCTCCTCACAAAGGAGAATCGTATTTTCTTCATGTCCTGCGAGTCCTGTGGCTCACGTCGGTCAGTCAATGCGATCAAGAGCGGTTTCCAGGCCCAGGTTGGCAGGAGGAAGGCAACAGCGCAATGAGTTATCGTCATGTTACCAGGAAATGTATTGCTACGTTCATCGTTACATTCATTATCATCATCATACACATCGAACCCTCAATACATGGTCTGATTGAAGAAGCACGAGGTGAATACTCCATAAAAAGCCCAATGGGGAGTGAACAAGAAAGCCAAGAAAAAAATCACTAAAAATCCATAATGTATAGGCTCGTTGAAACGTTACGCAATAAGAATGCTGAGGGACACAAACCATCCCTCATGGATCGAGATCCCCAACCTTCGTCAACACTAGACGGCGTTTTTTCTTCGGGGGCTGCACCGACTTTGGCGTGACTTCCGGTGCACTACGGCCTGTGGCATTGTCGTCAATGCTAGCAGCGGGTGTGAGAGGTGGCTCGGTCCTCTTTGCGGGAACGGTAGGTGTTGCAATCGCAGGTAATGGAACTGAGGAAGACGAGGGCGTCATCATGTATGTGAGGGGCACAAAATTGTGTTGCGCGATGGACTGCAGTTGTAATGCATATTGTTGTGTGTGATATGCAGGTAAAATTTCATCAAAGATCACGATCGTGCAGTATCCATCTCGCGACGAGAGTATAAGGCACTGTCCATCAGGAGACCTATCCAGTAGTTTAATATGGACACCAGCGGCGGAAAAAGAAAGGACGTACCACGACGCATCCGTAAATTCATCATAGTGCAATTTCGTAAGCATACAGACAGGACCAGATTGTTGGGTGTCATAGATAGCAACGGCATCCATTGTCAGAACAGCATACAGCATGCGGTAAGGCAACGCAAACACGGATCCAGTGTTGGGTGGCGTAACTGCTGGGGTAGAGGGCTTTGATGGCGATGGCGTGGGAGGCTTCATCGACGATGGAGGGATAACTGATTCGGGAGCCACAACACGAGGTGTAGGCGCTTCGACATGTAGGGGTAAGTTCCTTTCCACCTTCGGAGACGGTGCCAATGCATCCTTGTGAGTTGCAGGTGCCGTGGAAGGCCCACAGATATCAACAGAAATAGACCCATCCCTGCCTTTCTCCAGTGTTCCTGTCTTGGGCTCGTTATGACCGTCTACGCCAAGTATATCTTGTCTCAATTCATACAGCACAGGAGAGAACTTGACAGCCACGCTAGCCTTCTTATGTCCAGGTAACTGGGCAATAGGAGGACGGGCAAAGTTCGCCCTTGAGTAAATGAACACCGATGACGCCGATGAAGGGTTCATTTCACTTGTAGTAATCGCAAGCTTGGATTTACGCCCGCGAGTGGGAGTTTCCTCAGCCTTGGGTTTGTTAGTGATGATGCTGGGGTCCTCGAATTGCCCTGCAGGAGTTAGCAAGAGGCCACCATCAGGGCTGAACGTTAAACGGCGGAAGAAGTTCGTGAAACTTTCATCTCCGTAGAGCTTGATGGTCGACCATGTGGGCGAAGGAAGTGCACGGATTGCAGGAAGGGGTGGCATAGGTGAGGGGGACCTTCCATATCGCGCATGATGCGCAGGAGAGCCGGGTGCATTAGATCCACTGAATGAAGACCGTCTCGAAGAAGATCTCTCAATCGGCGGAGGAGGAAACATCGATGTAGATGGAGTGCTGACTACTGACGCAGTCGGCGTCGGAGGGGCGTAGTTACCAGAGAAAAGAACATCCTCTTTGTGCTGGTCACTGACAGTAGACTCCACATCACTAGCAGCAGACTCGTGTCTGTAGGACCTTGAATGGCTATGCGAGCTAGGGGTGCGACTGTGATTGTGGGGGTAAGACATTCGTGTGTTCTTGCCCACAGCATGAGCCTCGAACGTGCCCTGCTTGGTCGAGATCCGATACACGTGCATCGAACGGTCACTGCTCTGCGTGGCAATGTATTCGTTGAGCGGGTCCCATGCTACGCCTTGAACATAGTGATTATGCTCAGCGATCTCATAAACGCATTTGCCTAAGTCAATGAGCCTGTATTCCTCACAACAATAACGCAAGAACTCACCGTCATTGGGAGAGAATACGCGCGCACAGTTGTCCGTGCTACCGGCTAAAATGTACTCCCCAGTTGGACTCCAGGCAAGGTCATACACCTGCATCGTCGTGCACCTGTCCCAGTTTTTATTCTACCTTGATCTTGAAACACGCATGAAAGTAATCTTACCTGAATGTCGTACGCGGCTTCCAGTACTCCTTTTCATATTGCAATTCATCTGCGCTCAGATCACTGCCATACGTGGCGGCCTGCGGCGTGCTGGTAGGTGCCCAAATGATGATCATGCCGTCTTTCAATAAATTCGCGTCAAATACAATTGACAAAGTATTTTAGATTCATACCATCTCCAGCAGATGCAATGAACTCCCCTAAAATCGCGTTAATAAAGTACGAAGCGCGTGTGCAAAACGCGTACCGTTAGGAGAAAACCGAACAACATTCACAGCAGCCGAGTGTCTGCTAAGTGTTGCAAGATATTCCACCCGAGCAGGTCGTGGTGCAGCACCATCTGCACCTTCTGCTAGAGACGACGGGAGAATGTTCGGATGCACCATCCATATCTTTTAGAGTCCGTGTCGGTCAGCGCGTTGGACGTGTCCGTGCGAGCTCACTCACTCTGACATGGTTGTCCTCGCCTCCTGTAGCCAGCCTATATGACTGCGCAGCAAAATTCTTCTCCTGCGTTGGACGCGCCTTTTTGAACGGGACAGGTTGAAAGTCGCAAGTAGATATTGGCTTTGAATCATGCCACCGAATCTCGAGGGTGCGGTAACGCATTTTTGGATGTTCTATGAGCGCTGAGAGGGTGTTTGGTGGTAGAATGAAGGATCCTGAGCGCTACAGGAGGAGGAACATCCGTTCACGATTGAATTTGTAACTAACAGTAACACGGATCGGAATGAAAGGCTCCTTATGTACAAAACAGACCAAAGTGTGGCCGTGGCCGACTCGCACGCTCTTGTCTAGACTCGTATTGTATCAATTACAAAAATAATGTGAAGCAGCAGCATCACAATTCAAAGCAGCATCCTCGAACGAATCTTGGAGCTCCCGATCAGCTTTCTTTTCCATATATCACTTCCAGATCCCTCAGATCGTGCTGCAACACCTTCGTCAGGTGCTGCAAACCAGCTTGCTGATTGGACAAGATCTGCAGTGTGCATGTCAGATTCGACTCTCAGAATTCATAGGTGAAAAACCCAACCTGAGCGATCTGCTTGAGGCCCTCTTCGTCGACGACCGTCCATTCAGAAGTACCGTCAAGTCCCACTTTTCTGCCTCTTTCGCGGGCGGCGTTAACAGCGCCTACAAGCGCCCACAGCTCATTCAACTTGCCTCGCATCTTACTCATCCCACCTGGTCTTTTGATCTCTTCTTCGATCTCTTCGAGCGCCACCCGCAGCGCTTCTTCTTCGGGACGTATGGCCGTGGAGCGGACAGTAGGTAACATCAAATGCATGTGCTGGATCAGGCACAGCAGGCGGTGTTGTATTTGAGATTGGATCGACTTTGCGCGTTGCAAACGAGATGCGTTGCTGTCGTTGTGTTTTGCAGATAATGATTCCAGTCGTTTCTTCAGCTCCTGAAATACAATCAATCAAGGGGGCTTTTGAGGTGTGAGAAATCGCTACAAACCATCAAACCTTTCTGCTGCTCCGTGGCTTGCCTCGATTGTCCATCTACACGCTGACGTAGATCATCAAAACCGACTGCCAGAACAGGCACCATGCTAGAGAAAACGTGAGCACGTTGATTGGCGGATGAGTCGTTGACCATACCAACTGGGATCAGGGTTATCGCGCACCGCGCGTTGCCAAAGTTCCTCGTTCGTGGCATTCGCAGGCCTGCCAAAAGCGCTCACTTGTGCTGGCGGAACGAGATTATAGAAATAATGCTGTCTGATGGGTAAGCTCACGATAACTATAAATTGCATGCGACCAACCTGAAAGCGACATCCTGGCGAAGCTGGATCCCAGGCTTGTACAATTGCCTGAATTTTTTGCTCAAGCGCTGCATATTGTGACTGAGGATCTTGTTGTTGTGCAGGTGCAGTGCTTCGTGATGCGAGAAGGGAGTTGGCTGCTGGTAAACCTAGCGTACTGCCAAAAAGCGCTCCAGTGGTAGTGCTCTGTGCAGGTTGGTTCGTCGAGCCAAACAGGGAGCCTGCTGGTTTCTGCTGCTGGGACTGGCTGAATAGCGAAGGGGTAGCGATAGGTTGCACGGATTGACCAAATAGGGATGGGGTGGTCGAGGTGGTGGTCGGCGCAGTACCAAAGATATTCGCTGGATTTTTATTCCCAAATAACGGGTTTGAGCTCGCCGTCGTACTGCCAAAGAGGCCTCCTCCAGTAGCTGGAGCTTGAGCCTGGGTGGTCGTGCTACCAAACAGTCCCCCTGACGCTGGCGCTTGCGTACTGGTACCGCCAAATGTGTTTCCGCCAGCATTTGGCTGAGTCGTCGACGTTCCAAACAACCCGCCGGTACCAGTTGCGGGCTGTTGAGTCGTAGTATTTCCGAAGAGATTACTACTCTGTGGTTGCTGCTGCTGTTGAATCGTAGTACTTCCGAAGAGACTACCACCCTGCTGTGGTTGCGGCTGCTGCTGGGTGCCTGCATTCCCAAACAAGCTTCCAGCAGGTTGAGGTTGAGTGGTCGCGTTCCCAAACAGACTTGTTCCCGCAGGTTGCGACTGCGTGTTTGTACCCCCAAACATACCGCCCGTAGCGGGCGGCTGGGTAGTTGCCGTGTTACCAAACAGACTACCGGTTGCAGGTTGCTGTTGTTGAGTACTCCCACCTGAAGCTGGTGCTTGGGTGGTAGCACCGCCAAACAGGTTTCCGCCAGTGGTTGGCTGAGTCGTCGACGTTCCAAACAGCCCACTAGTACCAGTAGCGGGCTGCTGGGTCGTAGTATTTCCGAAGAGACTGCCACTCTGTGGTTGCTGCTGCTGCTGCTGGGTCGTGGTATTTCCGAAGAGACTGGTACTCTGCGGTGGTTGCTGCTGGGCACCTGCATTCCCAAACAGGTTTCCAGCAGGTTGATTCGACGTGTTCCCGAACACACCTGTTGCCGCAGGTTGCGTTTGCGGCTGCGTGTTCGTGTTCGTACCCCCAAATATATTATTTGGGGCGGGCTGCTGGGTAGTTGTGGTATTACCAAACAAACTACCAGGTGCAAGTGGCTGTTGTTGCTGAGTGCTGGTATTCCCAGTCGCACTGGTCCCTGCAGGTTGTTGCAGCGTCGTGGTATTCCCAAACAAGCCCCCGCCACCCGCCCCTGCAGTAGTGCTCGTCGCCGTACTAGGTGTTCCGAAGAGGGTTGTGCCGGACGTAGATGGCTGGTTGGAGGCATTACCGAATATACTGCCGCCCGTTGCCTGCCCAGGCTGCTGCTGGGGGGTTGCAGTGCCGAATATGCTTGGGATTTGGGCACCAGTTGTCTGCCCCGGCTGCTGCTGGGCATTTGTGTTACTCGTTGTTTGCCCAGGCTGTTGCTGGGCGTTCGTGTTACTGAAGGCATTTCCGGAGAAGAGTGACATATTTGCACGCTTTTTGTGAGCTATAAAGCAGGAGGTAGTCCGAGGTTGGGTAGTTGAACAAGACAGAGTAAGTAGTCACTCACCTCACCTGACTCCCGGAAGATGCAAGTCGATTACACGCGATCCCGACCTTGACACTGGCAGAAGAAAACAGGTGGTGCAGGTGGTGCACGGCTTGGGATGTACGGTGTAGAACAAGGATGAAACAAGCGGCAGATGGGACACAAAGCACGATGATAATCCGATGGACGCGTTCGGCAGTTTCTTACTTTCACCCAACGCTCACTTTCTCAAGCTCAGATTTGCGACTACACACTCGAATCACGAAAAAACAAACAAAGAACCTCATAAGAAGTGGCAACTAGTGTAACATATAGCTGCACTCTGTGCGAACAACATTCTGTTCACAAAGTCTGACCAAAACTGAATCGCACAAAGGCTACTCGGCAAACAAGTTGCATTCAGGACAAACAATGACCATGGTGTGCATGTGAATAGCTAGCGACTGGCGTGACTTGCGAAAGCCCGCGAGTTACGATAGTCACACCGATATACCGGTAAGTGTTGCGTGCAGGTAGAAATATCATGCAATGGTGCATAAAAAGCATGCGTCATGTAGGGACATGTGGTGTACATGTAGTTTTGCTATGTCGTCTCCCAAGCACCACAGATATGAAAAGAAGCGATCAGAACTATGTCGCAGGCAGTCAGCTCTATACGCAGCGGGCATCATGAAGGGACATACGCGAAGGGGCTGGAAGAACCACTTGTTCTTTCCAGTCTGGTAACGCTCCTCAAGCAACTTTTTGATGTTCTTCCGTGCATCCTCCCGTTGTGATGGCTCCTTGAAGGTCTCAGCAGCCACGGAACCCTTCAAGCTCTCCAACTCCAGAGCATAACGCGTGGGGAACAGATGCGAGTAGTTAATCACCTAAGACATACGCTAAATGTCGGCTCGTGTCTCCATGTCGTAGTCCATGGTGCTCACCTTGATGAAAGGCTTAACGCGGCTTCTCCGCTGCAGCTTCTTGGCGCCCATAGTCCGCGTAACTTTTCGTGGGTAGCGTTCGATGCCAGCAACGATAGCGTGGGGGTATGGCCGTTCCTTGGTTCCCTCATCGAGTTGTTTAATAACGACGACCTTCTTGCCTGCCTGGCGGCCCTGCAGGACGATGGCGACCTAAATCATACGAGAGAGTTAGAATCACAATGACATCGGTGACACGTATGATGGAAGCACTTTTCCGGGCTTGTAAACTAGTATGAACGGTCAGCCTTTGGCACTCGTAAATGACATGGATTCTGACCTTTGGGCATCTTGACGTTGGGCGGCGCGGTGAGGATTGACTTTGCTGAATAGACTTAGGCGAGGCAAGCCATCCGGAGATTGCCGGGTATACTATGCAGTTCCAACTTAAGGTTCACTATACCGCTGAAGGTCTCAGATTGTCCTTTGTTTCTCCTAGCTGCCAGCCTGCCAATGTCATCGCTGCCGTGGGCTTTTCACAAATATAATATGCAAGACATCTATAACATGCGAAAACGTTGGAATTCCAAACAGACGAGAATCTTGTCCTCTTGCACGACCACGCAGTATCAATAATGTTTGTGACGCTCTACATCCTTTATCACGCGCTCGCCATGTTTGGACATCTATTCACTCTTCTCTCTCCATTGTGGTCGACTCTCTGGCACGTGTGGAGGTGTGCCATCGATGCTACAACGTACTATCCACCGGCGGGGCGGAACATCGTCGTCGATATCGTCACCTATATTTGCACACTCCTTGTTTGGTCGACACTCTTAGGATCTATCTTGATGCGGAAAGAAGAGGCTGCAAAGCGTGCAGCATCATCTGCACCACCACTTGTAAACTTGTTCGCTTTTCAGGTCGTTCGCCATTCCTAATTGGTGTGCTCCAGCGTGTTTCGTTGAACCAAGCAAATGAAACCCTTGAGACCGCGCGAAAGACAGTGCACAAGGCAAGGGACGAGCTCAATGAGATAAAAGACGCCTCCGCCGCCACAGCAGAGGCATTGTTGTACTTGAGGAAGGCTGGGAAGAACATGCTCGAAATACAGCAAGCGCTTCTGGAGATGGCCGACATCTTGGATCAACAAATAGACCGACAGTTTCCTCCCGTCAATTCGGGTAGAGCGAGATGAGTGCGTCAGTTATCCGCTGGCTCGTTCGCTCTGCAGTACTTACAGGCTCATATTTGAAGCAGATATGATTTGCAGGGTTTGCCAGTGGTTTGGATAGAGAAATTCTTGTGTACATGCGACATCCAATTGTTATCTGCCAGTGTAGTTTGTAGTGCCCATCGACACAGCGTATATATGAATTTTCTGTTGGGTTATAGTCGTCATAATCCAACTGATAATTCTTATACACGCTGTTTTGGTATGGGGATAGATACAACGAGTCTCAAATTAGACACCTGCATGAACCAATACGATCTGCTACTCCAACCGAGTCTTCTTGCGCAACATATGATCTTCCCCAACGGTGTGCGATGCTCCCGCATAATATAGAAATGACGACTGTCTCCTTCGTCTATAGTTTGGCTAGTTCTCGCCCCACGTTTGCAGTCCAATCTCCCCCGGTCATCGTAAAAACCAGAAACACAAAGCATCTATCACACCATTGATATCGCATTGTGAAATCCGGAGAAATGCATCGCCGCAGCGGATGAATCGTCTCATCGGTGTTCGACTCATTCCCCACGGTGATAAGGCAAGCCGACAAGAATGCAAACTCCGAATGCTGCAAGTGTATTTGTATGATGCCCCAGGGCACCAAAGGCCTGTCGTGCACGAAGAAAGACTGAAACGGTTGTCGGAGTTGAAGAAACTAGTATTCAGATCCAGTAAGAACCATGAACAAAGTGTCATCGGAGATATGTGTTGCCTATCGCGACTTTAGGTAGAGGAGTATCTCGACCCAGCATAAAAGTAAGGGGCTTATCGTGTCCGATCACCGGTCTCCGATACGCGACAAGTTGGTCGCGACTCGCCAGTGTCGAGCAGTGGAAAGCCCAATAACCCGTATTGTGTACCCGTATTGTGAACCGAGCACCAAGGGATTGCGCGGTGTTCCGCGTAATTTTAACTTGGCGCAAGTACAAGTAGGTGGGCAGCTAGTCGCAGTAGTAATGCGACATGATATTCTGCCCATACCTATTTTGCTATTCGATTGAAACTTCGGGACATCAGATAAGTACTAGTACGACGAAGTCGAACAAAATCCTCGTACTTCCTGCACAGTACCCGAGTTGTTACACACGACCACCAGTTGAAACATATATGTTCTCTTGGAAAGCAATTGGAGTCATGTTCGTTATTGTGTCGTAGTCAGTCATGACTTGGAGCTTAGCATGATACTCTCGAACGCTCAGGATGAGGCGTGGTCCGAGTACAAACATCTGCACGAGCGAGAAAATTTGGAGAGCACCATAATAAATATCGGTTCCCACAGAAGACGAGTCCTATGGAAGTGATGAATAATGGTTGCATGCACATATGAGTGAAACGCACGTACCAAAATTGCTGGAGAGGAAGAACCGAGGTTGAAGCAAGAAACAGCAGCAAAGCTAGCACGTCGAAAACTTCAGTGGAAAAGGGTATCGACATTCCTTAAATTACGAGCTCACCATGCAAAGTAAACCACATGAGATTTTATTAACACTGTGAAGCAGTCCCCGACGGTCCGTCTGGTCGATGAACGTGGCAATTCACGGAAGTGTTTTACAACAATCCAGACTGCAAGACACAATGCGAGGACCTCCCATATTGTGCCGAGTATCCAAGTCTCCGCAGCCTGAACCCTGTTGCTTCCCTGGTAGATGCACTGATAGGTGCCGGAGAGGACGAGCTCCTCTATTATTCATCTCATGAGCCTGATGTGCTTATAATTTTATTCATAATTAAAGCTTACCCCCTGAAATATAGCTGCTCTGTTTTACGACAATCACCGTGCTGGCGATTGTGAGAGCTAGGAAGATTACAACGAGAAAGACAAGTATCTTTCTGGATCGTTGATACATGGCATGTAGCCGAGCGATCATGATGACTTGCATGATGTTTTCGTCAATCCAGTATCACTGAGGTATTGCAACTGACTAGCTCACCGCCCAACATGGCATTTACAACTGCAGACATCCAACATAGTGTGATATTCATAATATTGCCTGAAAAACATAATCAGTAACGAGCCTAGGAAGACCAAATACTCCAAACAAACTCACAGCTGTTTGAATTAGTATATTGAAGCAACACGTTGGTCGATCTCACTCACCCCTACATAGGAGTGCAGTCAATTGGAGGAGAATGGTAGTATCAGCGCAGGATACTCACATCATCTGTCACCGAGACTGACGGAAGACTCTCTATATGCCGCCTGTGAGAGGAAACGAACAACATAGTATGTGAGGAGACATACGTAGTATGAAGACGCTGATCATGAGAGATGGCTTATTAGCGCAGCAACAAATTGTTAGCCACCGAACATACACGATATATGGTATTCCACCATAGCGCATCTAGAGTATTTTTCAGTCAGTACAACTTGCCAACTTCGCTTATAACATTGGGTGCGCACACCAAGAAATAAAACAGTCATGATGGACCAACGTTGCCTCTGCGCCGAACAAGTTATATTGATATCTTCTTCTTCTAAAGTTCTTATATGGGACGCTGCTCACCCAGACTAGTTCAACCTATAAAACTATGCTTAATTAGTCGGCCGGTTCGGAAATGAATCAACCCACCTCTTGTCCGAAAGTTAGCGCTGGTGATACCATAAGGATATCAATAATTCTTTAACACTATCTTGCTTACCCCAGTCGTATACCACCGCAGCAGAGGCGGCAACTGTGAAATCAAAGTTAATATTAGATCGAGACTCATCACCGACGCCATCCGACTGACTCTCTACGCACCTACAAAATAGCTGAGAATGCGATATGAATTGATTTGTGGCCATCAACTGGGATCACTTGAGACTAGGGTCATGTCCGAGGGATTTGGCGACAGAGCGGCGATTCTGCGAATGCGGTGGACGTATAACTGATGCGCGTTCGAGCTAGATATAACACCACTCACATTCTTACGGCATGACACCGGAAGAGTCAGACATGTGAAATTGGATGAGTATGTAGGTCCAAACTCTGAAACACGAACAGGCTGTCTCAGATAACTCACTTCCTACCCCGGTGCCAACACCCCCCACCTCGAGCACACACCTCATGTCGAGTCTCCCAATGTACCCCTTCCTCTTCCCACTGAGTTCTCAGCAGGATGCAAAAAAATCGATAAGGTAGCATTCTGATGCAAACCCGATATAAAACACAATAGTACACTGAATCCATTAAGCAGTTGACGGCATTGGCGTTGCATCAATTTGCACAGCAAGGTGATGTTATCTCATTGATCGCCTGTAATTGGTTTGGTGAGGATGCGAAATTCTTAACAAGCCCGTGTCGCATGCACTTACTTCCGCTCAATGATGCGCCATTCTGAAGATGGTACCTACTCAGAAGAGTTTGAGATCGTTGATTTGAGGAAATTTCGCTCGAGTCATCAGTATTGATGTCTTGCGCGCCTGCAGCGGGAACCTACGTTGATGTTAATTGTCCACACAGATAAAAAATGCTTATTACTACGGAACAGCACTGTCCAAGTATTCGCCATCCCTGACTTTTATGCGAGATCTGGTACAATCTGAACAAGAGTCTTCACAGAATAAATGACGGATAAGTAACAACACAGACAAGTATGTTGGAGTCCGAAACGTCCGAGTCAGTGACGACAGCCGAGGAGTAGGATACAAGCGTAATCGAAAAGGGCTCGAGCGAGCGACACTTTGACGTCGGCTCCAGCTCGTCCATATTGCAATGTCTCGTTTGCTACGATACGTATATTTTTCATCTCTATGCTAACTTACCATAAAGACCCGTTTACATTCGTACGAACATCTCGATTCTCAGCTCCTTCAGAGACTGAGATGTAAGCCCCAGTTATTTTTCCTTTACATTGCTAACGAGTCGTAGATATATTGTTTTCTATCAGCGTCCCGTCCCGCTCGTTACTATTCACTTTAAAGTAACCTTCGTGCGTTGGAAACAGGGAGTGAGGCATTGCTTCAAGAGCTGGAGCAGCACAAGGGGAAGGGAGTATGAGGTGGGCCATCCTGCCGAGTCAGGCTGCATTTCCAACAATAAATAACTCGCGTCCTGCATCGCTCGGGCGGGTCACAGTGGCAGGACCATGGTGCCAGGAGGATCTTCGAGTGTGACAAGAAGGCTTAGCGGGCGGTGTCGTGAACGGTACCTCGCGTAGTAGGTACTAGTTGGCTGAGCTTAGCGCCTCAGCACCTTGTTTCTGTTCCCCACTTGGACTCGAGTTACTTTGGACTGTGCGGTCAACTCACGAAAGTGTTTCACGTAGGATCTCTTACCTGGTTTGTTCTGTTCCGACGCCAAATCATCAGATACAGTAAGGTCAGATCATGATGGACGGCCATCCGCTACATTATAAGGCGATTGACAAATTACAATGCGACTGTCCTTCGGCAATGACATGCCCGAGCGTCCAATTCTATATTTCTCGTTTCAGCCCTGAGTGCAGCATGGTGTTGTGTATGAATATGAATTAAGTACGTACATTCCTAGTCTCCCCTGGGCAGAATGATGAAGGTCGTCTCTTCTCCACTAAGCCTGAACCAAGTGGAGATTATCAGACTTGAAACACGCGGTTGATAGGAACATGCTGTCAGCGGCGTACCGGTAGACAAACCTTCTTAATTTTTTATGATGATCTGCGCGTCACGCATTCATGAACGTTCTGTTTCAGGAAATAAATGGAACGTCCTTCTGTAGTCTTCAGACTTCTTTAAATTCCAGGCCGTAGGCCTTCGTATATCTCTTACAATATTCAGTGGCCCATTATCGATGATATTGTCTGTAGCACTCATAATTAGCCTGACCACTCCGTCAACGTACGTTACATAACAGTACTACTTACTAGTATCATTGCAACAAAACTTTAGTTTTCAATTAGCTGAGGAAGGTTAGAATCTCGTAGGCGACAATCATGACACACCTAGATACATAATAGACAAAACTTATGTTTATGCTATATTGCGCTAACCTGACGCGGCTTGAGCATGACGGTACTAGGTACCAATGAATCGCGCGCCAACAGGCATCAACCCGCACAGGATTAGAGCATGAGAATACTTCTGTGACTCTGCCATTTGCATCGAGGTTCGGGACATGTTCGGCCTGTCATGTCAACAAAGTGCCTCCGTTTACATCGAGGTTCGAGACATGTTCAGCCTGTCTCGTCGGCAAAGTGTCTCACAAATTTAGCGACGGAACGACTCAAAAGTTACGCGGACGCTTCAACTCATCACTGACACCTGTCAGCACCTGTCGTGATCGAGGATTCACGATCGCCTTCGATCAGCAGAAGCGGCAGAAAAGATAATAATTATGTAGTCTGGAAATTGACCAGTCCAGTTGGTAAAAACTAGTCAAAGTAGGTCGAATGTAGCACTCCATTACATAAACAGCGTAGCCATATAAGCGATCTGCACGAGGGAGCAACAACAACGCAACAAAACAATAACGTAGGCGGATTTGCCTGGTGAAGGTGAAGAGAGTTCAAAGCCGCGGAGGTATCATTAATGGACTTCGAACAGAAAAGAGTGGAACGTGTGCAGGCATGGAGCCGAACACCGAGCGAAATGATTGTTCCCTTATAGGTAGACGTTGACTAATTATTGCAAGCGTAAGCGCATGGATACGAGAATATCAGAGAACAAACGTACTGGGACTGCAACCAATGTTTATGAGGCCGTTGTATTCGTTGTTCTCACAGCAAACGGGTTCTTGGTTGCTGATGGTAGAGGAATTTAATTCTCGCATGATGAAACATGCACTGCAAAAACTCACCAGCTGGCGCCACTGCCAGTTCCGACGGCGGTAATGGGGGAGCAGCTCATACCGACAGAGGTACCGACAGGGACGAAGACGTTCAACAGAGACAACAGCTCATCGAGTGTGTCGCTCTTCCCACACTCTGCAACGGAATCGCAACACTGGACAGAACCAGTGTTACATTGGCCAGTGCTCGACGGAGAGGTGCGTTTGGCGCCTTTGGGATGGATTAGAGCGCGTCGACCTACAGAAAACGGTATACATACGTTCAACAGGGGAAGCCCGACGAGCGGGGGCCATGGGAGGGAGACCACGCGCCATTCTTTCGCCGTTGGTTTCAGCGCTTACTACAGTAGCAGCTACGGCCAGAGCAAGGACAGACGCGAACTTCATTATGTTCTACTTTGTTTCTAGAGGGGTACGAGGGTACGAAAGGACCAGACAAGAAGACAAAGGAGACTTAAGGAGAGTTGGTGAAGGAGTGGTTGGTTTGATAGAGAGAGAATTTTATAGGGCGGGCAACTAATAGGATGAATGGTTGAATGAAAAGAACCGTCGCTTACCGAATTCAGCTAAATACCTCCGACCAGGATCTAACGGCATCTCCATAATCGAAAATCTTCCTAATTTCGTGCGATCCGATATCGGGTCAGACTGCAAGATAACAAAACTACATAGAACAAGTGTACAGTGAACACATGAAAAGAACACCCTCCCCACCGCCATTTCACCCAACCATGACATCTAACCGGTCAAATGTTTTTAACAGAAGCCTGTATGTAGCCGAGCGCACGCTTATGGCTGAAGAAAGTTTCAAATGTGAACGTACACTAGGCCCGTCTCTCAGATCACGATGGCATAACCGGTAAGCATATATTATTCAATTCAAATTCAAATAATAATTACCCATGCAACGTTTGGTCTGGACGCGCGTTCTATCTCCTTCAAAATTTTCATCAATGGGATTTAGTGACGAACGTGCCGTAAGAGCTCGTAAGAGCCGGAGGCCAATGATGCCCGTCCAGGAGTACAAGGGAGCCTATAGAGATCCTAGAAATACCGGCAAGATAGAACGCTCCATGGCAGGTCCTGACTCTGGCAAGCGGCAAGCTCCGTGGCGCACTTACACCGAGACATATCGATGTCGAGGCGATGGCGGATATTCGGCAATCTATTCTTGTGAAACGTTTTACAGTAGATGCGGCAGACATGTCATTCTGCAGACTCTTCTGCATGCATCACACGCGTTTCTGATAGTTTTCTGATGCCGGCATAACTTGGCGCGTTTTTTGAATGATGTAAGTACCTGTCGGGTTGAGTTAGCCACAGGATTCTAGGCCTCCTCCGTCTACATCGCATACTTATTATAACCCTGGTCTTTACAGGCTACTCCTTCCCTTAACGATGGACTCATCAATCACTAGCCTAGGGACTTCGAGTTCTCGTTACCGTCCCTTGCCCTGTCGAGTTCATGGTTTTAGCATTCGGGCTGCCAAGTAGCGGTGTATTAATACCAACATCATGGCTTGGGCGTATGTATGACACCCCTTACTTACCAATGGCAAGCCCGTCTCATAGCACTTGGGAGATCAAGGGGCGCGTAAGGGCGCATGCCCTAAAGATGACGTCTTATCGTCTTACAATTGGTATTTCCCGCCGGAATTGATGTCCGCACAATTGATGTCCGCCAAGCCGATTTCGTTCTCAGTTCACAGCCTCCCGTGACCTCCGTCCCTGAGGTTCAAATCACGGCCGACTGGTCTGGTTCTTCCCGTGGGGCACCGGGCGAGTCGTGGAGGCCGCAGCTATGAGTTTGACATTGACAGCTCACGTCTATCGCCGCCGCTTGCTAGCAATGTTTGCATGCAGGGTGTTACTAACAGCGTCAAAGAGTTGGCGGGGAAATGAAAGAAGTCAAAAGGACACGTAACGTCTCTTCAATGATGTACACGCTCCACTACACGCAGATCACACCCGTGGCGATCGAAGGTGGGCACTTGGTTACGACCTGACAGATTTGAAAACTGTAATCTCGCCTATCGCAACTTATTTGAGAGTTGAAGACGGTATTATCTCATCAACACCTTAGTACAAGCTGATATGAGCGAGCAACGAGGAGCCAATGCAGACGTTATTATTACCTTTGATATGAAACGAGCAAGGAGTGAATACAGACCCAATTAATTGTCGCAATTCAGTGAATGCCCCCTCGTGATCGTAGGCTAGTATTAATGAGGTCTGTAATCGCTCCTCGATGCTCGTTTCATAACAGCCTAGATGATGGAGGGTGTTGAGTAGATATTACCGTCATCGACGTACTTGTAAGAGCAAAGGCGAGAGAATTCAGCGAATATACCCTTAAATCGATTTTAGGCTAGTCCCTTCGCTGAGCTGCGGAATATTCCTCTCCTAGTACAAGAAAGGTTGGACGGGGGTACAGGTACTTATGACAGCGCGAGAATGCATGGCGGTAAATGATGGAGTACAGAAGACGAAAATTGCGCGGGGGCCCGCAAGGACCGGACACCGTCTTTCTATCTAACGTTTCTCGATGATCGTTAGAGGGTCAAAATAGTCAACAATGGAATTGTAACCCATTGGGACACACCAGGGCGTACCATGGCAGTAGGATATTTACAGACTGCCCCTGGGCTCCTGTTATAGTGTCACGATGCTTGATAATGCTAAGATTACGAAGGGAAGTAAATTACAAATTGCGCGAAATAGATGCAAATGATAACCATCAAGTGTCAGGTCGGTTGTCTTGCGGGAGCGAAGGATCTGTAAAACTGTGGTTGCACTTGGTACAGACGAAGAATAAAATCATCCGGGTCTCCTTCCGTTTCGACTGGTCCTGGTAGAAGACAGCGCTAGAGATGAGTAGAAAGGCAATATCAGTAAAGGCGAGCTAATTTTGTCGACATCGCGCACTCGTCTTGGCCGCAATGCGGACATGTAATATTTGAGTGTGCCTGACAGAATCAGATGAGATGGTATAAAATGATGCTGATAGGTAAACTGAACCAATGTAGGATCTGATCCAAGGTCCGTCGTGATTCCTACTTGTTCCCTGTTGGATTTGAAGGTCAGTATGGTACAGAAATAAAGTGCTGAAGCAAATAAAGCACTTACTTGGTGACCGTTAACAAATCATTCCTATAGACACACTTATTCTCGCCGATCTCCTCTTCATTACATATTCTGCAGGCGTAGACCATGATGCGACGTCCAGTGTCGGCTTTTGGATAAAGCAAATTATTGCATTCCGAGCAGAAGTGGAGTGAAGCCTGCGTGTAGCAAGGATTACCAGAGCATAAAAACGGTGATAAAAAGACAGCACGGGGGCATGGAAGATAATTAAACGCGTTTAGCAGCAAATTGCAGCAAGGGAGGCGAAAGACAGACCATCGCAGGTATCAGACTGAGTAAGATCGAGGCAAGATGAATTTCGATCTCCGACAGCGCGTCGCGACATTTCTATTCCGAACTCAAGACAACGGACGGTCCGAGATCAAGTATTTGGCCATCCCCGGCTCTATCGCTTTACATGATTTGTTAGGTGCTCGACGAATTTTTCATGAGCCTTCATTATTGAAACGTGGTATTAGCAAAACGTACGTTCAAATGGATCTATGCCGGTCTATGGATACTACGGATATGCTTTGCGCTTCTCGGAACTGGGTACATTCACCCAGATGAACACATGCAAAATGGAGAAGTTACCTCAGGTGAGTCTGAACCTCGTGAGCCTCTTGCTACTCTAACAATAGAGCCTGAATTATTCAAGGCGACCTCCTAGCATATCACACCATCCGTACTTGGGAATGGTCTACGGCACTTCCTCTCCGCTCCATAGTACCGGCATTTACGACAACTGGAATCCCTGTCTGGTTTGTTAAGTTCTTCTTAAGCAGTGAGAAAATTATGCTAGAACTACGTCGTATGTCTCATACGACCTGTTTAGAGAAACACTTGACACAGGGGGTGCAGCCTGCGTTGCTTTTTCGATTGGAACGGTTCGCCTTCTTGGTCATATCTGGGCTTCTTGGTATATCGTCTGAATGCGTCTCTGCAGTTCATGAAGCTCAACATGCCTCAGATTATAGCTTAATGAATTTAGTATCCCCGCCAAGTGACCGACGACTAGGTCTTCTACTTTTGGCATCATCTCATATCACAAACACGTTCCAGGTTCGACCATTCTCGAACTCTATCGAGGCGGTGCTCGTCGCTTTGAGCCTCGCGCTCTCGCGTAAGATAAACTCAGTTAAGACGGTGGAGAAGGTCAGTTTGTGCCGTTCACGACTTCTCGAAGTTCTTGATCCCTAACTTATCGGCAGAGTTATTTTCTCCATTTACTAGCCATAACCTTCGTGACCGGTATATTCACTCGCCCAACCTTCTTGATATTCGGGGCACCTATCGCGTATCAGGTGGCGCTTCGGACATTTACATGTGCCGGAACTGCAACCAGGTGGCTGCGCCTTGTTGTCCCACCATTTTTCACTGCAGCAGTTGTATGTGCTGCATTTCTGGTGGCGGATACCCTCTATTTTCGAGGCACCCTTGACGATCTCGTGGTGACACCTGTTAATTTCCTCAAGTATAATTTTTCGTCCCATAATCTGGCAGAACATGGACTCCATCCACGTTGGCTGCATGTTTTTGTGAACCTTCCGATGTTGTTTGGCCCCTGGGTCCTTTGGCTAGCGGTGCGCGCGATCGTGGACTGTACCACATCGTTTGGCGAGAAGAATGGCAAATCATTTGAAGTGGATATTCTTTGCCCGAGTAAGGGCTCGTATGCAGTAGCACTCGCAACCGCTAACGGGTTATTCGCTCGCAGCAATCATACAAATGATCATTTTGTCGTTGACTGTCCTTTCTATGCAACCTCACCAAGAGCCTCGCTTCTTGGTGCCTCTTTTACTGCCTATCATCGTCTTAATAACAAACACCGGACGATTGGCCTGTGTTGGCAAGGCATTCTGGGTATGTTCACACATTGTAGTCGGTCAATGGGGCTAACAAATGTATAGGTATCCTGCTCCATCTTCAACTTGGTGCTTGCGGTTCTATTTGGAATTTTGCATCAAGGAGGCGTAGTGCCCTCCCTATTCCACCTCCATTCCGTGGTTGCTGATGCCTCCCTTGGTACGCGTACAAGCATCATCTACTGGAAGACGTACATACCCCCACTCCACTTCCTCGGCGTCGACGGACGAGGTTGCTTCACTTACTTCTATGCAGGCATGATTACTGACGTGGTCACTCAGATGTCACATCTGACATAATTTCTTTCACTGATCTGGCTGGGGCATCCCAAGATGACTTCGTTGCGTCCATCAGTGCTGGTGACTACAACAGGACGTTCATCGTGACCCCTGTAGCTATGTGGTCCACGTTACCTCCTGCACTTACGAACTGTATGGAACTAGACAAGGCCATTTTTCCGCATCTCGATCTTGATCATATTCCGGAGAGCATGGATGCAGGTGTGCTTGATGGCCTTCGTTTAGGGGTGTATACTTTGGCACCCAAATGTATCTTTGTTTGATTTATTGATGTACTGCATAGCGAATGCATATAACGGTGGATGCTGGTGGAGGGGCTGGGCGGTGGCCCTCACCGACTGTAACCACCACAGCACGATACAAATGTTTTCTCGGCGATTCGTGAACATGGTTGCCGTCGCGTGATAGAACATCTTGATTTAAGACTATAATCTTCGTGTACTGACTCCGTTACAAAGTATTAATCACTGATAATAGATGCCTCTCTGCACAGACTCGACGCATAACTTGAAGTAACGAAATACACGACGAACTTCCTTTTCCTTTTCCCTCCCGAGTTCCAATTTATGTAGTGGCCAATCCGCTGCATATCAATTCTCCACGGACAGTAACCTGCACTACTGAGAGCAACTGCTCAAGGATACCCACGTCAACGTCGTCGGGCGTCTGAAAGTCTACCACTCGCACGCTGCAAGATGCAGTGGCTGCAAGCGCCGCCATAAGACAATCAACATTTTCCTTGACTCCCCCACCACAGTCAATTTCTGCAACATGGGAAAACGAAGTCTTCGACAAAATCGTCCCTATCACGACTTCGAGGGGGAGAGTCATATTCAAGGCAAGAATGCGTTGCAGAATGACCTCTAGCACCAGAACTTGATGCAATTCCATCCACTACGATGGTCTCCAGACGAGGGGAAATCTCTGAAGTGGAGCATATGGACTGGGGGGAAGCGCTGTGGATATGGAGGTGATGTAAATTTTTGCAGGTAAGAGCAGCTGCAGGTATGATGTCAACCGGCCATTCATCGTCGATGCGTAGGCGACGGAGATTCGGTGCATTGAATCTGATGAAAGTTGACCAGTTACACTCCAAGGTTCTCAACTGAGATGTGTCGAACTTATCCATCCATTCGTATGCGCTTGACACACCAAATGCCGTTTCCCAGCGCCTCCTCTCGACACAAAGGATCACGAGTAGTGGAGGATCTACCTGTGCGGAACGCAACATTCGTGGGGATGTAATGTAACCACTATCGTCACTGAGGCGGTGTGGGGAGGAGGAGCGTTCGATGTAGAGGGCGAGAGGGCGAGAGGGCGACTGCCAGACTGGGTGAGCCAAGACTGGAGCAGAGACAGAAGGAATGGCTTGAATGCTTTAGCGAGTCGCCCGGGAAGCGCAACTTTGATGCGCGACCAAATGCTCGTCGTTGCATGTGAAATGACTCTCCAACGGCGACACACCCGGGTGAAGGGTAGGGATGGGCTGGAAAAATTGGCCGAGACAGTATTTTCTCCAATAAAGAAAATACTAGAACAGTCTGGCAGACCGTTGACGGTGAGCAAGAACACGTCCTGTAGAAGTTCCTCGGGCAGCCAGCGAACGGGGGGGTCCTGGGTGATTCAGGTTAACGGGAGAGACTTCTGAATGTTCTGAATGAGTGGATTCGGACAAAGCATCGATTCGCCGCCCTGCAGGTGCTTTCATGTTCTTCTCGCGAAAGCTTTCAGGCGAAGAGCGTAAATTGCGAGAAATAGGAGGTGAGTTTCAAATAACACGTGACAAGTGCTAAAGTAAGTCCGCGCACCAGGCACCTCAACCGCGACTCTGCCACTCTCCATATCCGCGGTACATATGGTCGGTATGGCATCTTCTTGGGACCTCGTGGCATACGATATATCATATAGTTTCGGTGAGACGTTCAGATAGTCCAGCATATTCACGATCATCTTCACGTCGATGTGCAGTAATTATCTAGATTTTCATGCAGCACTCTTATCGGGAAAGTCATTCGCATCGACTCCTCCCTCAAAGCCTCAAAGTTCGTGGTCAAACGCCTGGACGGTCAGAGATAAAAAAATTAATTGATGGCTATTTCCACGCAAGAACTGTGACACGGGTAGTATGCAATTTCTGATCAGACATCTTCTCCGCTACTTTTTGCTTCTGACTCCTGAGAATGCCTCGACTCCTTCCAATGATGCACTGGTCAATCTGGATCCATATCGGTGTGCTTCAATGAGGCTGCGTGATCCACGTTCGCTGATATTGGCCAAGCACGCGTACAGAGCATGCCTCATCATAGCATCGTGCTGTGTCCGCAGCTTGAAGGTATAAGCAAGTCGCCCCTCTCCCCAAATGCAAGGTCAACTATCCCAACCACCAAAACAATCAACATGAGCTGGAGGAGTCTTGACAGCACTCCAGACCTTTCTCGCCTTCCGCAGACAGTAGTGACAGTCCCGTATCCATCATCAGAAGGCTTTGCCTCGCGTCCAACGAGCGCTCTCTCAGCTTCTCAGTTATCGTTTAGCTCGCCTGTTTCCCGGTCTTCACGCTCGCCCTCAGCATACACAAGACTTCCTGGACTGCTCGCCCAGTCATCCGTGATCCCAAGCCCAGGTCGAGTCTGTAAAAAGCATTACCTCGTTCTTCACAAAGCTCAGGTCCGTTTCGTCTGCACCGAGACACTCCGAGTTTTATTTGCAAGATGAATTGTCTGTCTTCCTTGTAGGTGATCTATGCTTATAACTTTTCGAAAATTTCTAATAAAAGATATCTCGATCTAACAGGTAGAAGGGGTGTTATTCCGTGTACACCGCTTTTTTTTTGCAGCGCGAGTCGGATGTGTTCCGCACTATGTTTGTGTGCCCTCCGACACAAGACGGCCCTGAAGGACACAGTGATGACAGGCCGATCATCTTGCCTGAAGTCACAGTCGCTGAGTTTGAGTGCTTGCTTAAATTCCTCTACGATGGGTACGCCTCCCCCAAATCTCACTGTATCTCGTACTCATATCAGCTACCTATCTCTCAGGAACTTTACACCATCTCCCTTCTCAACGGCGGAAGACTGGGTCAGACTGCTGTCGATTGCAACCCGCTATGGAATGGAGCGGATCCGTGCGAGAGCGTTGCATGAACTGGAGTACCTCCCACCGCTTGATCCCATCCAGCGGGTTGTCCTGGCTCGGAAGCATGATGTGCGGGAGTGGCTGTTGCCCTCTTACGTAGCGCTATGTTTAAGGCGGCAGCCTTTGAATGTGCTCGAGGCCGTAGAACTCGGGCTGGAGACCATGGTCCTGGTGGCAATGGGCAGAGAGTCCGTGAGGGACCCTGGTACTCTGAAAGATTTCGAAGACGCCAGGGAGTCATTGACCTATGAAGAGTTTATGACGGATGTCGTCGCTGACGTATTTGGGATGAGAGATCTTGGAGGACTCAGGTGCTTGAACACGTAACATGTACACGTCAAAGGGTTGAAGGGGGTACATTCTGACCTAATACGATTGCAACATTTAATGGTGACGATACAATGGGGTACAATTACAAGAGCAAGTATGTTTGATATGTTGTTTTGTGGTAAGTTCGACGAAAATCGTCAAGAACATCGTAAAATGGCAAGCAAACAAATCCGGTTCATGCGGACTTTATGCTGGCAGTCTGGCACAGATGTCAGGTTCCCCGTCCCGCATCATTTGTGAGGGATATGACGTACCTCCGCATTGCCAGTGATAGCGACCGGAGGCGACCTGGTGGGCGGAGATGTGGACGCAGCAGAAGAAGTGCGCGCAATCGTGGACAAATCGATGTCTATAGACAAAAAAAAGTAACGATTGGCTGTTGCATGCGTCAAATTCCACAGTGACTGACCTTGTGCCTTGAGTACGTTCTTCCTGATCTGCCTAGCACTCTGCCTTTCTTCCTCAGTGAAAGAGTTGGCCCGCTTCTGGACGGGCTTCTTGGGAATGGCTGGAGAACGTGTTATAAGCGTGGTGCATGACGATGGAGCCAATACGTACAATTGTTGCGTTGCTGATTTGTGGTGGCTTCCTCTAACTCTTCTTCCTCTTCATCTGCGAGTGCAGCGGCCTCAAGGTAGCGTTCATCATTGATGCTGCCCCAATTGTGCTGGCCACCGCCGTTCTTGCGGACGGACTTGTCAAGGCCAGACTTGGACTCAGAGCGATCCCTCAATAAGGCACGAGGGAAGCCAGCGCGTTCTGTGCGAGTCATGATGAGCCTGTGTAGTGATGAGGTCTGGTGGTGGGGATCAAAGTTGTCGTGTGTTGGGAAAGTAAAGATTGAATGTAGGAAAGAGGAAGGCTGGTAGTTAGCTTTTATACCTTGGAGTTCTTGCCTGCCACGCCACTTGGGATTAAAGATTCGAGACAATTCTAGGACTCGTGATCAGAACAACAACCTTTTTGTTAGTTTTTGTTCCAACCAGGGCACGTTGATCAATCCCGTGAATTTAGTTGTACCTTACTTGTTCCACTAGTGCTGCGGGACACTTGTACTAACCCCATTAACATCTGACAAAACTTCAAGGTCGTCTGACGAGGTCCGACGCCTATCCCCAGTTTAAGAATGCGGGGAAACGTGGGAACATTCATTGACGCACGTGGCCCCACACATCCGAGTCATCACACGCAGCGCGGAAACAAAGCTTTAGATCAACATCTTTGTACTTACAATAACTCTTTGACAACAGGAAAAGAGCTCTTTGGGAAGTCGTCTAGACTACCTACCTATGAATGGGATAACGGAAGCCGCAGTTCAATCTCTCTTGCGATCATCTGAGGATCTGAAGGTGGCACTCGAAGTCGAGGTCATGCAAGACCACGGTGGCCTTTCAAGCTCTTCCGCAGCTGAACGATCCAGACGTGTTGTGGCCGTAGTGTCACACAGAAAGGATTACGTGGGAGATGAAGAAGGCAGGTGCGTAACCTGTTTCCTATGGCAACAATTCTCGCCGCAAGATCCGCTGCTTTCATGCACAGAATCGGAATACGTCAGGCCCCAGGGTCTTTCCCCCACTTTTTTTGAAGTCATGCTCGTTTAACTTTCTATTGACTTTGTGGGAAGTGTGATAATTCTTAAGCGCACTCCGGGTCACTCCGTCGACGACTTGAGTATTGAAGTTGCGTACCCGATCTCTGGAAGTTTTTCGTTCTCTGTCGCGCAGGCACGGCGAAAAACTTTAGACCTTCGCGCATCTGTGGGAGAGACTGCACTGAATCAGTCGCGATCAGGTGCGTAAATGCGGCCGATGCAGTAAGTCACGTTCTCATCACATCGACAGAACTCACTTTGACTATCAAGTATGAGCTGTCTACTGGAACACGAAGCCATACTTTGATCGCACGAGATACGCGGAAATTGCAGTCCTTCACCGCAGAATGCAGACGCTTGAAGGACATATTCAGTTAGCCTTGCTTCCTTTACGTCCCCCACATCGACTTACCAGTGCATCCACTAATGGTAGCTAGAAATGAATCTGATACTGACTTCTCTTGGCTGTCACTTTACATACAAGAGAGCTCTTTGAAATGTAGGCTACCTCCCATCACGTAAGTATAGCATACGCAATCTGACCTGATACCAGCCTTTCTATCTCCTATAGATTTGCGCATGGTTAACACGCCGTTGCACACACAACTTTCGCCAGCCAGTGCAGGGCTTCCAGGAGACGATACGGCCGATATCGGCATTGTCCGCAAATATTGGATCTACAACAAGGCAATCGAAGAAGCTTCCACTGGGTCATCGACGCGCTTGCTGTATGCTCGCCAATTATGCTCTTGAAATATTTTAATGAACAACTTCACTCGTGGACAGCATCCGCACAGGGACATTCAATGTCAATGGGAAGATGCCGTCGCAGGACCTCTCTCCCTGGCTCAGACCAACGAAGCATGAATCAGAGAACTCTGGATGGATCTCACCTTTGAAATCAATTTCGCCACTCGACATACCTTCAGACCCAATCGATGAACGTCAGTGGCGTTTGGTCGCTTATGACAATTTGTCATTGATTGCACCCCACTCCTTGATTTAGAGGTAGCCAGCAGCCTAGGAGCCGTCACATTGGCTGGTGAAAGCTTGAACAACGACGTAATTGCCTCTGATCCAGATCTCCTTGTACTAGGCTTCCAAGAACTGGACCTTTCAACCGAAGCCCTGATATATGCCACCAGCGCCGTCAGGGAAGATGCATGGGTGGAAGCCATCTTTGCTGGGTTGGGTGAGAAAGGTATTCTCTATGAAAAGGTAGTGTTCCACCCGTTTCTCTACTGCGATACAATGTACAATGTCTGTCAGATCGCCTCAAAACAACTGGTCGGCATGTTTATCGTTGCAATTGTGAGGAAGTCGCGTCTGCAATGCTTTGGCGACGTCAGATTTAGTACCGCTGGTGCAGGAATTATGGGCATTATGGTACAGACGTGAACATTCTTTTCATGGCATTTGATCAATATTCATCATACAGGGCAATAAAGGCGCAACAGCGATACGGATGACATACACACCTTCAGCTCCACAGATCTCGTCGAGCCCCATAGTGCTCACTTTCGTTAACGCACATCTCGCAGCATTTGATGAAATGATAGAGAGGCGAAACTTCGACTTTCACGAACTTTCCAGGCGCCTAGTCTTTGATCAGACTGACGGGCTTGATTCTGATGCTAATATAGCACTGGAGACTCCGAGACAGATTGTTGGGTTGTTTGAAAGTGACGTATTATTCTGGATGGTGCGCTACAACTTCCTCCCTCGATTACTTTACTCACACCTTTCGGGACTTTAGGGAGGTTTGTACATTATCACCCGACGAGATGAATGACTAATTGTTGTCGAAGATTTGAATTACAGGATCGATCTCGCTGATGGGGATATCAGAGAATTATTATCGTCTGTTCCAGGCACGGGTAACATCCCACTTTTGCTGAAGTATGATCAGGTCAGTCAATGACTTACATACACAATTGATTGCAGTGCTGATCGTCAAGTTCTTAGTTGAAGACAGCTATCTCAAGCGGGAAAGCATTTATTGGCTTTTCGGAACATGCAATTACACATATGCCGTGCGTGGTTTCCTCCCGAATAACTATGTATGGTTGAATTATTGGGCGTGGCAGTTCGTATAGATACGCGTCAAATACGTCAGAAGATGCTCCGGGATATGACAGAAAGTGAGTGGTGTTTTTAATTAACTTGGGACAATTGTCTGATCTTGCTAGGCGCAAACCCGCGTGGACGGACCGCATTTTGCACATGTCGGCTCCTAGTATACCGGTCACGCAACGTTCATATCGCAGTCATCCGCAAATAACGATGAGTGATCATCGTCCCGTGTCAGCTGATTTTGATTTGAATGTGCGTTTCTTGTTTCACAATGCCGTGTGTTGATGTAATTATGCAGTGTGTCAGGTATCGACTATTGACAAGCAGAGACGTGAGATCGCTGCCTCCAGGCTGTACCGGGAATTATGGGGCGTGGAACAATCCTCTCAGACGCCGAAAGTCAAGCTACAGCCAACGGAATTGGACTTTGGAAAAGTCTAGTAGGTCTTATGCACCAGCGAGTTAGTATCGACTGAAGTGTGGATCAAAGCTACAGGCGTCTTGTCCGGCAAACGCTAATCATTCAGAATGATGGACAGGCGAGTTGAACTAGTAACTTACGTAGCCATTGCTAATGTGCATTCCAGATCCCCTGCGTTTACCGATTCGTTGCTGCAGATGCTGAACAGTCAATCTGTAAGGGATACCTTAGTTCTCATATCACCAGCTGATGTATTATATCGAAGGTCCACAATGGCTTAAAATTGATCCTGTGATAGTGCGAGGCATCCTCGTCCTTTCACGCTCAAGCTAATCTGCAAACATCTTTTTTTGCAGGGCCTACTTCGTCCAGGTGAATCGTTGACCACGACTGCCACAGTGTTTGTCGATGACTTGTCTGCGTCGCGGCTGAATCTTGCACCACCGCGCTTGGATTGTACCCTCATACTACACGCTGCTCTGGGTAAAGATCACTTCATCTCTGTCGCTGGCGAATACCGTACGTCCATTTCTGTTCAGCATGATACGCATCACTGGAGATCCCGGACACAGAATATACTTGCTTTGCGAATAAGCTTTCCAGACTTACACGACTTTCTGGTCCCGTGCGATCTATGAAGTCTCCGAACGATGGAATATCTCAGCGGCAGTCGGTCAATGCCCCGAGGGAGATCATGAAGTTAATCAATTGGTTGATGACCCATCTCACTGATCCAGTTCGTGCCACAAATATTTTAACGGCATCCCTAACGGCGCTTTTAGAATGATCTATTCAACAGTACTCCTGAAGAGAGCATATGCGTGACCATCAGAGAGGTATTTACAAGATATATTTGACGTCTATCCATGCGTCAACAATTTTTCATAGTGTCTTGATACAGGAGACCAGTTGCCGTCCCTCGAGTCTCGAGAGGAACACGGCCCACTCGCGACTGCAATAACTTCTACACTGGTACAGCTGTTGGACTCGTTAGTAGATTCTGTGGTGCCTGCACACCTTCATGCGCGGTGTCTGCAAATGACAAATAGAGATGAAGCATTCGAGGTGCGCACACATCTCAAGCGTTCTGCATGCGTTTACACAAATCTTAGCTACTGGATGAATTCCCTCCTGAATCAGTCAATGTAAGATTCCACCTATGGTGCACACGCTTGTTGTTGACTCTGTCTAGGTATGGATCTCGCTTACTGCATTCCTCCATTACATGTCCTTGCAAAAGCTGCCGTCACAGCCAGTGACAGATCAAGCGGGCATGGCAGAAAGGCTGGGTACGTTCATTATTTGAGTTTGTTTGAATATTTGCTGAATGAGAAACTATAGCGACTGTATTTGCACCAGTATTACTGCGTGATGACGCAACGGGGCTTCACGTCCCCGTATCTCCCATTGGAAAGCGGAACTTCTTGCTTCACTTTATTGGCTGATCTACGAGTGGAGACTACTTTTATCATGTAGCGTTTACCTACCGCGGACTCTTGTGATAAGGGACGATACTGATGCAACTGAAGACTGTAAGGATTGCATATCCTCTACGCACCGATCACGCTTCAAAACGAAGACGACGTGCCCACGTTACTCTTCGCATCCGAGTCACGCGGATACAGTCTTTTCCATTTTCATTTCCTTTTACGATCTTACCTTGTGCTCAGACTCCACGATCCCCTTGCCTTGACCGCTTCATTTTACCTTCGCCATATGCTCCTTATGCTCATCCTGGCCTAGTCAAGTGTTTGAAAACCGACCATGACACTCATACCTACAGAGAAATGGAGCGAATTCTATATTCAGATCCCCGCTCCAAGCACGACCGAAAAACCTCACAGAAAGTCTCCGTCTTAAACATTTTCCTACTCGTCTCGATTACCTTTGCGCTCGTCTCGTATCTACTTCGTTTCGCTCACAATTCCCTGCCGAACTCATACCCAGCCTTACAAGACAACATCTGACTGAAAAGATACTTCGTATTATCAATGTCGTTTCTCCAAATGCCAAGTTGTCATTGTAGACAAAAGGAGCTTCCCTGCACCACAACTCGAATCTTACATCGGTAGTTCATTTGTCTTGCTTGGCCACTTGTGCCACAAATTCCGAACCTGCCAGTGGCCAAGCCAGAAAGCCGAGTTCCATGCGATGTGAAAACTGTTCACTCAAGTCAGGGTATAGTACGCGCGCGCAAAGCAACTCACTTCTTCCCTGTGTATAGTGTAACAACTAATCTGACTGGAACATAACATCTGTTAGTTGGGTTCTAGGAATCGCTTTGTCATATGCCCTTCTCTGAAGTCTCGCGTGCGTAGCTTGCTCGAACGCGTAGGCGTAGGCGATGAGCTTAAACTCGCTATATGCAGTGCCCATGAAAGCGATTCCAAAGGGAAGTCCTGGAGCCTGAGTATAAACCGGGGATGGCGTCGGAGGGAACACTTCAACGGTCTCTGGCTGAAAGCCAAGTGGCACTGAGGGTCGGATAGCATAAGCGACGTTAAAATTGGAGTTCGCAATACTAGCCTGAAATCAAAGGATATCCTGCAATTCCTGCGGGCCCCGCTGCGGGTCCATCGGTCGGTAGAATTATGGCATCGAGATTAAACTGGGTCAAAGTGGCGTCAATTCCTCTCGTGCGTCCCAAGTCGAAATTTTCCGCAAGTGCTGCAAAGTAGGCGTCATCGACTTGTGTAGCTTCCGATTCGATAAGTCTGCATGCCTTCTGTGAAAACACATCACATAAGATTCGAGCTGGCATACCGGGATTGATCTGTGTAAAATGGCGCTGGAAGTTCTAAATCCGCGTGAGTCTTGTTGAATTCTATCACATCAGCGAGAGTCTTGATGCCTGTCGGGACTGCGACCAGTTCTGATGTGTATTTGCTGATACCAGCTTTGAAGTCCACGCCAAACACCAGCTTCTCAGGCTGGATCTCTACTTTCGAGCCCTGTAGTTCTTCTGCGTCTGGGAAATCTGCAGGGTCGACGATTTCTGCACCTAAAGCCCGAAAGACATCAAGAGAGGAGTTGAACGTCTCCTCGATTATCGTCATATCGCGGATGAAGGCACGAGGCACTCCAAGACGAGCGCCTTTAAGGGCGTTTTTGTCGAGCGCTCTCATGTAGTCTGGGATTATTCCGGGCTGATGCAAAGTAGCTTCATCTCGAGGATCAGGCCCAGCGATAAAATTCAATAATATAGCTGCATCAGTGACAGAGCGACACATCGGACCAACAGTATCTTGATGGGACGAGATAGGTATCACTAGCGGTTCGTCATAAGAGACAATTGGCAGTCATGGCTGGAAACCTTACCACCCGAGCGAGATACCAGCCCAATAGTTGGCTTGATGCCCACGATATTGTTCCTGCTACTTGGGGAAACAATAGAGCCATGAGTTTCTGAGCCAAGGGATCCGGCTGCTAGACCAACAGCCATGGCAACGCCACTTCCAGAGCTCGAAGAAGATGAGTGTGCATTCGGGTAGTATGGACAACGAGTTTGCCCCCCACGTCCCGAGAATCCAAGGGTAACTGGTTCTCTTGCGCCAGCCCACTCGGAGAGGTTCGCTTTGCCTATGAATATAGCTCCTGCTGCACGTAATTTGGCTGCAGCAAACGCGTCTCGAGGAACTACGGAACCCAGCAGTGCGTAGGAACCTAGCATAGCGGAAAAATATGTGATCTGCTAGATAGCCGCGAGCTCGGGATGTACCTGCTGTCGTATTCATTCCTTTCCCAGAACTCAATTTGCTGGGATTGTGTGCATGTAACCCAGCGAATCTCACCTTCCTCGTGCAGCGTAGCAATGTTGTCTTTCAATAACAATGGTATTCCGTGCAATGGCCCACGGCTGCCTTTTTCTTTCCGTTCTTCGTCAAGGGCCGCAGCTTGTGATAAGGCTTTCGGATTGGTCTCGATGACCGCATGTAATGCATGACCTTTCAAATTAACTTCCTCGATTCTGCCAAGGTAGGCCTGCCATTGCTGAAGTAAACACTGTATCGGATATGTGCTGAAGTAACAATTTACCTTCACCAGCTGAACACTACTGAAGCGTCCTTTCACTAGATTGTCTTGGAGTTCTGCGATTGAAGCCTCATAAAGATCGGGAAAAGGGTCACTGAAAGCCTTATAAGTCATATTGCAGATCCCGCCGGTAGAGCAAGGTAAGGCTAGTGAAGCCCAGGTTTTTTGTCGCGGCCCGGGGAAGATGGTGCAAGATAAGAGTTTGCATTGTTAGTGGGAACCGAAACCCTTTCGTGCATGCGAACACGTCCGAAGTCACCACCTCTAGTAAGTCCACTCTACAGGCTACCGTGACTGATAAACCATAATTTTAGACTTTGATATGAGCTAGCCTGAACCATAGAGTTGATATCAGTGTGCTTTGTTTTTGAGTTGATGAAGTCGGGCAGACGGACTCGGGTGCGCTGACACTTCGTTGTAACATGGCGTGGCCAAGGAAATAAAGAGGCAGATTCCATGTACATACGGTGAGTGGACTGTGGACCTGCTTGCAGAATCGATGAGATCTAGAGTAAGTAGGTTGGTTAGCAAAGGTTCGGGCTCTGGAAACAAGAACCTTGACTATATTTAAGTGATTCAAGTTAGCAAAACGTAGACTCGCAGTGACAGGTTTAACAGGACTGGTCACGAGTCTAAGCAAAACGCTGGACAGGCCTAGCTACTAAGTAACTAAGTCCATAATTATTTAAAAGGAAGAGTCTAATTCCTTCAACAATTTGATTATCATTGAAGGTTTGGTCAGGGTTTGCTTGCGTACCTGCCTCTCCTGCAGGTAAGTAGGGCCCAAAAATTCAAATTTTAAAAGAGTCAATGGTACCAATGCGTTGCCTAATTATCCTCTCCTCCGCCAACTGTGCCCACTACCCCAATCCCAACTATACTTATGTAGGTGGCGTGATATTCTCCCCTTTCATGTTGTGTTATGTATAAGATCTTTGCTGCTGAACGCGTGCCACCCGGGTGTTGACGAGTTCCACGCATTGCGAAAAAAAAAAAAAAAGAGTTGGCTCAAGTCAAGGTATCCCCTGTGTATAATTGACAAACCAATTTGACAAACCACGCTCACTGAAACATGACGTCTGTTAATTGGGTTCTAGGAATCGCATCGTCGTATGCCCTTCTCTGAAGTCTCACACGGGTAGCCTGCTCAAATGCATAGGCGTAACCGATAAGCTTAAATTCACTATACGCAGTGCCCATAAAAGCGATTCCAAAAGGAAGTCCTGGGGCTTGAGTGTAAAGTGGGGATGGCGTCGCAGGCAGTATTTCAACGTCATCTGGCTGAAACCCGAGGGGCACTAAAAGTCAGATGATATTAGCGGCGTTAATATCGCAGTACGAAATACCAACCTGAAATCAACGGATACCCTGCAATTGCTGCGGGTTTGGGTGCCAGTGCATCGGTTGGTAGAACTATAGCATCGAGATTGAACTGGGCCAGAGTAGCGTCAATGCCTCTCGTGCGTCCCAAGTCGAAATCTTCCGCTAGGGCTGAAAAGTAGGCGTCATCGACTTGTGTAGCTTCCGATTTGATAAGTCTGTACGTCTTCTGTGAAAGCGCATCAAAGATTCGGTTTTACATACTGGGATTGATCTGTATAAAATGGCGCTGGGAGTTCCTGGTCCGCATGAGCTTTATTGAATTCTATCAAACCAGCAAGAGTCGTGACGCCTGTCGGAACGTCGACCAGTTCCGATAGGTACTTGTTGAGATCAACTTTGAAGTCCACGTCCAGCACCCGATCCTCCGCTATGGAAGCCACTAGTTCGTCTGCATCCGGAAAATCTGCAGGGTCAACGATTTCCGCGCCTAAAGCTCGAAAGACGTCAAGTGAGGAGTTGAACGTCTCCTCCATTGTCTTGACATCGCGAATGAAGGCACGAGGCACTCCAAGACGAGCACCTTTAAGGGCGTTTTTGTCGAGTGCTTGCATATAGTCTGGGACTATTCCGGGTTGATGCAAAGTAGCTTCATCTCGAGGATCAGGCCCAGAAATGGACTTTAACAAAAGGGTGGCATCAGTGACAGAGCGGCACATCGGGCCAGCAGTATCTTGATGGGAAGAGATGGGTATCACTAGCGTTTGTCATCAGAGACAATTGATGGCTATCGCTGGAAAACTTACCGCCTGAACGAGATACCAGCCCGATGGTTGGCTTGATGCCCACAATGTTGTTCCTGCTGCTCGGTAAAACAATAGAGCCATCAGTTTCTGAGCCAAGCGACCCCGCTGCTAGACCAATGGCCATCGCAACGCCACTTCCGGAGCTCGAACCACGTGGGTCAGCATTCGGGTAGTAGGGACAAATATTTTGCCCTCCACGCCCCGAGAATCCACAGGGAACTTGTCCCCTCATAGAAGCCCACTCGGAGAGGTTTGCTTTGCCTATGAATATAGCTCCAGCTTCACGCAATTTCGCTGCAGCAAATGCATCTCGAGGGAGCAACAGAACCCAGCAGTGCGTAGGAACCTAGCATTGCAGGAAAAACGTTAGAATTTGCTAGATGGAAGCCAGTAGTAGCACAGGATGTACCTGCAGTCGTATCCATTCCTTATCCAGATCTCGATTCACTGGTTGCATGGATGTGATACAGAGAAACTCACCTTCTTCATGCAGCGTGGCGATGTTGTCTTTCAATAACAATGGTATTCCATGCAATGGCCCACGGCTGCCTTTTTCTTTCCGTTCATCGTCAAGGGCCTCAGCTTGTGATAAGGCTTTTGGATTGATCTCGATGACCGCATGTAATGCAGGACCTTTCAAGTTAACTTCTTCGATCCTGCTAAGGTAGGCCTGTCATCGCTTAAGTAGAGGCTATATCAGATGTGTGTAAAGTAGTTATTTACCTTGACAAGCTGGACACCACTGAAGTGTCCTCGTGCAAGACTATCTTGGAGTTCTGCGATTGAAGCCTCGTAAAGATCAGGCAGAGTATGACTAGAAGTCTTGAAAGTCATACTACAAGTCCAAGTAGCAGTAAGGTACGAACAAGGTCCAGGTTTTCTGCTTGCGGGGAGACGGTCAAAGATAAGGGTCTGTATTTCTACAAGTGGAAACCCTGTCATGCATGCGAGATCTGAGTCCACTATGATCATCATATTTTTAGACCTTGATATGCGCTAGCCTGTACCACAGAGTTGATATCAGTTCACTGTACTTTTGATTGATGATCTGAAGTAGACGGAGGGTATTGGTTGATGTATCGATGAACAACACCTCATTGTCAACTTGTAACTCGCAATGGCCAAAACAAGGTGGGATCAATACAAGTGCAGGACCCAGGTACGATGAAAGACTAAAGCAGAGTTGCTGGTCCGACATCCGACATACTTGAAGCTTTGAATGAACCAATCATGCACAAATAAAGATACAGTCACTACTGGCAAGTTGCAACTGTTGGGTAAGTACAGTGATCAGCGATATGCATGACTATGTAGTGATTTGAATGAACTTCGTCCTTTCAAGTCTGCAGCTCGTGAACAGGTCTGCCTAAGGTTCCACCAAGCATTGCTTTCAAACTTACTCGATGAATTCTCCTCAGAAGAAACTCTTGGGGTGGCTGAAGCGAAGCTACTCAAACCCTCATTTGCCAGTGGAGAGCGGAGCCAGTGAAAGTGATGGACATTGGGCTTACATCTTCTGGCTGTCACCTGTGTGTAGTGATATCGGTATATTACAGCTGTCCTCTCTCGCGCCTTCACCTCTCAGAGGACCTCCAGGGCCGGTTCGTAAGTTGTGGGGCAAGGTGACCAACCGTTCCACTCGAAGCGCTCGACAGTCTCCGAACCCTGAACTTGCGGTTGCAAGTTCCAGCGCACAGGATCTCCCACCCGCTCAGACAACTCAGGTATGTGCAACCATTGGCACGTTTCATGTGCGATGGTTGCTACCAACTGCCGCAGTATCTTTCACCACTCATCGTTCCCACTCCTACTCCCGAACCAAATCCTCACCAGGCTTCCAATTCAGGCATTGTCAAGGTGAATTCGATCATTGTAGGTCGGGATATTCTTATCTGTCTCTTCAATGATGTACTAACATTCATAATCAGGCCGAGCAACCTGAAATCGCCGATGCCACCAAAGGCGTCGCAGGTATGAAAATTGTTCCCGTAATAGTCGAAAACACTGCTTCAGCAACCAACAACTATCCCTGACTTGGATAAACGAGTAGAAGATTCCATTCCGACCGAGCTATCATACGCGTGTCGATTCTGGGGACTAATTTGGGAGCTACGTCCTTTCAACCATCACTCGCCAAGGAAGTTGAAGCTTTTTTTCGACGGAGAGCGCCTCCTTTGGTGGTTGGAACTTCTGGCTCCGATGAAAAGCCTCAGCGGCTCTGTAGCGTGCTGCTCGTCCTCTGCAGACTGGTTTACGGTGCGTGGCTGGAGCCCATTCTTAAAACCACTGGATTCTTACGAGTAGTGGTGCGGCCACAGGGTCATATTGAGTGTACGCATATCAGTGACGCTGCCAGGGACACCCTGCACTTTGTTCGAACTTTCGCAGCTGCTATTTTACACAGCACCCCATATGTATACTTGTCTGCTCTGCCATTCGCTCCAACCCAATCGAGAATATTTACCAAATTCTCCGCGAAGTTTCCCTGCACCCCCGCATTGTTGCTGGCCACGTCCTGAAGTGGCCTCAGATGGAGAAGGTACTCCACGGGCATGCTGAGGTTCGGTCGGTTGCAATGTCCCCAGACGGAAAACGCATCGTGTGTGGTTCATACGACGGAACGATTCAGGTGTGGGATGCAGAGACTGGCGAGGTGTTAGGTGCCCCTCTCCAAGGCCACATTGCCTCCGTTATGTCTGTTGTAATCTCGCCAGATGGAAATCGCATAGTGTCAGGTTCAGACGACAAGACAATTCGGGTGTGGGATGCCAACACAAGTTCCGGTGAGGCATCAGGTGCCGCCCTTCAAGGTCACGCTGACTCTGTTAACTCTGTTGTGATCTCGCCGGATGGACATCGCACCATATCCGGCCCATCCGACAAGACCGTCCAGGTGCGGGATATAGTAACTGGCGAGGCATTGAGTGTACCTCTCCAAGGGCACACTAACTCCGTACAATCGGTTGCAATGATGCTAGATGGACACCGCATTGTATCTGGTTCAGATGACGCGACATTCCGGATCTGGAATGTAGAGACTGAGGTACCCCTCTCCAAGGGCACACTGGCATTGTTTGGTCTGTCGCAATCTCACCCGATGGCAAATAGATTGTTTCTGGTTCAGGTGATAGGATGATCGGGGTATGGGATATGGAGACTAAGGCATTGGCTACCTATCTCCGAGGGCACACTGATGAAGTTTTATCTGTCGTAATCTCGCCCGATGGAAAACACATTGTGTCGGGTTCATCCGACAAGACAATCCGAGTGTGGAATATGGAGACTGGCGAGGTACTGGGTGTCCCTCTCTGAGGGCACACTGGATCCATTATGTCTCTCGCAATGTCGCCCAATGGGAAATACATCGTATCAGGTTCATCCGACAAGGCTATCCGGGTATGGGATCTAGACTTTGTTCACCGGGACCAACCCTTCGAAGCACCCGCACTTTGTTTCTCAGCCAACCCGGCTCATGCTCTTCATTCCACCACCTCCTTCCTCCAAGATTCTTTTACCCCAGACTCTTCCAGCCCGAACGAGGAGGGATGGGTTGTAGGTCCTGCAAGACGGCTTCTCCTCCGGATCCCGCTCAATTTCCACCCGGTGATATATGCCAGGGGCAATAAGCTGGTCATACCCACCAATGCCTTGCAGCTGGACATGAGTTGTATCGCACACGGCGTATCACAGCACAAGTGTAGGGAACAGGAGGCTGCGCTGTTTTCATGATAATATCTCGCGCTTTTGATACATGTATCTCATAATCAATGGAAGTACAGTTTAATTTACGCACAGAATTTGTACAATATATGATTACTATTTCTCGATGCGCAGCTTCACTTATACTTCTTCTGCTCTGTTCTGCATATGCAGCGAGTGCCTCCGATCATTTTGGGCCTGCACAAGGATCGCATTCACGGCTCTGCTCTCCAACACGTTATATATTTACGACCTGCACCGCAATCCAATTCATTACTATGCTGTTTTGGACTGTCCACCGTGCAAGTTAGAACACACATCACTTGAGAAGGGCAGTCATCCAGGCCTTGGGGAAGGCCGTGAAAGGGCACAAAAAGCCGGTTTGCAGCTGGAGGCACGAGGTGTTGGGAAAGGACGGTGCGTTCTGGGCGTCGATGAGTGCGTGGAGGTCATAGATACCTGGCCAGTTTCATGCATATTGCAAAAAAAACAGTTGGGTGTAAGTAATACATGCACGCAAACCAACTCGCTCGTTTTCTGTGCATAGTTTACAAAATTATCTCACTTCACATAACATCTGTTAGTTGCGTTCTCGGAATCGCATCGTCATATGCCCTTCTCTGGAGTCGCACGTGGGTAGCCTGCTCAAATGCATAGGCATAGCTGATGAGCTTGAACTCGCTATACGCAGTTCCCATAAAAGCGATTCCGAAAGGAATTCCTGGGGCTTGACTGTGAAGTGGAGATGGTGTCGCAGGCAGTATTTCAACATCATCTGGTTGAAAGCCGAGGGGCACTAAATGTTGAATGTCATAAGTGGCGTTAGCATCGCAATACGAAGTACTAGCCTGAGATTAACGGATATCCTGCAATTGCTGTGGGTTTGGGCTCCAGTACATCGGTCGGTAGAATTATGGCATCGAGATTGAACTTGGCCAGAGTGGCGTCAATTCCTCTCGTGCGTCCCAAGTCGAAATCTTGAGCCAGTGCTGCAAAATAGGCGTCATCAACTTGTGCAGGTTCCGCGTCCATGAATCTGGATATCTTCTGTGAAAGCACACTGCATAGGATTCCAGCTGACATACCGAGTTTGATCTGTGTAAAATGGCGCTGGAAGTTCTAGGTCCGCATGAGTCTTGTTAAATTCTATCAGATCAGCGAGAGTCTTGACGCCTGTCGGGACTTCGACCAGTTCCGATATGTACTTGCGGATATCAACTTTGAAGTCCACAGCCATTACCAATTTCTCCGCTTTCGATGTCAGTAGTTCTTCTGCATTTGGAAAATCTGCATGGTCGACGATTTCCGCGCCTAGAGCTTGGAGGATGTCAAGAGAGGAGTTGAACGTCTCCTCGATTGCCTTTATATTGCGGATGAAGGAACGAGGCACTCCAAGACGAGCGCCTTTGAGGGAATTTTTGTTGAGCGCTTTCATGTAGTCTGGGACTATGCCAGGCTGATGTAAAGTAGCTTCATCTCGAGGATCAGGCCCAGCAATGAAATTCAACAACAAGGCTGCGTCAGTGACAGAGCGACACATCGGGCCAAGAGTATCCTGATGAGAGGAGTACGGTACCACTGCCATTCGTCATCATCAGAGAGACAATTGGAAAGCATCGCTGGAAAACTTACCGCCCGAGCGAGATACCAGCCCGACAGTAGGCTTGATGCCTACAATGTTATTCCTGCTACTCGGTGATACGATAGAGGCACGAGTCTCTGAGCCAAGCGACCCCGCTGCTAGACCAATAGCCGTCGCAGCGCCACTTCCGGAGCTCGAAGCACATGGGTCAGCATTCGGATAGTAGGGGCAAAGAGTTTGCCCCCCACGCCCTGAGAATCCACGGGGAAGCTGAAGCGACCTCGCACCAGCCCATTCAGAGAGGTTCGTTTTGCCTATGAATATAGCTCCAGCTTCACGTAGTTTCGCTGCGGCAAATGCATCTCGGGGAACAACAGACCCCAGTAGTGCGTAGGAACCTAGCATGGAGGAAACATGTCGGCATTTGCCTGATAGTAGCAGCGCAGAATGTACCTGCAGTCGTATTCATTCCTTATCCGGAGGTAAATTTACTAGTATTGCATATATGTAATGCAGAGTCTCACCTTCTTCGTGCAGCGTGGCAATGTTGTCTTTCAACAACAATGGCATTCCATGCAATGGCCCACGACTACCTTTGTCTTTCCGTTCATCGTCGAGGGCAGCAGCTTGTGATAAGGCGCTCGGATTGGTCTCGATGACTGCATGTAATGCAGGACCTTTCAAGTTAACTTCTTCGATTCTGCTAAGGTAGGCCTGCGATCGCTCAAGTTAAGCATGAATCAAGTACGTGCTGAAGCAGCGACTTGCCTTGACAAGCTGAACACTACTGAAGTGTCCATTTGCTAGACCATTTTGAAGTTCTGCTATTGAAGCTTCGTAAAGATCAGGCAAAGTGTGATTAGAAGCCTTGGAAGTCATGCTGCAGATCCCAGTAGGTCAGGTAAGAGTGGGGTCCAGCAAAAGCTATTGCGGTAGTCTGTCAAAGATAAGGGTCTGCATTGCTAGTGGGAGCTGGAACCCTTTCGTGGATGCGAACTCGTCTGTCCAAGGTCACCAGTTCGAAGTTCATCATACCGATAAGCCATATTTTTAAACCTTGATTGCGCGAGCCTGGTGACCGTAGAGTCGATATCAGCAGACCCGTACATTGCTTTTTCGAGTGAAGCATCGATGAAGTCGGAAAGACGTAGGGTTACATCATGCGTTAATTTCAACGCTGTATGCAGTGTGATAAAGGGCCAAGACTATCCCGAAAGGTTCGGACCTTGTGCGTGTGCAGTGGCGTAGCGGGGTCTGGCGATACCTTAACGTGATCTAGCGGGAAGCTGAAATTCGGAAGCCCAGCGGAACCAAACATACTGTACCACTGGAAGTTCTGTTTTGAGATAGGCGTGGTTCTTGCAGATAGGCGCTAGTCTGTCGGGCCGGCTGGCAACTTGAAACACCGTCACGGTCGAGCAACGAATGAGTTTGCTAAAGACTCTCAAGTAGACATGAACACGTGAGAGAACGAAATTTAAGATAACTGCAGCATAAGAGCATCATGGTAATGCCTGAAACTTGAAGTACAACGTGGATGACCAAGATGAGAGAGAAACCAAGGGTGTAAATCTGTACGAGATGAAACTTGGCAATAGGAATAGAACTACACACCAATATGAATGAACACAATTCTCTGCTCGAGCGGCACTTTATTCGTCACGGCGCATGTAGCATGGTTGAGTGACGAGGCTGCCTTCGTACAATCAATGACATCCTCCTTCAAATCCTTGAACATATGTCCATAGAATGCTTCCACAACGTGTTTTGCGACAGCATCATCAACCACCCACAGTGTGCCAATGACACTCTTAAACCCCGAAAACTGCAGACCAGCAGCGAGGTGGATGACCTCGTCTGGTGTCTCCTCATCGCCGACGGCGGTATGACACGCTGATAAGAACGCGAATTCAGCTTGCGGAGCATTGTTCTCCATGATATCCAGCAGCGTGAGAGGTTTATCTCTCATCGCAAAGCGTGAATTGTACGGCTGCTGACGGTCCTGCTTGCCATGACAAGCGAGGTGCGCCCAGGTGTTGCATTGCAAGGCTTCGAGTGCACCTGCCTGCGTTGCTTCGCCGCCAGAAAGATAAGTGAACTTGACGTTGGGAGGAACGAGTTTATGGACAAGTTCAAGTTCACTGTCGACAGTAGCGAGTACCGTCCCTTGCCCTGCGCCCGGTTGACCTTGTGCGATCGCCACGAAGGACGGAGTGAGACATATCTTCATCGTCTGTCGAGACCTGATGAGAGCCGAAAGTGTCGGCGTGTAAGAGCAGATATATATATCCTCCAGGGATTGTTCCCGTCCAGAGCGATCTGCCTTCGTTCGAAAGGGGTGAGCTGCATGGAGAGGAATAGACGTAAAGGCTGCTGTCGGACACAACCATATTCGAGATCGGCGCCGCAATTTCAGGTCATGCTTGAGGACATTGACAATAGGTAGCATAATCCCGTCCCAGATTTTCCGCAAGAGTACTCGCAAATCCTTCCTCGGCTCTTTTGGGCCCATAAGAGTTGCGTGGTGTATCTCCCTAGCAAAGTCTTCCTTGAGCATATTGAGATCACTGAGAGTGAGAGACTGGAAGGGAAGGTGGTGGGGTTCCCCTGATGTTGGGACGATGATGGCGTTGCACGAATATTTGCTCGCGATGAGGATGATGACCGGGCCATCGCGCGCTGCCGCTTGCAAGTCTTCGTACAATGGTGGGAGCAGGAATCGCGAGAAACCATGGACATCGCGAATTTCAGCCACCACAGCTTCCCATTCCGTCGTACGTCTCCGGTACTCCATGGCTGCCTGATCAGCAGCAGCCCTGTCTGCGCTGACCACGGATCCCTGAACATCAGAAAGATGCTGGCTGAGCTGCGAGAATCTATGAGCTAGGTCAGGATTCGTGGACTCGAGATCTTCAAGTGGAGTCCTCAGGCGAGAGGCCATCGACCATTGCTGGCCACGGCCCTGCTCCACGAGTTCGATTGCCTCTCGTAGATTTCCACGGCGTATGGCACACGACGCCGCATCTACAGGCAATGCTGCAGCTCTGGCACGACGAAAAGCGGCAGTAGCTTCGCGTCGCGCAACAATCGAAGATCGTGTTGACAAATGTCTGCCAAGAAGCTCGAAATATGTTTTGTAGGCTTCCAGCGCGGAGGCATGACCGTGCTTCTCGGCTGCCAAAGTCCAATTGATTGCCTCCTTGATGCGTTCTGGAAATCCTTGGGTAGGGTGGTTTGACGCTAGTCTAAAATTCTCCACTGCGAGCGACAAATCGGTAGGATTGTCCTGTATCTGGTAACGAGATAGATAGGCTCCCCGCAGCTGCATGTAGCTGAAAAATCTCTCCGGGTGCAGGGGAGGCAAAGTCGCTAATGTTTCTTGGCAGAGATTAATGGCCTCTTCAACATCTTCATTATTCTGATTTTCTGTGAAAAGCGCGCAGAGTGCCCCGCTTAAATTGAAAAGAGTTACATGGCGCCTTGGATGGTCATGGGATCTTAACCGAAGGGATTCGCGATAGAGATCGATGGCCTCGTTAAGATCCTCGTTGATATGTGATTTGTCAAATCTGGTTTTGAGCGCGGAGGCAAGATCAGCAAGGATGGTGTCGCGATTTGGAAGCCCAGGTGGGTTCAACTCCAGTGCCTCACGACGAAGGCTGATGGCTTTGTTGATGTCATCAATGTCACGTTGTTGGTTGAAACGGTCGAGGAGGGCGCCCCCTAGGTTGTCCAATAGTTTATCACGAGCTTCGTGCCCAACAGGGCACAGGTGCAGTGCTTGTTCGTATAGAGAGATGGACTCGTCAAGGTCATGAGATTTTCCTTGATGATCGAAGCGGGACCCAATTGAGAATGCCAAGTTGTGCAGGTAGGCAACACGGCTAGGGTGTTCCTCGGGGCACAGAGAAACGGCTTCGCGACCAAGTTGTATGCTCTCTTCTAGATCGTCAGCGCTGCCATGTTGGTCAAAGAGTGCTTCAACTGTCTGTGCGAGCTGGCCAAGGGCATGCGGACGGCATTGATGGCCGAACGGACAGAGCTCAAGCACAACTCGTAGAATGCCTTCGTTGGATGCGTCTTGGAGAACTAAGCATTCCCGGATCACATAATTGACAGTACTGTCTACGTCAATGCTACGAAAGTAGGTGCCCTCTGGGCAGAGGGGCAGTAGCTTGGAATGCAGTTGCGCACATTCATGGATGTTGGCGACGGTAGACTCGTTGCTGTAGCGCGAGATCAACGCTCTAATGACAGAATAGAGAGATAAGGGGTGATCGGGGTGACCCTGCGGACGCAATGCAAGGGCGTCGCGGAATAGAGAGGTGGTAGAATCAATGTCTTGACGATCCCTTCGAATATAGCCTTCAAGGCGGGCCCACGCGAGGTTAGCGAGAGCTGCCGCGTAGTCAGGATGGCCGACCGGACATTGGTCTAGAACAAACTGAAATTGCTCTACAGCATCGTTCAGGTCGGAGACCCTCTTGCCAGTTACATATTGGGCAAATAGTGCGTGGCCCGTATCTGTGTCTCGAGCAATATCGCAGTCTACGATGGACTACAGTTTACGTTCTGTCAGCAAAAGCCAACAGCAGAGGCTAGTGTCACTTACATCAATCCGTGTGCCATCCTGATCTCCGCAAGCACATACAACAGTAGCCTTCAGCGTGAGAGAAGGGTGGACACCACGAACAGGCGGAAAGGACAAATCTACAACATCTTCGTAGATGTGTATGAACGAGAAGTATGTTGCTCACCGAAATGCTCATCTCCATGATTGAGCAGCTCATCCCAAGACGTTTCAAGTTTTCCGACGACTTCCCCATTGCCTAGCATTCGACCGAGCTCGAAGGATGCCATGATGTCCAGTGATAATTCAGGAGACGCATCTAATGATCTAAAAACAAAGATCAGTCCTCGGATCGCGTCTGCAAGTCTCCGTGGAATGCTTTACAAGGTCACTGTATCGCCCCACGCTACAGATTCATCGGATGATAGGACTCGAACAGCTGATTTCCAACGCCTTCTCGAGTCGACATGGATGGATATGTAAATGCCTGCGGGTATGCGCCAGGAGCGGACTTTGAGATTCTTTCCGCTAATGACTGTGGAAAGGGCATGAAGACTACGCAACGAATACCAAGGTCGATGTAATGACTCACCTTCAAGTCTGATACATTGGCCTTCCAAGCTATCGGGCATGATGGAGCGGTGAGGCGCTTGAAGGGACACGGTTGATCGAGAATGGCGTTGAGTGGTGCGGAATGAGTGGTCGGATAAGAAGGGGCAGAGGGATATGGGGACCGTGGTTGAAGTTCAGGCAGTGTATGGCATGCTTTACGTGCATTTGATGGCTGGGCCAGAATGATAGACGCTGGACCCAATTCCACCTATCGCTGAGACCAAAAGATGACATGTCTGACAGACTAACGGCAGCGGGAGAACCTGTGCTAATGAAGTGAGCGCTAATGATTCATTGATGAAAGAGGCGCACCAGTCGAGTCTCGACTGCCAGAGCTGTCATGCGAGTCTCGGAGCGCCTTGTGCAACTCTTGTTTAGATTTTTTATCATGAGGCAAAAGTAGAATACAATGCATTTCATAGTGTACACTCCAAACAATACAAACCGCTGAAAATGACAGGAAAGCCGATGTATATGAGTCTGATTGAGTTGACTCGGATGCCAGGGGAAGGTGACGCGACCGCTGTGACCGTTGTCTCAAACGTTCAGCTGACGTGGTTCTTTCGAGAGTCCCAGTCTAGATCTGCATCCCACCATTCTACACTCGCACCACGGGCTTCAATCTGCCTAGCTGTTAATTTATTCGTATGTTCAATACATTCATGTTTGTATGATGCACGCTTGATGCAGTTTTCCTCCCCGGATGGTATATACATGCATCAGACAATTGACTACTTTGCTTTCCTTCCTTTCTAGACTCTCTGCGAAGCACGTCGACGTTTTATGGGCGCAAGAGGTTCTTTCACCGGAACTGAAGGCGTTACAGCCTCGAACAACTCATCTGAGGATGTTGCATTAGAGTTATCGCTAAACAAGGGGCCACACAGTTAGTAACCGAGTTAGAGACCTTTATTATACCTCGGGACGTCCACGATCCCTTCTGCGGAAGACCAAACTCAAACATCAAATTTGCGCAGGAGTTTTGGCATCTACGAGGCGGCCGTGACGAGCTTCGTCGATTCAAGAATGGTCGTGTTACGGAGAGTGTTGTTTGGAAAGTCACCACGTCCGATGAACGTGGACATATCTGACGAGTAACGCGAAGCCTTGCCACATCAACTTCTCATGACGTTCACAGTTCTTCTCGAGCCTGCAGAGAATCGAGATTATCATGCATTTTGGCTCAATTGTTTTTGCCTAAAGTAGGCATCTCACAAGCACAGCGAGTAATGCATTTACGCTCACACTGGAGGTTTCAGCCTTTAAAACACCTGTGTGGTACTGCTATAACTTTTCCTCATTCCCTTCCACAAACTTCATTATGTTTACTTCCCGTTCCATCATCTTTGCGCTGATCAGCTTCCTCGCTGGCGCAAATGCGTGTGTACAGTGCCCAGCCACATTGAACACCAACAGTAGGGTCATGAAACTACACAATACCCTCCCGGACGTCAGTTTCACAGCTTGCGTGTGCGTCACACCCACGCATCTTCATTGAACAAAGTAACTGATGCGCCGGCGGCAGATACGATATCAACAATAGCGGCGGCCCAACAGTGTCCTGTCAATATGACAACGTAAGTATTTTCTGGATATTGTGCATCTCATCGTTGACATGCTAGCGATGGCATCAGGACGACGGCGAGCTCGTGTATGGGTTTCAGTCTTGTCCGCGTGCAGTAATTGCGTCGAAGGGTAGGTGCTTAACGTGATGTGAAGAAGTTGGGGAGACTGCAGCCGTGTGTGTGCCAGAGAATTGTCGCATCTTGCTTTAGCTAGTTGCATCATCCTAACCCCCTATTAGAATACCTTCGTGATGTCCTTACTAGAATCATGCCCGGTCATCATAGCAATCAATCAACCTCACCAGGATCATCTGCTAGTCCACTCTAGAGCTCTGCCATGTCTGTGCCTTAGAACTTAATGCTGTTTCTGATGCCCGTCCCTCACAATACGGAGTTGATGTGACTCTCCGATCCGGTTCAACATCTCCACTCGGAGCGCTCCTCTCGAATTCACTTGGATAGTCTCCGTTCGCAACGCGATCCTTACCAACGTGCCAGGTCGTATGGAGAAGAGCGCTGTACTCTAAGCATTTCAAGGCAGTATATCCGAGAATATTTCGACCAACCTCGGGGCACGTCAGCCTACCAAGCCTCGTCTCCCTCACCTTGTCAAGCCACATGCACTGGTAACCCTCAGTACATGCATGTCAAGCCCCACTCATGTCGCCCCTATGCTGCGTTAAGCCACATGTAACCTCTGAATCAGTACCATCTCAAGCCCGACCCATGCAGCATCAGACCTTGATCATGCTGCGTCAAGTCAATCCCTGCAATCTTCACCCATGCCGTGTCAATGTTGCCTAGTGCCGCGTCGCTGAGATTCATATATGTCACGTCAGTACCACTGCCCGAATCATACCCTGATCATACTACATTGCATAGTTTGCATCAGAAAAGTAGCAATCTTTATTCTGCAGCACGCGACTTGTTTTGGTCGTGTGTATTGCAGTCTGTGTCAAAATGCATCATGTCATGTCACCAGCTGCACACTATGTAGGCATGTAGGTGCAAACAATGCTCAGGTATATTTTCTGTCTATCATACTCGTCGAGTACTAACAGAATTCACGAGGGGTGTAACATCTCCGGAGGAAAGTATGTAATTGAATATAACTGTGCTGCATCAGCCTTGTGCAGATACACATACTTGTCTATTACTGATGCTTCGTAATTTCAAGCCACACGGCAATGGTCATAAGAGTAGGGAATGTAGTGAGATTGATGTAGACTAGCTGAAGCCTGACAGTACTATGGCAGCTTTGAGTCTTTGACGCGACTCAAGTCGCGTCACAGTCGCGTCACGGCCAGGACCGCTTCCGGTGTTTGCCGATGATGATCAAACCGACACAAATTTGATTTGAAGATCTACGCGTCGACTCTGATCTACACATACCCAGCTAGCGCTCAGACCCTTCACTGGGCGTGTTGACTGCTAACGGCTGTGCGCTAATAGATCTGACCGATCTGGGTAACCCGGGAGTTGCACAGCTCGGCCTGATCTATGATGTGCTGAAAACCATCCTCTTCTCAAGCCGCATCTCCCCCTAGCAGCATGGTAGTTCTATTTGGTGGCGAAGACCTACCTTGAAGATGATTGGGTATCCTTGTAGATGCTCATGTTTTCACATTGACTTGCTCACTTGCCTCCACTACATAGCTGGCCCAAGAATCAAGATGCACTAAGAGAAGGTTGGATATTATGTTCGCGGTACATAATACGGGTCCAGTCAGAAAAAAGTAGCGTCCCAAACAACGTGCACGACAAGCCCCACAAAACACAGCTAGACGTAACAAAGGATCAACTGGAATTATAGAGGTTTGTAATTCAAGCACTCGGTTTTAAATTTCGTCCTGTGGCGCATTAACGCAACCCAGGGTTGCCGGGTTTCTGTGAGAAAGTGCGAGAGGAAAAGACCCCGTCGAAGAAGGGGTGGGTTAAATGAGCGGCCTGGCGAGAACAAATCAGTAGAAAACTCAGCTCCTAATAGTAGCGAACGGAGAGCAGAAGGTGGCCCAGACTAAATGTAAAGACAGCATTCGGTAGAGTGTTGTACTTGAAGCATCACTAGGACAACGAAGCGAATTAAGATGTGCGAGAACCGAAATTGTCGAGACGACAAAGCAGGCGACAGAGGTGAATGTGCAAGCAGAGATACGTGAGCCTGATGAGGATGGGAGATGATCGAACCGGTAGCAAAAATGCACAGCGCCTGGAGGGTGCGGCTACGACCGGCAGTGAGGTTCATCGACCAACACATAGGCAGTGGGGAATAAGAAACCAGAGGCGGTTGAACCAGCGCTTGTAGACTAGAGCTTCGATAGAGGGGGCAGTTTCGTTCGGTCACTGACGAGGCCATTCCCTTCAAGTGTCGCAGGGGAATGATTGATGCTGCATGACGTCTTCACGCAGAGGAGTGTTGCATTCCGAAATCACTGGGTCAGACCAGGCATGCAAAACCTCGGCCCCAAGAGGCCTAGCTGACGCATGTTTGCAGTCGTCCGCTAGTGCAGGCAGTCTTTTCATAAATAGGGCAAGCGGTGTGTTGGTGCTCCAGTCTCGGTGAGGGCGGCGGGAGAAGAGCTTGATGGTAATTGTCTAACGACCTTGAGAGTCAGATTTCCTTGACTCTTTGCATGGTTTGAGCACGGCAGCGTGGGGTGGGGTCATGGAGTACTTATTTGGAATGACAACGCACTGAGTCACCTGGAGTAGACATATACTCATACGACGGCAGGTTAGCGGACGGGACACGAGAATCTGAATCGTAATACCCCAATTATCGGTTGAATTTTCCTGGTAAGCAATGTCTCAGTAGGAGGCGGTACCTAGATTGAAGCTACAGAGGACGGACTGGTAATCTTGATATGCGCGCTAAGCATTTCGAGTTAGTTAAATACACGTCCAACTGCGGTCTAGCAGTTGTCTTTACCTCGCTTAAGCAGGACATTGCACCACCATCTCACGACTGCCTCATTTTCGGTCTCCTGCCCTGGCAGCACAGCCAAACCAGCATCAACTTCTAGTTTTTCGATCAAATACCCAAGGCATCCACTGCCCATTGTCGAGCTAGGTCAAGCAGACCTATATCTCATCGACCCTGCACCGTTTGTACTGGTTGGCCATCTACATTATATTTTTGGCTTGCAATATGAACAAATGAAAGATATCTCACCGGAGACCAGTGCCGCCCTCCACATCTCCAGTAAGAGCATAGCCGACATGTTTCCAAGACTATACGTGCACCCCAAAGACGCTTGGTAATGGACACGTCGAAACCAAAGTTTAACAACAGTTAGAATATTTGCCATCGATGCAGGCCCTATTGTCATATTGATGCAAGATGGTGTTGCAGTTGTAGGGATGTAATGATGCATCAGCGCTGCAGTGTATTCTTGGATGGAGTAATGCATTAGCAATGCATCAGTAATGCATCAACGATGCATCCTGATGCTTTACAGCTGATGGCGCATCATGCATCAATGATGCATCAAATCCGATCGATATTTTGAAAATTAGGAATCGTCCCACGGTCACTCTTAGGCACTTGTACTCGATCAACAATACCCGCTACCACCTGCTAGCCGCCATATGCTGCGCACTGATCCGTCCTGCAGCCCCGCAGCTGTGTGCCACCACCCTTGTCAGTATACAATCAGGAATCGTCCAACGGTTGCAGTCCTTGTACCTGATAACAATGCCCAGGTCCATATCCCGCCGCCTGCTCGCTGCCATGCGCTGCGCATGGTTCCCTTGGGCTCACAGCTGCGTGCAACCACCCTTACCACTATACCATCCCTCGACTCCGCCTTCCGAGTCATGTGCGAACTAAACATTAATGGGCGCGGCCACTCTCAGGGCATGGGTCCACACCTTTGGATAGGGCGGGCTGCAGAGAGTGACTCATGGGATAGGGTGGGCTAGGGTGGACTGCAGAGAGCGCCTCAGATCAGCAAGATATAGACAGGGAGTCCGCCCAGAATGATACCCAGACCGCGCCCCATATCAATTACACTTACCAAATTACAATGCCTTCGAGGTACTTCGAGGATGTTTCCCTAGCACACTGACTCGACCCAATGTACTAGTTCGTGCCCTCGAACTTCATCACACTTCGCCCCATCACAGTATTCCACCCTTGCAATATACTTAGTGATTAAATTGATGACACGACACAACTATGTTCGTTCGTCACTGATACGATGAAAACAGAGACTATTACTCATAGAACTACGATATAGATCAAGCAGAGAAGCAGATTCCGAGACTTGTATGATACGAAATGAAACAAATTGAGCCAACAAGTAAATTTGCGATCACGACAAGAAAACATAGGCTCATGCCTTCGTACATATTTTCCTGTGTCCATTGAGCAAGTGAGGATAGACTAAGATAACGGGGACATACTTGGTAGGAATCATACCCTCCATAGTTGCGTTATTGGGACGCTTCGTTGATGTTCCACCCGACCCAATGGTGTCAGCGATTTCACTCCGCCTCGATTTGATCAGAACATGTTTGGAAGCACGTGGAGCTGCCCCAGAATTGACTGCAGGCCCAGGATTCTGTGTCGTAGTGGCAGTATCAAGGGCAGTTGCAGCAGTGTGTGATGTCTCCATTATCATACCAGACTTGGCGAGAGGTTGTACTTTGGGTTTAGCTGCATTCACGGATGTGATGGCGGGTGCGATGGCAGGGGTGGGATCCATGGTGGGATTGCCTTTGACTTTGGCAGCTGAAGGCTTTGGCTTACACTTGCACTTAGACTTAGCAAGCCCAGTGCCAGTGTGAGCCTCGGCAAGATCTTGCGCGCCCTCATTTGGAGAAGGAAGATTTGCTGCTGGAAGAACGGGATCCTGACTAGTAAATTGAGGAAGGACGTCGATGTCATCCTGCTCAGGTGTGGTTGTGCTGCGCTCAGCAGAGATCGGGGAACTCAAGAAAGAGTTCAGACTAGGCATGTCCCACCTCTGTGAATCAAGGGTGCCGTGATTCCAAGCGTGTGTGTCGTATTGCGCATCATAGAACCCCTCAATAGTATTGTCAGTGAACAAGGGTGCTGATGAGCCGAATGCCGAAGGAAATGAGTCCTGTGGGGTGCCGCAGGTACCAAAAAAACCCATCGACATAAGTTTGGCATGGGAAAAGGATGGCACCTGCCAATCCAGTGATACATCAGGCAGGGCCTGTGCAAGTGATGCATTGGGGGCCTGTTCGAGTGATGCATCAGATTGTGCCTGTGCCGCAAAATGTCAGATGGCTTAGTAGAGAACAACGAAAGGTTCTTACCTCAGAATAGAATCCGGAATGATCAAGTGGTGCATCACTGATGCTGGCTTCAGTGTTATGAAAGCGCGTAATTGATGCATCACTGAGTCCGGTCGAGGAACTAGCCAAGCCTGTCATTGATGCATCAGCTTGCATTAGGTAGATGTGAAACAATATAAATACCTGGATGATCCCAGTCCATGGAATTATTAGCCGATCCTTTGTTGTTCTCTCCAGTATCCTCTCCATTTTCTTCTGCCAGTGCTTCACTGGCTTCTCCACCACTGTCGCATCGCTCGAGCTCCTTAGTCTCATCTTCCCCTGTGACATCTTGCAGGAGTGGGTTGCGCTCATTCGCAGCTGATGGTCAAGTGCTAGGGTAAGTCTGTAGCGACTTAGAAAATAAGGATTAGCTTACAGAAGATTAATTCAGTGTATTGCTGATATTCGGCAAGGAAGGTGTTGTCCTTGTCAGGGCATAATTGAGCAAAGTTACTTCTGGCGGGGGTTTCTGATGGATGACACCTAACTAAGGTAAGCTTGGTAGTTATGTTTATGGTTTGATGCACTTATGATAATGTTACAACGTCCCAATTGTGCCTTGGGTCCGGTCCAGCGCATGTGAAGGAGACTATAAATCAAGTCTTTTTTTTGACAAGGCGTGCAAGCGTTGGCATATGATCAGTAAATCGTCAATACCTCTATAGGCCTGTGAGTACCATCAAAATTATAAAGATTAATTAGTACTTACTTTGCAATAGCATCAGCATCAATTTCGTTGTCGTCATCATCTTTGTGGTTTGACTTGCCCTTCTTTACCTTCTTCTGCTTGTTATACTTCTCTCTGACCTCCTGCTTAACTTCATCCGACTTGTCTTCTAGAAGCTCTTTGCAAAATTTTTGGCCCAATGCTATGTGGCGACCAGATGTAGTTACATTACCTGCCTCTTGTTCAGCCTTGACAAGAGGTTTGATCCGTTCGTCGTACACCATATCCATGTAAATTTCTTCAACTGATTTTGCGTGTGACTTCGGTAGCAGGGCAGCTTCAAAGATGGATGCATCCTTCTTTAAGCCGTGATTTTTCTTGGATGCGTTTGTGTGCCAATGGAACCAGGTCTGCAATTGCTACCAAGGTTTTGCTTTAGTGATCAAATATTGTCCACATTTGACGACTAACAAGTTTACGCACATCTTCAGCATCACCTACTGCAGTTTCTTGCACCTTTGTTAGTATTGTTTCCACAAGGATGTCGGGGAATAGGATTGCTCGCTCGGGCCATGTTTTAAACCAATAAAGATGAATCTTGGGCCAGAAGAGCGTGTAGTCCTTGTCCTCGCTGCTGTGTAGGGCGGTATACTCTGGCAACTGTTCTTGGAGCCATTTACACTGCTCTTTAGTAGTCCACAGAGCTTGTGGCATCTGCCATATGATTTTCAGTCGAGTACATTGCTAATAGAGGCACTGTCATACCTTTTTTCTTGCTGTGTGCAATGATAGACGATTTTTCCCATTTACAACGTATCCGTCTTTATATCATTCCACCGGCATCTGATCAGGGCCTGATGCAAATCAATATTGGCCCATGAAAAAAGACCTAATTTAGTGATGACTTACTACAGGATCTGACCACAGGTCAATGAAAACAAACATGGTGGTACTGGCACCAGTCTGTGTTTGTGGTGGAGCGGGTAATGAGGCAACCAAACCTAATAGAGCGGTTTCGAGTTGCTGAATACCATTATGGATTGATCAAGGTGAGCCTGGATGATGATGTGCGTAGAAGACTGACTTTACCTGTGCCTAGGATCCTATCCCAATGTTGTGAAGACTGCATTGAAGATGCATGTGTCCAGTGGCATAGTGAGTTTCGCTTTCAAGCACCTGGGAGACGCTGATAACCATTGTCAAAGGGGAAGAAGATACCGTGACAGTGAAAGCTCACACTAGGCTGTGGTACATAGAGCATTGTAAATTGAAGCATATTGCCTAGAACAAGCGGAGACTCACCTGGGCATTGAATATCGGAATTCAGCATTTGCATGAACCGCTAGTATGGGCCAGCAGTAGTTATTGAGTGAAGATTCCAACAGTTGAAACGAGCTGGAGAGTATTGCGATAAGTACATGTGTCATATTGGACAGCTGCTAGATACTCACCTGGACCACAAATGATTAATACAACACGGTGTGAAAAGGCATGAGTGAACCAGCAGTAGTTATTGAGCAATGACTCGTTCCAATGTTATCATGATTGAAGTTGATTGAAATGAGCCAAAAGCAGCTGCAGTGCAATTACTAACTAAGAGCTGATGTCAACATGAACTATGTGATCAACGCCGACTTCAATCATTCTATCTTAACAACTGAGATGCAGCCACAAAAGCATGGTCTGGGGATCTATGTGATCAACACCGACTCCAAGAATTCTTCCTTCCTGTCTTTACATCACAGCCACAAAATCATGCTCCATGCAATGCCGGTTCTTTCAACACAAATATCTTCTGTAAGTTTGTGCTGTCCCCATGTACCTTGGGTTATTGATGTGCCACCAAAGATGCCTTACCGCTGGGAGCTGTGTGATTGACACCGACTCCAATAATTCTTCCTTCCTGACTTTACATCTCATGTGCAGCAGGTATTCAATGCCAGTACCCACTATACATCTTTCTTCCACTGTTCTTCAAGATGTACCCCTCATGGTACATTCTGGTCATGGCTCTTGTGCAAAATCACATTCACTTTCCTAGACATACCCAATGTCCCTGCTGGGATCATAGACGATTTCATCGTTCATTGTGCGTACTGTACTCTTGATCTTAATGACTTGCAGTAATCGTTATGATGCATCAGTGATGCATCCGGTGACTCATGCCGTCTGAAATCTCAGCAACACAAATCAAATTTCAATACCGGTACCCTATCAGCTCGCTGTTTTAAGTCTAATCAAGTTTGCTAGACCCTGCCACGACATCAAATTTAACATGATTCAGAGTGAGTAGTCCACTATATCACTGGTGGCAGATCATAAGGCTAACTCAGAAACCACTGTGAATACTAGTTTGCTCTACTCGCATTGACCACCGCTCATATAACATTGTCAATGCCTGAGATTCAGGGTGAGTGGTTTACTTTATTAACAGAGGCACTTCTCAGGCTAACTCAAAATCCACAGTACAAAGTTTCAGCTTCCCCTCTCCCTAAATACCTCTTAATGCGCGACCTGCTCAGTATTATCACGACACCCTACATGGCCGAACCAGTGGAGTCTGTGACCGTGTATGAGGGCAGTATAGAGTTTGAGGAGGCTGCAAACGCCATGGCAGATGAATGCCTGCTATATTCATATTAAGGAGTGTTCTATAATATGCCCACCCGGTGTGATCTAAAACCTCCTTTTTATTGTGTTACTTGGGGCCATTACATCGGAGTGTTTCCATCATTTATCTGGTGAGTTTTCATGTTCTCATTAAAACATCTTTGACACCTAATAACCTGTTGTAGGAATGCCGTGAAAACCAAACTTTGGACACCAGGCAATTACATCGCTAACTATGTTACTGTTCGGTCGCTTGTTGTAGGAGAACAGAAGGTCCATCGTGCCATCAGATGTAAGCTTGCAGCGAGCAAGTGACACCAGTAGGTTTGATGCTATACTTTGTTTGGTAGCATTTGCTGACATCTCGTCAGCTTTAGAGTTAGTATGTAGGCATTACTTAGTTTTTAGTTCGGACTAGTTATTCCGAAGGACGTCGTACCACAAGAATGACAAGTACTAGTCATTTTGAGAATAACAATGTCATTTACATATGTTTCTCTAACCCTGAATGTGCAAATACTCGAGCGGCTCCCACCAAGCATTAGCTCAGACCAGCCTGTTGAACACCAGACTCAATGGAAAATGTCTACTACAGATACTGCTTGTGCTATTGGCTCTTCTGCATCCTCAGTTCAGACTATTATATGCACTAAGGCAACGTTGAAGCGGAAGAAAAAACCCAAGCTCAATTTTTACCACTCAGTGCCTTCAAGCTCTCGCCAGCATACCCAATATCAAGTTCACCAAGATGGGTCCATCAGCTATACATTGCAGTGTATTAAACCTCCCAAAAATGCTAAACTGACCATCAATAATCAATCTTGTGCTGCACTGACTCTGCATGATGCACCATTTTCGATTCCTGAGCCATTTGATGATCTCCCGCTCGACATTTCTTTAGACTCTTTAGGCCAGCAAAGAAGAAAACAGGCAGCAGGTGTATGTACACTATGATTTTCCGAATCCTTCCATATGTCCCTCACTGTGATTATCCAGGATCATCCTTTGTTGATGTGGTTGAAGTACCAAGGATTATTCCTTCGTGAAATAATCCGTCTGGAAGGCAGATGCAACAAAGTCGGTGCTCAGTGTTGCTCGGAATGTGATTGTCCCACCCCAGAGTACAGGTGTCATGACTGTTTAGGCTCAGAACTCTATTGCTCAGCTTGCATCTTGTCAGCTCATGTACGAGCCCCTTCAGTGAATTCACCCATCTGAGACGGGCAGCCGGGCGTGACAATGTACTGATAGAGACGAGCCATCCGGTGTGGGCTGGTGGCAATAATTGTACTGTGATAGATGAGTGGGCCGAGGGTGTGGTGTATCTGAGGTAAACAGATGGGCCAGGGGTATATAGTATGCATGGTAGTATAGCAATGTACTATATAGGTAATTATGAATGGTGGTGAATCCAGTGTGTGATAGCAAGTGGGCCAGTAAATAAGGTGCAATGGAGACGAGTGGGCTGGTAGATGAGGTGCAATGGAGATGAGTGGGCCGGTAGATGAGATGCAATGAAGATGAGGGGGCCGGGAAATAGGGTGCAATGGAGATGAGTAGGCCAGCGGTGTGGGCTGGTAAATGAGGTGAAGTCAAGATGGGTGGGCCAGAATATGAGATGCAATGTAGACGAGGGGGCCGGTGTTATGGGATGCAGTGGAGACAGGTAGGCCGGTAAACCAGGTGAAATAAAGATGGGTGGGCCGGCATTGCAGGGTGCAATGGAGACGAGTGGGCCGGTAAACCAGGTGAAATTGAGCCGGGTGGGCCAGGGTGATGGGGTGCAGTGGAGACAGGTGGGCTGGTAGACCAGGTGAAATCAAGATGGGTGGGCCGGCATTGTGGGGTGCAGTGGAGATGGGTGGGCCGGTAGACCAGGTAAAATCAAGACGGGTGGGCCGGGGTTATGGGGTGTAGTGGAGACGGGTGGGCCGGTAGACCAGGTGAAATCAAGTGGGCTGGCATTGTGGGGTGCAGTGGAGACGGGTGGGCCGGTAGACCAGGTAAAATCAAGACAGGTGGGCCGGGGTTATGGGGTGCAGTGGAGACGGGTGGGCCGGTAGACCAGGTAAAATCAAGACAGATGGGCCGGGGTTATGGGGTGCAGTGGAGATGGATGGGCCGGTAGACCAGGTGAAATCAAGACGGGTGGGCCGACATTGCAGGGTGCAGTGGAGACGGGTGGGCCGGTACTATGGGGTGCAATGGAGACCGGTGCGTGTGTGCAAAAACCATATTTGGTGGATCCATACAGTAACCGGCATATCCATGATAGAACCACCAGAGGATTCATTGTGTAGCAACACAAGATCTACCGGAAATATATCTTTGAATAACATCACTTGTCTAAATATTTACAGTCTGTTGACCCAGAGTGCTCAAATCTATTCTATATCAACTGGGTCCCTGAATTTCACATTGCCATATTTTGCATAATCTGTGCTTGGAGTCCCAACGAAGTTATGAATGCTGTCGTGCATGTACCATGCAGTGACAATCCGGTTGCCTTCTTCTACATTCATGTAATGTCTCACCAGGCGACATGATGAAGCCAACATTGAGCCGGAGTCATATAGAAACTTGATTCCAAGGTTCATAAAATCCATGATCACCGGCTGATAAACACCAGCAGTCGTCATGATATCAAATGCCGCCGGTCGGCACTTTGGGTCTCTATGAGGCGGTGTCTGGCAATTGCATATGACTGACACAACATTGAATATGGATGTCCAGCATTGTAGATGATGATACATCTCATGCAAATGATATTGGGTCGCCCATTCGCCCAGCCTGACTTGGGTTTCCATTCTGGCCCAATAAAGATCAGGGTGCATGACTCGAAGTGCAGCCGAAACTAGTATACCGGACCTTTGAAGGGAGGTTGTAATGTTCCGACTGACATCACCTTTCAGTGCAGCAGATACCTCGGGTGAAAACCCATCTTCCGGGTCAAGATTTGGGAAACCATGTTTCTGGAATACTTAGAACCAGCAACTTCAATGCATATGGACCGGACATACCTCTCTTCCTTGCTGAAACCATGCAGGGGATATATTGATGCAACCAGGCATGATCTTCCCATCTGGACTTGGATGAAAGTTAGACCGATGGGTCCTCCATTCAACAGTCCTACCAGTTGTTATGCTGTGCTTCAATAAATCACTCATGGAATGCGTTGCACCATGCATATCTTGCTGTTATGTATGTCCAGCTGAGCTGAAATGAGAAATGAAGATCAATGAAAGACTAACCATCATCATAGCAGTCATTGCTCCAGGCAAATACCAGACAATGATTCTACCTCCGGAATCGACGACGACGGCTGGTGTTGTCAAGAAATACTTCTGTTCAGGGGGGAATCTGTTGAAGAGGGTCTGCTCTCGTTTCGCACTTCGACCGGATTCATCTTTGTCCAGGGCATCATTGTATCTGACCATGTCTATTTTGAGATGAACTGTATGGTGGTTAGTTGACCAGAATTGGGCGATGGAACGGTATACCTACCGGCATTGGAGTATGCAGTGGCCATCACATTGGCGAGATGCTCTAATGCAATGCAAGTGTCAATTTCCAAGAGTCCAAGCTTCATGTTTTTTACCAGTCGTTGATGAATTATGGACATGAAAATCTCGTGAACCAATTCACCGGCAAGGTAGGTCTGATACAAAGCCCAGTCTAGTGGGATTGCGACCATGTCTGGAAAACCAAATGAGTGATGGAAAAACACCACTGTTGAATGATAGCTGGAGAGATAGTAGTTGGAGAAAATAGCTTCACATTCACACGGCCTGATTGCAAAGACAAAAACCAGTGCTTCTCATTTACATTGCAGTGAATATGACAGTAACATATGATAGTATAACATATTGACCGGATGCTGGCAGATGTCAGGTTGTCCTTGACTGCACCCAGGATGCACTATGCACTGACATTTGTGTTCAACCGGTCAATGAGTGCCTGTGAGGATGCGACAGCCCTTGTGAGTTCATCAATTGGCCCAACCAATCTGGCCAACCTATCACTCGAGCTTCTAAGATTCTTCATCCTTCCCTGTAATATATCCAGCAACTCTCTCCCAATTGGCGTCTTGTGGCACTGCACAAGAGATGTTGAACCGGTTGTGTCTGGCAGCGGATCCGGGCCCTGAAGAATATATGGGAGCAGGCCGGACCTTACATGATCCGGCTATTTTGGATGTTGTGAGCATCTGGTGTAGATTAACATGATCTGAGGGCTTACGAGTTGTGAACAGTGAAATCCAACCAAATCCATCACATCTTGGATGGATGACTTTGGCAACATATCAGACACCCGGCAAGAACCAAGACTTTCCTTCCACCAGTCATTGAAGTAGTCCGGCATATGAGCAATGTCATAGTCATCGCATGCGTTGGAATCAACAGACAGGCGCAATGCCTTGATATCCTGCAGGATAGCATCAACATCCGGTCGCCAGTCCACCAATGTGTGTGCAGTCATGATTGCAAGCACCCCCTTGAGAAGGTAGGGAATGACAGCAGACAACCGGGTGAGAAAAGATATATTGATGAAAGGGGTTACAAAGGTCTATATGACAGGGGAGAAGATGAGTGCAAGAGAAGATGAGTGCAAGAGAATATCAGCATGGCCGGATACCTACCTCCATCTCCCATTTCATCAAGATGTAAAAAATTTCGGCATAGCCAGGCATGTCAGTGGCAAAACTCTTGTCAACATAGAGGCGCATGGCCAACAACCAGGAATTGGCATAGAATAAGGCGTGAGAGATATCCCCAGCAGTGATGTGATTGCCCTTAGCGGCAATGATGACTTGGTCAGGAGGGATGAGAGTTGCAGAATTGTTCATGGAGGGAATGTGTTAGGCTGTAGTGAGACCGACACTTAAAATTATTTATATGTGTCAACCATAATTTCATATTACCTAACTGGTGTTATGAAAGATCCAACCAGTACCAAGAACTATCTATACAACCAGCTGCATGAACTATCCAACCGGTAACATGAACCACCCGCCTGGTACCATTAACTATCTGACCGGTGGCATCAAATACATGACCGGTACCATGAACCATCAAACCGGTACATCTGGCTGACCCATCATCTTCCAGAAAGTATCTTCTGCATGTCCTGCTAGTTGGTGATATATGTGAGATTGTTGGGCAGCATAACATGTATGTCTGGTGAGCCCTGCAGAAGTTGCGGTGTCCATATGACTAAGCCATTGCTTGGCTTTGTGGTTAAAGAAATTAATGGACCACTGCATTTCATGTTTGACGAGAATAACCTCCTCATTCCAACGATCATGCAGTGCTTTCGTCCGGAGCCAATTCACCCGATAAACTATTGTGAGAATATGTGAGACCGGACATCCTGATACCACCGGATACAGCAGACACTCACATTCCGTCATCCAGTCATTGCCTGATGTGTCGCCCTGAACATCCAAGGACCAGAACCATGAAAGAGTCATGTCCCTCTGACCACGTGCATTGGGATCCGCCACTGCAGAGCTTGTTTTCAGGTCTTCTTTCTTCAAAGGAAGGTATTTCTTCAAGAGGTCGTGGTCAGGGAGATTAGCCAGTTGCAACCTGCATTTCAAATATATACTGGCATTGAGATTTACTGCTGTTTCCACTGAGCAAATTTGAGTCCATGCCCTGGTGGATGAGGCCTGTGACTTGGCTGACCGGACAGTATTGCGGAATATGACGGCTTTATCTCCCAAATGAACTCTAATGGCATGGAGTGCATCATTGGCCTGGCCTTCCCGAAGGGTAGTTTCTTCTTTCATGAGATCCATAAGACCTAACTCCTTGCACCTGACCTGACTAATGTTGGATGGCAGGGGTATGACAGTGATCTCCGGTTGAAATATGGAAGTATCATGTATATCCGGCTCCAGATCATCATCGAGATCGGAGTTGTCTTCATAATCATCCGTTCATAATCATCCAGGAGTGAATTACAAACTCTGTTGACCAGCAAATCTGGGTCATTCACATCGACTTGAACTCTGAGATAAGTAGGAGCCACCATGAGAAAGCTTGTGATGTGAGTTTGAAGCTTGTCTTGGAGTCGGGCCACTCTCAATAATTGCATGTCTGTGGGATGCTTTCCCAGCCGTTTCACATCCCTAGCAAGAGAGATTTGAGATTCCTCTATGGTGAGACCAGTTGCGAGCCAGGTGGCAGCTCCTCGGCGACCGGGGGAGTTGGTGACCAGATGTTCCGGGCAATTTTGAGCCTGCAGGAGGCGCAACTCCTGCTGTTTTCTAGTGGGAGCTGCACATGGCCAGATGATAATCAGAACATGATCAGACCTGCCAGATGAGCGGTAGAAGTGGACACTGACCCTTTTCCAACCGGACCTCATAGATGTCCATAGCTGTCGGATCATCCAGTCTGTTTGCATGAGCGAGTGCCTCCTCTGCCTCCCAAAGAATGACCATGTCAGGGTGAGGTGTTTTGCTGAGATTTTGGAATGCAAATTTGCTCTCAGCAGCACCCTTGATTGCCTCTTTTAACTTTGTGCAGAGAAACTTAGCTACAGGGTGAATCAGCCAGAAAGTATCATGTATGAGACCAGAAGATATTTGAACATCCGGAGGTGGGCGACTTACTGATGCGAATAATTTTCATGAAGTTGCAAACATTCATCTGATAATCTAATACCTCCTTGTGATGCGGGGTTCCCATGCCCCTGGCCGATGGGGAGATGATGTTCAAAGGCACCCAGAGGGTCTCCATGATCTCTCTGTCTATCCTGCCAGCCCCATGGATGAAATTTGATGCATACCGGACAAAGCAGCTGTCCTGGTGGCCATGTACATGCCACAAACCTATTCCAGGAATGATATCCATGCCGATGGGGATGGAAATATATATACTGGAAGCGATCCGGTCCTTCAAATACTTGTTATACTGACAATTTATGTCATAAAAAGTTATGGCTCAAGAGATTCCATCAGTCTTATAGTTGAGTGCTTGACTCAACACATAGTCCATGTTCATCTGCCTGATTATTCCCAGTAAGACCTGTAAGTCCAGAGATCAAAGTGACCGGATGCGATGTGTACTCACCTTTCGCCTTTCTGAAAATCCACCATGGAATGTGGGACAAAACATCCATGCCATGCACATGCACATCCTCCTATACTGGTGGCTTCCAGCCTTTGCCGGGAGGCGTTTGCTTGATTGACCGCCTGGTGATTGTTGCAATCTGACTTTTGGACATGGTCTTGAGCAATGGACAAATGACTCTTGTATCTTTCATTGGAGACCATGAATGTGAGACCATCCATCAATGATACTTCATCGGATGGATTCACCAGATGCATGTGCTCGGCTTTGAAATTACCATCCATGACCAAAGACCTGGTGATGAGCCAAGAAGGTGCTTCATCAGGCTGGGCGACTACACCGGTAGACAGGTCCAAGTTTATCCCAGGTTGCAGACATGCGGGGCAAAATAGGGTGAGATCACCGGCCATTGGCTGGTCATCTTTGTGGGCAAATCCATGCCACTTGTAAAGCTTGCATTGTCGCCACTGCCTGGAAGTTCTCATGAGCTCTCTGTAGCGATCCTACAGATATTGTTCTTTAATGATGGGATGGTCAAGTACAGAAAATGAAACTTAGCTTACCGGAACCATCAGTGGAAAGATGCTTGAGGTTAGTCTGCGAATTTTGCTGTAGTAATTCATCGCTGATGTCCCGCACTCAAGATTGTCTAGCAGAAAGTTGTCCAAGACAGAGAATGTAAATGCAGTTTTCGGTCTGGTGAAAGAAGCTGGGAACAAGCCTGTTTGGAAGAGCTGCATGTCTTGGTTGAGAGAACCAGGGCAGTGGCAATACCATATGGAAAGAGAGTGAACTCCGGACTTATCCACTACAGTTATAGCTGGATGATCTGAATTTGTGACCGGTGGGATAGAAGGTCCCTCCGGATAGTCATTGTAGTCTATATTTTCATCGGTATCTGACCATTCAAAGATGTCTGACATGTAATCTGTGCTGCTGGGACATGGAGTGCCGTTGTGGGGAATTCCCCCACTGTAGGTGTAAAACCCCATCCTTTCTGCATCGTCTCACATCAGTTCCGCGTATTCCGCACGTTCTGTGTTTCCCGCGCATCGTCCGATGGGTTCCGCATTCCCGCGCATCCTTCGGAACCCGCCCGCACTATCCGATATTCCCACGCATCATCGGACAACCTTTGCATGTCCTGTCCCTATCCTTCCAGGTCCATTGGTATGCTGTATCTCTCTTCCCATTGTTCCTAACGTTATCTGGATCAAATTGACACATGCCCTTATGGCACGGACCCCTATTCCGGAGTATTGCACTCATGTGCACTGCCTGCCTTCACTTCCGCTTCCTGAGAGACTTACTACCTGTACCTCAGTGTTCCTTAAAAATAATCTTCCCTTTAAGTAGTGGTACTCAGGGCTTGGGGGTATTTTATCGAATCCCATCTTTTACCTTCCCACTTTCCCTTCACCTTACTAGAGGACCGCTTTGACTTATGCCCACTATCAATCTAACCTTGTGATATACTTCCTTTGATTTTGCCTGCAAGTTCCAACAAATCAGTATGTTCCACACTTTATCCTGTTTGAGTTCCGTTTCATTCCTTTCCATTCCGCTTGAGTTCCGCTCGGGTTCCGCTTGTTCCGCGCAAGTTCTGCTTGTTCCGCATTTTTGCGGATCCTCATCCTACCTGCGGTAGGGTTGATTAGGGTCATTTAGACAGAGACTAGTACTCCCCAGTAGCAATCCCCTTTAGGGTCGAGCGTGCTTGTTCTCAAGTGAGGCAGTAGGCAGCAAAGACCCAACTGTGTAGTAGATGGATTTCTCTCTGCTGCACTTGTTGTATCCACACCGTCATGAGTGAGGTGAATGTGGAGGCTGACTTTAATGAGCGAAGTTTCTTGAAAAAATGATCCGGTCCATTGACTGATGCGATGGAATGGATGTCTTTGATGCTGTATTCTGCAGCAGTCTGTGCAAAAGAGGGGCTCATTGAAACAGCCATGACATTTATACACCCCATCCTTCTTGCACACTGAGCAAAGTCGGTCTGCCGGAGGGGCTTCTCTGACCATGAGTAAGTTTATATAGTCCTTGAACTTGCCCTTCCATTGCCAGAGATATGCATTCTGACCCTGTATGATCCAGTCAGATTCAGACTCTGGAAATGAGGATGACTGCTGCTTGCCAGAGATTTCGGTAATTTAGGCTGGGGGATGTCACCTTGGTCAAAGTCAAAGTCAGGACCTTCATGGAGCATCTGAGAGGACCCGGATTTTTGCTTTGAAGGAGATTTCATCGGTGATGATGTTGCCGACTTTGCTTTTGGAGACCATGAGTCTTTCACCCAAGATGATCTGGATCCTCTGGCTGTAGTTTTCTCCTTGAGCTTATACAGCTGAGGCAATCGTTTCTTCATAGGAGGAGTGTATGTGATTCCTTTTTGTTTAGTCTTTGCCATATTGATACTACCACCGGAAAGGATTGTTGAACCAGGGAGTGCACTTAAGCTTGATGACTGGGAGGTACTTGACTCCACTGGATCGTGCTTCCATCAACTCTGAACTGTCGGCATCACCTCATTTTCCCTTGTTTAGTCATGGAGCAACCCAATGTGAAGTTATGTGCCTACTGGAACAAGGGACCGATTTGATAATCCAACTGGATCATTGTTCTGGTGTCATATTACTATAAAGGACATATTCCCTTGCTGTTAGTCATTCAGCAACCTGATGTGAAGTTCTACCGGAGCAAGGGACTGATTTTATAATCCAACCCGATCACTGTTCTGGTGTCATATTACTATAAAGGATATTTTGCCTTGCTGTTAGTCATTCAGCAACAGTCATGTGCCTACCGGAGCAAAGGACCGATTTGATAATCCAAGCAGATCATTGTCATATGACCATAAAGGATAATGAAGTCCACAACGATCTCTCCATTTAGGATATATAGGTTGGAGTGACCGGTGACATTTCAAGGTTCAAGATTAAGAGGCTCCAGCAGTAACATATACTTCTTTCTAATCAGTGTCACAGGGTGTTGGTCTCAGAAGTAATTCAGGTATTATAACAGGAGCTCAGGCTGAAGCAGTCAGTATGAGTTAGAGGATGCATGTGGGCAATCACAACAAGAATTGATGGATTATGGCATTCAGTGTGTCACTGCCAGCAAATTATACTTCCCAGTTAGATGATGTATGTGAGGCAATGTGAACACATTGGATGAACTTCAGTGAGGACACTGGCATTGTAAAACATGCTCCAAGGGAACAGTTCAAACCAATAACCCATTCTATGGACATGAACAGGCTTCTCATTTGTGCACATATTTTATTATTCATCTCTTTGCTTGTCCTCAGTATCCCCTATCATCTTTGAATTCTCAAGTCAAGTTGCAACATTTCATTGCCTATGGTTTGCACCTCACCAAACCGCATGGCTCTGTCACATTTTCTGCTCTTGTCCTCCTGCAGCACTTGAAGCACTGCTGGGGGATGTTCGGGACACTGGCTGTTTGTATCTGCATTCATGCTGGCCTCCAAAGTCATTTGTGATGATACTTACTCGAGCATGTCAGAGTTTAGCTGCACAGGGCCCGTATGTAATATTTGAGAGTATAGCTGTATGCTGCTCATATGCTATATAATAAAGGTCCAAGTCTGTATGTTTTTACAGTTCTAAATTATATGTACCAGAAACACATGAGATGTTGAGGGTATCATGCCAATAAATGAGTGTTGACTTGCTGGCAGACAATCTCTTGTTCGGTTTGCTGTCAGGTACATTGCTTAAGTGACCTAATACTGTGCAATACACATACATGCTTTTGTCTACCAACCCATCAACTACTTTGCAATGCCCCCATCCAACTCATCAGTGGACAGCCCAGAAAAGACTAAGAAGCAAAAATTGACGGAGGAAGAGGTGCTGGTCTTACAATCTCACCTAGAAAAATGGAAGGAAGCAGCCACTGAGGATAGAAAAGTCATTCTGAAGGCAGCCATGAAAGAGGCCAAAGTGCATGCCCCTGCTATGCATGCCCAGTTATTGAAGAAGAGGAAAACAGTGAGCAGTTGATCTTCTAATGTTATACATGACTGCTGACTTTTTTCATGATGAATCAAGATGTACCGGGAGTGGTTCTATAACCGGAGAGCTGAAAAGACTCGCAAAAAGAAGTTGGGTCAGAAATGGAATGCCCGGTTGGTGGTAGAACAGCAGCACAAGGAGGAGATCATTGAAAAGACCGGAGCAAGGCCTGGATTGGAGGAATTCATCAAAAGATACCAGCCAACCCTCACTGCAGTCATGGCCAGTCTATCGAAAGAGCAGCTGAAGGAAGCAAAGCAGACTGCGATAGAGTGGTCTAGTGATGGTCCTCCTACAGAGGTCCAGGCCGAGTTTGCAAAGAAGAAAGCACCTGGTATGATGAAGGACCTGGCGACTCAGTTATGGAGGCATGCCGGTATGAGGATATTCATATTGTCCGCGTGGAAAATGGAGGAAGGCGAAGTGAGGATCAATGGGTGAGTTCTACTTTCACCCTCAACCGGTGTGGGTACAACAAGTGCAGCGGAGAGAAGTCAATCTACTACACAGTTGGGTCTTTGCTGCCTGCTGCCTCGCTTGGGAACAAGTGCGTTCGACCCTTAAGGGGATTGCTACTGGGGAATACTAGTCTCTGTCTAAAACGACCCTACAGGATGAAAGATCCGCAAAAGCGGATGAAGCGGATAGGATGCGAAACGTACAGATTCGTCGGATGGAGCGGATGGCACTTGCGGATCGGACAGGATGCGAATCAAAGTTGAAGGAAGTTCATTAAAGGTTAGATGGATAGTGAGTATAAGTCAAAGTGATCTTCTGGTAGGGTGCAGGAAAAGTGGGAGAAAGTTACATGAAGTAAGTATTTTTCGAAACCCTCCATGCTTATAGGGTACAGTATTTTCAAGGAACATAGATATATAGGTAGCGAGTCTAGACCATGCCATAAGCTATCCAAAAAATACTGGAGTGTGAGAGGATATGTCTGTGTTCAGTCAGTAACAAGAAAATGCGTGTGAGTACGTACCAATGAGGTAGAATGGACGTGGACAGGACAGATGCGGCGGATGCGCGAGCTATAGGGGGAGATCCGAAGGTATCCGCATGTCATCCAAAAAGCGGATGGGTATCGGATGGAATGGATAGGTGTCGGATGGACGTTGGATGGATGTTGGATGGATGCCTGATGCATCGGAAAAGTGGTGCATACGAGCCTAGCGTAGGGATACTCCCTACACTGGTAAAGATCGCCTGATCCGGTTGGAAGAATTGACTTCAATGAAAAGTTGGAGGGCAATAGTTTTACAGGTACAAAGGACTGGAAGCCCATGATATTGGAGTGGAATGCCTATGCTGGAGAAGAGTTTGGTAAGCTTCTTTTTTCACAATCTTGCATCATTCAATCAAGCACTTATCACACTTGGGGATGATACCAGGAGTTGACCAGAATGAAGATGACAATGACAATGAGGGGGATGGGAAGAAGAGGAGAAAACCAAGGGGAAAGAAGGATGATTATCCTTTGGGGGTGGATTACCTATGGGCTTCCGGTTATACCGGACATTCAGAACCTTAACCTAGAGAGCAAGCAACATCTCATCCGGATGTTCCTCACAAAACACTATAGCGAGTTTCACAAATCATGCATCTGGAGTGCTGATCAACTGACTGGCTATTTTTCAGGGTTTTGCAGCAAAAGGGCAGAGGCATCTGTGCCATGGTCCGCAGTGATGTATGCTCAGGGTAACTTCGTTGAGGCCAAGTTTTTACCTACCAGCGGGAAGATCAAGGAACCTTCAAAGCTTCAGTTAGTTGAAGTCGACTGGCTCTTAGAGTTCTGGTGTCAGAGACAGAAGGACAAGGTTCGCCCAACGTTTGAATTCAAAGCCTGGGAAGGCCATGATAAGAAGATGAGAGAACCGGTAGAAACAATCTCGGGTGAGGATTCCGACACCGGACTCAGACAATTGGCAGCAGAGACCAGGGTTCCGGTCAAAAAGTCAACCGGAAAGGCGAGCAGGAGTTTGGATAGATGGACATTTTATATTACAAGTATTGTAGACAGGTGTAGATAGTGCTTGACTGGATAGATACATCATGTTGACAGTTGAGGTATCGATATCAGTTGACATGCCAGCAATAAGTCTCGAGTGAACCCAAAGACTTGCTCCCTTGCAAAGGCCTCTTCTGGCGACATTGCACCACCATCCCTGTCCATCTCCAACCGGTACACTGCAACTTGCAAATCACCTACTGCCCGCTGAATAACAAACCCAATGGGATCCGGTTGACTGACGGCTACTGAATGCAGGTGATTAATCATTTAATATCTAACAAAATGAAGACTTACATGACTGATCCGGAAACTCATTGACCGGATCCGCTTGAAAACCCATCTCCAAGGGGCTCTCTGCCGGTTGAATATTGTTCCCCATGTCTGGAACATCATCTACCATATCTGTGTCAAAACCCATCTGTAGAGGCCAGCCTTCTAGTTGATTATCATTGAATGAATTGAAAATGAGAAAGTCAATGTATTAGATATAGTCTAGCGGCGCACCTGTGTTACCGGCCAGATGACCAACTTGCAGAGAGTTTGCCGGGTGAAGGGAGAGTGCATCATCTCCGGATTCGGGTAGAAATCCCATGTCAAACACATCATCGTCCGACTCCAGTGGGAATTCCATGTCCAATGCTTCTGACTCTGGAGGAAATCCCAGGTCCAACGCGATGTTGGATGACTGGTCATTGTCAGACAGGGTGGGGAATTGCATGTCCAAAGGGTCAGACATCCGGTCATCATCAGACAATGAAAATCCCATGTCTAATGACTGGCGCTCCTCAGTGGTCTGTGAGTCCAACATCTTCAATTTTTTACCATCCTTCCACCGGTCATGAGCTGACAAGACATCCAAATCTCCAAGACAAATGTCAATTGTCAGTGTGACAGGCCGGAATGAGATAAAACTCACATTCAGCCATGCTTGAACAATCCATCAAAGGGTCATTGTAAGTGCGCTCCTCGTGTTCTGGCTCTAATAAGACAAATACTAGTGTGCCGGATAATGTCAACAGGTACATTCCCAAAGGCAATGATTTCTCACCTTCATCCTCACTAGATAGTTGTAAATATTCTTGCGCAATCGCCGAGGATGACATGGTTTTCTTTCTTGTGTTGGGTGCCTTCTTTAAATTGAAGTTCTTCATGTGATCGCCGGAACAATGAATGTGTTCTACTGTGGCCAGATGCTCTGCTGGCAATAATTTGATATTGATGATGTGTCAACAATAGTATTCACACAATGAGAAAAAAGTAGCTAAAAATAGATAATGATGATGTGGCAATCATGGCCCAGGCATCCGGTGATGAAAATTTTTCACAAGTGTTTGTATCGGTTGCTTCCGGGTGTCTTTTTCACTTGCTCTCACTCAATACTCAACTCATCTGCCAGTGCAATTTTCCAACCACAAACATGTTACCCAACTCCACTTCTGCTTCTGCTTCTGCCACTGCCACTGCCAACCAGGCGCTCATCACTCTTATCGCCGGACTTAATGAGATGGCTGAACAGGTGCTCCGGTCCCAGTCGGAGGAAGAGAAAATGGGATTGAGCCGGAAGATTGCTCGTGAAGTGGTATGTTTAATGTCTTTCTGTGTATTTCCTGTATTGACACCTGGGTTGCAGAATGACGTGATTCACTCTCATGGGAGGGTCGCTACCTACATCCCCCCTCGCCTGCTGTCCATGGCAGCTGAGATATTTCGCGCTCAGAGGCGCACCGCTCAACTGGCAGAAGTCCCGGACTGGAATCGTGTTGGGCACAAGCAGGAGATGTGCATGAAGCATCCATTGTATGGTAAGACATTAGGTGCTGTGCCTCCTGTGATGACTCCAGTTGCTGCTATGAATGTTCCTCTGGTCATCGCCCCTCCACCGGTGGTCATCACACCTGCGCCTGCACCGGCGCCAGCACCAGCACCAGCACCAGCACCAGCACCAGCACCAGTCCCAGTCCCAGTCCCAGTCCCAGTCCCAGTCCCAGTCCCAGTCCCAGCCCCTGCACCGGCGGTCATCACACCTGCACCTGCACCAGCGCCAGCGCCCTCAAGGACACCAGCACCAGTCCCACCCCCAGTCCCATCACTGGCGCCTGCACCTCAGCCTGTTCCATCCTCTGGTCAGTTATTACCGGCGCACCGTTTCAGCATTCGCATCCCCAGAAATACAGCATCCAGTGTGACTGCATTGGCCGGACCCTCCAAATCGCGCAAGCGAGAACTCAGTACTAGTCCCCCTGTGCATCAGTTCAAGAGGGTCCAGAAGCGTCTCCTCAAGTCAAGGGAAGTCTTGTCCGACACCGACTCTGACAAGGTGAAGCTGAAGGCGAAGAGCAAAGGGAAAGCAAAGGGGAAGGGAAAAGGGAAAGAGAAGGCGAAGGCGAAGGTACCGGAAGATGATGAGGATGAGGATGAGGAGATGGCGACTGATGTTGATGATCTTCCGGTCGTCCAGGCAAGTTTCTTTCCTTCTTTTTCACTTAACATTACTGACATAGCAAACAGCACCAGAAGTCGATGCACAACCCCTCCAAACACAAGGTAAGTCTTCATTGCCTTCAAAAACAGTCGCTATCGACTGACAAAATTTACCAGACATACTTGTCCTTCCACAGAACAAGGGCACTGCACCGGAGGGAAGTGAGACAGATGAGATTCCGGAAGATGACAACGATGATTTGGAGGGTGATGATACCCAAGGCAAGCGAAAGGTATGTTCATCATTTTCATTCTTACCGGTGGCTCATTCATCCTGATGCAGGCCACCGTCAAGCTGGGGAAACAACACAAACCGGTAGGTTTTACTTCTCATCGCACTGGTGATTCATATGGCTAATATATTTCATTAGTCTACATGTCCCATGGGCAAGGACCACAGCAAGAAGGGCAAGGGCCAACAACCAGTGAGATGTCCGGTCAATATCATTTTTACTATACTAATTTGTCATAGCCGGACGTCGATGGACCTCTACCTCGTTGCGAGAGATGCTGGTCGAAGCATGTGCAGTGCATCCCGCGGTTGATGAAGAAAGGCGAGGTTGGCCTGAGTTGCACCTTGTGCCATCTCTGGAAGATGGCATGCATCAGGCCTGACATCACTGCTACACCACCTGTGAGGGCGGTCACCACTCGCTCTAAGACGAGCCGGTCAAAGGCCACCGGACAGAACAAGACCAGTGGGCAGTCGTCCAAAGGCAAAGGCAAGTCTCTTGTTTCCGGTCATTGGGTTCATGTGCTTATTCGCCCTTTTAGAGAGGGATATTCGGCATCCCAGTCCCATCCAAGAGGAAGAGGATGACGCTGACGTCCGGATGATTGATGATGCTCCGGAAGTGACTGGTACTGCCAGTACCACACCACAACCAGCACCTCTCGCATCGGCAGATGATTTCCCCGCAGACCACTGGATCGAACCGGGCACTGACGACGTGCCACCTCCACCACCGGTTATGGCCCCAGAGGATGACATCCGGGACTCACCCATCCCTCCGGTTCATCATCCACTCTCCCCCATCACACCTTCCGGACCCCTTCCATCCATCCAGCACCCTCTCGCTAATGAGGAGATGGAGGCCATGTTGGCCCAGATTCGCGTCGATATGGAGGCACTCCGGACACGCGATAGGATGGAAGTTGACGTCCGGCAAGATCACCTGGAGGGTCACATCGAAGACGCTGAAGGATCAGATGCTGCCATGGCCGTGCAGATCGACCAGATACAGGGGGATGTGGACGCGCACCAGAGACTCATAACTGGGTTATCCGTTCAACTTCAAGCAGTTGTGAGGTTTATGAGGGGGGATAGGTCCGATGAAGGGACGCCAACAACCCCACCAGCATTCAACCCACCCCCCATTGTTGCCGGCCCATCCATCAGTGCATTCGGTCGCACTGTGACCAACGACATCTTCACTCCGGATATATCTTGGATGAGCGCCCAGACTGGTGGTGAACTCATGGGCATTCGAGATGGCTCGCCGGTCGCAAGGCAAGAGCGGGCGCCATCCACTTCCACCGTCAACCCGTCACTCACCACGACGGTATCTGGCCCATCTGTTCCTCCAGGTGATGCACCACCATCAGGAAAATGTGGTAAGGCTATATAGCCACCCATAGCACTATAGACTGCTATACAGACTCCATAGCCCTATAGCTCATATAGCCAAGTGCCCAATTGTGCAGGCTTACTACACCAGTGTATAGTGCTATATAGCTCTATTAAAGTTGCTATAGCTGGGTGGAACATACCACAACTATTGTAACTATTGTAGCTCTTATAGCTCAAAACACAAAGCAAAAATTTCTCTTAATAGCTGTTTGTTGCCATGATAGTGTTCTCAAAATTAAAAATTAAAAAAAAGCGAAAATTCCAAATTATATTTCAACTACTACAATACATGTAAACTAATAACTACAAAACAGGCAAAAATGCGAAAATTACAGGAGGAAGAGGCAAGAGAACTAGAAGGAAGAATCAGAGAGGAAAGAACTTACCAAATAGTGAAAATTGCGAAAATTCTTGAGGGAAGAGGAGGGAAGGGAGCTAGAAGGAGAGGATTAGACAGGAGGAAGTGAGAGTCAGAGAAAAGACTTGCCAAATGGTCAAAAATGCGAAAATAGTTGGGGGGAGGAGGAGCAGGAGGGAAGAGAGCTAGAAGGAGAGGGTTAGAAAAAAGATTAGTCAAATAGTCAAAAATGCGAAAATTATGGAGGGAGACTTACCAGAGTTCAAAGCACCAGCACCAGTACCAGCACCAACAACATCAACACCAAGAGAAGGATAGAGAAGCAAGAAGAAGAGAAGAGAGGCAAAAACTCGAAAATTGTAAGAGAAATATGGAAGATAATCTAATGAGGGGGCAGTGGGGGGGAAGGAAAGAATGGGAAAAGACTTGTTGGTTGACCGCATTTTTGCTTACATAAGCAGTGCCAAACAAAGCCACAACACAAGACTTGGTGAATTTTCGAGTTTTTGCTTATTAGGACTAGGATTATGACAGTAAGAAAAAGACAATGAAATTGACTGTTAGCATTAGGATTTTAATACACATAAGGTGAATTTTCGCATTTTTGCTTACATAAATAAGGTGTACCTTAACACTTTTGAACCCTTCAATTCCAAGTATTTTCCTTATAACTCACTAAGATCTTGACCTATTGAAGTCATTAGGCTATGGATAGACTTCCCTTGACAAGGACTACAACTTTGATTTAATCGAAAAAGGTTCCCACGGTCAAGTTGCTTTCTTGAACCCTTCGATTTCGAGTATTTTCCTTGTAACTCACTAGGATCTTAACCTATTGAAGTCATTAGACTATGGATAGACTTCCCTTGACAAGGACTACAACTTTGGTTTTCATTGAAAAAGGTTCCCACAGTCTACTGGGGTCTATAGTTGTTGAAATGTTTTACTTCTAAATACACTTACCAAACTTTATGGTAATATAGACTTTCATGATGTCTATACTGGTCTATAGTGCTATGATAGCTTGCAATAGACTGTATAGAGCTGTGGTGTGCTATCGGGGCTATATAGAGGATGGTCCTCTATATAGAGATACAGTTTTTCCTGATGACTGGTACCACCTCTCATTCTCCTGGTAGGGTCCATGCCTTCACCTGGCACCCTTCATGCATTGATCACCAGGGGGCCATCAAATGTGCCAGACAATGGTCAGTCCACCTTGGCTCCTTTGCCATGCCAATGATATGGACCATTATCCCACCAACATGGTCGGTCGGTGAGCGCTCGACATTCTAAGAAGCCTTCCGGTGATGAGGCGAAGTAATACTAGGATATATTGTTCATGTTTTTATCTGTACCAGTAGTCTATTATGCTGTCAACATTGTGCACTTTCACTGTGCAAGATAAATTATGAGATAATTGCACAGTTGACTTGCATAACCTGCATTTCAGTCGGTAAGAGAAGTGTTGCTGTACTGGATGGGATATCCTGCATGTACCGGTGATCATGCAGTACCCGTACATTCTGGATGTACCAGCCAGTATTTCCTTGATCTACAGGGTGGTGACCCGCATCTACTTGATTGTGAGGGATGTACCGGTTGGTGTCCCATATCTCTACTGAATGGTAGATCTTGCATCTACTGCATATCATGTGGCCCACTCGTCTTGATTGCACCTTGTCTACCGGCCCATCCGTCTTGAGTGCACCTCCTCTTCTGGCCCACCCGTCTCGAGTGCACTTCCTTTACCGGCCCATCCATCTGAGTGCACCTCCTCTTCCGGCCCACCCATCTCCATTGCACCTCCTTTCCTGGCCCATCCGTCCGAATGCACCTCCTCTTCTGGCCCACCCGTCTCAAGTGCACCTCCTTTACCGGCCCACCCATCTTGAGTGCACATCCTACTCCGGCCCATCCGTCTCCGGTGCACCTCCTTTCCTGGCCCACCCATCCGAGTGCACCTCCTCTTCTGGCCCACCCGTCTCGAGTGCACCTCCTGTACCGGCCCACCCATCTCCATTGCACCTCCTTTCCTGGCCCATCCGTCTGAGTGCACCTCCTCTTCTGGCCCACCCGTCTCAAGTGCACCTCCTTTACCAGCCCACCCATCTCCATTGCACCTCCTTTCCCGGCCCACCCGTCTCGAGTGCACATCCTACTCCAGCCCATCCGTCTCCGGTGCACCTCTTTTACCGGCCCACCCGTCTCAAGTGCACCTCTTTTACCGGCTCACCCATCTTGAGTGCACCTCCTCTTCCGGCCCACTTGTCTTGATTGCACCTTGTCTACCAGCTCATCCGTCTTGAGTGCACCTCTTCTTCCGGCCCACTTGTCTTGATTTCCTCTTCCGGCCCACCCGTCTCGAGTGCACTTCCTTTACCGGCCCATCCATCTGAGTGCACCTCCTCTTCCGGCCTACCAATTTCCATTGCACCTCCTTTACCGGCCCACCCGTCTGGAGTGCACATCCTTTACCGGCCCACATTGCACATTCTTTACCGGCCCACCCGTCTCAAACGCACCTCATTTACTGGCCCTATCATGTGGCCCACCCGTTTTGATTGTACCTCCTCTACCAGCCCACTCGTTTACATTGCACTCCATTCCTCCGGCCCACTCGTCTATCACACTGGATTCACTACTATTGTTAATTTCCTATATAGTACATTCCTGTACTACCATCTCTACTATATACCCCCGGCCCATCCATTTACCTTGGATACACCACACCATCGGCCCACTCGTCTATCACAGTACAATTATTGCCACTGGCCCACACCGGATGGCCCGTCTCTATTGGTACATTGTCACGCCCGGCTGCCCGTCTGAGACGGGTATATGTTACTGTATTATGTGCATGTACGCCATCCACTTCACTGATTAGAGGTACATTTTCATGTTTGAGTGGAGATTAGGTCATAAAACTAATATCTAATATCAATGCAGAAATGGAATGGTAACTACTTCGAGCAGATCTCACTGAAAACCATGGGCCTTCGCATCCAGCTTGGCCACCCTACTGGCCAGAGATGTCTTACTCCTTGTCGCGCATTCAATGATGATTTCATCATTGTCAACTCGCATGGTATACATGAAGTGTCCCTCGACTTTTGTGATTGCACAACAGCCGAAAGCCACTTTCAACAGCTGCTTCGAATATCTTGGTTTCCTTCGACAACATCAGATCCAAAAACTGCTGCGACATTCCGTGTTCTCGAGCAGTATCATCTACTATTGTTCAAGTTTAAAGTGTCCGCCTATGAATTCTATCACTCACTCAGGCAGATGTCCAATAACACCGGCCTGCTTCCCATCAAGGTAAATTCTGATTTTCAAGTACCTTTGAAGTGACTCCAGCTTCCCTACAGGATCGTTATGAATCGTTTATGAGGATGGTACGCGAGTGGCACCACTTGAAGATGCTTAAGTGCTCAGGGCGAGGTCACGACCCTAGCGGTGTAGATGGGATGGCTGAGAGTGAATGCACTATATTGTGCCCAGCATGCCCACACCCAGGGAAGAACCTTCCCGCAGATTGGAAAGAGTCTCCTCGGCAGTGAGTTTAGAACGAGCTTCAGTCCAGAGTAGAATTACTAATATAGGTCCTGTTAGGTGGTTGTATGCATTGTTCCTCACTATTGATGCTAATTTCCGGTTAAAACGCAAGGCTCTCTCAAATGACAACGTTGACCCAAGCCTGAGTCGTGGCTGGGGTTATTTTGTGGAGGAAGAAGCTTATAAATACTTCTTGCATAACAGTGCAGGCTGCGTCCAAGAGGTTTGTTAGTTTTATTTATTCATTTTGTATATTCACTGCTTTTTTGGCAGAAATCAACGTGTTCAAGTCACAACGCTGTAAACATGGCTGATACGAAATGTAACCACAGACTTGCCACTACTGGTTTAGGTACCGTCGACTGCACTCACCACAATATGAAACGCCCCAATGCAGTGGGGGATCTCCAAAAGGGCGAAAAGTAAGTTGTTGTTTGCATTCCGCAGTTGTCAATCTAATGTGAGCACATAGATATATTAACATGGACTACTTATTCTTCTCGACACTTCGTCACACTGTACTCGACACTCTCAACGTATCCTACGATATTGTGTGCCAATGGCACAAAAATTTATGGCACCATATGAGTGCCTTTCCATTGTCAATGCAGCTCTCACAGGCCATCAAGACTGTCTCGTTTTTTTGTGCCGAAGTTCCACCTACCCGCCCACATCGAGCAGTGCCAAACATTGTTTTATTTAATTTCAAGAGCGGGGTAGGAAGGACTGATGGAGAGGCACCAGAACATGGCTGGGTGAACATCAACCCCATCACTTCAAGCACAAAAGAAATGGGTCCTGGTGCACAGCAAGACACCCTCGATGACTACTTCGGAGACTCAAATTGGAAAAAGATTGTTGGACTTGGTGAGTTTATTTTCATCAAAATAATACATTAATTTACATTTTATCAGGTAGTACTATGCTTCGCAAGATGAAAGACGTGTTGCCAGAGTGAGAGAACCATCATGAGGTGTTCAAGGATCTCGACGATGGTTTGCAAGACGAATATGGTGCCACCCTCAAACAATGGCGGGAGCAGGTAGAGGCTTGGGAGCATGATGCTGCACAACTCAATCCTTTCGAATGAAAGGCAGAAAGTAAGTGCAAGATTGTGATGGTAATGCTATGTGCTCATCTTGATCCTCCGTATATCACAGCTCTTACCATGGCTTCTGTACGGCTGGAGCTGGCTAGGGAGGACCAGGTTGACCTTCAAATGGGGACTTGCCTTGCCCTTGACAAGGACTGCACCCCTAGTGTGTTGATCAGTACAGGTTTAGAACTCGAGGAACAGCAGTGAGTGTCTCAACCGTTGCTTATCAGACCTTGTTCTTACTTTGATAGACGGTGAATGAAAGCAGATAGAGCTGGCCTCGGAGTTCACGCAACAGATGGTCAAGAAGGGAAGATGCTTCAATGAAGCAACACTCTCCGATGGAGGATTGACACCTGGGCGAAGATGCAGGAATTATACATGCCGTTTCTCACTGCACTACGTGCGAGCGAGAGTTCCATATTGAACAATGTGGCTGTTGCACCAGAAGCAATTAAGTTATGGCTGCCGTCCCAGATCAGCAGGACTGTGGCTTGTGACGCGCGCCTCCAAGACATTGAATGGAAGCTGTGGTATGCGCAAGCTCATGATGCGCTCCGCTCTCTATGCTCAAACTTATGTGCTCAGTCCGCCATCCTGAAGTACAAAGACCGCAACCTTCGTGGACAAGGAGCAAACACAAGGGCATGGAATACGTTGAAAGCCGTTGAAGCGAGGATCAAGGCCGCTGCCAGCACTTACGAGCATGCACATAAATCACTCGTGATTCTTGCACCATGAGTGAATCAGACCCAGTCCAGGTGGCACTTGTCACTGTGACCGCTAGACCGAGCTGACATCCGCTCGATGACAGACTTACTATGGGGAGAATCAGAGGGAACGAAAAAAGTTGTTGTGGATCTGGAGTATGCAGGGAGTGGCTCCCAATGAGATGGACAAGGACAATACTCTCGAAGGTAGGCGGCTCTTCATTTTTGCTTCCTAGTCAGCTCACGGTTGATCAGATATGCAAATAGAGTGGTGTAAAGCCAGGGCATGGGTGATGTGCTGGGCAGAAGAGGTGGAATTGTTGAAGGAGGAGATGTGAAGGATCCAGCAATTTTTTGAGTGGGATGCGCAGCGCTGGGACAAGCGGGGCCTGGGAAATGCACTACAAGACATAGACGAATGCAAGGGACAGATGGCATACACAAAATGTCAAGCCGTTTTACGTCAAATACTTGCCGAGTCTTTCAAGACCAGCTGGGCTGATACCCTGGCTTTTGTGGACTCGTTTGAAGACATGGACTTGGATACTAGTAGTACATAAACCTCTGTCACAGTTAGCGAGAGTTGGTATCAAAAATTGCATTGTTTTAATGTGAATGTCAAGTTAGAATAGCAAGAGCAGGGCACAAAATAGAGCAAATGCATGAAAAGAAATGGCAACAGTGGGCAAGAGACAATGGGCGTGCAAAAGTGGGAAGGTGCCATGGGAGGTGGGATGCGAGAAGGCGAGGGCAGGTGTGATGCATGATGCATGATACACGGAGGAGATGCATGATGTATCAGAGACAGAGGGGATGCATGATGCATCAGAGACGGAGGGGATGCATCATAAACGGAGGGGATGCATCAGAAGGAGGGGATGCATCAGAAAGCAGAGGTAGGCAAAGGGTGGTACAATTGCACCAATGATGCATCACTGGAGCACTACAGTTGCACTATTTGATGCATCAATATGACATGAACCTGTTGTCAATGTGCGTTGTGGTATCACTAGAACAAGGTTCATGGATACTCGAATAGCCAATTGGATAAAACACAGGCGAAGAAAATTCACTTACATGTTCCACGTCTACCTCTGAGTCTTTCACAGCCTCGCCAAGTATGGCACACACACTCGTAGGTGTGCCCAAGCTTGTTGTGCCTCCTGAGCCAACTTCATAGTACCTCAAGTTACGTCCCTCCACATACTTCAGTCATTTTTCCACATAGAACCCTGGCCCCAGATGTGCCAAAAGGCCATAGAATCATGGCCAGCCAGTCACCGGCTGGAGTATGTAGAATCCAGCTGGCCGGAGCATGTGGAATCAGTGTGGATTTGTGTAGATATGTGCATATTAGTATTACTATAAAAAAAGTAGCTAGCCTTATGGCTACAGGATGTAGAATCCAGCTGGCCGGAGTATGTAGAATTAGTATTGATGTAGATAGATAGATAATTACTAGGATTACTATGATTGAAAGCAGTAGTAGTGGCTAGCCTTGTGCCTACAAGATGTAGAATCAAGGCTGGCCAGTCACTGGTTTCAGAATTGCATACCGGCTGGATGACATCTACAACATGTAGAATCAGGGCTGGCCAGTCATTGGTTTCAGAATTGCATACCAGCCGGCTTAATTCTACATCATGTAGAATCAAGCTGACCAGTCACTGGTTGCTAATTTTTGTACCAGCCAGATGTCTTCTACAATATGTAGAATCAAGACTGGCCAGTCATTGGTTCTAGAATTGCATACCAGCTGGATGACATAGTATACAACACATAGGATCCAGCTGGCCGATCATTGGTTGCTAAGTTGCATACCAGCTGGATGACTTCTACAATATGTAGAATCAAGGCTAGCCAGTCCTTGGTTTCAGACTAACTTTTAGTAACCACTGACCAGCCAGCTTGATTTTACAACATGTAGAATCAAGCTGGCCAGTCTGTAATTCTGAAACCAATGACCAGTCAGCCTTGATTCCACATATCATAGAAGACATCCAGCTGGTATGCAACTTAGCAACCAGTGACTAGCCAGCTGTATTCTACATGTTGTAGATGTTATCCGGCTGGTATGCAATTATGAAACCAATGACTGGCCAACCTTGATTCCACATATTGTAGATGTGATCTGACTGGTATGCAAATTAGCAAACAGTGACTGGCCAGCTGAATTTTACATCCTGTAGGCATAAGACTGGCTACTATTTTCATAGTAATACTAATATTTATATATCTACATTGACCAGCACTAATTCAATATACTCTGGCTGGTGACTGGCTGTCCATGATTCTATGTGGAAAATGACTGAAGGGTCTAAAATCATAACATGATCTCTGAAAGATTAAGAGCCAATTTATTTCAGAATTGTAACAGGTCACTACACACTCCTGTCAACTTTCAGGCTATCCTGTAGTTTTAATGCATTAAATGCATGATGGTTACAAGACAAATGTATTGCATTAACCATTGTAACTATCAGCAACCTCTTACATAACATTACATAACATCTAACCTCCGAGGCACAAGGCAGAATATAATCCTAGCTAACCCTAACTAACCACTAAACACCTAATCACTGACCACTAACCACTAACCACTAACCCTCTAACCTCTAACAAACCTCTAACATCTAACCCCCTCTAACCCCCTCTTACTAAGATCAAAAATTAATTCATTAGCCATTACAATTATTAATGCAATACCTGTATCTTGTAATCACAATGGTAATGCATTATTCCCCCAGGGTGAGGTGCAACTTTGTAGTCAGTCACCAGTAGTACACTAGGTGGAGGGTTCATAACTTGAGCGCCAGCTTAATATCTAATATTGTAAGGACGGGGCGTTTGATCCCACGGAACCAATCCACGTAGCCGCCATGTGTGCACTCCACATGAGCCCTTTGGCTTGGGTGTGTGTTCCACTTGAGCTCCTATTGCTAACACTGTTCTTACACCATCTCAGTCGCATCCAGTTTCAAGTGATCGAACCCCTGTCAACAGCTCTCCTTTCCTCCGTAGCTACACTGTTTTCATACTCTTTCTCTTTCAATTGTGATGGTGTCCTCCTGCTCTTTTCATGGTATTGTTGTATCCCACCATGCCTCTTTGGGAGAAATTCAAAGCTGCGCTCTCGCAGGACCATGTTCTACGTCTCAGCAATGAGCACAATGGCTGTACATTGGCGCTACAGCAGTGAAGAAAGACAGACGGGGAACATAGTTTATTCATCACTGCTGCTGTAAAAGTCATCCACAAATGAGGGAGAGGATGTGGCTGATGTATATTAAAAATATTATCTCTTTGCCAGTCAATAAAACATATCCTGTTTTGGTCACCTTCTCACAGGCCTCTGCATTCTTCTCACACTTTCATTTTCGCATTTTTCAGCCACAAAGTGTGGGAATTACCCTACAACACCTAAAACACCCCCCAATATGGTATGTCCCACAAATGATAATCTTCCGCACCTCTGCAGCCTCACCACCACACTACAGTGGCTCCACCTTTATATATGAGTAGTATTTTGGTATATATATGTGGATATAATATAATAGACCGCTTTTTTGTCTATTTGTGCACCTGCTCCTCCACCAGGGCCCTTTCAAAATAGGGTAGAATATGAAACACTTTCGCACTTTTCCCCCTTTGATAGGAAAGTGTCCCAGGGCATTCAGAACATGTTTATGAGTATATATGAGATTCCAGTCTTTATTTGACCCCCTGAAGCGCCCTACATCAACAGATATAGCATATATACATAAAAACACAAAGCATATTCCAAGTGATCATTTCTAGGTGGATATACTTGGACAAATGATTCCCAGCATCTATTCAACAATAGGAACAATGTATTAGGAGCCTAGGACCATAGGAGAATACCTTGTTGCATAGTGTACCCCCCTCTCCTGGTGGTTTACCCTCTGTAAAAGTTTTTCCTGTAAGACCGGACCTTAAGGAGGGTATTGGGTCCATTCCTTAGCATATTTAGAATATATCTATCACCTAGCTACTCTAGAATATATACATGATCCTTCTACAGGGACATATAATTAGAGTATTGCATTGTTGGCATTTTTCATGTTTTTCAGTATCTTACCCTTGTACACATGATCACCCCTGCTCATATATTATCAGTGGTACACCAATAAATGTGTTTTATGCCAAGGATCAGCTTAAAATATGCTGGAGGTTCGAGTTAGTGTATGTACCTGCTATTTCCACTGATAAGGTGCCCACACCTTCACATTATTGAGATTTAATAATCGGACACCTGGTATATGTCTTATATATGTCCTAGATTACAGCCCTCAAAATTTAGAAAGATCCATCAAGGATTGAGTGAATTACAAGTAAAATGACATATGTGTGAAAAGTGACAATTGACATCTTTTCACACACAGTTACATTTATATACGATACAGCTCGAAGATTTCTTTAAAAATATGTATGATATATGGTAGACTACCTAAGGAACCCATACCTCATAAGGCCCTGAAGGTAAAGGGTGGATAAAAGGGGTGTGGTGTAAAAGTGCATTGATCCAGTATTAAAGTCCAACTACTGCTCAAGAAGCTCAACTGACCATTTTCGATGTTTGGGATATTTGAAGTTTCCCACACTCAATTTCTTATCTATCTCACTTCCCCAGCTTTCAATTCTGGGTGGATCTTTCTGTAAATTTAAACCTATGATAGTGAATACATGTGAAATGTGCTCCAGGTATGTGATCATTAAATTTGGTCAATTTGAATGCATGGGCTCCTTATCAGTAGAAATAGCAAGGACACATACTATCTCAAAACTCCAGCCTATCTTGAGCTGATCTTTGTTATTAAAAGCAAGTATATGCGCTAGGCTAATAATATATGAGCAGGTTGGATCATATGTGCAAGGGTAAGACACTGAAAAACATCAAAAACATTAAAAATATGATTTGTCATGTTTTTGTGCCTGTAGAAGGATCCTGTGTGTGTCCTGGGCTAGCTATATAATAGATATGCTCTAAATATGCTCAGGAATAGACCAAATACCCTACTTGGGGTCCAGTCCTACAGGAAACATTTTCACAAAGGGTAAACCACCAGGAGAGGGGGGTACACTATGCAACAAGGTATTCTCCTATGGTCCTAGGCTCCTAATACATTGTTCCTATTGTTGAATAGATGCTGGGAATCATTTGTCCAAGTATATCCACCTAGAAATGATCACTTGGAATATGCTTTGTGTTTTTATGTATATATGCTATATCTGTTGATGTAGGGCGCTTCAGGGGGTCAAATAAAGACTGGAATCTCATATATACTCATAAACATGTTCTGAATGCCCTGGGACACTTTCCTATCAAAGGGGGAAAAGTGCGAAAGTGTTTCATATTCTACCCTATTTTGAAAGGGCCCTGGTGGAGGAGCAGGTGCACAAATAGACAAAAAAGTGGTCTATTATATTATATCCACATATATATACCAAAATACTACTCATATATAAAGGTGGAGCCACTGTAGTGTGGTGGTGAGGCTGCAGAGGTGCGGAAGATTATCATTTGTGGGATATACCATATTGGGGGATGTTTTAGGTGTTGTAGGGTAATTCCCACACTTTGTGGCTGAAAAATGTGAACATAATTTACCCACAGTCACGTGACTTTTTCAACCAGCAGCAAATAAGACATTACAAAACAAATTTTCAACTACAAGTGGCACTAAGTTTACTACAAGCTTATCAATACTTAAAGTAAGAAATGTAAATGGGGAGCTGCAAGACTTTGATGAGAGGGCCCTTCTCATCAAAGCCTCACAGTTCAAGCGAAATTGTAGGTAGCAACATAGTGAAAAAATATACTACTTACTGAGATTCACTGACAATTAGCATGCATTACATGATCCCCCAGTCTCAAATAGCAGGAGCCACTGACAAGTGGCATGCACTGCGTGATCCCCCAGTCTCAAATAGCAGGAGCCACTGACAAGTAGCATGCACTGCGCAATCCCAGTCCAAATAGCAGGAGCCACTGACAAGTGGCATGCACTGCATGATCCCCTGGTCTCAAAGCCCCCAGTCCCAAATAATGTAGATAAAGAGAAAGGAGTCCTTTGAATTCTTGCAGCTGCAGTCGTCTATGTGTGCGGAATACGGGTAGCCATTTCAATTTTCCTCAATCCAGTTCTGGAACTTCCAATTTCCGCATGCACAAAAACCGCAAGATACACCAGAGAGCCTGACAGTGGTTGGCGTTAAACTTCAGTAATGGGAGGTGGAGGTTTCGGTATCAGCCGAGGAGTGTACGAGCAATCAGTGACAATGAGAATGTTAGTGCTGGTGTTGCAGTGGATGTAAGCACAGATATACCTAAGGCACTGTCATTCGGGGATGATGAACATGAAGCTACCAGTTTTAATGGGTGTGTGTGCCTGCGAGGTGCAGAAGCACTTGAAGCTTGACAAGTTGAAGAACGGTTGGAAATTTGAGCTTCACACAAGTAGCAGGCTCATATAATAGTGAAGGACAGATGCGGCATATGAAGGTTTATTCGGCTGGAGAATAAATTGCAGAGTTGGTAGGGGATCTACTACACTGCCAAAAATGTTACCGTGGTCTGACTAATGGTGATGACATTGGGTGATGCATGAGTCGACTCATGGAAATCCTACAGTAAGCCTATTGGTGGACTACAAAAAGGAACCCATGATTGACCATTAGTGTCGAGCATGGAAAACCACGGAGGGATGCAATAGACTTTTCATGGGCAGGTACAAAGTTTTGCAATGGCATTCTGACGACAGGCAACAGATTTCACGAAAAAACATTAGCTGTCATTCTCTGATAAGATATACGAGCTACTAGGGACAGAAGACCATTAAATAAAAGGAATAGTCAAGTGAGAATGACGTGTGAGAATGATGGTGATCAGTCCAATGCATTGCGAAATGATGGGAGGCCAATGATAATGTGTGAGCGAGTGTCCAATGATTGTATGTGAAATGATAGTTATGGATGAGAAGGAGAGGGAAATATCAGCGGCACACTGAATGATCAAACATTGTTACCAGCATGTTGTTAAGGTCATGGTCGGCAGTCATTAGTGCATGGGGGTTAGTCGAAGGTCCCAGGATGTTGACACCTTGCGAAACAGTGGTGTTAGGCTTGCCAAATCGTGCGTGATCCTTGGTGATTAATTCTCCAATATAACTAAGAAAGATGCCAGTAAGACAATCAGCTCATAAAACTATGAAGAAAGCTTACCGCTGATAGCCGTCCTTGTCTTGCACATGAAGGTGGGTCTTGAACCGCTTCCAAAACTTGGGTTCTGCCATGTCGACCTTGGCCTTCTTTTTGACGCGGTGTGATGTAGGAGCTGGTGTTGCACCTTCGTCATTCTCGTCATTGTCATTCCTGTCCAAGTCAAGCAGCTCAAGATTGTGCATGGCAAAGTCGCACTGTAAATGGAGAAAAATGTAGCACACTCGAAAACTGAGCCACTGGAAACTTACTATTTGTACCACTTGTGCCACTTGTGCCACTTGTGCCAGCAGTGTAACTGGCAGTGGTATCGCGACTGCAGCAGGGTTGAAATGAGCAAGCCATTTGACTGCAAAATCCTCAAGAGTCAGGCATAAGGGGCCATCTTGCACTGATACAAGGATCTGGCAAGCCACGTGTAACTAAATAGCAAATAAATACAACAGAGATAGCCTTACAAATTTCCTTGCATTGTTGCAGACATTGTTGCATGCATTGCAAATTGCATGAACAATAGCTGCTTTATGTGTCTTGGCTTTGATTTGTTTGGCAATCTTCAGCTCATCTGGATGTTGCTCGATGTCCTGCTGAAGACGTATGACAATGTCAATGCAAGTGATAACAAACTCGATGAAATTCATACCAGAATGTCTTGGTACATGTTGACAAAGTTTGTTCGGTCTTCCTTGATGAGTGCCCACTTCACCATATCTGTAAATTGGGCCTTCGGAAAGATATTAAACATCAGTCATGGTTCAGAACATCACAGCAAACCAACCTTCAAGGCATCATCAACCACCCATGAAGTTTTGATAAGACCCTTGAGAACCGCCAACTCAGAAGAGAATGTAGCCACTTTTGTAGTGGTTTCTTCTACAAGTTGTAAGCACTTGTTCAGAGCAGTGAAGGACATAAGAGATGTCATCTTTGCAGGCAGTGGCATGTCTCCGGCAGCCTGGCATCACGTACACTGTCAGTATGGGTGCATTGAATTGCATAAGGCTACTCACTAAAGCATAAGACTGTAAACTGCGCAACCTCTCACTGTTGAGGCTGTACATCTGCGTGATGGCAGCAATAACTTCTGGACCAACTTGAATAGATCCAGCTGGTGGCACTGCAGTAGCAGGCAACTGAATTGCACCTGACTGAGGCACTTGGGAGGTCAAAGATTGATCCAATTCATCATCACTGTCTTTGTCATTGTATGATGAATGTGTGTGCTTCTGCCCTGCAGAGGATGGGACTGGTGCAGCTGAATGAGGGGAATTATAACCACTGTGATTGCAGTAAGCAGGAGCCTGAGATTGAGAATTTGGTGCTGTGGTCAATGGACGACTGTTATGACTAGCATTCACCGAATGGTAAAGACTAACACACAACCACTAGGACTCGGTCAAGAGGGATGATAATGAACAAGATAGATTGAGCATGAACGTCTAGGTCTACCACCAGTGTGGAAATGAAGAGGTTAAGTCTAAGGAGTACTTATGCTAACTAACCTACTTATATACATAACATTGAAGAGGAGATATCTGAGTATGAAAGAAATCAGCCAATGATAAAAGAGTCATACAATACTGTGGATGACTGAGCATGACATCATGATATATAAGTGATGAGTCAGACAGTGACTAAATAGAAGCCCAAGATCCAACTGGTACTTCTTCTGGAAGCGAGATTGTTCTAGCCCGTGGAGTTGGGGAACCAATTGGAGAAACAGCAGGTGATATGTGAAGAGGTGAAGGTGTGACAGGAAGTGAAGTCACATGACCAGTTCGGTAACTAGAAGTAGCCAAAGGAAAGCTGAGGAATGAAAAATGATTTGTGTTTGGAATTTGTGACAATGACTGGAGTTGAAATTAATGTTGATATTGCCACAATTTCTGGCGATGGCAGGACCCGAATGGATAGAAGCCCCATTAAAATGCTTGTTCTGCTGAAAGGTAGGAGTATGTGTAGAATTGGATGTATCACTTGAAGGATAGTAATGATCACCAGATGGGTGTTGTCCATCATGGTTGGGAAAATATTGCTGTGCTGGGTATGGACTGTGACTTGGAACTCGTAAAGTTGGTTCAGAATGAGTGCTTGCAGGTGTCATCAGTCTGCTGATGTTCATTGGATGGAAGGAGTGTGAAAGTGTGGTGATTTTTTTCATTAAGTTCAAACTGTGGCACAAATTCAAAATCGAAAATTGTACTGTAGTATATCAATGAAAAAAAAATCCTAGATGAAAATTGTCCCTAATGTACACCTGCTGCTAGTTCAGATTCACAAACAATGTTGATAAGTGAGTCAGTATCAAGTGGGGGGGCAGCTTCTCTAAATTTCGAGATGAATTTTGCATCTCGCATCTTTGCCATGTTCAGGATCAGATCCTCTGTGCGATCATCATTATGTCTAACTGCCTGTGTGCCCTCCACTTGATGCTCCCATTTGAGAAACACTGGTCGTGATGAAGAGAGGTTGCAGCGATTGGCTGCACAATTGTGTTGTACATTGACAGTACAGTTAATTTGCTAAGTTGCCGTGATGAAGGTCAATAGACTGCATATGAGAGTAAAACATCATTTACCTCAGGAGTGACCAAGTGATATCTCTCAGTTTTTGAGAGCGAAGGCATCCAGTATGGCTGGACAAGGGGACCAGTATTATAGCATTGAAGTAAAATCCAGTCTGCTTTCCCCTCGAAATCCTGTCCCCTCGTCAAAATTTCAGCCACCCTCCCAATTAAGAAGTGGTCTTGGACATGGAATACCATGAATGAATCAAGTGCAACAGGATCACCATTGCAAACAATGACTTCCCGACCCTGTTAATATTGTGTGATCTGTGATACCTGGGGAAACACAGTATGTCAATGACAAAGTCTGGTTCCAAATGAGAGGGCGCATTTTTGCTCTTTTTGCAAATCCTGTAGAAAGGATAAGGCACACAGTCTCGAATAATCCTACTTACATACCTATACAAGAAAATGATTCAGAAAGAGGAAAACCAAGTTTACAAGTGATGATTGATGGCTGTTCACCATAGGTTCGAGGATTCACTCCTGCTTGAATCCATTTGGTTTGTGTTGTGCCATCTGATTTGTCTGACTCAACCTCAAAGTATCCACCACTGAGTAGGTGCCACAATCGGAGTAAGCCAGCAGCACGTCGTGCAATATCAAGTGAAAGTGCCATCTGATTTGAATTAATGGACCAGCCACAAACAATACTGTTGTATGACTTGTGGACTTCCATGGCAAATGTGATCACAGGGCCAAATCTCCGTATGTGGTCAACAATGTGCAAGATGAGGTGAAATTTCGGCTTGTTGAACCATTGTGGTGTCCAGCAAGCAGTACAGTCCATGAATCTTTTGATCGCCACATTGAGTTCAGCCTGAAATCATATTGAAACCAGTATCATGAGATTGAGCACTTGACACACCATATAATCATCAAGATTCTCAATTTTCGGCATCCAAGGAAGTGGGACAAGGACACATAGTGCAGCCCATGCATCAAGGATCTTGGTTTCAAGCATATCATACAGTACGAAAACAGCCACTTGACTGATCAAACGAAAATCACAGCCGACAAGTGACCCAGCATAATGAACAAGTGTATGACCATGAGGTTTTGCTACATCGGGCCCAAGGCCAGAAATGTCAAGACTTGACAAATGAGCTTCAATGGTAGCTTTGTGGACAGCAGAGAGGCATTCAACTGCATCTCGCCAGAAGTACTTGAGGAAACCCAGGAGGACCACATGTAAAATTTCAATTGGCATATCAGAATGTGGATTCAGACCTTTCAAGAAAAAAGTGGGTGCATTGAAGTCCAATATTACAAACATATGAACAATGATATACCTCTAATTCACCACACTGGGCTAAAGGTATTGGCTGGTAACCTTGTATAAGCCTCTTGAGTTGCCTGTCGTGCTGCATCCCCACCGAGTGACTTCCTTGCCTTCTCTAATTTGTCGAGGAAAAAGTGGAGTATTGTGTCCTTCACACCAGTAGATGTCTGGAGATCTACATTTTCTTTTTGGCGTGCAAGAGTTGATGCATTTTCAAGCATCCGATGTGAGACGCTCTGAGTTTCTGCTGTGGTTCGTGCAGCACCAACCTACATCATTTGAGACCATGCCATGAAGCTACAGTATCTCAAGTACCAACCTTCATGAACCTCTTAATATGACTGACCATTCCCTGAACAGTCTCCCTCTTAACACCACCAACCTCGAGCATGTCAGTGACATCTTTCCCTTTTACCCAGCAACAACAGCAAAAAAACTTCGACATTAGACCTGAGTGGCAAGCAAATTCACTTTGCATCGGATTGTCACCAAGCAATGCAAGGACCGAGATGATTACAAGTATGATGTCGTGGTAGCAGCAGTCATAGGCTCAGATACCTGTTTCTTGACATGATCTGTCACAGCCATGTCAGTTTTGATTTTTGTCATGGGGCAGACTCCACTCACTCGATTTGCTCAACAATGCCTTCGAGCATTTCCAGTGGAGGTGCTATATTTGATGTACATATAAAGCTAAGATTGTGCTCCCACTGCATGTGCTCTCGTGGAAGTCCAGCAGCATTCATAAGGAATGTGTTGTGTTCATTCCATTTTTTGGATTGGTTACCTGAAGTGTCATCGCAGTAGAGTAGTACAGGATATGCAACAACACGATGGCCATTGGCTTTCAGTCGCCATGGGTTCGTCAGTGGTTCTGCCCATGGTTTAATATAGCCAGTGGGATCGCAAAAATCTGACCTTTGTTGAGTAGTGTAATTACAAAAACATGAACCATACTTACAAAATGTCAACTGAAGTGTTGGTCGACCATGTCCAAGAGGTACATACTAAAGCTCCAGAAATGTCATTGATAAATCGTCAGTTGGGAAAGATAGTTCGTCGTGTTGATCAATGAGCCAGCTAAGTCCCACATCAGGAGAATGCCATGGAATGAGCGGCCAGGCACAAAACCAAACTTGACCATTATTTTTGAAGAACCTGAATGGCATGCATAGCATACCATTCTTAAGGAGTGTTGGTTCATCTGTGTAGAAATCTCGCACTATACGGCCCTCAACACGGTACATTGGTGTAAGCAGTCAAGTGTCATGCTCTTCTAACCAGCAGTGTGCTTGACGGATTTCCTCGAGTCTTGGGCCGCTATCTTCAGGGTAAACCTCAAGGACTGACCGCACAAGGGGGTTCGCAAAGGCCTACATATGTCATCAGTTGCTAGCACATTCAAGGACAGAGAAATGATGGTCCACCATCTTCACGATGAACTGTAGTGAAATCATATAGTATGTGTGACCCAGACAGCTGACGCAGTGATTGATCTTGACTCCACACAGACCATCTATGGCATGCCCAACACTCTTTATCTGATGAATAGATGGCACTGCATGAACACCATGTTGTTTTAATTGCCATAATATCACCTCGAGCTCATCTTGGGAGAAGACACCTCAAGGCAAATTTGACATGATATCAAGCATACATGACTGATCTAACATTAGAGGGGAAATACAAAACTAAAAGAAATGTGAACTGGGCGATTTTTCCATGGACACCATGCATTTTCATGAGCATCTTGGGTTTGTGTTAAGACCGTGCTCAGGGGTAAAGCGGAGTCTGAGGGGCTTGGCTTCAGCTCATACGCTGTGCCCCTTACCCGAGTACGTGCCCCTAATTTTGGAATGTAGTCCAACACAAGTTCTATGAGTTCCGACAGGACGTTGGAATGGGGGTCCTCTGAAGGAGGACTGACGGACTACTAGGTGAGTACGGGAAAGTCAGGCGGGGGTTGTTCCGCCCGACAGGAGGGAGGCGGGAGACTACTGTGGTCGGAACCAACAGTAGAAGCGGAGTGGAAGGGACTGCTTGGATGAAGTCCAAAGCAGAGCGGTATGGGTGAGGAAAATAAACTCTGGGGCGATTCAGATGTCTATCAAGGGTGCGAGACTTATACTCATCCCGAGGGGATTGCTACTGGGTAGCGGGTCCTCAAGTAAGTGTGAGGAAATCAAAGACTAGACTCTGTCTAGTGACCCGAAGGGTTCCGATCCTTACTAGGACTGGGAACACAAAGATGTGGAAGGTACCTGACGAGCGGAACTCAGTGCGCGATGAGCGGAACTAATGCGCGATGAGTGGAACTACGCGGGACTAACGGAACTAACACGGAACAAACAGAACAAACGGGGAACAAACAGAACAAACGGGGAACAAACGAAGGGAAAAGAAACTATGAGCCTGCAGGAGGATGATTGGGCAAAGTCGAACCAGGCTTGTGTCTGATACTTGCTCCAAGTCGTTGGATCCAATGTTGGGCGTTTCGAGCAGAACTTGCGGGGGCAGGAACATTGCAATGTGATCAGGAATAGATTCGGGAAGATATTTTAGACAGTGAGTGGAGTACTGGGAAGTAATCTGTAAGTGAAAGTGGAGTCGAGTCTATCAGAAGGTAAAAAACTAAGATCCCATCTATTGCTACCTATATAGGAAGAGGTTCCAGAAAGCCCTATGCTACAACCGGGGAGGCTGTGAGATAAGGAACCGGTTCCGAGTAGCGGAAGGATCCGTATAAGTATCATAACACATATGAAATGAGATAGGAACATGTTAGTAACACAGGGAATGTAGGTAGTACTCACCAGTGAGGATGGAAGGATGGGGACAGGACAGAAGATGACATTCTGAAGGCTAAAAGGATATGATGCGTGTGGTACGCAATTGTTCTGCTGGGTTCTGCTTGGTTCTGTGTAGCGGACGGCTTGGGGAAGATGTGGATGGGTAGCGGGATGGTAGTGGAATGCACAGGAAGATGGTGGTAAGGCATGGGAATTATACGGGATACAGGCCTACAGTGGGGACGGATGCGAGAGTGCGGGGTTTAGTTCCGACATACGGGAAGTTGGGTGAGTGGAGGAACGGAGGAACGGAGGAACGGAGGAACGGAGGAACGGAGGAACGGAGGAACGGAGGAACGGAGGAACGGAGGAACGGAGGAACGGAGGGGAGGAACGGAGGAACGGAGGAACGGAGGAACGGAGGAACGGAGGAACGGAGGAACGGAGGAACGGAGGAACGGAGGAACGGAGGAACGGAGGAACGGAGGAACGGAGGAACGGAGGAACGGAGGAACGGAGGAACGGAGGAACGGAGGAACGGAGGAACGGAGGAACGGAGGAACGGAGGAACGGAGGAACGGAGGAACGGAGGGTGGTCGACCTAGGGAGTCAATCCCCTAGACCCAAGTCAAGGAACAGAAGAGCAGGGCTTAGAAAGGTAATATTCAGACTGAGTATCTACAGACAAATGTACATATGTTTATATACTCTAAGTGATGAGCATAGCATAGCAGAAGGCTATGTCCTGAGTGTACAGGATTACAATAGGATGACTGAGACATACAAGAATAAGGTTTGGGGAACAGTATGTATGTGATGGATCAGAATCGCTAGGGTATAGGGATTACCAGTGATCCGAAAAGTGGAACTATGATACTAAACGGGGATAGGACCAGTTGAGTGGTTCCTAGTCTAGGAGTAGACCAGTCAGTTGGACTAATAGTTGGGTGGGACAAGACGAGTGGAACCAAGCAGGTCGGAAAAGCGGAGGGAGTAGGAGTAGGATCAGGCAGACTGATAGGGCGGAGGAGCGGAACCCCAAATAGGGTCAGATGGGAGGGGTATGGTGTCGGAGGACATAGGGGTAGTGTCGGAAGAGCGGAATGGGGTCGGGTGGAGGTAGCAGGGCTAATCCTGCTGAGATGCACTTTGTGCATTGTCGGAGAAGGAGGAATGGAGCGGATGGGGAAACAGGGGGTCAGACCAGCAGTAGGGATGCTTATAGGTGGTACTGGGGGTACTCAGATCCAGTATATGACAGTTTGATTATACCCATGACAAGAGACTGCATGATAGTGAGAGAAAGTTGCTATAAAATGGTAACACATACCCTCTGCATTCACGTTCACAATGAACCCGTCCTCTTCTTCTGGAATGCCTCCCTCTTCACTGTCCGAGTCCACCGCTGATGGGTTGAAACCATGGTCGACCATATGACGGAGCAACGCGCTCACACTGGAAAAAAGGCGCACATGCATGTCTTCCATTGAAAGAGATGGAGGAATAAGCTCCTCAAAATCCACCTCCATATCTATATCACCATCCAGTTCGTTATTACAGTGGCTCAAAAAAGTGTCCGAATGTTTATGCATTTTCAAGTAATTGAACAATAGCAAGGCAGAACCAAACAATGACCAATGGGTATAGGGACATGTCTGGAAGCCCTATATCATGGCTCAAATCTGGGATATATAGCGTGGGAACTCGACCATATATGGGCAAGCTATGGTAATTCTAAATACATGACTCATTCAGACACTTTTTTGACTTTTTATTGAAACCACAAAATCAGACCATTCATACATTATACTCTTAATTAAAGCGGTGTCATAATGATAATATGGTCTGATTACAATATTATTTGAATATATAAACCCACATAAGATCATGAAATTCAACATAATCATCATGAAGCCCATCTCCTCTGCTCACAAGGATAATATCCTTGTTCTCTGTACCTCTGGTTTATCTACTAGGCGAATTGCCTCAAAAACTGGTCTCGGCAAGTCTACTATTACTACAGTCATAAAGCAGCACATGCCAGAGAAGGAAAATCATCAAATGGGATGTCCTCCCAAGCTTACTCCACAGAACAAAAGAGCTATTGTTCACCAAATTCTATCTGGCAAGGCTTCAAATGCTACCCAAGCTACCAAGTTCATCAATTCCATCATCTCCACTCCTGTTTCCACCCAAACTGTTAGAAACACCCTCAAGGCAGCCAATCTTAAGGCTGTAAACAAGAAGAAAAGACCTCTTCTCTCTGTAGCTCATAGGAAGAGAAGACTGGCCTTTGCTTTAAAGCACCAACATTGGACTGTGGAAGACTGGAAGAAGGTTATTTGGTCAGATGAAATAAAAATCAATAGAATGGGGTCATATGGCCAGGAATATGTGTGGAAAAAGGCAGGAGAACCATTAGGAGAAAGAGAAGTCAAGGGTACACTGAAGTTTGGAGGAGGAAGTATGATGGTATGGGGTTGTATGGCATGGAGATTCTTTGTGAGGTGGAAGGATGGATGAATGCAGATCAGTTCATCTCCATTCTAGAGGAGTGTCTACTCAAAAGCATGCAGAAGTCAGGAATTGATGAAGAAGACATTATCTTTCAACAAGATAATGACCCCAAGTACACCTCAAAACTGGCTACAACATGGTTTGAAGACCATGATATCAATGTTCTATCATGGCCAGAACAGTCTCCAGACCTCAATCTCATTGAACATCTCTGTGGATTACTCAAAAGACTACTTGCTGCCTATCAAGATCCTCCACAGGGGCTATTTGAACTATGGGAGAGAGTTGCAGCAGAGTGGAAAAAGATTGGTGAAGAGAAGTATCAAAAATTGATAGAAAGTATGCCTAGGAGAATTACAGCAGTTATTAAAGCCAAGGGGGGTAGCACCAAGTACTAAAATCATAGAATAGTCTTGGTTAAATACAAAGTCAAAAAAGTGTCTGAATGAGTCATGTATTTAGAATTACCATAGCTTGCCCATATATGGTCGGGTTCCCACGCTATATATCTCAGATTTGAGCCATGATATAGGGCTTTCAGACATGTCACTATACCCATTGGTCATTGTTTGGTTCTGCCTTGCTATTGTTCAATTACTTGAAAATGCATAAACATTCGGACACTTTTTTGAGCCACTGTATATGACCCAGGAGGTGACTTCTGCAGGGGATCTTGGACTAGAGGCTGTTGGTAGTGAGGGAGGGGAGCAGGATGAGGCACATTCAGCGGTAGCCCAGAAGCAATAAAGATAGCATCGAGAAGGGGATTTGTCTCAAGGTGAGGTTCGTTGAGAGCAGCAGTTTGAGCAGCATGGAGTTCATCGGCATAGTGAGTTGTTTCTGTCCTGTGCTTTTGAGTATTTTCATGGCATATAGCATGGTGGATGTCTTGCTTGAAACAGCCGGTCGGACAGCATAAACACATCCAGAGATTCCCTTGC